CTGGTCTAAGCGCAAAAGAATACCTAAGAATGTGGCCCTAGAAGTCTACAAAGCACTAGCTATTTATTTGGAAAATTGCTACAAGAACTCAGTGTGGTACAACCGTCCCAATGCAGGCTTCACTATTAACAGGAAATACCTCTCTGCCTACCACAGGCAGGCTCAGTCTAACCAACCACTTAGCGTCAACCCATAACACTTAAACGCTGAACCGAAACTTACTGGTTGTAGACCTCGTCTCTCAGGTCTTTACGATACAAGAGACGTTAATAAAATCACAATTTACTTTTGCAGGTTCTACCACTTCTTGATTACTAGCAAGCTTCAACTCCATTTCACTTAGTCTTGAAAGAAGTACATCCATGTTCGCAATATTCCTTCTTGATTTGACTCTAGCTGTACCATTATTCCTGCAAGACTCAACATCTTCCGACTCAGATGAAGAAGGAGAGGATGACGAGGAGTCGGTTCTTCTAGAGTGATTCAGAGGAATACTCTGGCTTGTGCTTCCCGAGTCTGAATGATGATGTCTACCAAATTGTCAACTGACCTATCAGAAGGTAGTTGAATGCCCATTGATTCAATGAGTTCCTCTAATTGATCAATAGAGCACTCTGATAATTCATTTCTTGATTTAAAATACATCTTTCGGAATTAATTTGAGACTTCAAGGTATAAATGGGAAGTAGAATCAACAAGTGTTAAAACCATCTTTTATTACACAAAACAAAAGAAATATCCAATTGTCACAATTGAACAATACAATAGATTGAAACTTTTCCAAATTACCATTTGAATCGGGAAGTGATGATGATTTTAGTGAACAATATTAAATTTCACTAAAATATTAATATTATCAGATTTCCACAAATATTACTATTATAATGATGATAAATAACAATGATGATGGTTGGTAGTAGTTCCGATGTGATGGAACACGGTAGTATCTGGAATTGAAAAAAATGACTCAAGTCTCTAAAGGTTTGTGTAATGATCAAAGTTTGCTAATAATTGTAATAGAAATATTTTCTGATGATGTAATTTATGAAATTATTTCCTATTTATGTGATGATTGGAAATTCGTATTATTAAATTGCGTAATGGTAACAAAACAATGGTTGAACGTCATCCGAGATCGATCCGAGCTTTCAATGATGGCGAATAATCATTTGGTCAATCAAGTAAATAATGAATTTTTGGATTGTTTTGTATCAATAACATTTGCACGCAATATTTTAAATGACAATTGGTTTAACATGTTAGGACGTATGACTCAATTGACCACTTTGGAAATTGGAAATAATCTAATTGATGACAATATGGTTAAATTAATTAGTGAAATGAAACAGTTGACAGGCCTTGATTTGGAAATCAATCAAATCTTCAATGAAGGAGCCAAATCCATCAGTGAATTAAGAAATTTGACCTACCTTAACATTGGTAATAATCCCATCAATGATGAAGGTATAGAATCAATTAGTCAATTAGACAATCTTACTGATCTAACAGTTAGCAGCTTGCGAATTACATCAAAATCTGCAAAATTTATTTCAAAATTGAATAATTTAACACTCCTAAATATTGCTTACAATAATATTGGAGATGAAGGAGCCAAATTTATAAGTGAAATCAAATCATTGAAAATTCTGGATATTTCGTTAAATGGAATTAGTCCTATTGGCGCCAAGTCAATTAGTGAATTGGATCAATTGACTGTACTTTACATTAGTCAAAATTTTAGTATTGGTGATGAAGGAGCAAGGATGATTAGTGAAATGAAACAATTGAATGAACTTTATATCCAAGATTGTTTCATTGGTAATGCTGGTGCCATCTCAATCAGTAGAATGGATAAATTAACACACCTAGATATTTCAGAAAATGAAATTCAGATTGAAGGGGAGTCAGTCATTCGTGATATGAAACACTTGTCTTATCTTTCAATTGAAGGTCAATGTTTATATGGTTGATTCATCTTGTTGTGTAGAATTGTCACCAATTTCTGTTATATTCAATTTCATTATTAGAGGCGCTATGAGAATAAATTTAATTCATTAGGTTTCTCTGAAACACATCACCTTAAATAATAATCCTTCTCTAACCAGTTTCTTCTTACAACAAGCAATACTAATGATATTTAATTCACAAATTACTGAAATGGAATTTGTCTAGAGATTAGTGACAAATCGTAGTTAACAAGGCAACAATAAGCTCTGTTCACATTTTTGTAATAATTTATTGAAAATAAATGAAAACCTAAAACAACGTTTTACCAAATATATGTGACTTGCGATTGCTGACATTAACCAATCACCTTGAAACATTAATAAATTGTTAACAGTATTATTGTTGAAGTACCTTAGCAATTATTTTGTGAAATCTTGAAGATTTTGATATTATCATTTACTAGATTATCTTGAGAATTATCCAGAGAGGTTATTTGTTTCATGGTATGAGGCATTATTATGAACAGATAAGTCAAGTTTAGGAAAAGGAAACGGAAATTTGTTTTATCATACAATACTAGACATGGCTTTGGTGGTTCAAATTTGTTTTATTGGTAGGTTTAGATTTTAGTGGGTAAAATAGGAAAGAGTTTGGTAGAATTAAAGAGCTGGAATTTTCCTAGATCTCAACTTTTCAATTAATGATAATATTGCAGGGAATATTACCAATACGTTAAACAATAAAATACCTTGTCCTAAAATAATAATATCGAAAAAGTACTTTTTCACAATCTTGATATCATGAAATGCAAGAGGCAGAATGCTGACCACAGTTGACAAGGAACAAATCAATAAAGGAATAGTCAAGAGTGTATATGCCTTCTTTACACTCTTTGTTAGAATAAATGCCTTTGTAATCTGGAATAGATATTCTGAAAATAATCCAATTTGAAGTGTGAAATTCATAATTGATAATCCATTAATAGGAATTCTTAATAATCTCAATCCAGCAACTAGTTCAATTAAAGTTATCAAAGTTAAAAAACAAGTAATGATGGAGCAAATTAAAATATTAATGAAAAGAGAAAGCTTTCCATTTTTCAGAATTGGAATCTCAAAAATTGATGTTACAAAAACAGAGACAATGGCAACTGACAGAATGGCAAGTGTACAAATAATACCAACATTGAATGGATCACTGGCAAATGATTCGAATATTAAATCCATGTCATTCACAATGAATGAGTTCTTGGTTGGTTTCAGTCCTGTCTCTGGATAATCAATGGACAATTTTTTCATAAATTCCAAATTTTGCTTTTCAATAACAGCTGTCACTTCTGAATTCAAAAAATTCTTATTCGAAAAAACAATTCTGGCAGCTGTCATATTATTCGAAACTTGCTTTGAAATAACAAAGCTTGCCAAATTACTAAATAATGTGTGATGAGTGAATTCATCCATCCAAGAGTTGAACTTTTGTGGAGGAACCTTAAATCTGTTAGCTCTAAACTCTTCTGAATGAGAACTCATAAAAAATATCCAAGTTTTAAAGTAAGAAAACCAATTGATTTGAGCTTTCATAAATGTTGGGGGAGATTCATAAACGTTTTCCAATAAATTCGCCATAGAGGGTGATGCAAAGTCAATCCTATCATTTGTAGAATTTTCCGTATTGTACATGACAAGATAACCTGGATATTCCAAATCTCCATAATGTGAATTGTAATGATGTAAGAATGAAGTCAACTGAGATGACTTGGCATATAGATCTGTCATGGTGAATGGTTCCTCTCCTATTGAGGCAATAATTGTAATTGAGCCAACAATTCCACAAATAGCCAATAAAATCAAGATTACATGAACTATTGGATATTTTGGTTTGTTGAATGCATAATCGAATATTTTGTAAATTATTCTATCGACTCGATATTTAGGGAGGTCATCTTTCTGTGATTCTGGTTGCTGTTCTACATTTTCAGTAACTTGCATTTCATCTAATTGAGTAAATTGAATTGTTGGTTCCTCTTCTGTTTCTTTTTGAGCTGAGTTCTGGTTAACTGAACTTTCCATTTCTTCTTCATCAATTTCATTACCTTCTTGAATATTATCTTCTGCATTGTCCAAGTTCATAGAGTCAGTACTTGGAACTGGAACAAATAATTCCTGTCGTTTCGAATTAAACTTGAATTCCAAAACCAGTAGAGGAGTAATTCCAAAGATTGCTGTAAAGAAGAGGAAAATAACTGAAACCATAGTTTGCCAAGCAACACTAAACAAACATAATGAGAACCTCCATTTCACAGAGAAACTTACCTAATTGCCATTATTATTGGATGTTTCATTACTATAACAACGAACATTAAAATACAGCACATCACAATGAGTGTGAAAATTAATGCAGAGATGACTTCTCTATAGTATCTACCAGAATTTTTAACAAACTTTTCATATAATGTTTCATTCTCACTTTCATTGGTCAACTCTGACAAACCTTCTCTATATCTATTAAAATAGGTCTGTAAAATGAATAAACCATCTGATCCAATACCAACCAGAAATAGTGGTAAAGCCTGTGCACTGAGTGGATTCAAATTATATCCAAATATTAAATGAACAATTCCAAAAGATGAAAAGATATCCATCACAATCAAAATAATACTCAAAAAACCAATTAATATTCTCAAAATGATCGAATCTTTCGAATCTCCTCTCATCAGTACAAGTGTAGTCACCACCATAACAAGAGTAATTGAAAAACTAATCAGAAACATTGGACCAACACTCACAAATGTATCTGTAATATCTTGTGTTAATGAATATTGAGAATTATAATATAAGGTTACATTTCCTGGAGAAACATATTCCACATTCTCATTCAATTTCTCAAATTTGTTCAATTCTTTTCTTGTTCTTTCCATTAAATTGGAAAATTCCTTTTCCCAAGCTGTAATTTCATTTTCATGATCTGAAAGTAAAATTGCATAATATTTAAGAGCTTTAGCCTTTAAAATTGTTGTCTTGATAGGATTCCACTCAACTGATCCTAAAATTGATTCAGACTCCAATAAATCTCCACTTGACAATCGTTTAGGAATGGACAAGGTTTTGTGGATATTCGAATCTTTCATTAATTTATCCTTATTGAAATCCCAAAATGACATAATATCAAGAGTCATACATCCACTAGAATCCATTCTCAAGCAAATATCTTCAAAAAACACATTCTTCCCATCAAATGTCGTTGAATTTAATTGATTGACTTGATTAATTATTTGATGAAAATATAAAATTGTATCTTTTGATATAATATCCATTGTTTGATTATTAACTTCACTCACAGTTAAAATAATGCTCACTGCTCTCATATATATTTAGGAAACAATAAATTCATTTCGTCTCGTTTCAACTTGGCATTAGAATGTGAATGTGTTAAAAGTTTAAAAGGATCCGAATCAATTTTTAATTTCCAAACACTCAATCCACAACTCGCCAACAAAATCACCAAACAAACACAAAAACTAATTATTGGATATTTAGCAGGAAGTGTCAACATCATTTTTTCAGTGTCAACAATCATGTGGAAGGATGAACCTGAATGCTTCAACAACACACTTGTGTATGCACCTTTCATTTAAACATAGAGACCAAAATCTCATCCATGCTTTCCACTTTAGTTTAGTTTAGCCGTTGTCGCTTTATTGTAAACTTTAAAAAGGCAAGTTAAAAACAAGAAGAAACTTAAAAGACCAAAAATGGTTTCCACCATCTTCATGAAAATAGGATACCAACTCAACATGGTTCTTTCCTGTTATTATACAGTTAAAAATCACCGAAAACCTGGGAGAACCTTTTTAACTGTTGATGCCCTTCACGTTTCTTGTAACCAAGTTGCTGAAGAGTTTTAAACATTCACAAAAAAAATGAAATTATTACATTGCTTGACATTTGTCATTCTTGTGGTGACATTGGTGTGTTCATCTCACCAACGTGAAATTATTTCACTCTCATGTAGGTTTTGGTAGACTTTAATTTTTATTAACATGTCATGTTTAATATTTTTATATATTAATTTGCATCTGTCACTAATCAGGCAATGGTTACATGCGTCTTTTGAAAGGATCTCTTCTAGAATCCAACATTAACATTGGTTTGGCCTATTCTGCTACTAATTATGCCATCGAACAAGCAAGATTAAGAGTTAATCAATGTCGTTGTCCATCAATTACTGAACGAAACTTCCAAAGACAATATGTTCCAGGTGTCGAAGGATTTTTATGGAATTCCATGAAGGGAAGAGCTGCTCTTGATACTTCATGTCCTGCACAATCTGATGCTCCTAATAACTGGATGCAAATGTCCAATTCTAAATATTTCGCACAAATTTCAAGTTGTAATTTGAATGATGTTTCGAATGGTTCTCCATGTTTATTCTCACTTGCTCTTGGAAGTACTCAAATTCAAGTTGCTTTGGCTTCTTGTCCATCTGAAACAAGTGGAAATCGTGCAACTTTTTCAATTCCACAACGTTTACCATATATTGCAATTCATTGTAAAGGTGATGATTGTGATAAGATTGGTTATCCTTGTCAACAAGATTCTGATTGTGGTGGAAATAGTTTAACTTGTTGGGATGTTCCAAATAATGCTGGATATGGCTCAAATTTCCAATTTGGTTTTGGTTTCTTTTTTGCTGGAATTTATAATCAATTCCAAACTTGTAAATCTCCAGAACAATTAATTGATTCATTGATGAAGACAATGTTGGCCAATCATTGGAGTCAAACTTCAACAAAGACCTATACTTCAATCAAGATGTGTGGTCCAAAGTTGGCACCAATTTTGAGTCCTGGAGCTAATGTACAAGCTACTTGTACTGCAAAGGTAGTTTCCAGAACTTTATCCGAATCTCAAGAGACTCAACAAACTGCTGTAGTTCCAATGAGTGCTGATGTTGCTGCTCCTACTTCTGTTGTTACTGAAATTGCCATTCCACAAGCAAAGAGAACTGTTTCATCAGTCCAAGATTCTGTTTATTATTGTGGTGGTGTTGATTCCACATCTGCCTCTGTTTGTAGTGGAAATGGTTATTGTTCCCTCGTTGCTGGTAACATTGGTGTCTGTAAATGTAATTATGGTTATGCTGGTTCTTTGTGTTCTCAAGCAATTATGTGTGGTTCTTACAATTCTACTAATCCATCAGTTTGTAATGGACGTGGTTCTTGTCACACTATTGCTTATAATCCATTGAGTTATTGTTCATGTACTAAAGGATATACTGGAGCTCAATGTGAATATTCAGTCAGTTGTCCTAGTTGTCAAAATGGTGGTGTATGTGTCGCATCCTCAGGTGTTGTTGGTAAATGTCAATGTACTGGAACCAAATTTACTGGTGAGCTCTGTGAAAAACCTGTCACTTGTAATGGTATTGCTGCTACTAGCCCAGATGTCTGTTCTGGACATGGTTCTTGTGTTTTTGCCACTCCAAACTTTGAAGATGCTGCTACCACCTCCACTGAAGGTGTCTGTGTGTGTTATTATGATTATATTGGTCCAAGTTGTAATACCACAACATATAATCGTACATGTACCATTTCCTTGTCAAGTGTCTCTTCATGGGATGGTATTTTAGCTGATGGTTCAAATATTGTTGCTTCTGAAAAGAGAACTGCCTCAATCTCAGTTCCTGTTGATCCATTGTTCCCATCTTATGATACAAACAAGTATACTCTCATGTTGAAATATGATTGTAATGGAGTTTTGCAATTTGGTCCAAATTTGATGACAATTTACTCACCAAATATTAATTACGGATCTACCACAATCGAAACTGTTGTTAATTCCATCTTTTCATGCAATAATGGATGGACAAGTGAATTGAGAAGAGTTTTGGTTCAACCTTACAATGCTAAAGCTTGGTTGGCTTTACTTTCTTCCAATTCTAATACTTTCTCTGCTGGTTCTTGGACTATTTCACCAATGCAAAGAATTATTTCACTCCTTTCATTGAGTACTTTGAACGTTCAAATGCCATCCACTTGTACCTATTCAGATTATGAAACCAAAGGTTGTAGATTCACCTATACTAATCTCTTCTCATTATTGGACAGTCAAATTAAAATCCACGTCCACACCTCTCGTTGTACAAACAATCCAGAAGGCATTCCAAACTTCTACCTCTTCTGTGAAGGTAATCTCTGTAAGCAATTATTGAATGCTCAAACATGTTCATCAGATGCTGATTGTGGAGATAACATTAAGTGTACTAATCCATTGAGTGATAATAATCTCAACGCCAACTTGTTGGATATTCTCTTCTTGGGTAATAGTAATGCTGGATGTGTCAATAATAATAATGAAACATTCTATAGACAAATTGGAGATGCTATGGATTATTCTATGGGAAGAACCAAAAAGTCCACAAATGATTTCAAGATTTGTTTCCCAAATGTCAATACAGTTTCTAATACTGCCAAGAATTGGGCTGATGCTTCTTATTCCATTTCTGCTGGAACTATTACCTTGAAGGGATTGTTTGCATATGATGGTCCTTCACCAAGTTCTGTTGCTCCACCAACTGCCTTGAAGGTTTCAGATGTCACTGCTGCAGGTGCCACTTTCTCATGGACTGCTTCAGTAACTGCCGCAAGCTCAATAACTTATTCTTTGGTAATTAGAGATGCTGTTGGAACTCAAGTTGCTTCAGTTTCATCTATTTCTGGTACTAGCTATGTTCTTTCATCTGGTCTCTCACCAGTGACAACTTATACCGCCTATTTGACTGCTGTCATTCCAGCTAGTGGCTCAACTGCTGCTCAAGAATCTTCTGCTGTCTCTATTGAAGTTTCTACTACTGCTGGTTCATCAGGTGGTTCTAATAGAGTTCCAGGAGGTGTTGGTTCAATTACAATTGTTGTCAAGATTGCTAGTCCAATTCCAAAGGGTGGCTCAATTACCCTCAGTTTACCAAATGGATATGTTGTCTCAATTGTTCAAAAGAGAGCAATTATGGCTTCAACAATTACTGTTACAGATGCTAGTGGAAGTGAAATTACTATTAGTAATGTTAATGTCAATGGCAACACCATCTCAGGAGCTGTGAGCTCTCAAGTTTCTGTTGGAAAGGTTTCTATTGCTTTAGGTTCTGTTAAAAATCCAGATACTGCCTCCACTTCAGCTTCATTTGGAAGTATTTCAACTGCAGATGCTTCAGGAAATGTGATTGAAAAGGTTACCATTTCATTACCACCAGTCAATTTTGCCACTGTTTCAGGATCTTTCATGATTAATTGTTCCTTGTTGATTATTTCAATTTTGGCTGCATTCTTAATGATGCTTTAATCAAATGAAAATAAATCATAAATTTATTCGTCATCTTCCTCTTCACTCACATCATCAACTAAACCCTCCAATTCACTCTCTGCATCGAAATCATCTGGTAAAAAACCAAAATTTGATAACCATTTAGTAAACCATCTAACACCATTATTGGATTCTCCAACATATTCAGCTAGTGTTGATAAATTAGTCCTATTCACAACACTGTCAGAAATTATTTCCAACATGTTCTGCTGCTCATCATTTGAGGATATTAGAGATGGAATTAGTACAGAAAGAGTGAGATCAAAATCATACGTTGTTGGATCATCAGTTGAATATTCAGTCCAACGAGAATTGCCACTTGCTGAAATTTCAAATTTAAAGAATTTGGGTTTCTTTGGAACAAAGTATAATCCCTCAATCAACTCAGTATCCAAATAGTAATGCGAAATATATTCCCTAATATTGTGGTAAGTTTTGTTATTTGAAGTTTCTATACGTGGGTTTTTGGTAATGATATTGAAATCTTTTGAATGGTGAACGAGATCTTTTTTCGAAAAGTTGTAAGATTCATCATCAGAACAATAATCAAACTGTACTGCTTTTGGTTGTCTATTTAGGGATCTAATCTTTAAAAATTCAATATCATCCTCATCCAATTCATCATTTTCAATTTTTAAATGTTCCAATGCAAGTTTCCACAAAACAGTTAAATTGTGAATACTCCCATTCCAAGTTTTACAACAATTTCGTGGTCCTTGTGCAATTCTTTCCAATGGATCCAAATACATTAAAATATGAAGAATAATTTCGTCCGGAATATTCGATAATAAATCAAGAATTATTCTTCCGCGAACCTTGTGGCAATGTTTAATCAGAGTTGCAATTTCTAAACAGGATAAACTTTCCACTTGTTCACAAAATTTAGTTATTTTGTTTGGAGGTGAAGAATCTTCATCATTAGAAGAATTTACTCGTTTCATTTTTTTTCTATTAGATTTTTCACATATCTACTACATAATCTCAATTCTCTAAATCAATGAATCGAATATTATTAGTTATTTCTTCATTCACCTGTATGCCTGACCAATCCATCACCAACCAATGATGTACCTTCAGTGATTTCATTCATTTCCTCATCAAACTTTGTTGCTTCAATAACTTCAGTATCAATTGGATTGACATGATACTTATCCTTCAAAAGATATGTTTTACATAGTCCTTTTCCTTTCACTTCCACCATTCTTTCTTCAAATTCCATACCTAAATCATAAACTCTTTCATAGGTAGATCTGGAAATATGAATTCTTCCAGGTAATGAAGTTGATTCCATTCTTGAGGCAAAATTAATAGTATCTCCCCATAAATCCTGTTTGTTGAAATCAATAATATTGAAAGGAAGTTCAACTTACGTAAGCAAACTTTTTCTTACCCAAAACTCCAGCAATAACACTTCCAGTATTTAAACCAATTCTAATATTGACCTTCTTATTGTTTTCTTCGTTATATTTGTGAATTACAGAGAGAGTATCAATGGAGAAACGAAGAGAACGTTCTGGGTGATCTGATTGAGGATAATTATGAAGACCTCCCACACAAAAATATCTTTGTATGGCAATTGCAGTTAGTGAACTCAATTTTGATAAAAGACAACTTACGCATCCCCAATTGTTTTAATCTTTTCCAAATGATAAATCTCTGTCAAATCATCAAATGCATTCACAATAGCTCCTAGCATTTTGATGAGCTCACTTGGGTTCATTCCACTACTCAATTGAGTGAAACCAACCCTTTAACATTTGTTATTAAAAAGAAATTCAACTACAAACTTACATATCCGAAAAGAAACAAGTAATATCTTGGAATTTTTCTGCAATTTCAGTTTCGCCTGATTTCAATTTGATGGCAACTGCTTCTGGAAGGATATTCCTAAGTAATATATCTGAATTCTTCTTTTCTTCATTGAGAAGATTATTCTGTTTCTTCTCCATAGTTATATCTTTGAAAAATCCAACAATAATTGTCTTTTTATCCTCATTCCTGGTAACAAACAGATTGAGGGAAGCTGGGAATCTTGTTTGATTTTTTCTTACACAATCTACTTCATATAGCTCACCTCCTTGTGATTCCAAATACTTGTTTCTGTTATCTATGAATTGTTTCAACGCAGTTTCATGAGATGAGTCAAACAAATGTTGCATAGGTAATCCCATAACTTCAGACGGGTTCTTGGAGAACATCTTTTGAGCTGCATTGTTGAATAATAGGATTTCTGATTTTTCATTTGCTATGAAAGCTCCATCAATCATTGATTGTAGAATATTACTAACTGCATCTGAACCTTTAACTGCAGAATTTGATTTCTTGAAATTCCACATGGGAATAGTTTTGTAAAATACAAAGTTTTTAAACTCTTCATTAGATTCTATCCACTCTGATGGGACATATGCAAGGAAGGATCTAAGGATAGTCATCTCATTGTCAAACTCTGTTATGCATCTATAGAAGTACCATCCCAGTACTAGCATAGAAATTATAGTTATGCATAATACAATTATTGAGAGAGTTCTATTTGGGCTTTCAGTATATTTTACTATCAAATCTAAAAAGTGATTGATTCTAGTTGTAACAAAGTCATTCAAGTTGTAAAGATACAAAACATCATAAAATCTTTCAATGGTTTTCTTAGCATTTAGAGGATTGAATAAGTTCTCTGTGGCTTCTGCAGCTTTAACACAGAAAAACGTGATTAAATCAATGAGGCTTGTACAATTATTCATGTGCTCAGTAGTATTACAATTTGAACCAATTAACATTTCATCTATTTCATCAAAAATTCCTATTAGCTTGTCAGTATTATTTGATCCATATACTATTTGATTGTAACTTGAATGTAATATTTGCACGTGATCTCTATTTTCTAATCTGTATTGATCAGCAAGTGCACTAGTGACAACAGCTGGATGATTAACAGCTTTTCCAAGAGGTAGTACCTTATATGAAAATATTTCATTCAATCTTTGAGTCATTCTATTAGAAACTCTCACCATGTAACTGGCTAAATCAATGTTGAACATTGCTTGCTCTGCTTTGTCAGTATTATCTGAAAATTCATAATAAAACAAAACGATGGAAACTATTATCAAGACGCATATGATTAATCCAACAATTAAGGTCTTATTCTTTTCATTAGGCATTAACTGTTTGTCAAATTTTTTCATCTCATCATGTTTGGATTGCTTTTCCAAATCCTGATAAATGAAACCAGGAATGTCTTTTGGCAATTTTTTGAACATGGAGAGTACAATAGAAAATATCTCCATTTCAATTCTTGATATTATTAAGAATGTCAAAAAAATTCCCAGTACAGAAATACCAATGCCAATAACAATATTGAGTAAGAGATTTCTAGTTTCATCGATAAAGGTCTTTTGGCTAACTTGCATCGATTTACAAAATGCTAAGAAAGCATCAGCACCTGTTCTTCTATTTTGATAAATATACATAAACTCATAACTACAATATTAATATTATAAATTTGAATTCTTCTTACCTCGTTACAACTTCATAAAATTTCATCTTTCCATTCATAACTGAATTTTCAATGTGTTCCAAAATGACGGAGTTTACTTCTCTTGTAGAAGCATATCTTTTAAAAATGTTAGTAAACTCTTTCCTTATTCCTGTATCGTTAGGGAGTGGAATATTGATAAGCTTATCTTCTATTGTAAAATCAGTAAACATTCCAGGTGTAAATACGCCTGAATTGGAGTTCTCCTCCAACTTTCTTAACGCTTCTCTCTTTAGTTCAATCTTTTCCATAAAGGTGCTGTTGAACAATTGTATATTATCGTATTCTGTTGTATTAACCAATGGAAATGGACTTTTTAAATCATCATAAAACTCCCAAACTATCTGAGCCATTCTCAAATTTCTAAATAAACCACCATAAGTACTCTGGATATAACATGAATCCTTAATAAGAGGAGATTTTGACAATAATGTTTGATAATAATTAGTTAATGCAAAACAAACAACCACCGTAGCAATACATAAGGAGAACATGAAAGCATAAGCAATTGTTCTTATTTTGGATTGGTAAGGAGAGCTGAGAGCATTTCGCAAAGCTTCTTCCTTTTTGTTCTCTGAGAGATTTTCTATTCCTTCAAAATCTTGTTTGCTTGTGAGAATTTCATCATCATCTTCTCTGAAGGCCTTTCTATCAACAGGGTAGATTCTCAAACTTGACCTTAAATTTCGTTTCAAGTTAGGTTGTTTGTAATGCTTTGATTCCTCTTCTTCTAGAACTGTCGCTTCTTCAAACAGTTGACTTGATAAGTTCTTGTCCAACTTGATGGATTCCACATATTTAGCATAGTGCCGTATAACAGTTTTATCATGTGGGAAATTCTTCATCAAGATTCCGAAATTTTCATCACAATACCTAGTTAATTTTGCTGAAAGAGAGTTTAAATTGGCTAGCTTTGATGTATTTGGCCTTTCAATAGTAAGCTCTTTCCAGAATGCTTTATGAGCAATTTTGAGCTCCTCTTGTTTCTTTTCAAGAATAGAAATTGCATTCTTAATCTCTAATGTGTACCGACCTTGACATGACAAATTACTTTGATCTCTTTCAAATTGTTTCACTCTATAATGCATATTGAGAGTTTCCCAATAATTTCCTCCTAAACGAGATGCTTTCTTTAATAGATAAAGTGAAAAATTATACCTATTTGTATCATTCCATCTGTGTCCGATCATTATGGCTGAAGTTGTTATCAACTTGGGATCATTAAACTGTTTCTTTGTGGAAATTCCCTTAATAAATGAAACCACCAATTCAATATCTTGTGCGGAAGAGCAAAATCTCAAAAACAATTTCAGTTGTCTTAGAGAATTTTCTAATGAAAGATAGATTTCGGCCGATTCTTTCTCTGTAGAATAAGAATCTTGTCGAGAATAGGAATTCCTACTAGCCATATGGCCAACAACAGCAGATGGAGATTTCATTATTGACCGTATTCTTCTCATGATTGATCTAGTGTAAATTTCTCCAATCAATACACCAATAATGGAGAAGATAAGTGACAATCCAAGAACTATTCCGAAAAACATTGCAATTCCCATCATGTCTTCCATTTTAGAATTCACCAATGATGATACCAACACTCCAATGCTAGCACCAACTGAGCAAAGTGTACTTGCAAAATGGATAGTATTCTCAAATCTTCTGAAATAGGATAATGTATAAATTTGCACAACAGCCACAACCAATGAGAGAATCATGTGTACTATTGATCTGATGTATAAGTATTGTGGTGGTATTACAAACATGAATAGAATTCTGAATAAAGTAACAGAGAATGTCACCATCGTAGAGAGTGAATCTTCACATTGAAATGGAAGAGAGGTTTTGAGATCATTGATTGGCAAGATGAATGTATAAATTGCTGAAAAGCAACACAGCACAATCATGCCAACCAGACTAATTACTATCAGGACAATATTATTCGCTCCATAACACGTCTTGGAAGGAAATCTCATCAAGGTATAATCATTCAAATTACAATCAATAAAACTAGACATTACAAACATCATGAAAGGAGCCATCAATAACATTACAAATGAATAAATAATCATGTAAAAATCAAGCTTTTCCTTCTTCTCGGCAAAGAATGATCGGGTCTTGAGTACCATTAGGAAGGGCAATACCATCATCAAGACAATAAATAGAGCTATTAAGGCAATAAATAATTCATAGGGAGATCCTAGAGCATCAATAGACAATGTGAGCGGGAAATTTAAAACCCTAGCAACCCAACCTCCATAGAACCCAAATGGTGCTACAATCCGTGATGATAAGGTAGAAGCTGTATAATCATTAGAGTAGTAGGTTGATGAAAAATTAATAATCCATCCAATGAACATGTAATGTAAATGTAACCAACCAAACAAGACATAATAGCTCCAACCCTTCATATGTGTATCCGATACCTTTAAATTCACTAAATATTGCATCAAACTAGCATTGAAAATTCTCCTCAAATTAGATATCAATCCAGATTGTGAATCACTTGATGATAAGGAAGATGTGGATGAGCTAAATGATAACTGAGAGGCTGTATTTGAATCCAAGTTATTGTAGTTATTCAGGGTACCACCTATTGTTGTGGAACCATCATGCGTAACAGAGAACGACTCGTTCATTTTCTACGTTTTTTTTAAGCTCCTCCAATTTAATAAGGCTGGTGGTTCGTGTTTGGTGGTGAGAATCTATGATGCACTGTTTTTGGTTGTACAACATGACCGTATTGCCAAGAGCGAAAAGGCCTTTTAAAGATTGCTTTTGTATCACACTGGTGGTAATAATATTCATTTGCAACAATGTAAATGTGAATAATTTACCAAGAAATTGTTTTCAAGAGAACACGTTCCGAAGAATAGGATTAATATTCATGATGCTTGTTTAATTAATTTTTTGATAATAATTTATTATTACTTTACTATTTAATTACTTGACGAGTTTGAAAGGTGAGAACAATAAAAAATATTTTCAAACTCTTCATCAAAATCGTCTTCTTGTCAGTTGTGATTCACAGCAATACTTTATAGTTTTGAAAAACATTGAATACACAGCTTTCATATGGAAGCATCATGGTTGGATTTTAGAAGATTTTATCACCAATTACGGATTTTGGAAAGCAATTATTATATTTATAAAAACTTTTTGTGGATTCATGGCGTGAAACCTTCATTGAAAAGAGTAAACATCAAGAATACAACAATGAAGTGGGTATGTTCATGTTAATTCAAGAGGATGTTCAGCAATAGTTATTAATTTTATTTTCATTGTAATCAACAGCATGTAGAACAAAAACAACATCAATTCCTTGTTCTACACCATCAATTACATCACCCCAGAAAGTTCCAAAACTTTCCTTCAAGCAATAGTGAAGAGAGGGAGAAGATGAAAGTAAAATTAATAAACATCATATATTTGGTTTATTTTCGTCATATTATCCAAATTCTTTAAAAAATATTTAAACTTTATCACAAATACTATCATCATTCAATATGATTAATAAAACATATAATGGAATAACAACAACATGACCATTAAAACAGTATTAATAATTATTATAATTTATACTTCCACACCATATTGATGGAACTGTGAGGCTTTGGAATTTTACCAGCGAACGGCCTAATAACTTGTCCATTCTCATCCTTCATCTCAAATTCATCATAGATAATTTTACTCTTGGTTGCAAATCCCAACTTGTAAAAGACTCTCCTCGAATATTCACCCGAACACTCAACAAAGGCTTGCTCATAGCCTTGTGATTTACATTGCTCGAGATGGGCTTCTGCCAAGTGGACCATCAATCCCTTGGATGCATAGAAACCATAGGTTCCTGCAATACAGACATGAGCAATCTTTCCTACGTGTTCTGGTGTGATGAGTGTTTGAAGGTTGTGGGATAGAGAACCAGTTTCTTGTGGAGGATTGGAAAAGTACTTGTCTAGTAATTGTCCAAGTAATGCATCAATTACTCTATACTTGTTAACATCATAATTTGGACCGCTTAGCATACCCTTCACGAAATCTTCACTGTATACTGTGGCTACTACCATACCACTGTCTCTGTCTACAGCCACTGTTCCCAATCCTTGTTCACATGCAGTGCTTACCAAACTCTTTGCAAATGGATAGAAATCCATTGGTGAATAACCGAGAGCATTATTGACTGGTTCGCTCTGTGAGAAGGTTAAACTTGTGAGAATGGTTGCTTGTTCTGCATAGTCTGGAGTTAATGGCTTGATAACACATCGACTAATATTTGCCTTTTGGAATGAAGCATTGAGGGATAATGAACATTTAGAGAAGACTCCCTTGTATGAGGTTTTATGCAAGAATCTATTTGACACAAGAAGGTGTTTGAACATTTTTCTTGGGATTGAATTCATTCTCTCTGCCCTCATGTAAAATTATCAAATAGATGTTATTATTATGGTGACGGAGTCTATAGATTTTTTAAGGATAAGACAAAAGAATGGAAATTTTCTCACCTGAATTCATTTGAAATTGTCCATGACCTTATTTACAATACCGAAAAGCGAGAAACATGCGCGGGAATCGGGGAAAGGACTCCTATTGAGAAATATGAGTGCAACGTTAATAGACTATGAATCCCTGCATTTTCTTACCCCATTGGGGTAGTGTTAATTTCAAGGATTGGCGATAGTCACTTGTCAGTGAAGGGATGATGGTACTCAGAGAATAAGGAAATTCCTTAAGGGGAGCATCTTAGAACCTACTGTACTGCAATTTGATTTTGTGTCCAGCCAATGGTCATTCCTCTCCAATACGGTAGCCCAATTTCAACAATATGTACCATGTTTGGGATATTTATTTGGTAATTATTGAATCTCCTTATTTACCATGTTTTGTATCAAGGAAATTAATCTGTTAACATGTTCATATCCAGCAGCAGGCGTGTTTGTGAATGGATTCATAAAGACCATACGCAACACTTTCAAACAATTTCCTTCTGGATGAGAGTCACCCTCAAATTCACCATTCCACATTTTCACAGCTTGTTCAACCATTGAAGAGCTTTTGAATGAAGTCGTGGAGGCATAATATTCAGCATCAAAGTTTTCTGGAGAAAAGTATTGGAACAATTTGGTAATTCTCATGTTGGTTTGTGAGAGCAGTTCACCCTTCTTGGCAATTACAAAGCATACAATGTTGCAGTCACCATTTAAAATGTAAATGTGTGGAATCTTTAAGAGCTTTTCTACAAAATATTGCTTGGTCTTGATGGAATGCAGGATGATTGAACCAAGCCCCTTGAAATTGAAACCAATAACTTTTGAGGATAACCAAGTACCTAATACTCCTCCTACAGCTCTTGATCCCTCAAGAGAGACAGTTCCTCTCTCCCTACCTTGGAATGAAATGTATGGAGCATCACATTTTCTATAGAAATATTCTCGTTCTTCTCTTTGGATGTAAGCACCACATGCGTATGGGGCATAACCGAGTTTATGTGGATCAATAGTAATACTGTTTGCATGTCTCACAGCCAAAAGCCTCTTGATTAAATCTCTACCTAGAATGCACTCTGCATAATTCATGTAGGATTCAAAATCTAATGCGGCTTCATCATCTTGACATGCTCTCAGAGTTGACAACATAAATCCACCATAAGCTCCATCACAATGCAAGTACAAATCAATAGCTTCCTTTCTCCTCAATTCTTGGATCAGGTCGGTAATTTCATCCAATTTATCAAAATTACCACATTCTGTAGATCCAAATACTGAAACAATCATAAAGATTGGTCGGTCAACTTGTCTTGCCTTGTATACTAATTCTTTCAAATGTTCTGTTTTCATTCTTCCATCCTCATCAATATCCACATACCAAAATTGATTGAAATCAACTCCAAAGACATGAGACTTTGGCCACGAGTAGTGCTTATTATTTGGAACGATCATTATTGGAGATTGGAAGAATTCCTTCTTTTCAAATAGTTGTGTAATGTTAAAAGCTGCTTGAATCAAATCAAATTCCAACATGTATGGCTGTAATAATTCATATTTGGAATGGCCATTCTCTGAAACGAATTCATCAAACAATTCACTAATCTTATCATGGAGCTCCCATCCCATATGGCCAATATTGAATAGAGTGGAGCAGAATTTCTTCTCCTTTTCCGAGAGTGGAAGATTGTACTTTTTAGCCATGCATCCCATTGCAATCCAATCATAACATCTGGCTCTAGCTCTAACTACTGATTCAAAATTGGCCAAAGTTCCATCAGCTGTAAAGTGTCCATAGGAAGAACCTTTTCTGAAACCCAACATTTCAGAAATATCCATAATACCTTCCTCCTCAAAATGTTTAGCAACACGTGAGAGTTGATGAGTACAAACATTAGGATTCTGCATTAATGAAATTATATTTCCATAAATTGAAGGCAAGGTATTATCATTCAACATGTGGGAGAGGAAATTAGTGGAGAAGGAAGGAATTTCATCCTTCATCTTTTCAATCACAAATCTAACCTTACTCTCCATCTTGTTATTCAATTCATCAATCTCCCTCTGCACTTGTTTACTCACTGAGGAAGGTTGACTCGTTTTTTCACATGGTTTATCAAACTTTCTAGCTTGTTGTCTTCTCCACTGAAAGCTCTCCTGTACAATCTCCTTAATCATTTCCATTGCCTTATCACAATGTTGTGCCTGTGGTCCAATAAACACTTGTTGGAGTATTTGAATTTGCTTATCCGAGTCCCAACACTTGACATCACTCTCATCATTCTCAGCATCGGCAAAACCAAATGTCTTGGATGTATATCTTTCCTCAGCACTTGATGAACTTAGCGGTGAATGTTTACATAAGGCAGAGACTATCATGACAGTTATTGGTGTTATTGTATTTGTTTTCAAATTATCTCAACTCACGATTCAACAGCATGTTGATTCTCAAGTTATTGTTGTTGTTGTTGTGGATGTGCCTCTTTGGTATCAAGTCGCGTTGTGTTTGAGGTGACCACATCAAAGAAATCTGCAGAATTTTTTGGTACAATTAAGGTGATTATAAATAAATAAGGTCAATGACAACGTTGGGTTTTAAAACAAAATGGAATAGTCAATTTGGTAATATTAAGAAAATCCAAAAGAGGATGCCATGATGGTAGACGTTGAACTACCTTAATATACGGTAGGTGGACATTGAACGGAGAATGTAAACTTTAAAATTGTTTTAATATTCAACCAATTCCAATCTCGTATCACAAAAAACATGTGTATCAATTAGAGCGTCGATTCGCTTATTGAAATTTCTAGATGATTAAGGAAAATATGGAAGAAGATATGGCGAATTAACTTCATTACTAAATTAGTAACAATTAATATTAATTTAATATGAAATCAATGAGAAGGAGTATTGATTCACATTGTTCTTTCTCCTCTCCTTATCACCTAATTGTTCACAATAATGTATAGTCAATCAAACAATTAAAGATGTTACATGGAATACCTCACATCTGAACAACCTCTATTCATTAAGTTTATTTTTGTACAGAGTGATGCAAGAGTAGGTACATCTAATTATTGAAAAATATTTATTTTATTTTATTTTTTAACATTAATTTTTTTAATAAATTATTTAATTTCCAAAATAGGACAAACAATGGCTTAACAATTCGAAAATAACTCAATTTACAGTATTACACACTGAACACCCTGGCTCAACCCTTTCCAATAAAAAAATCATCAATTGTAATCCAATCTTTCGAATCATTTCTAATACTCAAAATCTTTCGGCAATTCGAAACAACACAAGAATCGATATAATTTCCATAATTAAATACTTTTTCCAGCACGTTTACAATTATATTTAAAGTGTTGACTTTCACTTTCGAGACTAAACTTTCCCAACAAGGTTTTGATAGGAAACTCTTCAACACATGAAGAAAGCTTGCGACTCGTAAGGCAGGACGAAACTGGTTTTGGTTGTGGAAAGCAGACGAAATTCATGGAATAATAGTCAATATTTCGTGCACCATTTTACAATCATTATTTAAATATCCAATAGAAATTGAGAAAAACTGTAGACTAAAGGTTTCGTACAATAAAACAAAAATTGTATTCATCTATACCAGTCTTTACCTTGCCAAATGAAATCATTAATTACGCAAATGGTAATAGACACTAATTGACATGGTGATATTAGGAAAGTCTTGACACTAATTGGACGTAACTGTTCGAAAGTAGTTTATCCTAAACTCGCCTCATTCGAACAGGTATGGTGTTAGGTAGACACATTAGTATAGAGTAAATACATTTCAACAAACGGGTTCCATACAATTCGTTGAAACTACTTGATCTTCATTCATCTTCCGGAAGCATCTTTGAAAAAAAATACAACAAACGAAACAAAACTAAACAAAACTAAACAATGAATATCGAGCTCAATGACACATCTCCTGCAACAGTCGACAAGACAAACTCTTCCAACAACTTTCTAGATGCACACAATGATGTACTCTCTGGAAGTTCTCTCGATATCCACCACCATCCAAATTCTCCAACTTTTGCTGACCACCAACCAACTTCTCCTTCCTCACCTCCATCTGGCGTTAAATACAGAGAAGATTTCACCATCGATATAGAAGCTGCCAAGCAATCTGCCTCCAAGTCTACAACCTCCAGATCAAAGACAGTTTCGTCTTTGAAGAGTAGGGATTCAGATATAATTTTTACTATTCATACATGTGTGGGAAAGATTCAATTATCCAAATTGAGATTATTTAGTTTGGTTTCCTTGTTCATTAACTTGGCTTCCTTTGTCATATTAGCTGGTCTTATCATTGCTGCTTTCGTCCTGCAAGATCAATATAACAATTTTTGGGAAGGTTTGGACACAGACACAACCTATTATAGACAACGAATGATTTCTGCTTCGAGAATGTCAGTTTTTTCAAATGGTGATAAGGCAACCACAAAGCTATACTATGATGAGTATGTGGTCTACATGTGGAAGTTTAGTAATAACACTGGGTTGTTCAAGACAGTTGTTCCTGAATCTGTTAGAAATGCTGCCTTAAAAGGAAAGACTAATCCTGAATTGGATACAACCAAAGCTGTTTATCAAGAACAAGGAGCCATGTTTTTGGCTATGGCTGGTAATTATACTACGGCCATGTATTTGTTAAATTCTGCAACTTACAAGACTTATTTAGCTGGTTATGATTCAGAGTTTCAAATTATGGTTGACTATGTTCAATCTGCAAAGAAACAAGCTCAGAATGTTTCTGTGGTCATGGTTACAGTTTCGTTGGCTGTTATTTTATTCTCTCTCGTATTGGTAGTTCCTGTCATTATTTCTTCATTTGTAGTTTCGATTAAGAAGGACGAATCTGTTAATAGAAAACTAAACCAAGCTAGAACCTTCTTATTGATTGATACCATGCAACATGCCAAGATGAGACAATTATTTAGAAAGCATTGTGAAACAGAGTTGAGTTTGGAAAATTTCCAACTTTTAGAAAAGATTACCGATTACAAAATGTATTGTGAAAGAAGTTTCGAAATTCAAGAATATTTATACGAAAGCAGTGAAAGAAGTGATACCATTTCAGATATTTCTGCTGAAAATAAGAAGAAGGGTTATGCCAAGAAGAAGTTCAATGAAAAGGATTTGCTCGAATGTGAAAAGAAGAAATACGAAATTGCATTCGAAATTTACTCTGAATTCTTGGATGTCAGAGGTGAGAAATCTGTCAATTTAAACAAGCAGATTACTGAAAAGGTCAAGCAACACTTGGATTTATTCGCCACTGGTCAGAATGAACATTTAATCGATTCACTTTTCGAACAAGTCGAAGCCGAAACTTGCATTGTCATGTTGGATTCTCATCACAGATTCAAGCAAACCATCGAATTCCAAAAACAAGCCAAGAAGGATATTATTACCTCAAAGAAGAAACATTAAAATTTTGTACCTATTGTATTTTTAGTAGAATTTTGAAATCTTTTAAATGTTAAATTCTAATACTGATTTGACTCCAAAATGATCAGAAAGTGGAATAATTGAATTATTAATTCTACAAGTCCAATTTTCCAATTTGAATTTAACAGAGGAGGACAACCTTTGCTTGGTTGACTGTGAAACCAAGATGTGATCCAAACATTGAGAGCCATCACAGAAAGTTGCTGGAAAATTTGAAGGATTTGAACCAAAAACATCTTGAAATTCGAATTGATCTGAGATTCCATTCAATTTTTCCATTAAATAAGAATATGAATCAGGTTCAGAGAAGGAATCAATGTTGAAATCTCCACAAATGATAATTAGTTCAGTTTCGTCTTTAGTGTTTTGTTCGCATCTTCTTGAGCTTTGAGAATTTACCATTTTAGAAACCAAAGAGGTCAATTCGTCCACTTGCAACTTTCTCTTCTCACTATCAAATGCCTCCATGTGTAATGTAAATAAATGAAGAGGAATTGAGCTTTCTTCAATTGGAATCCTAATCTTACTATACAAAACTCCCTTTGCAGTCATATATGATCTCCATGTTGAATTCTTAAAAACATAATTGACTGTTTTTTCCACTTTAAATCGACTCACAATAGCCAATCCAGAATCCAAACATCCAGAATATGGCGTATCCGATTCAATCATGTTATATTTGTGTGGATTTATAATTTCCTTCAATCCATCCACAAGAGTTTCATAGGCAGAATTATCAAATAATGTGATGGGCCAAATATTTCCAAATCGGTGCAATTCCTGAAGACAAATTAAATCCAATTCAGGGATATTATCTTTAAATTTTGTTAAAAATCCTTTGGCTCGTTCGAGTTTATAGGGTGGATCGGAATTTTTAGCAAGAGAATGAATGAGCCATGTATTGTATGTCAATAAGGAGAGTTTGATTGTTGGCATTTTTTTTGTTTTGAGATAGGTGTGAACATACTGACAGAGATATCAATAGGTCACAGTCATGACGTCATTTTCATCTTTACAAAACCATTCAGTATTCAAAAGTGATTGAGTTATTCTTTAATTATTAGAATATGCAGAGGTCAATACCTTGAAAGCAGGTTTCATAAGTGGAGTAAAGAAACATGAATAGAGTGGACCACCTTCATGATAATCAGGTGTAGATGGATTGTCCCATGAGAATAGATATAGTCCATCAAGGATATCAGAAAATGAGGGAAGAACAGAAAAGATGGTTTCATAGGCAGCTTGTTGACATGTAACATTTGGAGAGAAGATTGGTCCAATGCAACCTTGAGATCTTGTTGGAAAGACTGTTGGTTGAGTTGCACATGCCTGAGTGGAGGGATACCCTATTTCTGTAAATATGATTGGTTTCTGAATGGTCTTTACCCAATTTCTCAAATAATTCATTTGTGAAATGTAGATTCGTTTCATTTCTTCCAAAGGTGGATGAGGATTATCAGTGGTAGCCATGGAATAATATGCCTCAATTCCAATAAAATCCAACAAGTTCCAAAACGGCACCTTTTCAAATTCATGATAATAAATTGAAGCATAGGTCAATTTTCCAGATGGATAAACCTTTCTGACACTTGCTATTAAATTATTCCACAATGGCAAGTTTTGAATTGGAACTGCAACATATGGTATTTCCAAAGCAACAGACAATGATTCCACTCTATTTCTTTCACACAACATGGCCAATGGAACAATCAATTTCGAATAGCTTTCAAACCAAAGTGTAGCATTACTTGGTCGAATATACATTGAAACATTCCCAGGCACTTCAATAATTGGCTTGATCAACAAGTTCATATTAAACAATTTGGTTTGTCTAATAAACATCTCTAACCATTCATCACTCGGACTCTCATAATTCCTTCTCACTTCATTCGATTGAAAATCATCTTGTTCCCACAACACCTCGAGAGAAATGGCATTCACTCCCACACTAGCCATCTGTGCCAAATTCTCTTGAACCACTTGTAAGGGAACACGTGAAGGATCATAGACTGGAAAATTAACTCCCTTCACTTTTAATTTTATCCGATCATCAATGGATTTAGCCTTTATCATGGATAGATTAATCATCATAAGCATCAGCACCATGGCTACGAGAAGAGGGAAGTCACTGGATTGAAATTGCGCCATTTTTTTTATTGATTTGTTTACTAATGAAATGGTGCCAAGTTTGTTTTGGAATGTTAATGGAAGGAGATCACAGTAGAATAGTTGAAAGAGTGAATAATCATGAGAAACTCAGTTGCCTTGGAGGAATGTATTTGAATTTATTTATAAATATTCGAAACGATGAATTTTCCAAATGTCCATTTACAATTGTTTAGAGTTGAATGAATTACAGTTAATATGATGAAAATGGGTTAATTTGTAATTGTTCCATAATTTGATGACCAATGGGAAATTAATAAATCGTATCGTTCAATGAAAGCACCTCAACATCTTAAAGATGAATAAAGACAATTTCTAAAAATGGAAAATTGATATTCAAAATTAATTTTCCAATTAATAATGCAACAGCAATGCACAACAAAAGAAAAAAGCATAAACACTCGCCAATTTTCTTAAATAAAAAATCCATACAACACTCCACAATGAATTTGATCAAAGCATTCCAACCCACAAGCAATAGAAACTCATTCTTGAGTTTGTTGTTCGTTCAAAGTAGAACTTACTCAACCACACACCACAAACATCCAACAGGTCACCATCACAGTCACATTCATACTGAGAGTAGCACAAAGAAGGAGCAATCAAGTAAACCAACTGCCTCCTCTAAGAAAGCTGGTACTAATATAACTGATACTCCTGTGAGTATTTTCGAGCAACCAGAAGTTGATATCAATGAGAGAAGTACTGAACCTCTTCCATGGGACAGAGAAAGAGAAGGTAAAATACTCGAGAAGAAACTCTCTGATATTGATGAAATCAAATGGAGAGAAGCAGAGGATAGACAAATTGGATCCATTATCTATAGAAGAGCAGAGGAGGTCTGTATTGAAAATCATGATCATGCTCTGCCACAACCACCAGTTGATGTTTCTCAACAATATGTCAATGACGATAAGCCACTTGATAAGTAAATTTTCCAATCATTGAATCAACCACTAAAAATTGATTCATGCATTGTGAGAGTTTCAACCTGTATATTACTGTAGATAAATAATTGTAAATAAAATCACTTCACAAATATAGATTCATTATTGTTATATACATGCTCTCCATATGTGGAGGAGAATTGAATCACCTTCCAAATTGTCGTCGCTACAATATTCGAAACAGAAAAAATTATGGAAACATTACTACCTTCTCTTTTCAGAGTCTCTTCCAATATAATACCTCGGAGGAGAATAGTCCTCCAAATCCATATTAATATTATTTACCAATGTTTGATTAATAATGTCCTGTTCTGTTACAATTTGGTCACCATCAACAAATGATTTGGTTGCACTACTGCCAAACACTCTGTGTAAATTTCTCTTAGATGATGAATGTATCAATTGCTTCTTATTGGTTGGTGAGGGAGTTGGTGATAAACCAAAGAATTTCTTATCAGTAATCATTTGAGAGGAAGTTGTTGAATCTATTGATGATGTTTGAAGTGAATCTGAATTGAAAGAAGGAGGTATATAATTACCAATTTCAATATTTAGGTTAGATGAATCATTAATAAATGGATTCTCTGCAAAGTTTGCCAAGTCGTCATCTCTTTCCAATAATTGTTGGTGATTTAAAGCTTTGGTTTCCAAATTCATTACTCTCCTAATTTGTTCATTCGTAAAAATAGTATTATTAGAATCTACAAAAAATCTCATGTCCCAATCCTCAAAGAAGCTTAAATCCCTTCTCCATCGATTACAACCCATCCAACTACGGATTGTGTACCAGACAACTCTGTGCATGACTGCATAGAAATAGGTTGTTGAGAGAAAGAGTGGAACATAGGAAATGATAATTCTTATTGGAATGAGTAAATTCAAACGAACAGAGAAGCAAATGGCAATGAATAAAGTTGTGAAAATGATCAACACCAGCATGATGACTTCAATTTTTGATTCCTTGTATGCTTTTCTTACATTGTGAGTGAGAATTGACATGATTAACATGGCTGCCACATAGACAACCACCAGAGTCACAAATATGATAAATCCTCCAACTTCATATTGACAAGATTCGTGACTATTATCCTCAATCTTGTAATTGTTAAAATCCAAAGCTGTTGCAATGATACATGCTATTAGGCAGGGTATCAAACATAACAGAAACCAAACCATAGTTGGTATTTTCCTCTTGATGTTGAATTTTACCTGTACATGTGTAAAAATTTAAATTAAATAATATATTTAAAATGTAAAAATATAAATTAAATAATATTTAAAATTCAAATATAATTTTAAATTCAAATATAATCAAAATTTAAAATAACAAATTAAATCAAAACATACCATTACATTAAATAATATAAATACAGTTATTAATCTGACAATTACACATGACATCCATCCCAGTAATGAAAATAATACAATCCAAATATTGATCAGTGCACATAAATCAGGATGATTAGTAATCATATTATTGGTATAGGCATAGGACACGAATGAAATCGATCCAAGAATGACACTGACAGTCATCAGTTTAGGCTGTTTAGTTTTAACCACTCTAAACCTCTGATTTAGTAATACAGCAAATCCAAAGAATATATTTACAATACAAATTACAAGTCCAATCGAAAAGAAGGTAATATCACCAACTGACATGGGCATGGTTGTTAAATTAAATACATTTACAGGAAATCCTATTGATGAAGAATCATTCCCTTCCCGATACGAATAATTTACATCATAAATTCCTCCTATATTATTATTATTATTATTATTAAATTCCCAATAATAATTATTATGATGATGATGATTAATTGATGATGGCAATAAGGATGATGAAATCAAACTCTTCATCCACGACCCAAAAATCATGGAAAATATATTACTAAAATTCATAGAATGATCCATCGAATAATATTCTTGTTGTTGCTGTTGTTGTTGGTGGTGATCAATAATTGAGAATAACACTCCCTGCTGCTGATCATCCCGATCATTGAGATGATGAAAATTAAAATCGTCGTCCTCAAGCATTTTTAAATTTTGCTTTTTCCGGTTAATTAGAAGGAAATGAGAAAGATCTTAAGTGGTCGTGACCTCTCTCATCAATTTATATTGAGTAATTTGAATAATTGGCTGGGAATTGGCTGATGAAAAATTGTTTTACTTTCAGTATGAAGAAGACAAGAGTGGAGAGATTGTGAAGGTTTGTAATCAATATCAAGAAGAAGGAATTGTGGAAGAAAGGATATCAGAATAGTCGTTGATGGGTAACTGAAATCAGTGTAAAGCGTTCATTCTTAAATTTCACTTTTAGCCTAGTGCGTTTTTCATGATGTTGAAAGTGAAAAACTAACAACAATTAAAGACTTTTGACTTTTGAATAGTTTACAAGAGGTCAATTACTGATCTACTGTAAATTGTTATACAAAATCAATCTACAGTAACAACAATCTCTCTTAGTTGAGCCTCCACACAAAACATAAATCTATAAATGAATATGATGCAAGAATACATCAACAAACATCATCCTTTTACAGAAGTATACAAATGGAAGTTAATATTAAGGGTGCGAAACATGAACTTTTAGAATCGTATTGGAGGTATGCAATGTAGTGCATTGAGACATGAAAATATAAATGGAAATTTTCTTCGTGCATGATTTTTGGGTAATAACTACTTTCCTTAAAGATTAGCGACAAGCTACTAATACGAAACCAAATATTCGAACAGCTAAAATTGTAATATGTACAAAAGGTGGAGATGTATCATGCAAGTTTAAATACTTAATATCCAAAAGAATTGAAAGTTGTTCACTTCCTCAAATTGTAAACCACCTAACCCTTCTGGTATTCATCTATTCGAAAGCAGACTAAACTGTATTTCAAAATTAAAGTGAAACACATTGAGAACCTTAGTTGAAAGGAGATACAATGACTCAATGAACATTATAAAATAATCAAACGAATTCATTTCCTTTCCAATAAAAATACCAATTTGTCCAATTTTAATATCCTTAAAAAAATCTCTTAAATGTTTTAAAAAACCAATCCAGACAAGTAGTTTTCTCTTTGGGCCACGTCTCTCCTGAATCAGATACCACTTCCATTTCTAGTAATCATCTCTATTTTTAACATTTCCTTAACCATCTGATGCAGTAAACCTCCTTCGAAATACCAATCACTCACCATCAACAAACAGACAACGAGAAAAACAACCGCCATTTTCGCACGTTGGTCACCACCTCTATGGTATTTCACTACTGCTGTAAAACACTGAAGACGCTGCATCCATTCTCCTTGAGGTACAATACGAAATTTTTCATGCTTGCGTTCTTTTTGCAAAGCAAGTGCGAAGCAATACACAAGACAGCAAACAACAAAATTGACTTTCCGTGTTTGATGTTGCCGAAGTGACTTCGCACACGAATCAAGGAAACACAATAAATAGTTCCACGAAGCCTTTTCATCATAATAACCCAAAAAAAAACATAAAAATCTCAAACTCTTCAACTAGCACTAGTAAAATGCTCATGAATTCAATTGTTCTCAATAATAACATGATGATGATGAGAATGAATACTCAATCGAATCAGGTTTATCAATTTCCTTCTCATTTTCAACAACAGGAAATGGAGCAGTCGAACAATTACTTTACCAGTTTGCTCTTATCAAATGAAAGCAAAACAAGCCTTGATGAAGTTCAAATCAATTCACCTCTTTTCTTAAAGTTGGATATTGATGACTTGTTGCTCACCTTGCAAGAAATGAATCTTGTCAACAACCATACTCAACAAGAGGAACAACATTTGCCAACAACTCCTTCTTCAAATCTTAACACTTCCACTGATATGTAATTTTACTCTCAAACTCCTTGATAACAATCCAAACAATTCATCATCAACAACCAATAGATTACATTAACAAGATCGTGATATCAAAGAAAAACCAAACTAACTGTTTGTCAATTAATTGATTCACACAACTGCTTTGATTGACAAACACACAACAAACAGGCAAAAACACTCTGGGTATTATGCTGTATGAACTCTTTAAAATATTTGAGGTGACTAGAACCATTCTAAAATATCTCAAAATCATGGTCCTTTTAAGTTAGTTTCCGTTTGTGAACATTAAATAATAAAAATGTAATAAAAAAGATCTAGTTGACTCTTATCAGATTATAATCCACAACACATGAAAATAATCTTAACGTCTGGGATTAAAGAAACCAATTTGTAAATCTACAGTTATCGGCTTGTTGATTTAAGGCCATTTCCAAAGTCAACTCAGTTCCTTCAGTGTGTGGCTGAGTAATATTCGAAACAAAACACTAATTTATTTCACAATGAAAAAACATCTTTTCATACAAAATTCTAATCAACACAAAACTGTCAAAAACAACTCACAAAATTTCACTTCCAATTTCAAATCTAAGCCCTCTGAACGTCCAAATTCTTCTTCTTATTCTGCTGTTGCTGCTGTTGTTGATCTCTAAAACATGGACACAATCTCCTCTTTCCATACATATCATTCTGACATCTGAAACGACTCTGTCTAGATCCTAGGATACAGTACTCACCATCCAATAATGGAGAACTGGAATCTAATACTGGATTTCTCTCATAGGTACAAACACAATTAGGTGCATATCGTTTCAATTCATCACATCGATTGATATACGAAAAGAATCTTGCATCACAAACTGAATCAAATCTTTCACAACAATTGGAACAACTTTCGCCTGCATCACATGGAACACTTCTCACTTTTTTCAATTCACTGAGTGGAATTGGATTTGAGGAAGGAAATGATGGTAATCTCAATGTATCATGATTAAATTCATATTCCTCATCATCTATATATGGAAGCATGAATGCTAAACTAGATTTTGGAATTCTCTTAGTGACAGTATTAGGACCCACGAGAGTATCATTACATGGGAAAAAGTAGGAATTTGGACAACCCTCCACTTGAAAGAGAACCAATAATTGAGATTGTGTTTGAGGTTCCATACAATTAGGGAAATCCAAATTATTTCTCTCAATATTTCTTTCATTTCCAACAGATGAAGTCACTCCAATATGTTTCATTAATTGATATCTATAAATATAGAATAATCTCTCTTTAAATCTCATTTTTCCATAATGATTCAATTGATGCCAATACTGTTCCAATAACCAATCAATTGGAGTATCAGTTTCTGCTTCTCTTTCTAAAAATCTCAATAAAAATCCCAAATCCTTTCTCTGAATTAAAACACCATTTAAACCGAATGAAAATCTGAATCCAACCCAATCCTTTCCATTCGATTCCAATTCATGAATCTTTTCAAATATTCTTCCAAAATGATAATGAGCTCCTTCACACATTATAAAATCATCTTCCATAATTGCAATTGGAGTATTATCCTTAATTCTCAATTGTTCATTGACAATTTTAATCATATCATAAAAATCATTCGATTGATGCTTCTTTTTCGGTGATAATTGTGAATTATCAAAGTTATAACTTTCCCATTCCTTCTTTTTATGATAAATTGTCACATGTGCATCAAGTGCCGAGCTCTGAACCATAAATTCAACTTCTTCTTTAAAAGCTTCTCCTTTACTATTGAAAATTATAATACAAGGATTGAATAATCGTTGTTTTAATTTTGCAATACTATTAATTGTTTGTCCTAAATAATGAAAACTATTTCCTTCCATTTGACGAGGAGCTGTCAGAATTAAAAAAGACATGGAACATTTGACATTATTTTTGGAGGATAGATAGAGTCTGAAGGTGAGTGCGGATAGGAAGAGAAAGAGTGCCTGCGAAAAGAAGAATATTAAAATTGTGGATGATTTCATCTGATGACAATTTTTTTTTGATTTTTTGAAAGGTGGCAGCTACAATTTCTGAAGAACATGATGAGACTTGAAAGGAAGATTTCATTGAATTTCGATTGATTGGAAGGCAAGAATGGTGCGGAATTGTTGAATGGATAATTCGGTTAGTTTAGTTTTGATTACTTTGCATCTTTAAACGATTAACTTTGTATTGAAAGGAAAGTATTCATAATAAAAAGAAGGAAGGTAATCTTTGATGATGGCAAATAAGAATGTTACATCCTTCCATATCCAATAAAAACAAGAACATGTCATCCAACATTGACTTTTTCACACTACAAGAAACTCTTCAATTTCTGAATGTTTTTCTTTACAACCAAACTACGGTTGTATCACCAACATGACAGTTGGCATCTCTTCTCCATTACAACCCATTGTGGAATATTCTCCTTTTTCAACTCGATTGCAAATCACAAAAAGTCGTTTGATGTGAAATTTATTTTTAAATCAAAAAAAATAACAAAAATCAACAAACTAAAAAAATTTGACGATTTTTTTCATCATCATTAATTTTTGTTAATCTTGAAGGAATTAAAAAATCAACAACCTTGAATTCAGAAAATAATAATATCGGAATACAAAGATTACATTCTATACAAGAAGAAGAATATCATCATCATCACGATCTAAATTATCAAATTAATATTTTAAATATTAAATACAATTAAATATCATCATAATAATATTTATACAAATAATAGAAAAATGGGGAGATTGGTAACACCAAAGAGAAAAATAGCAGCTACAGGAGTTCTATTCATCATTTCTATAATCGTTTCAATTGTTTGTTTGGGAGTTGGAGCATATTTTGCCAAATCATATTGGGATTTCATTCATGATGCTTTTCATAGTACAGAAAAACCACTCCTTACCGAATCTACACAATGTACTGTATTGAATGATAAGGAAAATTGTCGAATTGAAGAAGGAAAGACAGTTGATGGTGTTAAAATGGATGTTAAATATTGTCATCTTGCAGTTTCTTATTCATATAATGGTCAAGTGCATCATAATACTACTTTGGATGATTTTGCTAAATACTATAGAATTTCTAATCAATCTTCAGATTGGATTGAATTGAAAGCTGACCAATATGGATTTACTGTTTATTCCACTAATAGTACAGTTGCTTGTTATGCTAGTAAGGAATATCCTGATTGGTTTGTTGGAATTGCTGAGAGAACACTCTTTTATTATTACACTAATATTCAATCCTTCTTGACTTCTAGTTCAATAATTGCAGTTGTTACATTAATTCCTGCAGCTTTATGTATTATTTTTGTAATGATTCCAGCTTTTATTTGCTTGATTTATCAATGTAGAAGAATTAGGAAATTATTACCTGAAAACTTGGTTGGTGAACAACACTTTAAACATCAAGCAATGGGTGGTCATGAGGATGAAATCAGTGATGAAGAAGATGATCATCACACTAAGAGAAATAAGAATTACTTTTAATCTAAATGTGAAGGGAAATTCAAAAATAAAAATTAATTTATTAAAATTGTAAAAATTTTGATTTTATTTGGAAATTTTGATTTTCAAAATAATAAAACTTAAATAAATAATTGGGTTTTGTTGTGGGATGTGTTGTTGTTATTAATTAATTTGTGAAGGCGGTCGTATAGCAGAATTTAAATCCAAGAACGACGATTATTGTTATTGTTGGCACTATCTTCAAAGTAAAGGAAGTCAATCAAGAACAAAGCTCCCAAAAGAACAGCCTTTTGTTGAGGTGTAGCAGTAGCTGGAAGTTCAATACCAAAGTTGTCAGCATCTGTGAAAGCTTCCTTGAGGAAACCACTCCACTTTTTACGAATTTCACCAACTCTTTGACCATCCTTTTCAATGTGGAAAGTCCAACATTCACAACATGGTGAAATAATGTCAAACATTTTAACTCCTGAAGCATCAAAAACATTCATTTCTCTAGAGAATAAACTACATCTCAATTCAATCTTACCCAACAAGGTGTTTGTTGCAGTTTCAAAAACATTAACTTCATGGAAGAAGAAACAATATGGTCTATCCAATGTGATGAATTCTTGACCATTTTGTTTCAAAGCAATGTGCATCTTGAATGGTCTTCTTGGACCACAATATTGTCTAGCACAACAATCAGATTCTTCCAAAGCAACAGCTTGATATCCATTTTCAAAATGGACATCATATCTATTCTCAGTTTCAAATCCAGTCAATAATTCAAAAGCTTCAATTCTTTGCTTGACCTGAATCTTTCTATTAGGAGCAAAGATTTGTTCAATCAATGATCCAGTAGTAGTAGTGGTTGTTGTAACTTGTTGTTGCATAATTTGTGGTTGTTGTGGTGGCATATAGACTCCTTGTTGTGCTTGTGGTGGCATATATCCTTGTTGTGGTTGTTGTGGAGGAATGTAGCCTTGTTGTGGTTGTTGTTGAACATATCCTTGTTGAGGAGGATAACCTTGTTGTTGTGCATAACCTTCCTGTGTTGTTGGTGGTACATAGACTCCCTGTTGTTGAGGTGGATAGCCTTGCTGTTGTTGTTGAGGAGGCACGTAGGCTTCGTTATTTGGTGGTGGTTGGGCAGATGAGGTTTGATTTATGGATAGCGAACAATATCATGTTTTATTGGTTGTTCTTGTTCTTGTTGTGAATATTATCTTCTTCATCAAATATATTGTCATATTATATATAGGTCTCATAATATAAGCACAATGAATTCATCCAATATAAAATATCGGATATGATGTAACATTGCATCACAGTTAGAAAAAAAACCATCATGCCCATTATAATAATTCTGCATTTCACCTCGGCTTTGAGACAGCCCTTTGAATTTTTCGTCTCCAAGTTGATTCTAATTAGAAGGAGGAAATGTTGATTCGATTGGGCGATGAATGTTTTTCAAATAGAAGATTTTTAAACTGTAAAGTTCAGAGTTAATGGGAATGTGAGGTTCATTACAACATGCAAATTGTCTTTCCTTATTAAAAATTGTACAATGCAGGTGATCTATATTGTAAAGGTATTGTAACATGTGAAAAAATGAAACTCTTTTTATTTCAACAATTTAACAAGATAATAATTGGCTTCCTCATTTCCTCCTCTAGCCGATTTTCTAAACCACTTAATAGCTTCCTCATTATCCTTCTCCACTCCATCTCCATTCAAATACATGACTCCCAAATTAAGCTGAGCATCAGAATGTCCTTGATTGGCTGACATTTCAAAATACTCACGTGCCTTCTCAAATGATTGAGGAATTCCTTCACCACCACTTGCATAAATACATCCCAAATCACATTGAGCTCCAGAATTTCCTTTTTTGGCTGCTTTTGTGTAATATTTAACGGCCAGTTGGAATTCTCCAAATACTTGTTCGTAGAGAATTGCTAAATTGTATTGAGAGGCATTGTATCCTTGTTCAGCTGATAATTTGAACCATTTGAGAGCTTTCGAATATGATTGTGAAATGTCTCCCTCGCCATTCTTATAGAGTAATCCTAAATTATATTGAGCCATGGCAAATCCTTGCTTGGCAGCCTGTTTAAACCAACGCTTAGAATCCTGATATGATTGTTTCACACCATATTCACCTTCCAGACAAATATTTCCCAAAGTATTTTGAGCTAGGAAGTTTCCATTCTCTGCTGATTTCTTGATCCATTCAATTGCTAATTCGTCAGATTGTTCGACTTCTTCTCCATCCATAAATAATCGTCCAAGTTTGTATTGGGCAATGGCAAGATTGTGATTGGCAGCTTTTTCATACCATTCGAAAGCTTTCGTATTTGATTGTTCGATACCTTCTCCCTTTTCATACAGTACACCTACATTAAATTGTGCTTCTGGATAATCTTGATGAGCAGCTTTTTCCGTCCATTCGAATGCTTTCGAATAATTACCCTTGTCATGATAAAGATTCGCCAATTTAAATTGATATTCAGCATTTCCTTCAACTGCCAATTTTTCACATAATTCTTCTTCTTCCCTCTGTTTCTCCAATCGTTCTTCAACAATTTCTAACCAATTATTAAAAGCTTCAATTTCTTCACGTGTCGTTGACCAATGGATTTTATCTTGCATTTTTTTTGTGTGCAATTTTAGAGCGACACAACATGTCACAATTTAAATATCAAAAATAGAACGCAATTCAAATTGCTACTTCTACTTTACAATAATTATTGAGATTCGAATAGTTTATATTAACTTTATACAAAGGAGGAGTTGGCGAAAATGAGTCAAACTAATCCAGATAATTATTCCCGATGTTGTTGAGTCATGATAAATTGTTTAACTTCCTCAAAAACTTGTTTCGAATTATCATGATCAATTGCTGATAAAGTTTTCACAGAAACTGTATCAAGTGGATGTTCAGTAATCTCATTCAGGAATAGTTTAGTCATATATTCGATACATGCCACTGGATTCTTCTCCTCTGCTTCATTAAATCCTGAAAAGTATTTTGAAAAACTCTTAGTGGCAATCTTCTTTTCGAATAAATCTCTCTTATTGAATAATAATACGAAAGGTACCTTGTAGAAGAGTGCATTATTTACAACTTCATTGAAAACTCGTAAACTTTCCTTCACTCTCCAATAGCCATTATCTTCGTAGAGATTTAAATCAAATTCTGAGAGACTTGTTAAAAAGACAACAGCATCTACTGTATTGAAAAAGTGAATCCTGTATATTTCATTATTAATATAAATTCAATATATTTAAATAGTTGATTACAATATTTTAAATATTTTAAATATTGTTAAATTACAATAAATTTAAATGATTCAAAGAATGAGTGCAACATACCATTTACGACGTTCATTTCTCTGACCTCCAACATCAACTAAACGTAACTGTTTTCCATCACCAACGTCAAATTTCATATCTGTTATTCCAATGGTCTTGGTACGAGTTCTGATCACATCCACAACTGTTGGAACATATTTATCGGAACAAATTCTATCTAAATTCTCAAAGAGACTGTCATTTTCCAATGGAAATATTGTAGAAAAAGGTTGAGAAGATGTTAAACAATTCGTCGAATATTTCCAAATTTGATTAGATTTGAAATTATTTGCATCAATTCGAATCATTAATTGTCATCATGATTATTATCAATTTTTTCAAAGTGAATACACAATAAACTGGTCAATTAATCAAGAAACGTTCAAACTTACTATTCAGTTGAATCATATAATTGAAATTTCTCTCTATTTTCATATGCTTTTTGAATTCCTGCATCTTTCCACAGAGAATACAATCGTTTAGACCAAGAAGGATCTTCCAAATCATTTGTATTCAATGAATTTATAATTAATTTTGCAGTTTCTCTATTTTCTGGTTGTTCAATTGGAATATTCAAGTGTTGTGTTGCTGCCACAAGATTTTTAGCATTTTCCAACACGTTTAATCGGACAATTTCTATTAATTCAATTCTCTCCTGATCGTGCGTTATTCCTACACCATGAAAGAATTGTACTTGTTTGAAAAGTGTTGATTTTCCTATTGGAATTGGGTTGAATTTTTGAATAGAATTGATTATTTGCAATTTTATATAAAGAATTTGATTAATATTAGTCATGATTCGAATAAAAAGAACTTACCTGATTCACCAGCTCCCAGAAGAAGAACTGTAATCTCTGATTTGTTTTTTGCTGTGGCTGCTGATCCTCCATTAGGATTGTTGGAAGTTGGAGTAGCCATCATATGATGTTGGCCTTCCTTATCATGAGGCGAAACTACAATATTACCCATTATTATTAAGAAAATAGACGAATGATGATTCTATTCGAAAGAGAGGTTTTTTTGATGTATTGAAAAATTGTATTAATAATAATACTTTGATGTAATGTTGTTGTGATGCTACTTCAGAGAGATGCTCAGTCGCTATCCAATTCTAAACAATTAATACCAATAAAGAACACAATTAGAAATTATTCGAAACGATGTGTTGTGATGGCAGTCCAAAGAAAAAGATACCAATTTTCCAAACAAGCACCTATATTAACTGACTAGCAACAGAAGAGTACTCTGTGATATTTTAATTTTTTTACACTTGTCAAGTGACAAACAACCATCACCGTGATAGTGCACAACACCAACGAACAGCTTATTGATAACAGCTATTTTCTCACAACTAGCATTTGTGGTCACATACTGCCATTTAAATGGAGAGATGAAAAATTTCAGTTTGTGAGCGTACAATTAGGTGAATTGCAAAGCTAGTTGAAACTTACAATATGACCACTCATATAACTTTGCTCATTGGAAGAAGAAGAGATTGAAGATTCAATGAGTATAGGACACAGTTGATGGGGAGGACAAAATATCTAAAAAATGTTAAAATGTTCATTACATTGTCATCATTTGGTTGAAAAATTGTTAAATAATTTGAAGATCATATTCGGAATGGCTTAGCAAAAAACTATCTCTCACCTGTGTTACATTTCAAGAACTTATCATTCCAACAACAACTTCAAATCACATTTTTTATAGATGCATTTCCAGCCTTATTATTAATAATTCAAATACACACCATCACCTTCCCGATACATCAAAAAACCCATTCATACAAAACAAGCCTTTAAAAATTGTGCGGGAGATGACGAACAAAATGATGATGATTTGATGTGTTTGATATTTTGCCGGGGTGATGATGATTTAAGGAAACCCTCAACAATACAAAAGGGCAACAAGTTGGGATGAAACAATGTGTGGAAAGGCGAAAGTCTCATCTGAGAATTTTGTGTTGCCTTTGCTGCAACCGAATCTGAATAATGCTGCAGGCAACAGTTAAAAAACAAATTCATTCCAAGGCTTGAATTGTCAGCATCTTTGCAGTCAATATTTCCAATAGAAAGGCTTGGTACAATTATCATCACAAGAGGAATGAATTTTAATTGGCGCCAATTATTTGGTTTATTAATTGCACTTGTTTCAGTAATAATATTATTGGAAAGTAATCGTGATGGTTTAGTATTGAGTGTTGGTGCTGTTGGTGTTGTGAATATTACAATTCCTTCTTCAGGTCCTAAATTTCCCAAGTACGAATGTATGACACAAACACCAGTCAATCAAAAGTATTATCCAACCATGTACACTATCGATACTGATTATTATGAATTTTGTCAGATTGATGACAGTGCAAAGGTGCCGAAAATTGTGAGAGAATTGAATAGATTGGATACTTGTGCAGAGTTTTTCTGTCGATCGGATAAGGTTTGGGATTTTAGAAATAGTACACAGCTGTCATTGTTTGGATTCATGTTAAATCATTGTTTGTATTGTGAGAGTAATGAGTCAATGGCTAAGGAATTTAGAAATCAAGTGAGAAATGGCTCTTGTCCTGCAATGGTACTGCCAAAAGGGTTAAATTTTGTGGATGCTTTTTATGGAGTTGCTTCAGTTCATTGCAATTTGAATGATTTGAATTCGAATGGATTTGTGAACTTTCCACTTGTGGATTACAACTTGTTCCTCTCTGAATACTTTATGAACGATTTTGCCAAGTATAGGAGGCAAGTCTTGTTGGAGAAAATTCCAGACAGCTACAAGGATGCCCTCAGTAATGTCACTCTCAATTCCCTCGTAAGATATTATTTCAGAGATTATTCCGATTATTCATATGCCAATCTCACTCAAACAATCAAGTCACCAACTGACCTACCACTCCTGTGCTGGTGCAGATATCAAGAACCATCAGTACAATCGTTCGGATATCAATGCAATGAATTCTATCAAAATGGCTATCTTTCCTTCATTTATCATTACAGTGCCATCTTCTTTTCAATCATTTTCAGCTTTTACTGCTATGGAATTGTAATATTCATCATTATTCCAAGAGTTTATGAACGATTCTCCTCATTCAAACAAAGAACAGACATCAAAATGACATCATCCATTCCAAAAAAGATTTTAATGACATTGAGACACTTTATGGATATTGTCACTCATCCTCCTGTATTTTTTGCATTGGGATCTTTATGTGGATTTTTAGAAAATTTTGCAAGAAACATTTTCAACTTCAAGTCCACAAATCCATTCTATCAAGTTTACTTTTTCGGAATTTTCAGAGCACTCAGTTGTGCCTTACTATTGTGTGGCTATTCTTCATTAGTTATTTCATGGGCTCATGTTATTGATCTATCAAAGAGAAAGGCTGTTGTGGAGGAGGGAAAGACAGAAAAGAAAATCAAACTCAGAAAGGGATTGTCTGTCTTTAATCTTTCAGTTTTAATCATTTTCTATGTGGCTGTAATTGTTGTGATTATTATTTCCCTGGGAATGTTTGTAATCTTCCAGAACGACACTACAGCTTGGATTTTGATGGCTGCTGCCATCTTGTTCTACTTATTGACCTTTGTTGCTGGGTTTTCATTCTATGGTATCAAAATTCTAGTAACTTTGAGAAAGACAAGCAACTTTGGAAGTTTAATAGAGTACAGATTCACAAAATTCATCATGGCTGAAACTTTTCTCTTCTTTATTGTGTGGGCTATTTGTTTCCTCATGTTGTTGACGTACATGTTTGGATTTGACTTTTTGTCACTCTTCTATGGATTGAGTAGAGTATTAGTTGGAGATGCTTCCCTTGTTGCCATGTTGGTGCTCTCCTCATACATTACATTCAATGAACCAGTGTTTGCAAGTTTGTACGGATGGAGAGCATTGAATGTTTGGAAAATTGTAACATCATGTGGATATGAAATCTACAGAAAGAAGAAGGAAGCAAATGAACAATTAACAGTGAAGGAAATAGATTTGAAACAAACCAAGGTCGTTGAAGACAAAAACGACAATTTACCAAACGACACAAACCTCAATTCGCCAGAAAATTCAAAATCAGAGAGTGTACCCAATCAAGTTGTGGATAGTAATCCCGAGGATTCTCAACAAGCCAATCAACACGAGCAAGTATCAAGTATATAACTTTTTATTGCATCCAACAATGTCAAATGTATTTAATTGTGAAAAATCCAAAGACAGCAAATTCCTTAACATGACAATCTTCATTATTGCTTTAAACCAACATGAAATTTCATTCAATTAGACTCAAACAATCAAAACAAAATGGACGGAATTAATTTACTCGAAACTGATCATACCAAGCTTCGTGACAAGATTTCACAATTCAGAAATAATGATAACTGGACAAGTCGTCAACTGTTGATCAAGGAAATTATTTCAAATGTGTGCCAACACACTTCTGCTGAGGAAAGATATCTCTACGATTTGATTACCCAAAAATTCGACAATGGAAAATTCCTCTACGATAAGCAATTGATCGACAATCAAGTCCACAAGGAAATGATGCAATTCTTACTCGACAAGATTGATATTCTCTCAGTTGGAAATATGTCATTCCGTGATTCCTATCAACAAGAATGTGAAAAACTCTTCTCAGTTCTCGAAGATCACATGAAGGAAGAAGAACAATTAGTTTTCCCTAAACTTCGTGAAACTCTCAACACTACTGAATTGAGTGATTTGTACAAGAATTTGGAATGGGCAAAACAAAATGCTCCAACCAGACCACATCCATCAACTCCAGTTGTTGGATCAAAGATTTTACATCCAGTTGCTGGACTTGTTGATTCACTTACTGAAAGTTTGACTGGAACTACTAATGTTAACAAGTAATTCAATTGAATCAACACAGTTGTGAACTAGAATAGATTGATTTAAATTGTATTGATAATATTAATAAAGTAAAGGTGTGTCAAGTGTTGTTTACAATAAGAATGTTATTGGAAAGGGCAAGAGAATTAAATGTCAATCAGTTGTTTAACCTTCCATGAATGTCTTTACAAACGAAGGAGCGTTCCTTTTCATCTAATGCCCTTCTAATTACTCTGTGTTTCGCTCACTTCAGCAGAACAATTATGAAGTATCGGATTTTGAAAACTAAACTTAAAAAAAAAATACGCAAACATCTTCTGCTGCTGCTATTAGAATTTAAACAAATAATTAACGGTTAATCCTTCATCACTCACAACACAATGAATCCCGTAGATCCGAATTGGATTGAAACTCAACATCGTTCCTTTTTAAATTGGACGAATAGTCAACTACGAAACAAACATGTTCAATTGACTAATTTAACAGAAGATTTAAAGAGTGGAGTCCATTTACTTGAATTACTCTCCGAATTACTTCATACTCCAATACACATTCCAATTACAAATCCACAGTTTAGAATACAAATGATGAATAACTTGACAGAAGCTTTGGAAATTATTCGAAAGGATTGTGACATTTCCTTGATAAATATTGATTCGAATGATATAGTAGATGGAAATACCAAGTTAGTTTTAGCATTAATTCACTCATTGATGTATAAATATCAAGTATGTAAAGCAATGAGTGATGACAGAAATGTCATTGACAAGAATACGCCAATGACAGTTGTTGAAAAGCAATTAATTGATTGGTTGAATTCAATTTTATATAATTCTCAACCTGTAATTACAAATATTACAAATGATTGGACAAATGGTGAACATTTGAAAAATCTAGTTCATTATTTTCTTCCACATAATTTCGAACAAGTATTCGAAAGTTTGAATTCAATGAATCCGACTGAGAAAATTGCAGAATGTATTAAATTAGCTGATCAAGAATTGAAAATTCCAAAGATTTTAGAAGCTCAAGATATTTCCAATGGTCCAGATCAATTTTCCATGTTGGCTTATTTATCCTATTATAGAATGGCAATTAAGAAACAATTAGATCAGAAACCACCATTGGTAGAAACTGTTTCTAATACTCCTCCTCTTCCTCAACCAACAACCAATAGAAGTGGTACAAGTTCCTCCTCCTCCTCAACAACAACCATCATTGGTAGCTCAACAAGTTCCTCCTCCACCAATTCAAGTCGAAACTAAACCAATTTCACAGCCAACAGTTTCTTCTATGAATTTTGATGATATTTCAAGTGCTCCACCATTGTCTCCTCCTTCCATTGATGAGCAAAAATTTAATTATCAACAACAACCTCCAGTCCAGAATTGGAATTTACAACCAAGTCAACCAGTCCAACCAGTTCAATATTATCCACAATCTCATCAACAATCATTGACCAAATCAACCTATCTTCCAGATCAATCCAATCAAGCAAATTCTCACATTTCTTCATTATATTCACCTGGAAATTCAAATTCTGTTCAACTCATTCCACAAATTCCTTCTCCAAATCAACAAGTGTACGGACAAGAAAACAATCATCAATCATTGATGGTTCCACCACCTCTAATGCCAACACAATCATTGCAACCATACATGGATCCATATCAACAGTTTAATGGAATACCAACTCAACACATGATGATGATGAATCAATATTCTCCTCAAATGCAACCTCCTCCACAAATGCCTCCACAACAGCAACGACAACCAATGATTATCACCACAACTACTACTACAAATAATCATCAAGTATTCACATCGGATAATATGCAATATGGATATTATCAACAACAATTTTATTGAGTAAATTGAAAATTTGAAATTCAATAAATTTTTATTGTAAACTTTCAAGTATTGGGAAATTTCCACTTTTTTGATATGTTTGTGGTATTGATAGATACGAATCTGAATATGAATCTCTGAGAATTCGAATATTTTTCTTGTAATTTCCATTTTTGAATTCTTTTCAAACCTCATTTAGATCTAATACAACATTTCACATTCTTTCATTGTATTCGATAGTAGTACAATCCTATTCTAGCTGATTAGTATTGATTTTGGCGCGTTGTAGTTTTATATTCTCTGACACAAAATTCCTTAAATACTGAACTTTCGGCAGATTTCTTCCAGAACAGTTCCAAAAAAAACAAATGACCCCATTCAAGAATCTAGTGCTTGCACTATTGGGTCTTGTCTGCTTGACACTTATTACAAACTCTGTACAAAGTTCAAGCATGCCATCCATCATTAGAAGACAATTGACATATAAGAAATGTGAATCCATTGGTGATCCACATTATCTTTCATTCACTGGTCAACGTTTCGATCACATGGGTTTAGGAGATTACGTTCTTGCTCAATCATCTGATAATCAATTCACTGTTCATGTCAGAACTAGTAAGTGGGGAGGTGCTGCAGCTGTCAATTCCAATGTTGCTGTCAGATTAGGTAAAGGAGAAGATGATACTTTCGAATATGATGTCGAACAAGATGTTTTTTACATTTCTGGTGTAAAGGCAAGTGTAGCTGTCAATCAAAAAGTTTCACTTGGAACAGGTGACATTCACAGATTGAATTCTAACACTGCTGTCATTTCTGCATCCAATGGAGTCAAGATGACAATGTCTTGGTATCGTCATGCTGCTTGGAAACAACAATTAGGTTCGGTTGGCTACATTTCAGCTGTCATTGATGCTCCAAGTGATGTCAATTTCAGTAAGGGAATGTGTCTTGGCATTAATCAAGCATCTCAACAAGCAATTGACATTTTGCACAATCACGTTCAGAGAAGAATTGCTAGAAAGGCAGAACTCTTGAAGGAAACTCCAAAGAGAAAGAGAACTGCACGAAAGGTCTGTAAGAAAGCTGGTTTAAAGAAGAAACAAAATCCATTCGCTTGGAAGTCATGTGTCAAGGATGCCATTCAATCAGGTGCCAAGATTGGTTTGGCAATTGGTAAAACCATTAAGAAGGTTAAAGTTGCTGAAAAGAAAGTTCTGAAAAAGGCAATGAAGAAGAGAGGCAAGAAAATTGTTCGAAAGGTAAAGAAGGGAATTAAAAAGGCAGAGAAACAAGTTGACTTGTTGAAGAAGAAGGCTGATCAAGCTCAAAAGAAGGCAACTGCAAAGAAAAACAAGTGTGCTAAGCGTGCTTCCAGAAAGGCCAGACGTGCTGCTAGAAGAGCCAGACGTGCCCAAAAGAAACTTGCAAAGAAACAACAAATTCTTGAAAAGGTCAAGAAAACTGTCAAGAAAACTATCAAGAAAGTTGGTCGTCGTGTGAGAAAGGTCAGAATTGTCAAGAATTGGAACAAGCTCATCAAGAAGGTCAGAAGGGACAGAAAGAGAGCCATGAAAGCTGCTAAGAAAGCTAAGAAAGCTGCTAAAAGAGCCATCAAGGAAGCAACCAGAAAGGCAAGACAACTGGCAGAAGAAAAGAAGAAACAAGCTGAAGAATTAGCTAAAAAGCTCCAAAGAGATGCTGAAGCAGCTGCCAAGAAATTGAGAGATGCTGTCGAAGCTGCTGCAAGAAAGGCAAGAGAGGCTGCCGAAAGAGCCAGACAACAAGCTGAAAATGCCAGATTGAAAGCTACTCGTCGTGCTAGAAAACAAGCTGAAAGATTGGCCAAGTTGGCCAGAGAAGCTGCTGAAAGAGCTGCCAAGCAACAAAGAGCCATTCTTGAACAAATTCAAAAGCTTGCCAAATTGGCTGCCATCAAGAAAGCTCAACAACAAGCTGAAGCAAAGAAGAGAGCTGCCAAAGCTTTGAGAAAGGTTGAACAAGCCAAGAGAAAGGCAGCTGAAGCTCTTGAACGTGCCAAAGCGGAAGCAACCAGAAGATCTATTGAATTGGCTGATAAATTGAGAAAAGCTGCTGAAAGAGCTGCTAAAGAAGCAGTTGAAAGAGTCAAAAAAGTTGAGGAATTGAAGAAGAAGGCCATTAAGGAAGTTGAAGAAAGGGCCAGAAAACTTCTTACTGGAGGTGTTTCAAAGGGAAAGACTGTTTGTTTAAGACTTCCATAAATCTAATTCACCTAAGTATCAATTTGTAAATAAAACACGTTAAGATTTGTTTGTTGTAAACTAGACACAAAAAAATTTGTGTCAAGCCAAAACCAATAAATACGTTGTTTCATCAACACGATCAAAAATTTTCAAAAAAAAATGGCTAAAGCAACAAGAGGACCTCGCATTCATCTACCAACTGATTACAAACACAAAAAAATTGACACTTTTTGTAGAAATCTGGCTTCGCAATCCAATACTACTCAAGCTTCCTCCCCAACAAGAGATTTAGATGATTGTCAACCATTGGCAGATGACATTCCACTGGAAGAATGCGAGCATGATAATCAAGTAACAATGGCTGAGCAACAACTCATCGACAGTACCAAATTATCACCGTGGCTAAAAGCAGCTGTTGAGAAATTGTGGAAGTTATCAATCAGAAACATCTATTTGAAACAGCTCTATAGAGAATACAAGCTAGGAAGATTGTTCTTTGAGCTAAAGAAGCAATGGGTATTCAATTTAGATATAGAATCGGTTGATCCTGTTGTGGAGAGTTGTAAGTTGTGTGGCCACAAACATGTCAGCAAACATTTCCACATTCAACACAAGAAAAATGGAACAATCATCAAAGCAGGCTCAGAATGTGTAAAGAAGTTTAGAGTTGATGACTTGTCAAAGGAAGATTCCTTAATGGTTATCAAGCACTTGATTGGTTCCTTGCCATAACGAAAGAAAGAAAGGACTCTTATAATTATATGAAAATTAACCTTGTGTTCAATAATTTATTGTTCTGCTTCTAACTTGTTTTCTTCCTTTGCTTTATGTCTTTTCAATTCTTCTTTGATATAATCATTATAAATAGCCTCTGTCTCAATGAATACCTTATTATATAATGTAAAGTTATCTTTGTTATCTTTGATATCCTTCTCAGCAATCATATACTTGGCTTGCAAAATTTCAACAGTTTGTCTTCTGACACTTTCCAAACTAGTTCTCATCATGGCATTAATCAAACCAATTCTGAACATGGATTGTGGAACAACCTTAATAATGGTACCAGTACACAGGACACCTGTTTTGAAGATTGTAGCATCAAGTTTACTTTCGTAAACAGTGGAGGCAACACACATGATCATTCCATTATTGAGATCTGTCATCATGCATGTGTTATTTTCACCTGTGGAAATACTCATCTTGAGATTCTTGGCAACTGTTCTCAAAGCAGAAATGGCAAGAGCTTGATAACTCTTACTGTTGAATAATTCTAACAAATCTACCAAGAGATCTGTCAAATTGACATCAATTGACTTGGTGAAAACGACAGCTTTCTTATAAATGATAGCACCACTTGCATCAGTTGGCATTGCAAAAGAATCGTGGAATAGCTTGCAGGTTTTTTCATCACAATCTTTAATCCACTTTTTCACAGAATTGTACGTAGTTTCGTCTGTAGTACTTGGGTGAGTACCTGTTGTAATAGCATTGATGGCTCCAGTAACTCCTGACTGAATGTCTTCAATAGGAATCTTATCAAAAACGTTTCCCATTGTTTCTAATTGTTTGTTCTTGTGTGATTTTTTTTGTTTTGTTTGGTGAAGTTATTAGTATTACGTGAGATGAAACATTCCAATACATGTGATTTTTCGAACAGTTTGGGAAATGGTTTACAATATCGTGTGAACTGTTAAGAGGAGTTTTCATCATTTTTGAATTAATAATCAGGCATGGAGCTGAATTTTGATCAATGATATCCTAATACACGGAGAGGTCCTCATTTGTTTTGGATTACTGTTCTGTTTAAATCAAAGTACTTTACAATGAAGCATTTACAGTTTATTTACTGTAAAGCGTCCTAGATCAAAAGATAACCCATAAAAAATTAATGTAATTGACCATCTTGTGTATCCAAATCAATATTGGATGATATTTCAGATCTAGTATCACCAAAATCAGAGTATGAACTATATAAAGGTTGTTTCAAACTGGATGAATCAAGTGAATTGGCAAATTCTTTAACTTCATCTCCTCCAACTTCGTCCCTCTCCCTAACAGAAGGCCAAACTCCAAATATTACAAATACAAATAAACATGAGATGACCAACATCCACCCCAAAACAAGTGACAAAATGTCATATTCATAAACAATCTTTCCATCAGGTGATTGATTTCTATGATTGGTAGAAAATGGTTGAATGCACTCAGTTACAATATTCCAAACAACGAGTATGAATAATAGAACAGGTCCAATGTACTTGATGGAAATGCTCCACAAAATGTAAGGTCCAAATGAAGTTTCCTTGGAGAATCGTTCCCTTACATGTTCAATAGAAAAGAAGGAAACCTGTTTGAAATTATTCCAATTCTTTTCCAAACGGAATTGATTCCAACGTTTTGAAAAGTATTGGCAAATAGAAATCCAATAGGTTATTGATTTGGTTCTTCTGAGTGCCTTTTTCTTTTTTCTATTGACTCCTCCATCTTGGTTGGAAGAGAACCATCCAATCATGACACATTCCATCATGGCAATCATTCCCATTCCATAATTTCCAACATAGTGATCTACAATTTCCAAAATATAATACCCATTGGAGAGTGTGAATGGCACTGCAATCACACAAATGAGACAAACCACAATAATTGAAACAACTAATCGTCTGGTATTTCTACGAGGTATTTGATTCTTGACAATATCAATCATGGACTCTACAAAACACATTATACTGTTAAATCCAACAAAGACTAGAGAAAGCAAGAGAATGAACACAAAAATTTGTGGTGTTGGGAATAATCTAGAAACTACTTCAATCATGACGAATAGAGGACTCGCAATCGCAGGAGTAAAGAGTGAATTGATTTCATAAGGACTGGTCCTAGTAGTCGAAAGATAACCTAAACTAGCATAATAGGTCAATCCACTAATTAAGGAAAATAACAATCCAAAGAAAATGATAGTCCACGAAGTGAAAATAGTATCCTTCTTCGTCTTGTACTGTGAAGCATGAATAGCAAGAGCACCATTGGCAATACCATATGTGAAACATAATTGTCCAAAAGCTCCCAACCATAAATCTCCCTTTGCTAATAAGCTCCAATTTGGTCTGAGGAATTGCAACATTCCTGAACTAGCTCCAATTTCCAATGACACTCTAACCAATACAACAATCATAACCACCAGATACGACAAGCTCAATAATGAAATGATGACTCGAGAAAATCTATTGATGTACTGGGCAAAAACGAGCCAATAGGTAAGAAACCAGAAACAAACTAGAGAAACCAGTATTGGCCATGAAAGGAATCCTGAAAGATCAAATGAGTGATCTGAGAGATGCAATATTTCATCGTGAAAGAAGGTTTCTGGTTTATCAGACCATGGAAATCTATATTTTCATCCAAAATATTGAAAAACAATGTTTCCAATTCAAATTAAATTGAAATACGTACTGTTCCATAAAAACATATCCAAAATAAGTTGCAATCCAACAAGTAATCACAGAATAATAAGAAGCAATAATCAAACTTCCAAAAACAATTGCTGCCATTCCAATTCCACTAGCTCTCCTATTCCACCTTCCCAATGCAAAGACAATCGATTGCTTGGCAATAGAACCCAATGTGAAATCCAAAATAATCAAAGGAGCTCCAATGATCACTAATAATACAATATATGGTATAAAGAATGCACCTCCCTCGAATTGGTGCACTAAATAAGGGAATCTAATAACACTTCCAAACGTCATTGAGAATCCCACTGTTAAAATCAATGATTCCAACATTCTTGCAATGACAAGGCTCTTCTTTTCATGTACAACAGAATTGCCTTGATCATTAGCAGCAGATGAGTAATAGTACAATGATGTCTGGTTATTTCCTCCGATTCCATGTTTGACAAACTTGTCATCAGCACCATGAGCACCACCACCATCATTAATACTCATCATTGAAGGAGAAGAATTTACAAAATGATTAGATGATGAAATTCTGTGATTTGTTGATGGCTTATCTTCATGACTATCAATGGAACCATAATGAGTGGTGGGAATGTAATTGTGTTGTGAGGATTGCGAAAGGGCCCTTCCTCTCTGCTTATCATAATATTCATCATCATCATAATACAATTGATTATTATTCATCATCTTGTGTTATTATGTACAATTATGTGTTCCGGTGATGAATTTGTTATTAAATTAAAATTATAAATATATTCTCTCAATAGAAGTATAAAATCCTTCTATGAATTATTATTGTGTAATAACAAGAAGTTTCCCTGATTGAAACTCTAATGAGAATCTTGACAAAAAAACTTTGAAAAAAAGGCGCCAAAGTGGAGATGTTTTTTTAGCTTTGGAAAGAAGAGAGAAAATCTTGGAAGAAAATCTTGCAAAGTTCCAAAAAACTGTAGTTGGTTTGAAATTCTCTGCTAAATGAAAGGTTCCTTATTACAACTTGAAATGCTGCTGAGAATATAATGGAAACAAGATGGACACTTTACAATGCTTTACAAAATTCAACGATTATCTTTTCATTTCACAAATTTTCCTTAATGATCAATATGAATTCAACAGCTCTTAGTTTTTCCTAATCAGTTCAATTCCACGCCATAGCACAACGACTAGCATTGATCCGTTACCACACAACAATCTGCATGCACTAAATTTCCCGCCAAAATAAAAACCAATAATCAAAGCCTTGCTCAATCCAAAGCAATAGCAAAAAAAAATGAGCGCCAACAATACTAAACAACTTTGCTGTTCAACTCTTCGAGATTGCTCACTTGAAAAGTGCTGGGGAGATGAGTGCTCGGGCCTTTGAGGAAGATCCAGGCTGTTCATACATGTTTGTTGATTTTGAAGGAAAGGCCAAGTTGGATATTTTAGCTTGGTTCTGGGAAAGATATTTGTGGTTGAGTGTTGCTTTTAATCCTGAGAATTATGTAATTATGAATGGAGAGGATGTGATTGCCGAGACATGTATTTTGTTTCATGATGGACATGTGGTCACATTTTGGGATAAGATGAGAGCTGGAATTTTGAAGATGCCATTCGTGGCTGGCATGAACGCTGTCAATAGAATGTTGAAGAATGGAAATTTATCATTGGAAGATGATATATTGTGGGGGAAACTTGGATTGGACAAGACTAAATTCTCAAAAATTGAACATGTTGCTGTGGATCCTAAATTTCAAGGAAGAGGACTTGGAAGAAAGATTGTCGAACATAGTATTGAGAGAATTAGACAGAAGGGATATTCTGGATGTTTTTTGGGAACTCAGAAAAAGGCAAATGTTGATTTTTACACCAAATTAGGATTTGAAAAGGTTGGAGAACAATTAGTTGATGAAACTGCTGAAGATTCTCCTTATAAGTATCTCATGTTGATGAAATTTTAAAATCACCTCCATTCCTTAATATTAATTATTTAATTATTTATAGAATTAATTATTTAATAATTGTAAATTATCCACAAAATTAATTTATTAAAAAAAATGCTCAACAATAATCAGGCAATTACTACGAATACAAATCCACGAGTACTTTGCACATGTTTGTATCGTGCTCTGTGTGGAATGAATTCATCAACAAGACTCAAATTAAATAATGAACAAGATCCGAAGGCTTTTCTCAGATCAAGTTGTTTATTTACATTCATAGGAAGATCGGATGGAACAATTTCTATTTGGATTAATGATAGAGAGGAGTTTGTTTTGGATTTGATGAAAGAATTTTCTAAAGGCTCGATAAAGAAGAATTTAATGCCGAATGAAATTTTGATTTTGGAAAATGTTTCCATGAAGAATAATAACAAATCTAATTTGATAGTTCATTCTTTTACTATGATTGTGAATAGTAGATACTCGGAAGGTGGAGGAAGTGTTCATATATTTCAAATTGATATTTTGAAAGGAGAAGGTGATAAAAGATTTAATTTAACAATTTCCAAGTGGAATAAGTTATGCAATGGAAAGAATCTTATTGGATTGAAAGTATTAAATTGGAGTAAAATGGTTGGAAAGAAGAAGGTTATTGATAGATATTTGGTGGGAATAACTCTGAGTGGAGAAATGATGATTTGGGAGGAGAAGAATTTAGAAAAGCCACTTGAAATAGTGCCATTAGATTTGGAGTCAATTGTTGTTGATTTTGGTTTGTGTGATAATGCAGAACTAGGAGAAAATGAAAGGAGAGGAGCTGTAATGGTGGTTTTAGATTCACAACAAAATTTAAAGTGTATCAGTCTTGATATTTGTGCAAAGAATGCAATAACTATTAATGATAATTGCAATATTTCGTTGAATATCAAATCAGTAATTACAAAGATAACATCTTTAAACAGTTCTGTATTTATTTATGAAAAATCCAATCAGACACACATAATATCCAATCAACAAGAACAACAAATTAATATTTCATCAATGGAAGGAACTTTATTGAGAGAAATGAATGAAACACCACTCAATTTGGATACTATTTTGAAAATTATTGAACATGATGAAAATTCAATTCTAAAATTTAATATTACTAGAGATGGAATGTACATTCATCTTATTAACAAATCAAATCAATTATTAATTCTTGAAAGAGACGATTCAGCATATGCCCCTCTTTTCAAACTTGATTTAAGTGATTCCAAGTCAGCAAGTGCAATTTCATTCACAAGACAATCAGAATTCATACAAATCATTCCAGCTAACTTACTTTCCAGATTCCTCTACACAAATCCAGTTTGCATTCTCTCGAGTAATCATGAAAACAAGAGAAATCTCATGACCATTACTTGGCTCACACCTACCGACAATTCTGCTCATTTCATTTGCAGTATGAACAAGTCCAGACACTCGGCTTCACTCGTTCGAAGGAGTAAACAATTCACCCTCAATATTCCAACTCTTCCATTGGCAGATTATGTTTTGAAAATTGGAGGATGTTCAGGATCTGAAATAGACAAGTTTGCAACCTTTGTGAATAGTGACCATTCAACACCTAACAACATGAAACCACTCACCTTAATAGAAAGAAGAAATTCTAATGGCCTCTTCCATTGCTTTGAGGAATGTTGTGCACACTTGTGTTGCGTTATTGAGAAGGAAATGGAAGAAACATGTCCAGGTCATCATTTATTTTATTGCAGAATTGTTGAAGGTTATGTGAAGGAAGGATATTGGAAAGATGGAAAACAATTCATTCACATCAATGATTCTTATCCTCCATATCTTTCCTTTTTAGGATCTCAAGAATTTGCCCTAACAAGTTTGAATTCTTCAATTAAATAATTTATCTAATATTTACAATAATTTACAAAATATTATTGTTGTGGAAACCAAGGAATAAAGCTCGAAGTCTTTCGAATATATTCAACATATTCAGGTCTCTTTTCCTTCAAGTGTTTTTCTAAGAGTGGTCTTCCAGTAACATTCATTAACAAGTAAACCATGGCAATTGGACCCAAGAATAAGTGATACCACGAGACTGCAAAATTAATTCCCAAACTCATCACTCCAAATCCAATCCAAACCATAGAATCTCCAAAATAATTTGGATGTCTTGTATATCTCCATAATCCAGTATTTAAAACCTTTCCCTTATTTTCAGGTTTAGATTTGAATGATTCCAATTGTAAATCTCCAAAAGTTTCAAATAAAACTCCAATCAACCAACAAATAGCATCAATCCAAAACACTGCGGAACTAGTCAACTCACTTCTCAATGTTTGACACAACACACTTTGTACAACCTGTGAAAATATCCAAATCAACAATCCCTGCAACCAAAACACCTTCATCAAACTCTTCCACCAATAACTCTCTGGATCATTCTTTCTGAAATTGGCATATCTATAATCCTCATGCTCAACCCCCTCTCTCACAAATCTCCTCCCCAAATACAAACTCAATCTCAACCCCCAAGCCATCATCATCCCGATCAACATCCACTGATGAACATTCCACGAATAATCATTCACCATCAAATGCACCAACCCAACAAGAACAAATCCAAACCCCCAGAACGGATCAATTATTGCTGTATTCTTCAATCGCACTGAAAGAAGCCACAACAGTGAAACAGCCAACACGACAACGATCAAGGCTAAAAGACGCGGCGAAGAGGAACTTTCAAATTCTTGCATTTTTTTAAGATTGTTTTTTTGAGATTGATTCTTTTTGGCGCGCTTTTTAAATTGTTTCTCAAGTTCAAGTTTAAATATTTTTGACTTATTCAATTGTAATACTTGAAGATGTTAAATGGTATTTTTTAAATAGAGTATATTACAATGTTTTTACAGTAAATATTTTGTAAAGTATTTAATGAAGAAGTTTCTTTTCTGAACTGTAGTTAATGAGGAAGATTTTTGAGTGCAATCTTACGCAGCCGTTATTTCCATAAAAGTTTCGTCCAATGAGATGAAAAAAAATTTCTGCGTCTTACTGGATACACACAATCGAATTTCTGCGTCTTACTGGATACACAGTCGCTTTGTGTTAAAAATTGTCAAGAAATTAAAAAAATGGCCTCTCCAACAGTTCTTTTATCAACAACAAGGGCACTTTTGTTTCTTTCATTTCTTTTTGGTATCCACCACTTTCGAATACATAAATGCCACCAATCAAGATCCATTCTTCTTATTTCTCGATAGTAACTTGTATACGGGACATGCATGGTCTGGATTACATGCTTTTTATTGGAAAGACTCTTTCAATTTTACGGATTCGGCAAGTTTCGTAAAGTATATGCAACAAGAACAAAATATCAAGGTTGCATTCATGGGAGATGATGATTACAGAAATTATCTTCAAAAAATGTGGAGCGACTATTCGAAACTATATCAATTAGAAAATCTGCAATTTACCTATCTTCCAACAAGTGTTGGAACTTGCTTGACATATCATCCATTCGATGATTTTGATATTCTTATTTCATTGGATAGTTCTTTCTATGTTTCTATTCGAAAGTTCAATACTGGAAGAAGGAAACCTGATGGTCAACTCTATAATTTTACCGATTTTTCATCAGTTTATTTGGATGCACCATTTGCCTTATATCAATACGATTCGGATAACAGTACAGGGTATCAATACTATTCGAAACCTAATTGTACGAATGTCCAATTAGTTGCTGCCTATGAATCAGAAGTGCATATGAGTTATCTCTATTTGAAAAGAAATAATTCACTTTTATCAGAAAGAGAAATTGAGTTTCTAAAATTTGCAAATTCCTTGACGAATCTCAAAACAATTTCTTCTACAATGCAAGAAAGAGCAAATATGGAGAAGGCATATGGATTTGGAAATAATTCCTCTTTAGAATATTATCATTCATTATTCATGCCAGATTGTCAATGTGCGAATTCTGCATGTGCTTCAATTTCTTTTCAAGAATCAGATTATTGGATTATACCAGCTGTAGCTTTGATAGTGGTGCATTATTTGGTATTATTCATTTCGAAATCTTTCTTGACACCTTCCTTAAAAAGTAGACTTTTAATTCCATATTTGCCATTTATAGTAATATTTTTTGAAGCTAATAATTTTGGATTAATTTATAACTTGTGTTTTTATCCAAGAATGTTAATTTTTTCATTTGTTATTACTTGGTACATTATGATCTATTCCTTGACAATTATAAGAATTTACTATTTAAGAAATTTATATCATTTACTTTCCAAAAATAGAAAGAATATTGAAAAGAAACTTAGGTTTCAGAAAACAATTTCAGGTCCTCTCATAGGTCTACTATTCACTTTTGTGGGCGGATTTGCTCTATGTGCCTTCCTTTCCCTTCCATTTTACTTTGTCTTTATGTACATCCCAATTGGAAACGCAATTTACGTGAATATAATTATTGGAATTTATGTTGCAGTTGCATGTTTGGTGGGTTTATTGGCAATTGGCGCCGATTTGATATTTAATAGGAAGAAGATTAAGGAGAAGGGATTGAGATACTTGTTCTTCTTTGATGATCCTTATATGATTCGTATAGAGTTGATTCTAATTTCCATGATTATTGTTTCGATTATTATTGTATCGACGATACCTAATTCACATGGAGCCAGATTCGTTTCTTTTGTGATTTATGTTTGCATTGTGTTGATATCAGGAGGAATGGCCACACTCAAGAATATCTTCAACAAGATTCTGATAACTATTCGAAAGAATAAGGCAAATCACCACACAAAAGATGAAATTGAAATCATGTTACAAAACTCTGATTTTAGAAATATTTTAAGAGAATACTGCACCAAAGAAATGTCTTTGGAAAATTTCAACATTTTCACACAATTATTAGAAATGAAGGAAAAGAAAATTAATCTAACTTTTGAAATATTGAAAAATATTGAGGAACAATACATGGCACTGAATTCCTTATTCGAATTGAATGTTCCTTCTCATGTAAGAAGGGAATTTTATGTATTTTTGAAAGAAATGGAAAGTGGAAATAATTCGAAAGAAAACGAATTGAAGGAAAGTAAGGAAGAATCAAATTCCAATTTGGATAGATTAAATCTCATTCTGAAAGATTCAATTTTGCAAAATCTTGGAGATACACTCTCAAGATTAGAAACAACAAAGGAATATGAAATATGGAATGAAATTTATTCGATTCAATCCAAAACCTTACAACAATAAAGTCAAAAGATTATCAAGAACAATTATTACAACAATAAACTTCTTTTTTCAAAGTGTGATTCTTGAAAAATGGAAATATTTCTGATATTTTAATTTTAAATGAAATTTAACATTTCTATTTTAGTAAATTCGAATATTTGATCAAAGTTTGAAATTGAGAAATAAATTAGTTTGGTTTGTTTCATTTTGTGAAAATCCATTAGAAAGAAGATTAGTTTCTTTATGTAAAAATTCAGCGAACGTATCAAACCAAGAATATGTAAGAAACCCCAAATCCTCTTCTCTAGTGCAAAAATCCAATGAATTGTCAGTAAATGAAACTCTGCTGTTTCCAGAATATTCCTCATTTTGCATGAAAGCTTGATTCGAATAAGAATGTTCATTCGAATAGATTTGTTCGGTAGATGGAACATGTTCACCAATGTTAGAACATGTAGTATTGTTTTGAATGGAGGCGTGTTGTTGGTCAAAATCAGAAACGCTTTCGAATGAATTGTTGTTGGAACATGTAAGTGAGATGTTATTCGAAATATTTACATGTTGCTCACTCAACTGTTGGCATGGGTTACTTAGTAGCATGTTTGCTTTGATTGGTACTTTGGAGGTTACCACTCGATTAGTTTCTTCCATGTTTCCATTCGAAACTTCTTGTTGTTCAAGTCTTTGTGTGTCGACCATCTTGTACACAGTTAGGTCATTGTTATGTTTGTTATTGGAAACAGCAAACTCAAAGTAATTATTCAACAGCTTATCGTTTTGTAATGTCTTTCTTAATCTTGTGTTTCGAATATTTAATTGACGATTCCTCTTCATGACTTTTGCCTTCTCTTTGACATGGGTAGTTTCGTCCACGAAGGACATGCTGCAGCTCTGATTACTGCTAGCTGAAGATTCTTTCCAACAACCATTCACCATTAGGATAAAAAGAGATTCGAAAGTGTTTATATTTTCTTTTTTTTGAGAGAATATTCTTTCAAATATTCTATTCACTCCAAAAGCCTCAACAATTGGCATCTGCTTACGCATTAATAACACATGAAATTAAACTAATCATTATTTCTATTCGAAAAAGGCTCTACCTACCCTAAGAATGCAGCTCAAAATTTCAAATCTTACATCACCTCTAGAATTGTTCAAAGCGATGCCATTACAATAAAATTTACAAAAAATGAACTAACTTGTAAATTTGCCGGTTGTGTTTTGGATTTATCATTGTTAGAGGCAAATTAAGCTTCTTCCTCTCACCTAATGAAGGTGAAGAAGATGAACCTTTGAGATTAATTCTGAAAAAAATTGAAATTAAAAGATGATATGTACCACAGTAGCTTTGATTGCTCACACAAAACAATATTATTAAGGAATTCTTTTTCATTCTTTTTTAATTTGCAAATATCTCCCTCATGAACCCAATTACCAATACTACTACTTCTCCTTCTATGATACATTGATAATACTTTATTATTCAATCAATTTCCCAACTCGCTTCTATTATCAAAAAAATGTTCAAGTCTTCCAATCTCAAACTCTTCAAAAATTCTTCTTCCATTCTCCGTTCCTCATCATCGTCATCACCAATTATTAATAATAATAATATTAATAATTTTAAAAAATATTCAACAACAGCAACAACAATGGAATGGATTCCAGTTTCTAAGGACGGTCAAGTCAAGAAGAGAATTATTACTCAAGGTTCAGGTGCTGAACTCCCACCACACGGATCAAAGGTCTCTGTTCACTACACTGGTACTTTGACTAATGGAAAGAAGTTTGATTCTTCTGTTGATAGAGGCACTCCATTCTCCTTCAACTTGGGTCTCGGACGTATGTAGTATTTATTATTGTGTTGTTTAACAGGCTAACTGTGTTTGAATTTGTATTATGATATTATACAAATATTATTATGATATTGGATTTTGTTGATTTATTATTGAATTCAATAATAACGTCGTTTGATTATAATATTATTATTGAATAACATCGTTTAATTATAATATATTACTGGCTTAACAACAATAGAGGTTATTAGAGGTTGGGATTTGGGCGTCAAGACCATGAAGAAGGGTGAAAAGGCTATTCTTGAAATTCCATCAGAGTACGCATATGGCTCTCAAGAAATTCCAAAGTTAATCCCTGCCAATTCTACTTTGATCTTTGAAGTTGAATTGTTGTCATGGAAGTAAATAATTGGAAAATGATAATAATTAAATATTTAATAAATATTTAAAAATATTTATTTAAAATAATTCAAAAATCTGTGGATGGGATTATTCAACATTTGTATCAATGTCGAGGCAAGAGAAGAAGAGGATCAATGGTCAAACAACAACCAATACGCCGATTATTAATCAATAATAATATAAATGAACATATTGAACGGATTCATATCAAGAAGGCTGCCGACAAGAATATAGAAACAAAAAAATGTTCAATAAACTTGGAAGCCTTGTCCCAAGAGGCAACAAAATTCTCTCATCAACGCTATCATCATCAAGAACAAGCATTAAATTAAATAGTATCGGATGTAATAACTTTTCATATTCCTTGACTAGATTTGATAAAACAAGTGCGGAAACAAAACAAGCACCAACAACAGAGGAAAATACTGTTGCTACCACAACAATAAGTGAAAATACAGAATCAGCAGTTGCTGCTGCTCCATCGGAAGATAAATCAACACTCACATCAGGAAAATCATATAATGGAATTCCTCTTCATAAACCTCCTCAACACATTAAGAAATTGAGTTTCGTGGGTGCTTTGGCTAGATATACCTTCTACTTTGTCTTCTTTATTTGGATTTTCAGTGGTTATCCAATTTATACTGCTTGTCAATTCATTTATAGATTAATTCATGGAGAACCAGAGCCAGAACCAGTTGATGAAGAATAAATTCAATCCTTCATTACTGGAATGAAACCTAACAACACAAAATACGAAAACACTTAGTAGAGGATTAAGCAATTTGTACAAACTCGCATATTTTAATTTAAGGAATATTTCACATAAACACACAATAAAAGAACACAACTTTCTCAAATGAACCATTCCATGTATGTGAATAGGAAACTCAATTCAACAAATCCTTGCTGGACACGTTAAACATCACCCATTATTACTGAGGTTTTGAAACTTGCAAATTAATTTCCAATTACAAAAAAATGCCACCACGAAGAAAGGGACGAACTCTCTCGGTAGTTGGTTCGAGTCGTGGTGATGAAGCTGATCAGAGTAATTCATCCTCATCATCCACATCGACTGAATTGCAAGCTTATCTATCACCAACTAAATCAACTTTGGATGAGGAGGAAAATTCTTCTACAAATTCACCAAATCATATTAGTAATAATAATAATAATAATAGCCATAATAACTCTCCCTTGACAGCTATAACAACACGAAATACCAATAATAATAATAATTTATTTGTGAATAATAATTTAAATAATCAACAACAACAACAACAATATCAGAGGAGTTTTATGAGTTCGAGTCCAAGTGCGAATAGTCTTCTTTTTGGAGCCAATCATCATGTTATTCGTCCTACTAATTTTACAATCCACCAACAACAACAACAACAAACAACAACAAACAATGATAGGACAGATTCAGATCATTCCGAATCATTTTTGAGTAGGAGAACATTTTCAGTAGATTCATTTTCGGATAAAGGTGATAATGATGCTTATTTATCACCATGCTCGGATGAGGACGATTCAAATCCAAGTGGTTGGAAATCACCACTCTCTGCTCCAGTTAGGGTTGTGGATATTGCATCTCTCATTCCAGAAGAAATTGAGTATCCAGAAGATGATGACGTGGATGTTGACCCTGAATTGTTGGTCATTCGTTCCAAGTTGAATACTTCCGATATTCATGACTCAGATGCAATTGATCTCGTCATTGAGAATTCAAAGAAAAAGATTCCTACTAAAAGTCCAAGATCCAAAATAGTTGATGAAACACCATTCTTCCAAGCTCATATTCACTACGACGATGATGATAAGCAGACGAATAATATTGAAAAGGTTACCACAACTTGTTGTGGTTGTTTTCTTGAAAAAATCCCAAAAGGAATTAGAACTAGAGTTGGATATTGTGGAAAGAAAGTTTGTGCACCTAGATTTAGTGTCAGTATTGGACTATTTATTGCCTTTAATACAGTAGCATTTATTTTGGCTGTCTTTGGTATTGCTGTACTAGGATTGAGTTATGGAGATTATCCTAAAATGCAAAGGGATCCAAATGCTATTGCTTACCTACATAGGGGATGTTGTGAAGTTTTTCTACAGGAAAAACACAGTACAGTCGATAATGGATATCCCTACGATGTCTATTTAAGAGTACCCATTCTAGGATTTTCATCAATGACTGAGGAACAGCTTGAAAAAAGAGGATATGATATTAAATGTGAATATAATCAGTATTCACATAGAATATTCGATTTACACATTGCTGGAAGTGCTCAAAATTTTACAAATAGATCCTTTGTCGATTGTTTTACAGATAAGGAGGAATTAGTAGTCTATTTGGAACCTTACAGTTACATGTATGAGGTGTTTCATTTTGTTGGCATTGTTTCTCTTGTTCTCTCCTTTTCACTATTCTGTTTGGCATTTTGTAGCTTTGGTCTTGCATGTATTGCCTTCAGAAAGAGAAAGAAGAACTCCTCAGCAAAACGTACAGGTTGTTGCAGTTCAATTCGATTATTCTTGTGTTGTAAATAAACCAAAAAAAGGACAAGTGAGAACAACAACAATCACTAGTACAGGTGCATTTGTGAACAAATGTCCAAGAGAAGAGCCGAGACCGATCCACAAGTACTGGCAAAGGAGAGGAAGTTGCCATCCAGCACAGCACACTTTATCACCAGATGTTATTCATCAAATTTCATTATTTGTGAATTTCTTTGATGGAAACAAGTTAAAACATGTCGATACAGAGAATGAAGAAGAGGTTGAAGATGATAATGAAAATAATAGCACACCAACATTTGATGAGCAATTTAATTTGTTGAACATGATGCTAATTGATTCACAATGGAATCAAGTGTTGAATTCCGATGAATATTACAAGGATATAATTTCAACGTTCTTATCCCAAGATGTAGCACCACACTATTTCAAAGTACCAGGTTATGGAAGAAAGAAATTGGATGATTATGAAGTTTTAATAATGAAGGGAATTTATCAATCATGGAAAGAATTATTTGTTAATTTGTAAGTTTTTCATGTGTTCAAAATCTGATTAAACATCTTGATAGATTCTTTAGAAAATTCGAAACATTTAATGAACAATACCATCAGGCAGAGACTATTCTTGCATTTGAACAAAATATCAGATACGGAAGTGAAAAGGAAGATGACGAAGAAGAAGTGGAGGATAATCAAGACGAGGAGAGCAATGAAAAAACCAACTTGACCCTATTATTGAAAGAAGAGGCAACTCTTTGCATTAAAGCAATTGAACAATCCAATGACACAACAGATTCCCTTCCTATTGGATCTTCTAAATTTGGAGGTAGACCTGATTTACCAAATGATTGTGTGTGGCCAACTATGAAGAATGATTCAACAACACACATGATTTTTGTTGGTCAAATTAACTTGAAAGACTTGAAAAATTGTCATGCACCTAAGGGTGTATTACCAGTAACTGGTTGGATGTTCTTCTTTATGGATTGGGGAGTTAATGGAGATTACTTTTCATTTTATTGGAATGGACCGGAATCTGAACTAAAAAGACATGACATGCCAGAGAAAGTGTACAACGATACCAAGTCTTTAAAATCAGTTTCCTTAAGTTTTGAAGAAATTGTTCAACCTTTAAAGAAGAGTTCTATTGAAGAGCATGAATTACCTGAGGATGAAGAAGTTTTACTGCCTGTTGGTGGTTTTTCCTCAATACTGGGCTATCCTATGGCTTTCCAAGATGATGGAAATTACCTTCATACTAGTGGAAAGGTTTTCCTTTTCCAATTCAGTGGTTCAAACCAAGTAGACATTGATATGGGTGATGCCAACTTTTATTATTGTGCAAATATTGAAGATTTTTGTGGAGAAAAGACCCAGTCCAAGGTTGGTATTTATTCTGAATTCCAATCTTAAGCTGCTAACACGACATCCATATCATTCTTATCTACTTGAATTCTAATTGGTTCCATAAATCCATAATGGATCATTAATCTATACCATACATTCCATAACCATTGCTTGTATTCATAAATAAAGAGAATGGTTTCGAAATGTAAATATTGAGAATGTTGTTGATATTTCAATTTCATGTAATTCCACATTGACAAATTTTCACTCAAAGGTTTGCCTTCTTGACAAGCACTAAGAGTGTCTGGAAGAGATTTAGAATGATACATTCCTCTTGATGCAATTCTTGCATTAATGACATATCTATTAACAGGAACTCCCATCGATTGATTAACATATCTCAATAAATTATTGGTTCTCATAATTAACAACATTTCTGTTGGCATATTTCTGACCATTTGTTGGAACTTGTCCATTCTGTGCTTGATAATTCCCTTAAAGAAGGTTTCAAATTCTGCCTTTGTTCCATGAGATGACAATCCAATACCACTCTTCTCATCATAACCTCTCATTAAAATCAGAGAGGCATACAATTGAGAATCATCAATACCCAAATCTTTACAATATTGGTCAACAACTGGCTTGTCATGCATTACCAAAGCTCTCCAAAATCTTGCAAATTTCACTCTGAAATCTGGATCCAATGTCTGATACAAACCATGATCGAGTAGGACAACCTGTGAATGATTTGGATTTTTGGGATGAGCCCTCACTAGAATATTCCCAGGATGTGGATCAGTGTGGACGAAACCAAACACAAAGATCATCTTGGCAAATATACTCATAGTTGTCTTGGCAGATTCGACCATTCTCTTATGATCCATATGTTTGGTAATAGATTCAATGTCACTAATTTTCCATCCATCGATAAATTCCATTGTGAGAACTCTTTTTGAAGAGAGTGGTGAAACAATTTTAGGAATGTAGAGACTTTGGGTGATTCCTTCTTCCTCCTTCTCAAATAATTTTCTAATCTTGTTTGAATTTTCATGTTCAATGTGAAAATCCAACTCTTGATTCAGAGTATCGTCCAACATTTTGCCCATCCATGAAATGTTATAATGAGGAAAGAAGAAGTGAATAATCTCCATGGCAGCTTGCTTGGCAATCATATCTCCCTTATAGAAATAACGAATGGATGGATATTGAATTTTCACAGCAACTGTCGATCCGTCCAATTCAGTTCCTTTCAGTGATTCAATAGCCCCTTTTCTGAGCTTTGCCTTGTGTACTTGTGCCAAACTTGCTGCAGCAATTGGCAATTCGTCAAATGACTCGAAAATATCTTCCAATTTCCTATCCTTCAATTCTGGATGTTTGTGAAATTCTTCCTCAAACATGAGCCTGATTTCTGATAAATCTGCCTGATAAGGAACCTTATCTTGCAAGACTTGGAGTGTCTCTGTCCATGCATCTGGTAAGAAATTGGTCATTGAGGACATGTACTGACCAACCTTGATGAAAATTCCTCCCAGATCAATAAACAAGTTCAAAAATTTGGTGGCACTTCTCTTGTGGGTCTGATAGATGAGAGTTTTTGTCTCATCAAACTCTTGATACTTTCCTTCGAGTGAATCTTTCAATCTCTTTTCACTTTCGATTAATTCCTTATCCCACTCATCACTTCCCATATTGTTGAGATAATCGTACAAACAACTAATTCCCACAAATCCCACTCGTGAAAATCTATAAGTTCCCTCCAATAATTGAATGAAATTTGCAACTAGATGCATAATTTCATGTTCCACCTTGTCAAGAAAATCCAAATTTGAATGATGCTCTCCTTTCACATCATGTTGTGAATAATGCCAAAGAAAATTTCTAAATTTCATCATGTGTGGTTTCATTGGTTTTTCTAAATACTTTTCATAAACCAAAATCAAGTAATAAATAACAAATAAATTAAACAGTAAATTATTAAATCTCATAAATTTTGATTTCCTTCTTGAATTTTGTTCGGACTTTTCATTGTTTTTTGAAATTTGTCCATCATTCAATTTATTCTCTTCTCTTGGTTGATGATTATTCAAAAGGATTTGCTCAGAGTTATGAAACTCTCTCGTTCGGAACAAATCAAACTTTGTATTCATGAATAATTTTGTCATCTTTGAATTATTCTTCATTAAACATGATAATTTTCTCTTCCCTAATCCACTCAACACTGCATTTGAAAGTGAGAGGGTATTTCCTTGTCGTTTCATCATTTTTTTATTTTATTTATTTGATTGTGTTGTTTTTAAGAATGTATCTGGAATTAATCTCAATTTCGGAGGAATGGATTGGAATTGAAGCGACACAGTAGCGAAAAATGTCATCAAGTATGCCACAATTTTAACAAGAAGTGTTTTGAAGGATAATAAAAAAGCCAACTTCCTTCAAGTATCATTCCTTAATCAATCCAAAATAATTGCCTCCCTTGGGAATCGAACCCAAGACCTCTGTCTTACTAGGACAGCGCTACTGCCAACTGAGCTAGGAAGGCTTACATTCAAGTTGAAAATTAACCTCTGATATTCCTGGCAAATACTATTTAATTTTTATTAAGAAAAGTATTTTCCCATTCTTTCATTGGAATATAACCTCTCGTTGATTTTTCTCTCATAACAGATAAATATTGTACAGGAAACTCAGCACAAGCTATTAAATGTTTTGGAAGATACAATTGCCCACCATATTCATGTTCCATTCTGATTTGATACAATTCTTGAAAGTAATGGTTATTTTGAGCATATCCATTTTGCTTGACCGCTTCAATTCTCATTTCTAAAGTTGGTGAATTAACATATCTTAGAGCTAGACCATTTTGTTTGACAGCTATTATACAAAGTTCTGGATCAGATCTCACCGAATAATTAAAATACTGAATACTGGTTCCATTCTGTTTGAGCATTTTCTTAATAAAATCTCTATCTTTTCTAATTGGATTCTGACTTGGAATAAACTCTATAAAACTCTTATTCGCATGTCTAGACGCCATTTCAATCATATCAGGATCATTTCTTAAATCCGTACAAGCAAATTCATATATTATACAAGAGCTCTCCAAAGCTTTCATCAATAATTTCTTATTGTTAAGAACTAAACTCTGAATTGTTGCAAGCCTATTGTAAAACACAAAGCAAGGCCAGGAATCTTGCTTGTAATACTTACTAGCAGCTTCAAGTGCTTCAATATTCATATCATGATTGGACTGAAATTCCTTGGAGGCATGGCACACTTCTAAGGCACATCTATTGATTGCTTTGCTCACTAATTCTCTATCATTTTTGAATTCTTCTGAAACATATTTCAAGAAGTTAATCCCATCTGGATGACATGGTTGAATTAAATCGAGTAGCTCCATCACCATTTGTTTGTTGTTTCTTATTCTTTCAGAAACATGGATTAAACTTGGTAATTTGATCATGGAAGCACGGACAATCTCAATATCGTCTTTAAATTGTTTTGGAAAATAATGCAAACAATCAAAATTTGAAACCAGTAACAGAGCACACTTCTTACTATACAGTACACTATCGGGAAGCCAATTAAACTGAATTTCCTTCCTCATATCAATGGCTTGTTTGATAATTTCCACACTTTCATCTTCATTCTTTCCATTAAAGTCTTGAAATTCTAAACGACCTCTGTGAAAGAGTTTCAGAGCATCCTTATTCAAAGCAACATCGTAATCTGTCAAATTATTCTCTAATGCAGCCTTGCAAATCATATAATTCTCGCGAATTCTCTTGGAACCATATGCAAGTGCTTTTCCATCAAATGAAACACTATTAAGCATAAATTCATCATTATCCAATAAACAATCTGTTGAGGAATATAACTGAATAGCCTGTAATAGAGATCTATTGGTAGAACTATCTCCATCGCTTGATAAGCTAGTTAATTGCTTCCTTAATATCATTCTATCGTTATGAAACTCTATCGGAATGTGAAATTCACTCATTTCTCGATAATCTGTACAAAAAGCCTGTGTAAGAACTTCATCCCTCCGATTATTCCACTTGATAAACATTTTTCTCTGCTGTGAAAACTTGTTTAAAAGTAACCGATTAAGGGTTTCGTTTTTATGAGTCGTTTGTGTGAAATCGACTAGTAGAAGACAAACAGTCATTTTTTTAAAGTTGCTATTATTGATTTTACAACTATTTTATTGGTAATAAGCGAAGTTAAAAAGACTACAGCACCACAGGTTCCCAAGTTGTCTCCAACCTCAGTACTGATGTGGCTCGACGATGCTTAACTTCTCAAATCGGACGGGATGAGGTGCATTCATCGTGATATGGCCGTAGCCATCCATAACACCAATTTTTCGATCTTCAAATCATACCAAGGTCAGAGCGAAAGATAAGGATGGGATGAAGGTTGTGAAAAATATTACAATTTATTCATCATCTTCATAGTCATCATCTTCATAATCACCTTCCTCATCATCCTCATCGTGATTAATACTGTGTTTGAAAGCAGCTTCTTCCTCCAATTTCTTTACCTTCATTTCAATAGCTCTTTGCTCCAAAACACAATCTGAGAAAATTTCGGCAATCTCTGCCAAGACTTCAAAATCCACTTTTTGTAACTCTTTTGCTGCACCTTCTAACTCATCACAGCTGAATGCTCCACTCGATACAAGTCTTCTGACATATTGTAACAAACTCTCTTTCAAAGAAATGTCTGCTATAAAATCGGCCATTGAATAAATATCAATAATGTACTGAGTAATGGTTTCTTGATTAATCTCAAAGGAAGGATTAATGTCAGTAGTGTCGCAAGTTGGAAAAGCAGATTTACATAAGATTACATTTTCAAAATCCACATCGTTAGTGTATGCAAAGTATACTAAGGCTGCTACAGAAATTAATGGATGGGCTTGGTCTTGCAAATAAAATATCATTGAGACATCTGAAATATCAATCACATTACTTTCATCCACAACCATATTGTTGAACAAGTTGTTAAAATATTCATAACGAATACAAAGGAGTGCCTTTGGTACTGTAATTTTCCAAGTTTTGTCTTCAAATGTCAAAGATAAAGTAGCGTTAGTGTTGATTTGTGAATATTGAAGAGAGCTATCCATAAGCATGGAGAAATTAGTGTACATGTATTCTCTTGCCAATCTTACTCTCTTAGTTTCATAGCTATCGATCTGAGAAGTGCAACAGAGCTTGAAAAAGGAAATTTCTTCTTCTGAGAACCCTTTTTGACTGAGGAAGATATCAATATGTTTCTCTCGTGTTTCGTTGATTGTTGGGAGTACATTAAAGGATAAATAATTAGCAGTTAAAATTGCCAAATCTTTCAAGATAGCATCATTTGAAAGTTTAAGCTTGTCCCAAATAATCTTGAAAAGAGAAATACCCTTCCTGATATCAATTGATATATATAATAACTTTCTTAAATAATCAATCATTTCTTGAATGCCAATAGAACAGACAGCTGAATATATCTCTATAAAGTCTTTAAAAATTGGCGTGTCTTTTTCATGATATGGAAGACTGACATCATTTGGGGTTAACTCAATACCATAGCAATACCTTAGTAAACACTTCAATGTCAATGTAGTAAAGTGTGTAGTGTCAAGCTTTTTCTCAAACAATTCTCTAAAATATTGAATATGGGATAGCATGAATTTGTGGCATAGGAATCTGTCACCATCAGTTGATACTAGGGTATAATCTGAATAATTGTTTTCTTTAAGTAACTTCATGGACAATTCCTCAAACACAGCATCAGTAGAAGCACTTTTAGTTGGATCAATAAGTAGAGAAGGGTCGTTTTGATAATCAAAGTGAGTCAAATCAAAAGTAAGAAGGGAAGAATCATAATCAGAATAACCAGTTTTGCCAGTTTTACCTCCAAAGCTAAGAAATTTCTTAGATAATGTTGTAGGATAAGAAGAAATCATTGGTCTGGAAAATGTGGTCATACTATCTCCATAATCATAGAATAAGCAGTTAGATTTAAAGTTAATATCATTATAACCAATACATAATCCAATATTTCCTCCTCTGTAAATTATTTCATCGTCGGTCAGTATTTTCTTTTTTAATTTTCTCTCCTTGCCTAGAGTAATTCTCTTCAAAGAAGATTTTTCATTCTCTTCTTCTCTCTGAATATCAAGCATTGAAAGTGAATCATCAACTAGTTTACAATTTTTCCAAATTTCTTCCTCAATGTTATATATTTGAGTATCTTTAAATCTATTTATGTCGTTTCTTCCACCATGAAGAATTAGGTATTCATATTGTGATTCAAAGTTATGATTGAACTTCATAGTCTTTGAAATAAACTTTGGTTTTCCATAAGATTGAAATGATGATAATCCAGCTGCAAATCTAGCATCTGGGAAAGAGTAGTTACAATCAACACTGAACCAAGTCTTACAATTAAAGTCAAAATATTCCAACAAGTTAAGTGAAGAGCTACTCGCATAGTAATGGTCATTACTTGTTCTTCCACCAAAAATAAAGAACTTATTCAAGACCATTGCAGAACAAAGTACATGCCTGGAACTTGGTTTCTTACCTGCCAACACCTCGACATCCTTCCAAAGCAAATCTCTAAAATCAAATTCAATAAAATCATCGAATTCAAAAAGTGATCCCTCACCCCCAAACACTACAAATCCCGATTGATCTGATTTCAATTCCATAGCATGAGCATATCTTTTACAATCACCAATAGGAACAACTGTCTCAAAAACACTTTGATAATGGACTTTCCTCTCGTGTGGATAAGGGTAACCAGTTAGATTTCCAGTTGCTTGCCTCCAGTTAGTTAATCCTGTGTCACCAAGATGTGTTTTCCACTTGAATGTATTCAAATCCAATTTAAAAACGCCAATATCTAGAAATTGATATCCCATATTGCTCTAAATGAATCATTCAGAAATGCAAAATGAAAAATAAACTCACCACATTACCACCAAAGAAATAGATTGCATGATCAGCTCTTCTATAAACACATTTCATTCCCCATGCCTGACGAATTGCTGAATTATTAACAGAGTGTTGTTGCCAAACACCTGTTCTCAAATCTAATTCAAATACTTCAAGATCTCCACTCACAACATGTTCTTCAACAACACCACCCATACAGAAGAGTGAATGTCTCGGAGGACAAGCCACAAGAGCAATTTGAGATCTTTGTGAAGGAACTTTGCCTCGTTGTTGTTCCGCTGTAAATTTTCGATAGGGAATAAATGGATCGGAGCAAATATCATTCATGAAGCGAGACGAAGTGGTCGAACCAACACTAACACTCTCGCTTTGATAATTTGATGACATTTTTTTAAAAATAAAAATAAAATTGAAGAAGTGATTATTAGACTTATTACATTTATTGATTGGAATTTGATTCAGTTGGAAGGAAGCGTTGAAGACAATTCGACACCATCATTTTACAACTCAATATGTGTCTGCCAATGAGAGCCAACTCTTCATTTGTAAGATCAGAGAAATCCTTTTGGTCAATATCAAATCTGTTCATGGGAGCTTTGTAAATTTTGAGGTCATCATTGTGCTCTCTCAGTTTTTGCAAATTTTCAACTGCTCCTGACAATACTTCACATAATTTACCATCATCAATATCTTCATCTTTCTGGAGAAATTGGCATTCGTTCATCACCAGTATTCACTCTTTTAGCTTTTCTAAACAACCTTAAATTCAATTCAATTGAAAAATTCTTCTCTCTATTGGTCAAGAGTTCGTACAAATTCGCCAAGTAATCTTTTCTTTCTTTTTTCAATTCTTCCTCTGTGAGAGTCATTTTGTTGATCAATTTGGATCGTTCACGAATACTTTGCTCCACTTTTTCTGTTTCTTGTTGCAAAGATGTAAGTTTTGTAATTAATCGTTGCAAGCTGAGTTTTGTGAAATTAAGTGAAGAATAAGGATGAAAGACTTCTGCTTGCAATGGTGGAAATGATGATTCTGAAGCTTCTGATGATGGAGAATAAGAAGTATCATCAGATTCATTGTCTTCATCGTTAAGTACTTCCTCCTCGCTTCACCTTCATCAGAGGAAGAATCATTTTGTTGATGTTGTTCTTGTTGTATTTTACTCAAAGGAGGTTCTTTTGTGGGATTGATCATCTGTGTAGCAATGTTCCTCTTTGATTGTTGTCAAAAAACAGCTATTATCAGCAGAAACGTCTGCCTTCTTCAATTTAGAAGGCTTTTCTGCGTGATCATTGTCGGATACAGAAGCACTCTTTCTTTTGACCATTTTTTTTTAGAAAATATTTAACCAATTCCGCCCTTCATACACAAAATTTTGTTTTTCTTACGGAATTAAATTTAGTTGTGCAACACTTGACCAAGAATTGAATGTCGTAGTAGTGCATATTGTAGAGGTAGTATTACCTGAGAATATGAATCCTCAGCAGAACCCAATTCAAAATAATTTACTCTGCATTGCAGTAAGGGAATACCTTTAGAATAAATTTCGTCATTAGGAGTCAATTCTCTCATCAATTCCTCAATCATTTCGGTACTCACTTGTCTTTTCAATTCCTTCTTTAATCCAATAATTAAAAAAGTAATGTTTTTCTTACTCAACCAATCCATAATTGAATTTTCATTTAATTTTGAAAGAAAAAATGGAAGATATTTCATTCGTAAACTTTCGAATGATTCTTTCGAGCTCAAATCGAAACAATATACAATAACATTACTTGATGGTATTTGAGATGATATTATTCCTTGATAAATCCACTCTCCTGAACAATCCCACAATTGAATTGAAAATGTTTCATTTAAAGCTGAAAATCTTACAAATTCCACTTCTGAACTTATTGTTGGTTCTATTTTCGTTTTAAATTTAGAGTTTGGAATTATCAATCTATCAACAAAACATGATTTTCCACATGATTTAGGTCCCATGATGAGGAATTTCAAAAGTTTCCCACTTTCGGTAGTGTATTTAATATTTCTATTGAGAAATGGAAGAAAGGTTGAGTGAAAATGAGTAAAATATTCACTTGGTGAATTTTTGGGAATTGGTTTAAACCAAATAAAAGATCCATATTCTGAACTATCCCTCTCTTTCCAATTTAATCGAATCCAATAATTTCTAAAATTCCTGCTAACTTGTTTTAACTTTGTATATTCAATATTATCCAAATATGATAATATTAAACTGAGTAATTCATCAGGTAATTGTTTTTCTAATGTGGAAATGTTGTTGAAATTGTAAACTTTCCGTTTATCAATATCATTATCAACATTAGTTTCGTATTTTGCAAGAAATAAATTTTTCGGATAATGATCAATTATTTCTGATGGTGACGGAGCGAGTGTTAGTGATTGTCCCATTTTTTTTTTAATAATTTTCAAGATGACGTGTTATTGATTGTAAAATAATTTTCAATAATTACAAAATTAATAAAATGATATTGGAAAAATCAAAGAATAATTAACAAGAGTCTGCATACCTTATTGAAAGAAGGAATTTAATTTACTGAAAATAATGAACAAACTTGAAAACTTAGATTTCTCAGTTTTCTAATTGGTAGTGATTGTCCAAAAACCATTTTCATCCTGACCAACAGCAACATCAACACTGTCTTTGTGAAATGTACTCAAATCAATACAGGATACAGTGTTTGGATGAGATCTGATAATACCACCAGCTTCAAAATGAGTTTGATTGACAGCCAAATAAATCTTTGGAGACATTTTGATTTCGACATTGTTTTCAGGACCAACATTGGGAAATAAAACAGCTGGAGTGCCACTAATCATCAAACCAAGACTTTGGAAGGATCCAGTATTGTTCTCAATGTGAACAGTTGCTCCTGGAACGGCTACTCCACTTGATTCTTTGAAAATTGGAGCATCAAGATTTCCAGCCATCACAACAGACACCGATTGACCTTCAGAAACATCCTTTGAAGTTGCAGCTCGGACCACATTTCCTTGAGTTTTATGCGAAACAAAAGCTTTCAAATTCATTTCAAACACGACCGAGGCATGAGAAGAACTATCATTGAAAGTAATTACTTTCCAGGCCACTGGGAACAGATCATTATAAAGTATGTATGGTTTAGTTTCAGGTTGAGTGAAAATCATCAAAGTGAAAGGTTGTTTAGCTTCCTTGGCAGTAAAATTAAGAACTCTCCTAAAGACCATCTTTGCTTTTTTTTGAGTTTGAACTAATTTGGCCTTTAAATATCGACTATCACAAAGTCATCCAGAAAAGTCAGAGAAGAATTGCTGGCTTTTAAAAAATGTCAGTGAATGTATAATATTAAGGTGCTTTCAATGATTTTAACAAAAATGTTCAGATCCTATCACAGTCATTCACTCTTTGTAAAGAAATAGTTGTTGCCTTGACGACTTCAGTGAATGGACCAAAAACTCTTTGTAATTCTTCACTACTGCCTCTACTGTATTCACTGACTGCCTCAATGAGGAAAAGTTTGAGTGAATGGAAAATGAAATAATGTTGAATTGACAGTCAACTATAACAATTCTGAAATTGAAAATCATATGGCTGCAAAATATTTAAAAAAATGTTTCAACCACCAACTCTCGATGAATGCCAACAAGCTCTCGAATTTACTTCCCTCTCCGATCATGAAAAAACATGTAAATGTTATCAATCACAATATTTTGATCAATTGACAGAACAATTGTGGGGAAATTGGTTGAATCAACACAAGGAAAGTGGGCAAACTTTTAGAAATTTCATGGATAAACATCAGGATGATGATTTATATTGTAAACAGGAGGAAAGACGAGTGGTTTATATTTACCTGTTGGATAATGTATTGATGGATGGACAGGTTGACACAACAGCTCAGGAAATTCAATTCAAAGACAGAATTGGAAATCATCCATGTTTGAAAAAGGTGATTGAGTTTCTGAGAGCTTTTTATTGGGGAGTTACTGTGAAAGCCATGCAACCATCCGAGAAGCAACTTTCTGATTATAGAAATCAATTCAAATTTACGAATAGAATAACTTCGTTTGGGAAGAAACAGTTTCTAACAAGTGATATTATCAATTTTCTAAAACAAGTGAAACCTAAAGACTGTTATTGCATGTTGGCATTAACAAGTTTTGATTTGTATCCAAAGGAAGATTGGAATTATGTCTTTGGAATTGCAAATATGACCCATCAAGTTGGAGTTATTTCTCATTCGAGATTTGATCCAAACTTTATGAACAAGTTTTATCCGATTCTTTCAGAAAAGGAGAAGGAAGAATTGATTTTGAAGAGAAGTTGCAAATTGGCTGCCCATGAGATTGGCCATTTGTTCAAGTTCAAGCATTGCATTTATTATGATTGTCTAATGAATGGATACAATAGCTTAGAGGAGGTGGATGGGACTTTTATTGATATATGTCCGATAGAGATTAGAAAGTTGAAAGAGTCAATTGGATTTGATGAGCAGGAGAGATTTGGAAAGATGAGAGAATTTTTCAAAGGCAATGAGGAGTGTTTTGGGAAAGAATTGGAGTTTGTGGAAAAGATATTGAGTAAACCTTAATAACTGCTGTTATAGCTCAGGAATGTATTTTTAAGATATAAAGTGTGAAATCAGGTGTGGTATAGTGGTAGCATTCCAGACTGTCACTCTGGCGACCCGGGTTCAATTCCCGGCACTCGAGAAGTAATAGTTTTATATTTTAATCATTTCTCAATAATTTTTTGCACTTTCTTGTGGTATGGTTTTGTATCTTCATTTGATTTCATTTTTATTTTTCAAAAATATTTTGTAATTCCTTTTTTGGAAGCCTCAGAAGAACCATCATTTTTTTCACATCCCCTGTACTTTAATTTTCCAAACATTCTCAACCCAAAATCAATTCATCTCTCCACAAACTATTCTCCACCTTCACTTTCACCGAAATATCAATTCTACCATTCATCCTTTATCTCGCTCAATTTTAATACAACCAATCAAGCATACTTCAATATTTTGTAAAAATAGCAAAAAAACGCCATACGCTCGAGTTATTACTTGTTCTTTCCCGCCAAAATCTCAGTTAGTATTTGTGGTAAGTGAGAGGACAACTCATTCTTGGTTTTGGTGTCACTCATCTCTATGAGATCTTGCAAACTGGAATGCAATCACTCTGTAGATGCAACGATATCTACAGAAATTTTACATTTTCCTCAACAAAATCTTGATAAACTTAGAGATAAATCTTTAGCCTATACTTTAATGCACTTTCTTCAAGTGTTTATTACAGTTTGTTGTCATGTAACAATATTTGGAATAGAGCACGAATCTTGATTGAGTCACTAAGTTTTCCTTCTTTACAAAAACCAAGCATATCAAAAAATCCCTGCCTAAATTGTTCCTAATTTTTGCTCTTCAACATTTGATTGGATCTTCAAAAAGAGACTGGACGAATTGAATAGAGACACACTCATTACCGACTTTTGATGCTATCAATACACTTGTCTCAAAACTATTTCACATCTTCTATATACTTCATACAAAACTTATTCGAAACATATTGTTAAAACTAATCAACATTATCCTTCTCGTTGTATGGAATCTGATACTCCCAATTGATGAACCTGTATTGTCAATTGACTGCTCCACTACATCGAAATAGTAAAGAGTTATTCTTTCAACATCCAAAATGTCACCCAAACCGCTAATTCAAATGACTTTCTTCTTCGCATCAGTGATTCGACATGCTCGTGTCACCAATCCCCCATCATTTCACAACTAGTAATGTGTTCTCTCTGCTGAGCAATATTTAAAATGTCACTCGAGCCAACTGCCAATCAAATCATCCACATAAAAAAATTCACAATTTATAACAAGATGAATAAGACCCTCTTGTTCGCATTAGCCATGCTTTTCTGCATGGTTGCTTTCGTTTCTGCTGGTCCATCTGCCAGTGCTGAAACTCTCGCTGCCACCACATTGTGCAACACTTTAGGAAATAAAACTAAAGGATGTGTCAAGTCATCTAGAAAACTCTTGAAAAGAGTTCCAAAGAATAAGAGAAGACAAGTTAAGAGATTGTTAAAGAAGGCCAGAAAGAATGCTCGTAAAGCAAAGAAACAACAAAGAAAGCTCAGAAAATTGAGAAGATGTGCCAAGAAGGCTAAATCTTTGAAGAAGAGAAGACAATGTAGAAGAGCATTGAAGAAGGTTGTTAAGAAGATCAAGAAGGCTAGACGTGCTGCTAGAAGAGCTGCCAAGAAGGCTGCTAAGAAGGCTAGAAAGGCCAGAAGATCTGCTAGACGTGCTGCTAGAAGAAAGGCCAGAAAAGCTTTGAAGAAGGCTAAGAAATCCTTGAAGAAGAGAAGAGCTTTGAAGAGAGCTGTCAGAAAGGGTAGAAAGTTCGGAAGAAAGGTCAGAAAGGTCAGAAAGTGTAAGAGATCTTCCTCAAGAAAGACCAGACGTGCTGCCAAGAGAAGAGTCAAGAAGGCAGTTAAGAAGGCTTTGAGAAAGTTGAAGAAACAATTGAAGAAGGCTAGAAAGGTTGCTAAGAAGGCTGCCAAGAAGGCTAGAAAGGCTAGAAGATTGAGAAGAAGACCAGCTAGAAAATGTAGACGTGTCTCAAAGAAGTCCATTAAGAGAGCTGTTAAGAGAGTTGTCAAGAGAGCTGTTAAGAAGGCTACTTTGAAGCTCAGAAAGCAATTGAAGAAGGCTAAGAAGCAAGTCAAGAAGGCTAGAAAGGTTGCCAAGAAGGCTGTTAAGAAGGCCAGAAAGGTTGTCAAGAAGGTCAAGAAGACTTGTAGAAGAAAGGTCAAGAAGGCTGCCAAGAAGATTGCTAAGAGAAGATCTGCTGCCAAGAAGGTCGTCTTGAAGAAGGCTGCTGCTAAAAAGTTGAACAAGGTTGTTAACAAGTTGTTGAAATTGAAGAAGAAGCTCGGTAAGAGATTCAACCCAAAGAAACACATCCCAAAGAAGGTTAGAAAGGTCTTGAGAAAATTGAGAATTTCTGCCAAGTGTGTCAAGAAGGTCAAGAAGGCTGCCAAGAAGGTTAAGGTCTCAAAGGCTTTGTTGAACAAGTTGAGAAAGGTTTCTTCCAAGTGTAGAAAGTAAATCAATTTCATTTGAATTTGAATCATTAAATTATTAAATACATATTTGGAAATTCAATTATTAATTTACCCATAAATTTGTTATTGTATTGCGTTTTGAAAAAAGCATGTAGATCAACAAAACTGATATGTATTGTAATATTATTTTAAATTGATTGGAAAAATTGTAAACTTTCAAAAAACGAAAAATTTGGTAATTCAAGATTAATTTTTTTTGAATTTGATAAAAAAAATGCTCAACAATACTTTGGATAATAATTTTTCAATTAATCAGAATTCTGGTGATAATAATGATGGAAAAAAGAGAAAATTACAAATTGCCTTTGATGATGAATTAATTAATCAACACGTTTCGGAGCAGATGAGTAAGAAGAGAATTCAGAATGATGAATTTGATTCGGAATTAATTCCTTTTTATCTGCAAGATGTATTTCTGGAAAATGTATTCCCGTTCATGAATGGAAGAGATTTGAATCGGATTCGATTGGTATGCAATAGTTGGTTTAATTTTCAGAAGGGAGATTATTTTGTATCGAATCATGTGGCTCGTTTGAAATTAGAACATGATGTATTGAATATTTCAAAGAAAAAGACTCAATTATCTATTGTGAGAATGCATTTGGGATACAAGCAAGGGAAAATGTTGATTATTCATATAGAAAAGAATGATTCTCTTTCAGAGGATTTAATTGATGAACATGTATTGGATCCTGCTTGTACCAAACAAATAGATGATACAATCATTTCAAAATTTGATTTTACAAAAATTAAATCAATTGTTGGATGGAAGGATGGAAAGAAACATGGAGAAGTTATTGATTATTTCAAAACTGGAGAAATTATGCAAATTGGACATTTTGAGAATGGAAAAAAGCATGGAGATTTTATCAAGTATTTCAACTCTCCTCATGTTGTGGAGAGGACATGTTCCTATAAGAATGACAAGTTGTGTGGTAAATTGGACGAATACAAGATAGTTCGCGATTTACAAAATCAAAAATTAGTGTTGAAAGATGTAGAATGTTCGTACGAGAATGGAAAGTATCATGGCGAGAAGATTGTCTATGATAAAGATGGAAAGATTACAGAAATTACCAATCACAAGAATGGAAAATTACATGGTGTTTCCAAATATTTCGAGGTTGGAAGAGGTTATTTGAAATTGGAAGTAAATTATCAAGATGGAAAATTACATGGCACCCACAAATCATTCTTTGCTAATGGAACACCATTTGAAACCAAAGAATATGAAAATGGAAAGTTAATTTCTCAAACAATTGGCTCAACAGGGCGAAGAACTAGTCAAGGATTAGAATCTTCTGATGAAGATCAGGATGAGGAAATCATCAATTCAGACAATGACAACGAAGAAGATATTGAATAATTGGATTTCTAGATTTGTTTGTTTCAAATTGTGAAATCATCACTTGTTGAAAAGGAACTTGTTATTTATAGAACTTTCATCATAAAAAAATGGAACCACATCACACCAACATCCATGAATATGAAGAACCGATAGGCGAGTCCACTATTGTAACACTTGATCACTATATCGGATCACGTATATTAACCAATTTTTATAGAACATCAGCTAGATTTAATAGTACACTGATCAATTTTGCACAATATCTTCAATTATTCAGAGGAGAGTTAAGGACTCAACAATCTCCAAAATTAATATTTAGAGCGAGTAGGGATGGATTTTCAGATGTGACTTTTCATAAACAATGTGATGATCAAGGAAAGATTGTAATTATTGTAAAATCAAAGGCAGGAGATTTATTTGGAGGGTACACAACCCAAACCTTGAAATTGGAAGATGATGCAGGAAGTAATGTAAAGGATGAACATGCATTTACATTTAGATTTGAATCTGATCGATTGCATATTTTCAGATTAAACCCACTTTATTCTGCACATGCATTGTATAGATATTCCTCCACTTATTTATTTGCATTTGGTTATTGCTTTTGGTTGTGTAACAATGCTGACAAACAAAACCTCTCTAGTTCACACGCTTCTACTGACAATTGCATATTACCAGAATGTCAATTGCCTGGTAATTCATCATCGGAAAAGAGATACTATGCAGGATATGATTTTCTAGTTGAAGAGTTTGAAGTTTATAAAATTATGGACTACTAATTTATGTTATTGCTCACCTTTAATGATTGGGATAATGAAAATGTTTGGCTAACGAAAAGAATCACTATTGGTATTATTTGCTGGATAAGTTTACAATAACATTTTTAAATAGGTCCATATTTGGAGAGTGTAATTTCAAAACTACCTCCGGGCCAAAATTGGAGAAAAAACCAACACACAAAAAACAACTAGAATTGCATGCGAAAATTGTGTTTATAATATTTATATTGCAAAAACAATATGTATACAACAATACTATCATCAAACTCTTCCCTCGGAAATCAATCATCATTATATATCGGAAACTGTTTACTGGTTGACCCAGATGGTTATCCCTATATTGAATGGATGTATAGCATAATGGGAGAGTGTGTTCATTCACCATTGGAACAGAGTTCATTCTACGTTGGATTGGGAAGTATAGTCCTCTATTTATTTGGAGGTATTCCACAGATTGTTCAGAATTTTATAAAGCATCATGCTGATGGATTGTCGCCTTGGACATTGGCTCAGTGGATGGTAGGGGATGGCAGTAATTTGTTGGGTGCAGTTCTGACAGGACAATTATTCACACAGATATTGTTGGCTGTTTACTTTGTTTTGGTGGATATCATTCTTATTGGACAATATGTTGGATATAAATTGAGGGATTGGTACAGAGGAAGGAAAGATAAGAAGAAACAAGTGGAAATGAAAGATTTTGAAGAGGATCACCATCATAAAATGGTTTTGGATAAAATAGAGCAAACCAGTAATAATGAATCAACAATGAAGAGAATTACCTCAAAGGTAATATCTGTTTTTGGAGAGAATAAGGAGGATGTTCATGATATGCATGTTGAAATGGTACATTCAGATCATTCAGATGATGAGCACCATCATGAAGAAACAATTCATGAAGATACTAATGCTGCAAAACTCAATTCTCCTCTCAATATTTCAATTCTATTGGTTTTGATTGCATTTTTCTGTATTTTTCAAATTATCAACACAGCTCAATTGAATCCAAATCTAATTGGTGCCGAGTTCACAAATCAAAGAGTTGGCAGGAAATTGCTTACCATTCAAGAAGAGAAGGATCACAATAGTGTTGAATTTCCTCCAACTTCTGCCAAATCAATCATTGGATATGTTATTGGATGTATTGCAACTGTTTCCTACCTTGGTTCGAGGATTGCACAAACATTCAAAAATTTTAAAAGAGGGAGTACCGAAGGAATGAATCCAATTTTATTCCTTTGTTCTGTATCAGGAAATATACTCTATTCGCTCTCGATATTCTTGTTTTCAGTGGATAGCTCATTCTTAATGTACAAAATTCCGTGGTTATGTAGCAGTTTGGGTAATATTACTCTTGATACAGTCATATTATCTCAATACACTTTCTATACATTTATCAAAAAACATATCAAAGCAGGAAAATCCTCTAAGGGAAATCAATCAAATAAGGTTTAACATGGTAATTCAACATGGATGGTTACATTGAAGTAGGATAAGGTCTATCATAAATTACTGCTTCTGGTTGTTCAATTGAAGAAGATGTAGTGGTTGGCTGTATTGGTAATGATTGATTTTTCTCGCTTCTAGGGGAAACTATACCTTCTTTAAGCACCTCACTGGATTTGTGTAACTCTTCAATTGCATTATTGACTTCATCTATTGAGGTTCCCGAGGAGGAGGAGGAGGAACTTGAGGAGGAGCTACTATCATGATTGGTTTCGACCACAGCTGCCGTAGCTGGTACTGTCACTGGTATAATTGGTTCACAAGGAATAATATTACTATTATTATTAGTATTTTTAGTTGTGCCAACTTTGTTCCTCTTAAGGTTCAAACTAGAGGGCAGATAATGATGTAAGAATAGTAGTTTCCCACCCTCTCTGCTTTGAAGAGTTTCATAAACCAAACACATAAAATATCCAATCGAAAGGGAAATGAAGAATACACCTATCACAATACCAGATACACCTAGTCCAATAACGTGATCCAACATATCTGGTGCCAATACAATTTCCATGTTTGGACAAGTTTTAAGATATTCAATCACACCCCTATGTCCTCCATCAACATTTTCCCAAGGAATATTTCTATTCAATCTTTCACCATTAATTCTAATGTCATTGTAGAAATTTTGAGTTGTTACTTTGAAATCATCAGACAAGGAACATTTCATACCCAATGGATTAATCTGCTCTGAGGTCATGTTATTCAAGCAACAAATACGGAATGATGTTGAGCTAGATAGTTTCGATGGCTTAAATTTTATACCATCTGGACCGACCATATTAGAGGTCATGTAGAGACTCTCAGTAATTTCTCTCAAAATATCTCCATAGACGGCAACAAATGATACAAAACTCAAAAGACCTATCAAAAATGTTAATATACAATTGAATACAATAGCATATCTATAATTGCCAGCAAAAGTAAATAGTTGATAAATACACTAGATCACATACCTCATTTTCTTGTGGTAATCACTGGTTATTTTACCAAAAAGCTTTGAGGTATAGACAGCTACGTATTGTAAATAATTAGTGATACATAAATCAACATACCTCCAATTAAGAAGAAGCCAACAGGCATCACCATCATTTTCAAATTATTGCCCTTTGATGTAAGGAGACTTTCATCATAACTAAACCCTTCTTTCCATATTACTATATGGGAAAAAGCAAGATAAATCAGAATTAAGGCACCAACAACTCCAGTTAGAAAGCCTCCAGTCAATACTGGGCTCTCAATTAGACCAACTCCAAACTTTCTATCGGTTGCAATCGAAGAAGAACGAGGCGAATAGGAACCAGAATCGTCTGTTGTGTAATAGTCAATTTGTTTATCCTCTTTAAGCCAAATAATCAATGCTTGCCACTCTCCTCCTCTTTTTGGAACATTTCCAGAGATGGTTTCAAATAAATTTATCTTTTTGTTTTCTCTCCATGTTAAAGTTGTCCTGTTTAGCAATGCTTGTTCAAATGTTTTTCCTGAAGTAAAGAGTAGAGATCCATAAACACTATAGGGAAAAAAGTTAGGTGAAGAAAATTGCAATGTTAGATCGAACCCGTCTACTAGTTCAGAAGATAAATAGTATGCTTGATAAATATGTTGAGCACTGGATGGGTTTCCTTCTTTGAGATCTGAATAATAGACCGTAAAGAACGGATTTCCGCTTACTACTGTTGATGTTGAATTTGTTGTAGTATTTGATGAACTAGTTGCTAATTGATTTACAGTGCCATTAATTGCTAATTGATCTATAGTTCCATTTGTTAATGTATCAGGTTTGGATGTATCATTAAGAGTTTGATTATTGATCATTGTATCATTCAAAGTGGAATCCATCCATTTCAATGATTCTCTTTTTGCAAATACTGGAGATGAAGTTGTTTTGAACAGTATATCAATGAATCCAGAGAAGTCAAATCTTCCATTCATTGAAACAAACTTCATACTTTTAGAATCAACAGTGGCAATTGCTGAATCTCCATTAAAAAAGAACCTCAAACTGAAACTAGTTGTGTAAGGATATTGATTCATTAATTCCGTTTTAAAATCATAATTTGATGATGAGGCAGTATCTCCAACCTTGATGAATATTTGCCCTGGCCTATCCAAAAATTGCAAATTAAATGCGTTAAATCCTATAAATAATTGAGCATCAGATGCCCTATTATCCCTAAACGTTAACCTGTGATGATATTCATTACTTGAAGATGTACTGGGAAGAGAGACCTTACTAACGGAAGACATTCGTGAGCTGATGATGGTCTCAGCACCCATAACTTGCCATCCTCCCGAGCAATTTGCTATTATTATTACTAATATTGTCCAACTAATAACCACTCCCGACCACAATAATTTGCTCATTCTCGTATGTTATTGAATGAGAACTCAAACTATTGATGTATTGAAGAAGAGGGAAGCGACGCCTTTTTTTCCTTAATTTTTTAAAAAACGACAAATTTATTGTGGCGGTTTTTTACTGTTACGATGTTATTCACCTTAGAAAAAGTTCATCCTCCGACGGAAATCAATGAATGGATCAACGAACAAAGCATATGAAATAGGGAACAACGGAAGATGTGATGATGCAAAAAGATGAAACATTCAATAAGATTTGAAGAAGACCAAGCTTAATGTTACTTGAGATTTGTTTTTAATTGGAAATGGAAATGTTATAATTTAATAATATATATATTAATAATCAGTATAAATAATATTTAAAAAATGGGACAAGATCAATCAACAGTTTCCATTCCGAAGAATAACATGTTTATTTGTGGAGAAAACAAAGAATGTAATTATATTTAAATACTTACATTTAGAATGAAAACAATTTGATAATTATTTAAATATATCATTGTATTATCAATATGATAAATAATGATCAAATAATATTAAAGATCAATTCGGAATTGGATTTTCAAATTATACAACATTGAGAGAAATTAATAATTTCAAACAGGAAAATATTAAGAAGGTGTGCTGTGGACCAAACTTTACAATTGTTCTAACCGATAGAGATGAAGTATATGGAACAGGATCGAATATTTATGGAGTTTTGGGTTTAGATTCATTTAGTCAATCGGATAGTCATCACTTTAATATTAATCGATTTGTAAAATTGCCAATTTCATTCAAGGTACAACATATTTGCTGCTGTAGATCGATGGTTGCTATTATTTCGAATGGATATTTGAAAGCAAATAGGGAAACATTGTTGAATAGATCGATTATTTCGAATAGTTCCAGTCCTACCCAATTAAATGCCTATGGGCAAATGTTTTTCTGGAGTGGAGGTGATATTTCAATATCTGGTTGTCCAATCAATAAGAAATTCACTCCAATATATGATTGGAATTTTAATATAATGGGAAAAGTCAAGTTTTTCGAGTCGAGTCCATTTTCTTCCTTTTTTATAGTAGTAACAGGTAATTATTAATATTTCATTAGATTATAATTTTCGTTGGAATATATTAGAATTCAATAGGGTTTACTTTTCTGGACAAAATTGTAGTGGACAATTTGGAAATGGAGAGGAGAAACGAAATTTTAAATCCTTGTACCAATTGACTGATAATTTATTTCCAACTTTTAAAGGCATAAAGCATGTTGCTTGTGGATCTAAACATTGTATTATAGTAACAGATGATAATGAACTCTACTCGAGTGGTAGTAATCAATATTTTCAATTAGGACACTCCAACAATGCGAAACAAGACACCTTCCAGAAACCTGCAACAGAATTTCAAGGCAAAAAAATTGAACTAGTCAAGTGTGGAGAAAATTATACAATGGTTTATTTGAGTAGTAAGTTTTGAGAGTTGGTTCGAATTTTTAATAATGAGGAAATTGTCAGATGGTGATTTATATGCTTGTGGAGCTAATCATTTTGGACAATTACTCAATAATCAAACTCAAAGGAAGGTTATATTTCACAAGATTCTAACTGATCGATCACTTGTTTCCCTCTCTTGTGGTAATAACTTTTCGCTCTATTTGACCAGGAATTGCCAAGTAATGAGGGCAGGTTCTAATGAATATGGTCAATTATTCTCTACGAAGAATGGATTTCAAATGCAAACTACAAAGGTGGATAAATCAATGCGTTTATTTGGATTGACTTGCTCCAACAATCTGACAATACTATATAAACAAAAGGATAATGATTGTGGAGAGATTTATTTGAGAAGATATTGCTCACAATTTGTCAAATCCTCTCCAAACAATAATAGACAACAGAACAAGGTATTATCACCCACAAAAAAGAGGAAGAAAAACTACCTTATGTACAGATCTATCCACGACCATTTCTCGTTCATGTTTGATATTGCTTCGAGCTTGAAAATGGAGAATGCTACCCACCTTTTGTGCGATATTGAGGTGAAAATTTTGGAATGATGAACAATGAAGACCTGCCCCACTACTGGTTGCAACTCTAATTCAAGAGTGTAATTCAAAGCACATCTTTCTTTTATTAAGGCAAATTGGTCTATTTCATTGATTAATTTTGAATATTTGTGATAGATTCATTTTAGTATGAATTTCTGAATGGGAAGATCAAAATGGGTGGTATCACTGTTTGGTTTTTATGTATTCTATGAAGTATCAACTTTCCAATTTTGATTTTTGGTTTCTACATGGCGAAGGAGGAGGAGCTGAGAATTAGAACATTGCTAATTGGTTAAAAAAATACTTGCTAAAACAAGGGTTGGGAATTCAGAATAAATCGACAATTTTCAGGTTTATTCAACAATATCACGGGAGCAAGCGGTATTTACAATAAACACGTGTCTGTGCAATCAGCATGTGTTGACTTTAGGTTAGTTTAGCCCTGTGCTTTCTTGTGTGAAATGATTTCAAAAATTAAAAAAATGTTTGCAACAGAATGTCTGTTGAACGAACATAGAATATTCAAAAGAGATTACAGCAATTACCTTCATCAGTTCCATGATGATTCTTCATCAACATGTGGGAATGAACAATTCGAATCTTTATCTTACTCAAGAAATTCATCTATGGAAGAAAGCTTGAACATTCAAACTAAAGAACTTGCTAAATCAATGCTTGAACATGCTGAAAGCTATGTTAAAGGTACTAATGGATATCCAAAATCCAATGAAAACGCTTTCGAATGGTATCTCAAATCTGCCAAACTTGGCAATGCTTCAGCCCAATATATTGTTGGACTAATGAACATGGACGGTATTGGAACCTCTATTTCTCATACCAAGGCATTGAAATATTTCAAGAAAGCTGCCAAACAAGATAACATTGGTGCCCAACATAATTATGGGAAACTGTTAGAAAGAAATGGTAAGCCTTATAAAGCTTTCAAATGGTTTGTAAGAGCTGCTGAAAAGGGTAACTGTAGGTACTCACAACATCGTCTCGGTGAATTATATCTGGATGGTATTGGAGTTGAGAATGATGATTCTACAGCTTTCGAATGGTTTCAACGAGCTGCAAATCAAGAATATTCAGAGGCACAGCTTGCTCTTGCTAGAATGTATTTTTATGGTCAAGGAGTAAGTCGTTCTCTGAAGAAATCCTTTGAATGGGCCTTAAAGGCAGCAACAAGTAATGAAAATGGAAGAGCCCAATATGAAACTGGCCTAAACTATTTGAAAGGTTGCGGAGTTGAACCATCAACAGAAGAAGCATTAAAATTCTTAAGAAAAGCAGCTGATAACGAAGATGCAGATGCTCAATTACTTCTTTGTGTAATGCACTATGAAGAAGTAATACCAAAGACCACTCCTGAAGAAGTAATATTTCAATGGTGTTCCAAAGCAGCTGACAATTATATTCACCAAATTGCACTATTCATCTTGGGAGAACTCTATGAAAAAGGAATTGGAGTAGAGCAAGATAATGAAATGGCATTTGAGAAGTACATGTCTCTTGAAGTATCAACATCAAATTTTATACTGTTTCCTTATCATTATTACAAAGAGTTATTGTTTCGTATAGGTGATATGTATTTGAATGGAAAAGGTGTTGAACGATCAAGTAAAAAGGCAGGGGAATGGTTTAATAAGGCAGCCAATAGAGGGCACTCAGAATCCAAATTTCGATTTGGGGTTTTAATGTTCCTTATTGGAAAACATTCAGAAAAAGCTCTATATTGGATTTCACAGGCAGACCAAGATGGCCATGTATTAGCCTCTGTTTTCGAAATGTGGACACAAGATATCCAAGACCTATTAGAGACAACTTCTTCATTCAAATTAGCTTGGATAATTAGAGAATGTTGCAATTTCTTTCTCTCCAACAAATATGAGACAATAAGGGATGTCGAGGAATATTTAGCAGGGAGGTTTCATGATGGAGGCTTTTATGAGCAAGCTTTTAAATGGTATAATATGTCTGCTGAAAAGGGAAACATACTATCACAATATAACATAGGAGTTATGTATAAGAAAGGTATTGGTGTGGCTCAATCCTATTCGAAATCTGCTGAATGGTATGAAAAAGGATTTTACAAATTATTACTTGAAACAGATTATTTATCAGGAAAGGATTTGGATTTTTAAGATTTTAATAAATAAGGTGTGTTGGTTTTTTATTGTTTTTAGAGTTTTGTGGTTTTTTGTGTGTGAGCTATTTACAAACCTTAGGCTAGTGATATGTTTGAGCTCAAAATGAGTCAAACAGTTAGTCACTCGGCCTTTGGAGATTCATTTTGTTGTTTTGGTTTCAGTTTGGCCAAACAGCCTGCAGAGTTTTGGAGGCATTGATTAAAGAGGCCAGCATTCCCAAGACTTGTTTCCAAAGTATGAGGAAGAATTTGTCGTGTATCCACAACACGATGACTTCCATACTCGAATGCATAAGGATCTAATCCAAATGAAGGGAAACATTCTAAAAGTGTGACATTATCCAAAGAAGAAATATCCCACTCAGTTTCAGGTTGAATCAAGATTGAGATTGGAACCCCTTCTTCATAATCGTAAAAGGTTTGAACTGTGATACTAGTGTCAAATTTACAGCAAAGTTCAGGGCTTTGTACTGACTTTTGATAGATATAAATAGTCTCTGAGGTAAGGAGAACTCTTTGCATGTGGAGACTGTCGTCTTCATCAGAATCTTCATCATCCTCATCTCTGACACTAATGACTGTATCTTCGAGGGCTTCCCGTACAATCTTTCCAATGAAACGAATAGGGATTCTACTGTTTGGTTGTCTATCCTTATTCAATTGAAGGAATGAGGAATATTCCTTCATGACGAATTCAATATGTTTTGGATCTTCATTGCCATACCAGAATGGAATTTCAATATCTACAAATTCATCGTCTTCGTCCATTTCTTCATTGTCCTCTTCTTCGTCCTCCTCATCACTTTCATCGTCACTTTCTTCAGAATGTCTAAAGTAAAAATGTTTAGATTTAGGTTTAGATGGGACGACATTATCATCTTCATCGACATCGATCCAATCATCGTCATTATCGTCTTCCATTGAATCTTGTTGATTTGATTCTGTTGTGGAATGTTCCTTTCCTTTGATTTTCGATGGGACTAGTTTATGTGAGTTGGCTAATTCGCCACTCACTTGTTGATTCACCACTGTTGTTGTGATAGTTGAGTGTTGGTGCACTACTGATGAAGAAGAAGGTGCTTGCATCATCTTAAAGTAGATAAAGTTAGTTGTAGTAGCTTGCTGATTCATAAACGGGTGCTGAAAGCCAATGGCAATATCTGTTCTTGGAGCATAAAATGTTTGGTTCATTGTCAAGGTCATTGTTAATAATACTATTAATGTTGTTGTTGTTGGTGACAATAGAGAAGAACATAGGATTATAGAATTGAGTCAAACGATATAAATCGTGAGTGCGGAATAGTTGGTTGGTTTGGTTGTTGTTTTAAATATATAGTCTTGTCTAATTAATTGTAGAAGCTCTTGATAATAATTGTATTGGGCTTTCTACTAAGTTCAAAGAGGTATGAATAATACTACTAATGATGTTGTTGAGTTTTTTTAAAATTATCAAATTCCAGATGCAAACCCGCCTACTTAAAACAATTGCTATCGTAACGGCTGTAGTTGAGGTTAAATTTAGAATAATAAGCGAAAGAAGAGGAAGAATGAAAACGTGAGGATTATTTTTAAACGCCAGAGTTCCTTTCGCAGCAGATATGGTGTTGATGGTATTTGCTTGTTGTGTTACACAAATATGCAATGATGGTGATGATGGTCGAATGATTGTTGTATGAAAGATTCAACAATACTTAATGTGATGTTTTTCATTATCTATGTTATACTCAAACACAAAATACCTACACTTTCGGAAATTAAAATGTGATGGTGAATGTAGTGTTGTTATATGCTTGCTTCAATGTGCAATATAAACAACCTAGTTAGAAACGTAGGGTAGTACAGTTTACTAGTATTGATAATGTTGTCGAATCAAATAACACACGCTTGTCTAAATGTGTGTTTCGTTCCGTGGCGAAGAGTTTGATGATGTGGTTAATCACTCTTTTTTTTTCAATGTTCCTCATCACTTTTCGCAACTTTGACGAAAAAAAGTCTAGTGGTAAATTAAAGGTTCTTTGCCATTAAAGACCAGCTTGTAGAATTGCCAAATGGAAATTTAGTTTACAATTGGCTTTACAGAATTTACCGATGAATTAAACTGCTACTCAAAGTTGAAATTGAGATTTCTTTTGGTTCTTTTCTTTATCCTGATCATTCATATTTGATCAAAATGTAACAAAGTTAAGATTATTAATATTACTGTCTCTCGAACAAAAAAACGAATTGAGACTTTTCTAATCAGTGTAGCAAGAACAAACAGAATAAAGATTAAAACAATCCGATGAGACGGAATCGAACCGCCGACCACAGGATGACAGTTTTTCTTGCTACAGTCCCATGCTCTACCAGCTGAGCTATCATCGGTTACATTCCATTGGTAATTAAGGAATCTGACCCTTAGTACAATAATATGTTATCCATGCCTGTTACCTATGCTTAATAGTGGTAGATATTTAATATTCATCATTAATAATGTACAATTTTTTACTTCTTAAGCTTTGGGAAAATGGATCCAAGGTGAGGAATGAGTTCAGTGTGGAATTGGTATGATTGACCAGTTGCATAAATTACAATTTTTCCTGCAGGATTAATTCTAAAAACTAAAAATCATATATAAATTAAAATATGAATGAGTAACACTTACTTCTTTCTGGAGCAATTCCTAATTGTGACATGGCAACATCATCAGTAGCTCTATTACCAAATCCAGAATAGAATGGAGTGACCTTCTTTAGAGCTTCATGACGTTGTTCTGTGGTAGTTGACAAAAGCCCTGGTACAAAGGTCTTTAACACAATGTCCAACATGTAAATCTTGAATGTATCTGGTCTCTTTAACACAATTTCTCTCACAAGAGCATTTCCTCCTGAATTGTAAGCAGTAAATACAGCACCCTCAGGTAAATCCACTGACTTTCCATTCTTGGAGTATTTTTGTTGCAATCTTTCAATGAAAAATCTAGTGCTGGAAGACATTGTAATTGGACGAGCTGTCAAGTAGAGCATCTTGTAACCAGCTTGATGAATTTCAGAGTATGCTTCAGTGATATCCTTGTGTACATAGTCCTTTCCAATTCTACAAGCAACATGACCTCCCAAATCAGATTTTGTAATAGTGCCGTCAATGTCCGAAACGATAATCTTGTCAGTATCTTTCCACAAGTAGAGTCTTCCGAGAGCAAGTTGTTCCTTATTGGTACCACTGCTTTCCTTTTGCTTGGCACCTGCAACCTTGGCAATATTGCTGCCAAACATTGAAAATTCAGGTAATTGTTGTTCTAACACCTTGGTTTTGAAAATCAAAGTCAACTTGGTTTCACCCTTTTCATAGAACTTGTTCAATTCAGTTTCGATAGCTTTCAAGTGACTTCCGGCTGGAATAAACCATTCGTGTGGGTAGAGCAATTCATCGTGAATATTCTTCAAAACCTTCTTCTTGAGTCGTTCTCTTCTAGAAGACTTTTCCTCATTGGTTTCACTTGGTGTGGATGGAGTGTTAGATTTTTTGAGTTTTTGTTTGAAACTGGATAAACGGTGTTTCAATCCCTTCTTTTGTGTTGGTGTTTCTGGAGTCAATGTTGATGGAGAAGAGCTTTCATCGTCAGAAACTGGTGTTACAGGTGAGGAAATATCATGATGCATACTGTTGGTAGAACTAGTGTGAATGCTTGGAGTTGTAGAGTCAGAGAAACTTCCAAATCCCATAGAGAGGGCCATCTCTCCAGCAAAGTGTTTAAGCATGTCTCTCTTTTTCAGCTTTTCCTCTTCTTCCTGCTTTTCATCACGTCTCTTCTTTGTCATTTCTTTCAGGTATTTGATTTTTTCCTTTGGTGTTTTCAAGGAATTGTAATGTTTGTAAAATTCATTCATTTCCTCTTGGGTGGCATGTTGGAAATATTCAAATTCTTCGCCCTCAATTGGTGATGAATTCAATCCATTCTCCTTCTTTACCTCTTCAAGAATTGATGCAATATTCAATTGTGGAGCATCATGATCCAAGTCCTCACTTTCAATATCCTGATCAGCATGTTCTGCAATTTGCTGTTCCCACCTTTGAATCTTTTCTTGTTCTTTCAAATCATCTTCCACAGGTTTAAGTTCATCACCCAAATCCTTACTCAATTCTTTAGTTTCCTTTTTCATTTCCTTCATCATGTCGCTAATCTTTCCACCAAATACTTTTTGGTCAAAGAAGGGAATTTTGAATCCACTTTCAATAGTCATGGTAGCAATCAAAGTTTCCTGTCCTCTCTTTGTGCTTGATCTATAATGTTCAGCAGTTAAATCAGTCTTGGCATCATAAGATTTAACAAATACTTGTACAGATTGATTGACTGTTGATTTCTTTGGAAATCTAACAAAGAATGGTGTTGTTTTCACAGAGCATGATTCATCCCTCGACTTGACAGCAATAACATCAATACAATTACCAATCAATAATCGTTTCTGATCAGCAATCTTTGTAGTTGGTGCAATATTGTGCAAATCCGATGATGAGGCAGACATGTTTTCTTCTTGTTTTATATTAAATAATTTGCTTTTTGACAGTGAATGAACAATTTTGCAAAATAAACTTTTCATACACTATAGTGTTCGGGTAGAGTATCTATTATTATTTTCCCTACAAAATCAAACAACAACAACTTCTTGATGAGTCAATATAGACGATAATTGTCGGACAAATGGTTAAACACACAATCAGCAGCTACGTGTGATTTTTGTGAAGAGAGGGTTTGATGAGTTTTTTCTGTTGCTGATTTTGTTGTTGCTGTATTAGATTGGTTTTGTCTCATGTCTGAAAAAGTTCAAAATAGGAACAGAAAAATTTCATCACCTATGAACGAGTTGATTTGTTGTTGTTGGGTTGCCCTCATGTCAGTGCTACTCAGAAATTGGAATCTTATTACACAAGTTCCATCACTGTAAATATTTACAATTTATCATACCATGCATGCCCTTCAATTATGTTAATCAACAAGACAATTAATTGTAAACAAATAAATCAAAAAAAAATGATTGAAATAGCACCAGAAGAAAAAATAAAATCACCACCTCCCTTGAAAAAGAAGAAACTTTCTCAATGTTTGGTCACGACAATGAAAAATTTTACGGAAGAGAGAAATACTGATCAGCATGTAACAATTATTCTTACCGATTTATTTGATAATCAAATATGTTGAAGAAGAAAATGAGAGGAAACACAATTAGAATTCTTCAAACAAATGAGTCACATTCAACACTTAATCTTACAATACCTGGTAAAGTTTTAACTGTCCAAAATTGTTCGCAGAGAAAGTGGTTAATTCTTGGATTACACGATGGTGTTCATATTTATAATTCCGAGAATTTGAGTTTTATTGGGAAAATTGAAAGACGTGATTTTTATAACTTTCTAATAGATAGTAATGGTGAACACATGTTTTACAGGTTTTCTGATTCCGTTTCCAAAATTAGAATTGATGATAGGTCAGTTTTATGGACTGTAAAAGAAGCTGTTGAGTGTTTTACTATTTGTAAATCCAAGAATGAATTGTTCATTGCCATTGATTCACAAATTGTTGTTTTGGACATGAACAATGGATCAGTGAAAAGGAAAATTCCATTCCTTAAGAAAGTGTTGAAATGTCTCTATATTACCTATGATGAAGTGAATGAAAGGATTTATCTATAGGTCAACAAAGAAGATTCTTTTAAAAATGGCTTTTCAGAAAGCACCAACAAACTGTTAGTAATTGAGGAAAAAACCGAATCACAAGTTGAGGTTGTATGTCTACATGACAAGGTTAATTTCATTCTATTCTGTGGAAAGTATTATATTGTAAACACTTCATTTCTGACATTGGCTATCTGTTTGATAGGAAAACTAACGAGTTTCTGATCAAGTTTAGATTTGGATAACAAAATTATTTTTGACCCATTTTGATGACTCGACTAACAGTTTATTCTACAAAATGGACTCGAAAATAGGTGTTGCAAAGTTCCAGATTAAGGAAGTTATAGCTGATCTTCCACTTAATAAGAAAATATGTCAAGCTCTTGAGAAATTGGGAGGAAAATTGCCATCCATTATTTCCAAATTACAATTCCATGACGAGTTCATTATTCCTGAATGTTTACGATATCTATTTCATGTTGTCTTTCCATTGGCTTCTAAATTATTATATTGTGACAAAGAGGTTACAAAAGTTGTTTCGTTTATTCATGTAAAAACGGCTGAACTATTGTTGGAGCATGATTTGTTCTATATTGGAAATCCTTTTCCCATTAATGATCCGAAATCAGCTAGTCTCTATGTAAAGAAAGCAGAAATATCCAAAGTGTCAAACAATGGTGATTTTCCAATTTATTTGCGTTATAGAATTGATGAAAATTCTCATATTCGATACATAACTAAGAGTTTCCTATTCTCAGAGTTTATTTCTAAAGTGAGAATTGAATATTTCTAACATAATTCCTTGGAGTGCCATCTCATTATTCTGAAAGTTCAGTTTACAATCAAACAAGTCAATTCTCTTATCAAAAGTCCTTGTTTCCTATAAAATTGTAAATACAGATTGTCGCTAACAATAGGATTCATCAATTCAGATTCAATCTCAAAAATACGATTGCTTCACTTCTTTCCTTTTGCATTGGTCAATATTACCGGCTCCACAATCAGGTATGGGATTCTGTGGTTGGAGGGAATTGAATGTGGAAGCAACTAGCCTGTAAACTCCAACATGTAACAGCATCCACCATCTTGTTGATTATTATGAGAAACTGAGTATCAAGGATCAACTTCCAATTATAATGAGTTTCATTCGTGGTTGGAGCCAATCATAGATTTGGACAAATTGAGTAATTTATTGTTGGTACTTAAATGCCAATTTTTAAGGACTTGCCAAGATTATTTTGTGAAAAATCAAAAACTTGTGAAAAGAATTCATATTCACTAGTCAATACAAATCTTGAAAAGGTATCAGAAAGATTCATAATGACATTATCTCTCAAATTCAAAAAACATTCATCAGCTTGTTCTTTCATTGGATTATTCTGCTTTAAATCAACCATTTCACTCTCTTGATTATTAGAAACTTGAAGCAGTTTCTTAAACTCTTTCGAACAAGAAGATGGAATATTAACTTCCATTTCAGAACCATTCTTGATATAGGTATTGTAAATTCTTTCAATGAAATTGTTGATATCGTTTGCATTATTCGAATCCAATTTCTCCTTCTCTTGCAAATCCAAAAACAAGTACAAATTTTCAACACTAAATTCCTTCCTGCAAAAAGCTTCAAATATTTCTCTTCCATATGAGTTTCCAATCAATTCCAACATTTCTCTATTTTCTTCTTGATCAGAAACCAGAGTTTCTGGAACTTTTCTCAATTTGAACCTAATCTTATTCGAAATGATAATCAATAGAGAATATCCACCAAACACCAGAATATAAACAGCCACATAGACCACTTCAAATATGAATGCAATCACATCATTGGTCAGAACATTTCTATAACTCTGTTCATTATCATATCTGAAAGGAAGTGTACTCATTCCCAATGATTGATTTACAATCAACAAGATGAAAAACACAATGTACAATAACATTTCACCTCTGAAATAGAGTGGTGTATCCATTGAGATGAGCCATTTGTGAATTCCCATTGAGGAAATTTTTTCCTTAACGATTTGTAAATCAACTTTTGTCTTTTTTGTTTCTTCTATTGATTTCTTATTGGACGAATGTTGCTTAATCATGGAATAAATGAAATCCACAACTGCAGTGCCTGAAATGACAAGACTCAATGCAAATATGATAATAATATATGAAATGGAAATGATATAGGTATAGGCAGTAAGTGAAATGACATCACATCTTCTTAAAATAACCCACAATGTCCAATAAAGTAAATTCAAAATGACAAATGTCAACAGAATGGAATTAACAACCTTTTTAGATGTGAATCTTTTAAGGTTTTTCAATAAACTTGATTGTGAAATATTGGATTGACTCTTTCTTAGTTGATGGAGAATATTGTAAAGATATTTCATTAATTGGAATCTCAATACTTGAATGAGGTATGCAAGAATTGCTGTTAAATTCAAAGTATTTACAAAAATCATTACAATATTTGCAATCCAATTAGCAGCAAGATCACCACTTGACCAATTCGTTGAATCTTTAAATAATTGATCAACTAGAACACTTCTCTGAATAATATAGATCAATAAACTTTCCACCATTAAGGCAATCATTCCCAAATAAGGAGTTGATAATCTAGAAATCAAAGGTTGACTTTTTCTAAATATTATCATTAAAATCAACACAGTGATTGAAATGATAAAGTAGAAAATACCCAAAGAAATTTGCCCATAATAAAGAGAAGCAACTTGACGTTTCGTATTATCACTTAGTGGAATAGTCTTTTGTTCGAGGAAGGTTGTAAAGAGTGTTGTGTGATTGCAAGCACATTGAACAATTCTAGTTTCTAAATTGAAAGAATAGAGATAACATCCCTCATCACTCCAGGTTCCTGAACTTTCTTCCAAATAAGTACATGTGAAATTGTAATTGGAAGAATTTTGTAATTTTTCAAGAATGTTTTGATCCGTCAATTTGAATTCAATGATAATTGGATTGGCAAGATTCTCCAATTTTACCACTTTTTGATTCTTTAAAAATTTGAAATCTGTTGTAATTGAAATTCCTTCACTTGTTCCATTATTATTCGAATAAGAATTGTTGAAAAGATTCGAATAGGTTAATAAAGAAACAGCACATTCACTGGAATAGGCAACATTTTGTGAAATGATATAAGAAGCATTAAAGGAAACACTTGTTTGATCTTGTTCCACTTTTTGGTTGACCAATTGAGTGGAAGCACTTGAAATTACAAAAGCTGAAATTGTCATGTTAATATTCGATGAGGAATATGAGCTAACCACCAAACTACCATCATTAGTATCCACATACGTGACCAATTGACCAAGAATAATAAGATCAGCCAAATTCTGAGCTAATTCTCTTGAATTTGACAGTAAAAGTTCAGCACCAAGAAATTGAGAAGCATACGAAAGGATTGAATTGACATTGCTGTTGGAAATCTTTGAATTAACATATCCATAGCTTGATTTACTTGTATTGTAACGGTTATACGAGTAGGATACAAGTTCTGATAATTTCGATAATGTAGTATTAGCAATAGTTTCGTCCAATTGAGTTTTTGAAATAATTTCTGAAAGACTTGACAAGGCAGATGAAGGATCACTTCCGCTAACATCTATATTACTCAATAAAGAAGCATAATACGTTGTAGATGAAGAGAATGACACGTCATAAATCAATGAAGTAATCAAATTGAAGTTTGTTCCAGAATTTGAAGAAATTTTTGAATATTCTTCCATGGTTCCATTGAAAAAAGCGACAAGTATGGATAATGATGAAGATTTGGAGTAATAATTGCCCAAACTATCCATTACAATGATTCCCAATGAAATAGTTTCGCCAACATTCGGTAAAACAATTGACCGATTCAAATCCTGTGAAAAATCAGTAATTCTAATGGAACTTAGTTTTGAACTTGAGAATGTAATGGCATATTTCAATGGAAGTAACATTGAATCTGCACTCCATGGATTAATATTCAAGTTTACAATTTCCTTAATTGCTGAACATTTGGTTGAATTTGAATTCAATAAATTGTTTGGTGATTTTGGAGGAATTCTGAATTGTAATTCGAAAGAGGAATATAAACTAACACTGTCTATTTGTAGAGAAGCAGTTGCAGTGGATGAAAATCCAAATGTTAATGATGTGAAATTCACTGAAATTTGATTGGAAATTGAAATTGTTGGGAAAAGTGTTAAAATTCCACTTTGAGTATTTTGAATTGAAATTCCAGTAAATGTTTTTGCTGAATTGGAGATTTGAACAGTAAAAGTTACTACTGAGCTAGTGAGTTTCAAAGAATCAATAATTGTTTGGTCAACTGAAAGTTTAGAAATAATCAAATCAAAATTAACAAGATCACTTTTCGCAATATAGTAAGAAGGAAGTCCTAGAATCGAAAAAGGTCTTTCACAAATTGAAGAATATGCATTACAATAGGGTGTGAGCTTTCGAATAACACTATTTTCAGTATCAGCAAAATATAGCTCACCACTTGGTCCAATAGAAACAGTTCCTGGAGCATTCAATGAAGCAAGTGAAGCTAATCCATTATCTCCTTTGTATCCATTCGAAAGAGTTCCTGCAATTGTATAAATTGTACCGTTTGTCAACACTTTACGAATTCTATTGGTTTCGGATATATAAATTTCTCCTCCTGAACTAATCGAAACTCCCACAGGAAGACTCAATTTAGCTGTAGTAGCTAAACCATTATCTCCACCATAACCATTTGTTCCAGTTCCAGCAATTGTAGTTATAGTTCCATTTGTGAAAACCTTTCGAATACGATTATTGGAATAGTCTGCAATAATTAATTCACCATTTGAACTCACAGCTACATCCTTAGGATTATTCAACTGTGCACTAGTTGCCTGACCTCCATCTCCTGCATATCCACCAATTCCATTTCCAGCAATTGTAATTATCGTTCCATTTGTGAAAATCTTTCGAATTCTATGATTACCTGTGTCAGCAATGTAAATTTCTCCACTATTCGAAATATCAAATAAAGTTGATACTAAAAAAGCGTTGCTAGCATTCAATCCATCTCCTATTCCTCCAGCAATGGTAGAAACCATTCCAGTAGTTGCCAAAATTTTACGAATCTTCCAAGAAGAAGTTGTTTCACAAACTATCAAATTTTCACTCGAATCAAAAGTCAAACCAACAGGGTAAGCAAAATTAGTAATTGATTCATGTAAACCATCGCCGTTATATTCACTTCGACCTGTTCCTGCTATATTGGAAATTATACCAGTAACGCTAGATATAACTCGAATACGATGATTGTAATTATCTGAAATGTAAATATCACCTGTTGAACTAATTGCAATTCCGGCTGGATAAGATAATTGTGCATTGGATGCTTTCCCACCATCTCCTCCATAGGTACAAGTACCTGCTTTACCAGATATGGTAGTAATGGTACCATTCGAATAAATTTTACGAATCACACAATATACTATATCGGTAAAATAAACATTTCCTGAATTGAATAAAACTGAAGAAGGATAACCAATGGTTGCATTGGAACCCAATCCATTGTCACCACTAAATCCATTCGTTCCAGTTCCAGCAATTGTTACGATGGTTCCATTTGTGAAAATCTTTCGAATACGATAATTACCAGCATCTGCAATGTAAATTTCATTATTTGCACCAATGGAAACATCAACAGGACTATAAAGTGATGCATTTGCGGCATCTATTCCATCTCCATTGTAAATAGTGTTTCCATTTCCTGCAATGGTTGTAATTATTCCATTATTCGAAACTTTACGAATTCTATGATTACCATAATCAGCAATGTATAATTCTCCACTAGAAGAAATGGCAATTCCATTTGGTCTATTCAAGCATGTATTCACAGCAAGTCCTCCATCTCCACAAAATCCTGCAGTACCATTACCAGCAATAGTTGTAATTATTCCATTATTAGAAACCTTTCGAATACGATGATTATTCATATCACTAATAATTAGTTCACCATTCGTAGAATTAATAACACAATGTGATGGATAGTTCATAATAGCACTGGTTGCTGGAATATTATCTCCATTGTAAAAGATAGCTCCTGCCAATTTAACAGCAGGTCCATAATTTAGATTAACAATTCTATCAATATACGAAACACTATTGGAAGTGTACATGACGTACATGTCATTATTAAAGAATTTGATTGAATTTGGATTGGAATAGGTCTGTATAATCGTTGTGTATCCAACAGTTCCAGCAAGTGTTGTAATCAAATTGGAAGTTAAATTAATTTGTCTGAATTGACCACTGCTGTCAGCAAATGACAATTGATTGTTATTTAAAGACATTGAGCCAATTGGAGAAATGAATGCTGGAATTGCTGGGACATTATTTCCAAAACTACTGGTTCCTCCTGCAATCGTTGTAATTTTTCCACTGGACGAAACCTTTCTAATTCTATTGTTATTACTATCGGCAATATAAAATTCATTATTTGACGAATCAATTGCAATTCCAACAGGATTATTAAGGGTTGCAATGGTTGCATCAATACCGTCATAATTATAACCAGATTGTCCATCACCTGCAATACTTGAAATTATCCCACTAGTAGCCGAAACCTTTCTAATTCTTTGGTAACTATCAGAAAAGTATAAATCATTACTTTTAGTCAGTGCAACAGATAATGGAAATCGAATAGGTGCATTATTAGCTAGGCTTCCATCTGGACTGTTTGCAGCCTCTCCAGTTCCTACAATAGTTACAATAGTTCCACTTGAATAAACCTTTCGAATACGATTATTCACTAAATCTGCAAAAACAATATTACCATCCGAGTCAATAGCCACACCAAAAGGTGTATTCAACATGGCATTCACAGCTGGTCCTCCATCTCCTGAATATCCACCTGTTCCATTTCCTGCAATAGTTGTAATCATTCCATTATTCGAAATCTTTCGAATACGATTATTGAGAGTATCAGCAATAAATACTTCACCACCAGAAGAAACAGCAATACCAATAGGATAACCCAACTGAGCACTTGTAGCAGGGATATTATCTCCATTGTAATTTGGCTCACCATTTCCTGCAATGGTTGTGATGGTACCATTCGAATAAATTTTACGAATTCGATGATTTGCATAATCAGCAAAATATACTTCACCACTTGTTGGATGGAAAGCAACACCATGTGGACTATTTACTGTGGCTTTGGTAGCATCTATTCCGTCTCCGTTATATCCTGCTTGACCATTACCGGCTATTGTAGAAATAATTCCATTATTCGAAATCTTTCTAATACGATTGTTGAGAGTATCAGCAATAACAATCACACCAGAATAATAGGCAACATCTCTAACAGAATTTAACAAGGCATTCACAGCTGGTAGTCCATCACCAACAGAATTTCCTCCACCAGCCACAGTTGTAATGTTATACGAAACTACCGACGAAACCGATTGACCACTCACACAACAACATGCGAGAATCACCACAAAAAGACTCAACCACACATCATGGCGTGTCCTTATTGTCATTTCGTTTTTTTTGATGTTCAATGTCATTATTCTCTAAAAAGGAAGTTTTTTCAATGAGAATGTTACAAGATATTAACAAACTTTCTATTAAGTTCCTGATTTTGTAAATTTGTAGAATTGTAACATGATGTCTACAGTACTGGGGATAATTAGGTTTGTTTTTATCACAGCAAATTGCATGTCAATCTTTAAGATCTTTCCTATATAATGAAAATAGGACAAATAATTGGCGATCCTTCTTCGATGAGATTGGAGCTAGTTACAGCATTTCTAGCTCATGATAATTCATTAATTGTGGGTATAATGCATTGAATTTTTATGGATTTGAGAATGATAATATTATTAGTTTAGCATGTGGAAAAAATCACTTTATTGCCAGATCGAAACGAGATTTAATTGAATATCTTCAATTTTGTGGTCGAACAAATAAGGGTCCACCAATCGTTCCAACAGCCGTTTTCAAAAAAAATGAGCAAACAACAACAAAACAACGCCGACACTATCACTCTCTACGGCAATCACATTAGCCAACCATCCCGAGCCATAATGTGGTTCATGTTATTGAATCAAATTCCTCACGAATTTAAATTAATTAAATTGGAGAAGGGAGAACATTTGAAGCCGGAATATAAGGAAATTAATCCAATGCAACAAGTACCTTCATTATCCATTTCATCATCTACATCATATTCGGATCAGAAGGTTACTGTTAATTTGTTTGAAAGTCAAGCAATTTTAATTCACTTGATACATAAATATAGAAGACAATACAAGATTGCTGATTCATGGTATCCAAATCCACATTCTGAGTTGATGGTTCATACAAAGATTAATCAATATTTGAATTATCATTTAGCATCATTGAGGATGGGAATTGCTGGATGGGCTTGGGAAGCTGCTATTGGACCAAATGCTTTTGGCACTGAGAGAAGTGAAAGAAAAATTGAATCTTTCAAGAAGAAGGGAATGAAAGTATTGAAACAACTTGATACCTATTGGTTGAAGAAACAAGATGAAAAATGTGGAGATTACTTGTGTGGACAAGAGAAAATGTCAATTGCTGACTTGTTATTGTACAGTGAATTGATGCAATTGTTGCTGATTGTTGAATCAGCCACATTGTGGGAATCTGACTTGTTGAAAGCCTTTCCAAATGTTGCTAAATGGGCACAAATCATGTCACAAACTCCACACCACGATAAGATTTTCCAAATTCTCTTCTTGCTTAAAGCAAAGACCTCTTCAAAACCTTCCAAATTGTAAAATAACTCATTGTAAAATTTATTTACATGCTTACCCTGGTTGATTCTTGTTCACGTGAATTTGTCTTTCCAGATAGTGATGTAGCATAAATGTCAGTGGAATAATTCTGCTCATATGATGGATTGGTAGTGGTTCCACTCGTTGTTGTGAACCCAGTTAATATTCCACTATTTTCACTATCCTCATTCAACAATTTACCATTCTTTCTATTCCTCAAATTACGAATTGGATCAATAAGACGTTGATAACATTCAGAAAATTTGGACTTGTCGAAAATAATGATAATAATCACAACAAATGTGGAAATGTTTGCAAAATTACTGACAATTTCCAAATAGAAACTGCTGATGAAAAAGTAAGCATTGGTACCAAATTGTCTTCCAAGGAAATTGCACAAACAAGCAACCAATGAAACCAACGAAAGCCCACAATATAATGAGAATTGAAACATGTACTATATTTCAATATATTAAATTGGAAAATTCAATGAAATTCTTGCACGTACCTTTGATTTGTAAAATGAAATGTGAGTCTTTTCCTGCAATTGATCACCCAACTTTTTGGCAATGTAAATGAAAACTAAAAAGTTTACAATCCATGGCAGAGAATAAGACACATAGGACATTCCAGTAAGGATAATATTGACCTGTTGTGTCTCCAATTCATAAATAAGATATGAAACAATGTAAATGGCACATAGTGAATTGCAAACAAAACTAAACCCAATCAATATAAGAGCAACTAGGGAATTCTTATTATCTCCAGCTTTGAGGAATTGACAAATTCTATCAAAGACCAACAGAACAGCCAGGGAACCATAATGTGTGAAAAAGACATTCAAACTCAAAGCAATTGACGTTGTAAAGTAGAGAGTATCAAAACTATCGTACGTAGGATTCCAAAACATCATACAGGCAACCACAACACAAATTGATTGCAACAAGATGATTATTGCACACAAGGCATTCAAAACTCGTAGCTTTCTCCGTATAATCATGGTTACAAATTCAGGAACAACATAGCCCAATATTGCAAACGGACACAAAGGTATTGAAATAAGCAATGACAGAATAAACTTGATCATATTGACAGCATCAGTTCTCAATAGAGAATTCATCACTGGATCACATAAATTTGAATAGATATCAAACCTATGACAATAGCAAAGAAATGGCGTCCTCAATCTCTCAAAATATTGATCCATAAAATAGACAGGAAACCCTGTTTGAACAGCTTCACAAAAGAAGGAAGATGGAAATCGTGTAAAAGAAGGACACTTGGATTTCTTTGTATCCGAATAATTGTCCATATCAATAATTAAAGTATGAAATTCCAAAAAATCCTTTCCCTCACTACAATATTGACAATAGTTCAATAATTCGTATTTAACCGTACTATTTTCGCCATTACAAAATGTTTCTACACAGCTCACATTAGAATATTTTGCACACAAATCAAAATGGTCTCCCATAGGTTTAACAGGAGAGAATAAATTAGAATTCCTATCCTCCACATAGGCAGTTCCAAATGGTATCGACATTATCTTATCTGGAAAGTACACTTGTCGACATCCAAATCCAAAAGGTAAATCATAAAACTCAATAAAATTATCATTAATAAATATCTTCCTACTCGTTCCATTATCCGATCGTTCTATATAGGAACAATCCATCCATCTGTAGAATACATCAGAAGATTCCCTTCCAATGACAAAATCCCCAATAATAAAAATCATCATGATGGTCGAATACAATATTATTTTCATCAAGGAAATATTCTTCTTCATCAGCCTACTACTAGTACTATCAATGAAATTCTGATGATGACCAGAAGCAACGGGTGCTCTTAAAAGTCGCGACATTTTTTTGTGGTTGTTTTTAACCATTACGGCAAATTTACGGAGCTTTTTTGGTTACTCCTTAGAATTTGGCAATTTTATTGTAAAGAGGAAGAAAGTACGTTCTTAGAGGAAAGGTTTTAAGTGGAGCACTTGGCTGTGCAAGGACAAATTAAATAACTCTTCCCATAAGTTTCCCAGAAGGTTCCATCTCAAAATTTAACATAAAAATCTTACAATATTTAGAAGATTTCTAGTTAATAGTTACATTGTTTGAGGATAATTCACTCACAAAGGATGTTGGGGTTGGTGGTACATAGTAAGAACTGTCTTTTCTATAGGTTTGATCTGAGTTGGTTGTTGAGTTGGTTGGTGGATAGGAAACTGGAATTGAATTATTGTAATTTGTTTCTTCATTCGTTTCTTCGCTGGACAACAGAGAATCTTTGAGTTGATTATTATTCCTTCTACTATCGAATAATTTGAATAGTTGTAATATTGGTCTGTAACAATCGGTAAATAATTGAGAATCGTAGAGAATAACCAACATGATTAGAAGGGTTGAATAATTTGCAAATAGACTCACTTGTTCAATATAGTAACTGAATTGATAAGTAGTAGAGTCGCTTCCAAATTGTCTTGCTAAAAATGCAGATAGACATGAGAATAAGGCAATACCTGACAAGGTGTTGAGGGCACAGAATTGATAGAAATACTTGGTTTTGAAAAATGGAACATTTGTCTTATTTCTAAGGGCCTTTCTCAATCGATATGATAAAACGAAAAACAACATCAAGTTATCAATCCATGGAATGGCAAAAGCAATATAACCAATCGCAACAACAATTGTTGCAATGGTTAGTCCTATTTTGGAAAATTCTAAAATGTAACTTGTTGTCACATAAACTGCATTGATTGTCAATAAGATAAATGCCATCAAAATCATAATCTTGAACTTTGGACAATTACGTTTCTCTCCCGTATATAAATAATTGTAAATTCTATCAAAGGTTAACATGACTGGTAACATGGAATAATAAGTGAAAAAGACATTGAAAGAGAGTGCCATATTTGAAAGGGTAGTGTTTTCAGATTCACCCAAGTAAGCAACAGCATACATGACACTTGAAATGACAACAGAACTAGATGCTGCCAATATAGTTAAAATACTGCAAGTATTGAGAATGCCAATTTTTCTAACTCTTGATACTTGTCTAATTTGTGGAATTACATAGGTTATCAATGCTCCTAAGGCCAAAGAAGTGGAAAATAATATTGAAACGACAATCTTGGCAAAATCAAATGCTGTGGTGAATAAAGATGAGTCACACATTGAATTAAAAGTTGAATATGTATGACAAAAGCAAAAGAATGGATTCCTTAACCGTATGTAAAAACTATCCAAAAAATACAAGGGAAGGCCAGTTTGAATATTTCCACAATAGAAAGCTGATGGGAAAGTGGCAAATGCAGGACATTCAACATTTCTAGAGGTAGTTTCATTTACTACAGCATCCTCTCTGTAATAAATCTTGTACTGAAATTGCAAAAAATCCTCCCTATTGTTCTTGCAATATTTACAATAATTGAAAATTTCATACTTGTATGGATCTACACTTCCTAGAGATGAATTAGAGTAGCAAAAATAATCCATACAGCTGACATTTGAATATTTCTGACAAATATCAATATTAACTCTACCAGGTTTAATTGGCGAAAATATGTCACTATTTCTTTCATTCATATGTTGAGTGCCAAAAGGTATTGATGTAATACTAGGTAATTTGACAACTTTACATCCAAATCCAAAAGGAAGGTCCTTAATACGAGGTAAATTACTCTTACTTATTGGAACAGTCTCAGTAGCTCCATTCAATAAAGGCCTCTCATACGAACAATCTTCAAATAGATTGAACACTTGCGCTGAAGATGATGGTAAAGTTCGTTCTCTCCCAGTTGCTACTTTACTTTCAATATTCTCTCCTTTAATTTGGGTCAATGTTGAAATATGATGCTGCCGATCATCAAATAGTTTCGTCGTTAAAGATGAATTTGTAGTATTCATTATAAATTGCATAATAGCTAGTGTACATAAACTCGACATGATGAAAATTACTAAAATTATTAACCAGCCGATGGGCAGTCGATGATTATTATTATCATTGTCATCATTATGCACAATAATGGCAGACTTTTGTGAGATGGGCACTTCAACACTATTCACAACGATCCCCACACAATTATTGTTGTTATTATTATTCATTGTTGATTTTGTACTTTTCCTCTTCGAAATTCAGCGATCGAATGATGTACAGCGAGCGGGGAAAAAAGAATCTCAAGATGTTTTGATTTTTTTTTATGATTTTTTAAATTTGTGGGTTTTTAGTATTTCTCAGGAAATTCAAGCTCCGAAGTTTCATTCTCCTCTTAACAATAATTGAAATCAATAAGAAGTAAGCAGCTTATTTATCATTCTTAATTATGGCAGATCTTAGAGAGACAAAAATAGTTCATCTTTTGTCAAGTAGATCAAAAAAAAAATGTTCAAAAGACCAGGAAAAAATCTGCCATTTTATTCGAGATCAGAATTGGGTTCATCGTGTGTTGTTAGAGATGATCGTCATCATCGGATGAGAAATGATCGGCATCACCATCAAATTATTTCTCTTTGTATTAGTAATTATGAAGATGAGACGAAACGAATAATTTCCAACATGAGGAATACAATTTACAAATTATTAGCCTTGGAATATCAGAATATATTATTGACTATTGATGGGATGGTACTTGTTAAAGATAGGAATTCTGATGCAATGTTTAGAATAGTTTGTGGAAATAATGTAGAGGAGGAAGTTGTTGATTTGTTTGCTTCAGAGGTGAATGTGTATCTGCTGACCAGATCTGGAAAATGTTTCGGCGTTTCGAATTATAATAGTTGGGGTCAAACTGGAACAAACCACAGAAATTCACATGAGTTTAATGCGCCAATCATTCATGCCGAGGAAGTGTGGTGTGAAAATCCAGAAACTAGATTTATATCAGTACATTCAGGATATGGTGGGTTTCTTCTGATTTACATTGCAATTAATAACATTTTAATGTGAATTCTCATTGTTAAATAGGTCATACATACTTTATTTCAACGAACCAGAAAATATATTTCAGTGGAAATACTCAACTCGGCCAAGCAGCAAAACAAGTGGAGGATGCCAATATTTTAATTGTTACAGAGATTAAATCCTTTTCAGAAAAGAGAGTTAAATTAATTGCTTCTGGATATGCTTTTGGATTGGCTGTTTTTGATGATAACTCATTTTATGGCTGGTAAGTTTCAAATGGCTCGATATAATATTAATATGGACATAAGGGGGTCTAATGATTGTTGCCAACTTGGTTTTAAACATACAAACAAGTCATTTGAATTTGATCCGCTACCTATTAAGCTACCAACACAAGCAGAGGTTAAAGGATTATCTGCAGGACAAAATATTAGTTTAGTACTTGTGGAGGGTTGTGAAATTTATCTTAGTGGAGCATTAGAACACCTAAAATTTGAGGAATTTACAAAACTTGAGCTCAATGAATTCTGTAAAAATCCCTCTGAAAGTTTTCTTGATGCTTACATTATTAGAAATAAGATTTACCTACTTGGCACTGACCATTTTTCTATTTACTCTGGATCACAAATGGATAAAATTTCAGTATCCGAACTAAAACCATCAGAATTAGGACTTCCATCCCAATCACAATTAAGCTACAAAGTGGTACCTCAACAAATGGCAGGCGAGTACCTATCACTCTTCATATTCGATGTTAAAGAACCTCAGCATTTTCTATTCAAATTCAATGAGAAGAATGATTTTTGTGACGTAATAATTCAAGCATGGAATCCTTATTATGATGTTTAGAATAACAGAGTCCAACTCGACCAGATTAAGACTTAGACTCTTAAGGAACTTACCGGAGGTCTAGGAGTACACAAACTCCTCCCACTTTTTCACTGGAATAAACAGCGGGAAAATTCCAATCTCCTTACTCCTCGCGCACAATTTGACAATTGAACCCTTTTTTTGCAGTAGAGATTTCCAACAGTTTGTACTAGTAACATTTAAAAAAATGCAAAGAAATACTTTTGCTGTTTTATTATTGTGCTTGATTGGAGCTACCTGTTTTATTAATCATGTAGCTGCCAGTTGTCCAGCAGGTTATTATGATTCCTCTAATATTGAAAGACCTTGCTACCAATGTTCTCCGGGAACCTATTGTCCAGGTATGTATGAAGAAAAACTGTTTGTTTTTTATATAAATAATATAACATTGTTTTCACTATTCACAGGTGATGGTAAACCATATGCATGTCCATCCGGTACTGTCGCTCCACACCAAGGTGCATCATCATGCTCTTCATGCAGTACTAAACGTTCAAATTCTGATCATACCATTTGTTTACTTGCTGACACACCTGCCAATGCTCAAGAATATGTTTATGGATCCAACTTGGTGATCAACTCTAAGAATCCATATTATTACATTACTTTATATAATTCATTTGGTCAAGCACCAAGATCTGTTCAATTGACAATTGCTGGAAAGCAACCTGTTCCAGTAACCCTTCATGCATCATATACTACTGGAAAACCATCTGAAACTAATGCACAATTCTCAAATAAGGGAGTTAATGCTACAATTTCTTTCGAACAAGATGTTTTTAGAATTTTGTACTTGTACATTGTTCCAGATAATGCTGATTACGTTATTGGTGATTTGAAATTATTTAAATATTTGGATCTGATTGAAAATTTACAACCAAATCAAGTTAATTATTACAAATTCAATGCTGAACTCTCTCAATATGATAGAAATATGTTATTATTTAGATTGGATAATGTTCCTGCTGGTTCAAGAGTTAATTTCACTTTGAATTGTGATTTTTGGAAGAAGGATTGGAGTTTCCCATTTTCATACACTTTATACCATTCCACTTTATCAAATATTGCTTATCCAAATGAGAATAATGCCAATATTATTGTAAAGAGTCAAACTTCAAGCCATCCAAGTACTTCAAACATTTTCTACATGCCTAAAGATAGCACTCAATTTGCCATTGCCTTCTATTATGATAATACTTATTATTATGGAGAAATGTATGCAAGTGCTAAAATTATTAATTAAATAATTTTATTCAAATCTTGTTTGAAAATGATCATTGCTAAAATAAATTCAATGAATTTTTCCAATATCAAATTTGTTATCTTTTCCAACAATTTCTTCCAATGTTTAGTTTAGTTTCGAATATTGATCAGAAAACAATGATAAACAATGAATATTGTAAAGTGTTGAGCAGATCAGCAAGCACCTTGATATTTGTCACATCCACATTACCTGTCACCATGTTACCTAATACCATTATAAAAAAAATGGGTCAGTCACAGTTATCCCGTGACTCTCAAAATAATCAATCGGATAATGACTATTACCAACCCAATAATAATACTAACAACAACAATAACCCTGAACAACAAGATGATAATGTGAGCATTACTTCAGACAATTCACAACAACAACAACACGACGACAATATCAAACAAATTAATAGACTATACGGATGGAGCATGATTGAATCAATGAATTCCTCTCATCACTCTCTCACACCCAGAAATAACAACAATAACACAACACGACTTCGATATTTGCAAAACAATAATCAACAGCAACAGCAGCAACAATTCCCGCCAACCACTACAACAACCACTTCTAAAAACCAGACAAGTCCAAGATTTGGCGCCAAAAAACAATCACACTCATCTGATAATTTGGAAGCAGGCAAAGAAAAAGAGAGGCGAGGAGTGGGCAGTGTCTATGATGGTATTTCTGGTGTTGAATTTGATAGTGTGGAAGAGCAGGAGAGACAACGAGAATTGGAGGAATTGTTAGCCTCATCGGCATCAACAACTTCATCAATTTTGAATGAAAATGATATAACAATGATGAATAATAACAATAATTTGAATAATGATAATAGTAATAATAATAGAGTGAGACGTTCGATGGCAATTCATACCGGAAAACATTATTCGATTAGTTTGGGAAATGCCATTCATGAAAGATTACAAAAAGAATTGAAAAATCATGATGAAGCACAGAATAATGAAAAGGGGTTTTCAGCTCCGATTGGAAATGAAAATTCAATAGATAATTACTATAGGGAAAGATCGGCTGAAAGAGGATCAACGAGAATGCATCACCGTCGTTCTTCATCGATAGATTCGAATATTTCCAATATGATCAATAATGAAATGTTAAGTGTAAATAATCAGATAACAACTCTCTCACCACCAAATCAACCTTCCGAATTGATTGCAGGATCCCTCGTTCATGAAATGACTTTTATTGAAGAGGAGTTGGATCCTGTGGAAAAGGCATCATGGAATGAAAAACATAGAGATATTGCCGAGTTGTGGAATTCAATTCCAAAATCATATCATGCTGGTATTAATAGAGTTTACAACAAACTAAAAATTAGATTCAAGAATGATATTGATGTTTCTGATTATCAGATCAGACAAATGGCAATTGATTTGGGTTTTCCAAACTTTTTGTACGAATACATGTTCAGCAAACTCGAGAGAACAGTGTTTAGTTTACTGCACGACGAATACATTTTAAAGAAGAAAAAGAATAAGAATAGAAGAAATCTACCAAAGAGACCTTCCTCTTCAGCAACAAAGAATGAATATATCACCACAAAAAATGTCACACCTGACATTCCAAATGTGACAGCTGTCTTACAGAGTCATGTTGTGGAATTCAAGACATTACCTTCTTCACCAGCTCTGCCAAGAACAGAATTATTGAATCGTTTATTCAATGATGAAGACGTTCATAGACAAGAGCCAAATAGACTTTTATCATCCTTTGACGAGTATATCAATATCAATCAAGACATGGTATTTGAGAAGGGTTTAAAGATTAAATTAATCATTACTGAAGTGGGTAAGAGTCCTGGTAGAATTAGAACTGCTGCTTCTCCGATTATTAGTAGACTGAAAGTTTTTGATCAATTTGGATGGTTCCACACCAGTTTTTCAATTGGAAATCTTCGTTTTGATTGGACAAATAGTGGATACTGTGCTGTAACAACTGTCAAGTCAGCAACTTCATTGTTGGCCATAACAGTGAAGGAAATTAGCACACTTCGTGAATTGGAGAGCATCATTAAACTACTTTCCATTGAAATTTCTCGTTGGAATAGAAACTTTTCATACACCAATTTGAAGGGAAATATTTCCAAAGAGACAGGAAGTTGCCAAACATTCACTGTTGAAATGATGAAGATAATGGGAGTTTCGGATTTATCCTTTGCAGGAAATAATAGTATTCACAACTTTTTACAGGACTTGCTCACAAAGGGTGATCCAATAACCAAGTTCTCCATGAATGAAGAATTTAAAAAGAAGTATACTGACTTGATTGATACCAAGATTGAGCAGTGCAAAGCTGTCACTGTAGTATCATCTCGTGAGCTGTTACTCGCCCAAAATTCTGTAGCCGAATCTTCCACAACATCAGACGAGGATGTTCTAGGTCAAGCATTCGCTCAACAACAACAAGCCCACTTTGAAATTAAGAAACAACAAAGTGCCAAAGTTAAGAGATGGGAACACTTTAAATCTCAATACTTTACAAGCAACAAGAAGCACATTATTTTTAACAGTCATAGAGAATTGGATTATTTTGTACTTTACTTGAAAGAACTCGATGAAAAGTTCAATGAAACTCAAGAATGTGGATTATTGAATGCATTTGACAGAGGTTACTGGTTAAGATACTCGAGTGCAGTCTCTGTCATGCAAAGAATTCAACAACGTAAAAAACAACGAGAAAATGCAAGATCAAAACTAGGTTTTTCAGATCCATTAAAACTTTCAAAAGAGGAACAAGAGGAATACATTCGAGTTAAAAGAGATTTGGAAATTTGTCAACCACTCATAGAAGACGATCAATTCAAATGCGCATTTGGAGATCCTTCTCAGAGTCGTTCTCTTTTCATAGCAAATACCAAACGAGAAGATGTACTCACCATTCAAAAGGACTTGCAAGTGGGTTCCCTAAAGTTATAAGAGGTATTTAGATCATCATTTCAATATTTCAAATCAATTGAAGTGTTTACAATATGCGCACTTCAATTTACAAACCAATAAAAAATGGAATCATTACATCTTGCTGCCTCTCCAATCATGCAGGTGTTGTCCGCAACATCTTCATCACAACCCAATTCCGAATCATCATCTTTATTACACACAGCAACAATTAATACAACAATCAATAAGCCAACGAATAGTAACAAGGCATCCGAAGAACTTTTCAATGAATTCAATGAAAAATCAAGCAACAATACTCCTTCAGCAGCATCATCATTGAATGTAACCTCCACACTGTTCACTCTTCCCAATACTGATAGTTTACCTGTACCAAACCTCCTCATCAAACCTCGAACAAAAAACAAAAAAGAAAACCATGAAGAAGAAACAATCGGATCAGATTTTCATGAATCAGTCAGTGATTTTCAATCATGAAGGAAAGAAACAGAGAAATAAGACTATTTATTCAGTGAATCATCCAAAGGTTTCGAATCAGTTACGTAATTTTCATTTTCAAGTGGGTGAGGAAGTTAAGGTCAATGTGTGTGAATGTAAATCAGAGAAAAAGACTGAACATTTCGATAGGATTATTATAGAACATTTGGGATATACGAATCAGCATAATATGGATGCATCGAAAACTATTGCAATTGAATTTGTAAATGTGTTGGCTTTCAAGAGGAGGAAGAATGACTCGAAAATATTGTGGATTTATGAATCGGTTGTGTTGGAATTGTTGAATTCTGATTCTTCTGATAATAGTCAACACACTTCAATGAATGAATCACCTGTTTTAAAGAGAAAATTGGATAGTATGAGCGAATCAGATCAGAGTAGTACGAGTAATGGCAGTACAGTTCATAACTCAAATTTGGAAGATGAATTTGAAAAGTGCTTTTTGGTAGCCGCTAATCCATTCATTGATTCGAATTTACTTTCTAATATTGATGAAGAACAAACAAAGAGAAGTAAGCTCGATACCAAGATTGAGAATCTCTACCTAGAAAGTATTGAACCAGAGGATGCCCCGTCGAAAAAGCCAACACTATTTCAATTATCATTAGATTTGAATATTGAACAACCATATCACTTGTTCAATCCAATGATGAAACATTTCTGTTTGGATTTTGTTTCATTAGCTGAGGAACAGACAACCTTTGATGCAGTCATTATTAGTGTACAACCAATTATTACAAATATGGCTTCACTGAAGGGAAAGAAATTTGAATTGATTGGAAAAACACCAATCATATCAATGTATGATAGTGTAAATACTTTTGTAAGATTATGTGTAGATACTCAAATTTTCATTTGTCAAAATTCGAATGAGGGAAAGCTATTCTTCTACTTTTATGGAGAGGACAAGAGAATGAGAAGTGAACAAATTATTCAAAATCCAAATGTTTATTCAAAGCAATCTGATGTGGAAAATTACAACTCAAAGACTACTAATGAAAATATGAATCAAAAGGATTCTACATATTCTGATTTGATACTCTTTGAATTTGGGAGTGAAGACAACTTTCTATTCGAACAATTCAAGAATGTTAATTTAGAACCAAAGAAATCTAGAAACTTACTCTTTGACAGATATTTGGAACTTAAAAAAGAAATGAATGACAGTGAAGAAGCAATCAAAGCCCTGGTCCATATTCAAGATGCACTTGGCTTTACCTTGTTGATGCATTTTGCAGCACGAAATATGGTAGAAGAGGCAAGAGAGTGTATTTATTGGAAGGCAAATATTTCACAACAAGATTCGTTTGGTCATGATGCCTTATTCTGGAGTAATTACTTTAAGGCACATTTGGTTACAGAGCTACTCACAGAGATCATCTCTGAAATAGACCAAACAAGAGGTGACAGATCTGATGAAATTGCATTCCAACAACAAATAAGATTTGGTTTGGTGAATGCATCTTCAAGATTGGAAAAACGTAACATCAAAGCATTCAATGAAAATAACGGCTGTTCAACTGATTTTTCCAATGAAGAAGAAAATGCAACTATTCTCAAATAAAATCTTGAATATCTTGGCCACTTTTTACTTCTTAATTAAGCAATTCCAAATAACTTGGTCACCAAGTTGCTTTTGAAAGTCTGTTAAATCAGGAACAACATGAGATTTGTAACCTGATTTGAGTGTTCTGATACTAAGTTATAATTCTCACCTGGTAAGCCTCCAATTATGGATCCTAATAGTTTCCCTTCACTATTTAAACAAGCACCTCCACTCATTCCTGGGAATGAAGAAGCATCAACTGCTATAATTCCATCTTTGAATGCCAAGACCTTTCCGTTCTGACACCTTCTCTAAACATTCGTTTGATTGAAGGTATTTTGTTTATGGTAATATATAGTGCATCTCTTTCGTCGAAAGTTGCAAGCTCAGGATTTCTCTTCTTCACATAGTTTTCTTCCAACCACTGCTTAATCTCCATATCAGAATAATTTGCTGGGAAACCTATCAAGTAGATTTCATCACCAACTTGAGGTTCCTTTGCACAGGGGTAACAAATCTCATTTTGATCAAACTTCTCAAAAGTTACACAAAAACTAATATCAGCTTCAGTTGCAAGAAAACATTTTTCATTCAGTGGAGTTCTATCCTTTTCCCATTCAATCTCAATAGGATCCTTTTTGAAAAAACACTTCTGCCACTTTTTCTTTGGAATCCTCATTGAAGAATTGGGAATGGAAAGGCTACTTTAGGTTGAGATTAATCAGACTTGGTGAAATTGAGAATTGAATAAGGGTCAATAAATGATTATCAAACCTTTAAAAAGTTGCAAAAATTCATTTTGTACAGACAATATTCACATCAGAGCAATTTCTTCCCATTCCAAAGAGTTTCATCCTCTGTTTCAGACACATCATATCTGTGTATAAAAATGGCTTTCTAACAAGATCTAATCCAAGATTGATTTCCATCTCGAAAGATTGTTCACATTTCGAACTAATCATTGGTTTGAATATCTTGGATTTGTATTTTTCATTGGTAAATCGATTTCCTAATGCATTTTCCAATAATTTTCCATTTCTTGTCACTTTGAATTCACCATTTTCATGATCGAGCAAAAATCCAAACACTTCATCTCCCTTCACATCAGCTAAATGCACTTTATTAGCAATGTATGCAGTAAATCTCGTTTCCTGATAAACATTTCCAGTATCATAGCGAAATCCAATTGTGTCTTCATCCCATCCAACAATATCTTCTTTTACATGTTCAGTATTCGCTGTAAATCCAAATCCGAAAAAGAGATTCTTTAATTGTTGTTGTGGCCATAATTTTACTTCATAGTAGGTAAATCTCGTAGTGTCGTATAGTGTGGTTGATTCGGAAGGAATGGGAAGCAATAATGACTTGTAAGGTTTAATTCGAATGTTACCTATTGATGGAGGAATATCTGAAATGAGATTTGGATCATTGTTTTCCATATGAATCACATCAAGTGTTTGGATAGGAAGCATATCATCCTCATAATCCAATTCTGTCATTTTTTTCTTGTTAAAAAATTCAAAAGTTGACTTGGTTAAGAATGTTGTAATCATTATTCAAGATCAATTTTAGAGTTTGCATTGCTTACCACATAGTATTCAAAAAGGACAAATTAGAACATGAAGAAAATACAATCATTCTCAAATAAAATCCAAAATTTAATTTAGAGTTGACCATTTTCCCACTTGTCTTCAATCAAGCTCTTAACAATGGACCAACCACGGTGACCAATGATTGGATTTTCCATTTCACTGAATTCATCAGCCAACTTGTTGGCAGCAAGACCAGTTGGAATATTTTGATCTCTAGAAGTTTGCAAAATACGGGAAGCAATAACATAGACAGCATTGTCCCAATCTCTACCGAAGTGTTTCAAAATTGCTGGGTCGTTCTTGACATAACCAAAGCATTCATTGGCACAATTGACAATACCCATACGGTTGTTCAAGTAATCTGGAACATAAATGATACCACGATTCTTAATCATGTGATCATGTTCAACAGGATCCAAAAGTTGATTGTTGGCAGCACCACAGACAATCTTACAGTTGAGCATTGGAATGGTAGTAGAGTTGATGATACCACCCAAAGCAGCTGGAGCAAAAACGTCACATGGTTCAGCAAAGATGCTCAAATCGTTTGGAGCAACAACTCTGAATTCAACATTTGGTGCATGCTTGAATTGTTCCTTTCTCATGGCAATCAAGTTCTTGTCGATATCAGTAGCAATAACCTTACCAACATTTCTCTTGACGAGTTCTTCAACAATGAAGCTAGCAACATTACCAGCACCTTGGACGACAACCTTCTTTCCACTCAAATCTCCCATACCGAGGAAATTAACAGCAGCTTCCATACCACAGACAGTACCAATGGCAGTGGAGTGAGATGGGTTACCAGAACCACCAATACCTTGTGACAAACAACTGACGAAACGAGAAGACTTTGATGAAGAAGAAATTATGATAAGTGTGTGAAAATTGATGATGATGAAATTGTAACGGTAACAAAAATATTTCACATTTGCATTTTGATTGGAAGTTGAAGGTGTTAATAATAAAGAGAGATAATATACATACATTGTGCATTCTATCACAATCTGGTGTAGTGAGACCAACGTCTTCAGCACCATAGTAGGCACCCTTCAATGAAGAAAGGAACTTTCCGTATTCACCAAAGATGACATCACGAGTAACATCATTAGCATAAGTAGCACCATCAGTCTTTTGGATGATACCCTTACCACCACCTGTTGATTATTGATCCATCAAGTTTTAATAATTATTTTCCAATATTTGTTGTTCATATGATGATAGAATCGATTGTGTGTGAAAATATCGTGTGTGATTTTTAAAATTATATGAATTGTAAATATCATCAATAATAAATACTAACCCCACCATAAACCAGCAAGAGCATTCTTTCTATTAATTAAATTCAACAAGTCCGATATCATCACAAGGAATTAAATTTCACAATCATCATCAATATTATGAAAATTAATTTCATATAAAATCACACAACATACCTAGTCATACCCAAGCTCAATCTCAAACCATCTCTAACGTAATCTTCCATAGAATTGTACTTCCACAATCTGACACCACCGTGTGCCAAACCTCTGTTTGATTTATGGAGGAAAGCAGAGAACAAGAGGTTAGACTTTGGACCAACTTGGAAGAAACAAGCTTCATGCTTCAAGAAATCTCTCTTATCCTTTGAAATAAATTCACCCAATTGAGCAAAAAGTGGATGACTAGTCACAACTTGTTGCTTTTCAGCATCATAAACAACATAACCTCTTTGAATGCCAGCCTTTTGCATTTCTTCTTGGAATTTTTCAACAGACAAGGATGCAACTCCATTTTGTTGTTGATTCAATTTTTGGGAGAATTGTCTGACGATCATTCCGGCTTGGAAAGTTGTTTGCTTATTACCAGCAACAACACGACGGCTCACAGTGTTGAACATTTTTTTTTCTTCTTTCAAAAACACGCTCAATGCAGAACTCGCCGTTTTCAAAGCCTAATTAAGACTGTTAGACAATAAAGGAAGGGAAGGCGCGAAAATGATTTTTTTGATTAAGGCTTCTAATTTGGACTTGATATGAAATTTAACATGCATTGTGTGTGAAATTATTTGTAATGCATGGCAAGGAATACAAGTATTAGCTTGTTGAAAATAAATCATAAAATTGGGTGGAGTGTATAGGTTGGGGAAAATTTCAGATTGTGTATTGGTCTATTCATTACAGTACATCAAAGTGAGCTCTTTATAGGAAGTTATCCAACTCCCTATCGTCCTTCCTCATTGAAAAAGCATTCCTTGCTACTGCAATTTCAGAGTTGTTTGATGGTTCATTCTGTTTGGACAATTTTCCTTTGAACAAAAAAAACCCTTGATATCAACACTAAAACCATTCACCTTCCTTGCAAAGACCAATTGTCCTGAAATTTACCTCTCTCTTAAACAACATGTTGGGCGACAATGAAGAAGAATTGCAAAACTATCAATATTATCTTCATGAAAACTCCGAGAGCTTCAACCAGACAAAAAAAATGAGAAACGAGACTTTTCTGGAGGCTCATGATGATGAAAATAATTACTCTTCATCAGGGATGAGCAAACATCAGCAGCATCAGCAGCAACAACAGGAAGTCTCCTCTTCATCATTGAATTCTCGGGAACAATATGGAGATGAAGATAACTTGTATGTCCGAGGAAGTTGGAGGAGTAGAATCAAGAGTTATTTGGAAAATAGATTTGGAGAATTAACATTCAAAAATTTATCGTTGAGAGGATTGAGATTTTTGGCTGTTTTCTTATTTTCTCAAGTGATATCTTGTTTATTAACATCGACAGGAATATTTAGTACTTTTTTAACAAACAAATTCAATATTAATTTACCAACATTACAGAATGCGATTAGTTACACGACATTGTTGGCATTTTACTTTCCTTTATTGCTGGTTCACAAATGGTGTTTTCCAGTTGTGAAGAAAGTAAAGAGAATTAATTTTGCAGCTATTGGAGCTAGGAAATCGAGGAAAGCTAGGAAAACTTCAGAGAATAGTCGATTAATATCTGAATCTAGTGAATCATCATTGAGACAGCAAGAAGTATCTTCGCCAACTGAGAGTGGTATTGCTGCTTCGGAGTCAATGAGTAGTGTGGGAGAAACTGCACTCACTACAGCAGATGTCAATACCACAACTATTACTTCACCAAAACCACTCGTGACACATACCTCATTCCAAAAAATTGAGGACGAGGAAGAACAAGAGGAAGAAGAGGGAATCAAGACATGTTTCCAATCAATTTTCAAACGTTTATATATACCTGAAAGATGGAATATGAAGCCATGGAAATACATCTTCTTTGCTTTTGCTGACGTGGAGGCCAACTTTTTGGTTGTTAAGGCCTATCAGTACACAACCATTACTTCTGTCATGCTCTTGGATTGTTTCACAATTCCAAGTGTCATGTTACTGAGCTTTTTATTTTTGAATAGAACTTATAGGTGGACTCACATTGTAGGTGTTTTGATTTGTTTGACAGGTTTAGGGCTTTTGGTATTGAGCGACTATTTGAGAAGTATTAGTGAGGAACATCATCAAACTTCGGAAAATCCATGGTATTACCTATTGATGGGCGATGCCTTCTGTATTGTTGGCTCATTTTGCTATGCTATCAGTAATGTAGCTCAAGAATATGCCTTAAAATCAGAGGATCACTTTTCACAACTCATGGCTGACCCATCATCCACCGATATCGAACCAACATCACCAACATCCACAACTGCTCCTCCAGAAGTTTCCAAACCAAGACTCAGTGACAATGATTGTGCCATTGAATATTTGGGTATGGTAGGATTATTTGGAACTATCATTGCCATCATTCAAACACTCATTTTCGAAAGAGAAGATATCATGAACACAAAATGGACACCTCAATCAATGATGTACATGGCTGGATTTGCTGCTTCCATGTTCTTTATCTATACCCTTGTTCCTCACTTGATTAGATGGAGTAGTGCAACCTTTATGAATCTTTCCTTCCTGACGAGTGATATCTTTGCAGTCATTGCTAGTGTATTCCTCTTTGGTCAATCAGTTTATCCACTCTATTATTTTGCCTATGCCATTATTGCCATTGGTTTAGTTTTCTACAATCTCTTACAGGAAGAAGAAAGAAAATCAAAGAGTGTTTGGGCCAAGGGAAAACTGTTACTTGTAAAATGTTTCAGAAAGTAAAAATTTACCGCTCAAAACAATTTGCATCTAAGGATCTATTTTGAACTTTTACTCTGGCTTATCAGCCATCAAGTCATTTCAGTGAAACCCTCTCTGTCACTAATCATACAAAAAAATGGTTCAACAACAGCAGAACGTTCCATCACCAATTGGCACGATGGATCGTTCGACTGCCACTGTCGAATTACATCAATTACATCATCACCAGCAACACCAAGAAGAGCATCAACAACAACAACAATATTACACTCTCAACAAGAAAAAGAAGAGAAATTTGCTCCTTCTCATTATTCTCTCCTTGTTTGGTGCTAGTCTCTTGTTGGTTTTGGCTTTCCCATTGATGAGAAAATTGTTCCATCATCACTTTGGTCACCAACAAGAACATCATAACGGAATGATGGATTCGAATCAACAACATCATTACTTCCATAGAAAACATGGCTCTCCAGATGGCCTTTTTCATAGACAACATTCACCACAAGGGGCTCATCCGAATCCATTCAAAGAATTTTCTCAACATCAACATCATCACGATCGTCACTATAATTCCATTCATCTCAAAAATAGACAAATTCACATTCCTTCTACAGATGATCATTTTAAGAGATTTGGAAATTCTCATCATTCTCAATCACAACAATTTTCCTCCTCAATTATTAAACTCTTCCGTTCAGCACTTTCAATCTTTTCTTCAGAAAAGAATGAAAATTTTGGCGCCAAAACTACAAGAAGCTTGAATGAAAAGGGTGAGATGATGCAAACCTTCTTATTACATTTTAAAAAAAATTACGATAAAGTTGGCGCGCAAAGACAAGCAACAACAAGAAGCAATGCAGAAGGAAAGGATGAAGTTTTTGAGGCTTGGTTAGAGAAGGGCTTGAAACAATTCAATGTTCGATTGGGACATTATATTCCTCACAGAACTTTTATGATTAGTGGAAGTGAGAATAATGTTTGGAGAGCAAGAGAGTGGATTAATTCTGAATTGAGTGAATTGTCTTGGTTTGAATCATTGTTTGAAGAGAGTGAGGCTTGCTGGATTGGACCAGTTGAGAGTAAGGATAAATCAGTTTCTGATGATATTTTGGAAGTTCACTTGGATAAGACTGTTGCAGTTGAACGTATCATGAGAGGTGATGCACCATATGATGATGCTTTCAGATACATGACAAGAAAATTGTTGGCTAACAATGATAAGGGTAGAGATGTACATTTTATTGTTACTGCCAATGTTGCCAAACATGAAAGTAAGGAAGAATTGGAAAAGAGTGAACTTTTGAATGCAAATTCTGAAATTATGCAAAGGCTCAAGAAACATGACATTGTCAATGTTCAAGCTGTTTCAAATTCCAAGATTGCCATTGGTGTTAATGGTCATAAGGATGCAATGAATGTTGCTCAAGATCTCAGAGAACACGGTTTGATTCATTGGGTGGAAGTTAAAACTCCAACCACCACCCACGGTAAATATTCGAATGGTCTCGTCCAAAGTTATAAGAAACCAACAGAGAAACCAATTTGGAATATGGGCATTACAGGTCAAGGACAAGTTATTGGTGTAGGTGATACTGGCGTAGATTATTATCATTGTTTCTTCTATGACGAAAATAATGAACCACCATTCCAAACTACTTTGGCTGGCGCCTCAGCAACAACCACCTCTGCTCACAGAAAGTTCAAATCATTCTGGGCCTATATGGACAAGATTGACTCTGAACAAGGACACGGTACTCACGTTACAGGTATTGCTGCTGGTAAGGCTCACACCTCAAGTAATCCAACCACTATGCAAGAACACAATGCAGTAGCTCAAGATGCTAAACTTGCTTTCATGGATGCTGGTTGTGATACTGACTCTTGTAAATGTCCTGCTGATGTTTTGTGTGAATGCGATATGAAGGATGGCAAGATTTGTCCAAAAAAGTTCGGTGTTGTTTACTTGCCACTCGATCTTTATGAATCATATTTCCCATACTTTTATCAAAATGGAGCCAGAGTTGTTAGTAGCTCATGGGGAACTGGCTTTTTCAAAGATTTTGGATTTGGTTATTCCACAAATTCTAGAGAAATTGACATGTTTGCTTGGGAAAAGAAAGATTTCTTACCAGTCTTTGCTGCTGGTAATAGTGGTGGTGTTTTTGGTTATGCTTCTCTAACTAGTGAAGCTGAATCAAAGAATGGTGTTTCTGTTGGAGCTTCTTTGAGCACCTATCAAAGTTTCGAACAAACTGTTAACCTGACTTCTACTCAATTAATTATTGACAGATTGAGAATTGAACTCTATCAAAGATTTTGCCAAAAATCAAGTGATTTATATGATGCTGACAAGTGTACTGCTGCCCAAAAGTTCACCACTGTCGATGACTGCTGTAATAATGGAGGAAAATGTACTACAATTAGTAGCGCTTGTTGTGGTGTTCAAACTTTCTCTCCATTCACAACCATTGGTTTCAGATGTTGCCCAGATTGTATCAGACTTGAAATGAAGGAACACCCAGAATATTACAGTCAAGAAAATCTTGCAGTTTTTACTGCCAGAGGTCCAACTCGTAAGTATCTCCAAAATCTAATAATTTCTAACAATTACAAATAGTTGATAACCGTATCAAGCCAGATATCGTCACTGTTGGAGAAAAGATTCTCTCAGCTCGCTCAGCTGGTACAACCTCAGATAGAAAGTGTGGAGCTTCAGAATTTAAAAAGATTGAAGATCAAATGATTTATCACGAAGGTACTTCAATGGCTGCACCTCTTGCTGTACGTGTTTATAATTTTCTTTTACTAATTGTTCTTGTTATTATTCATTTCAATTTTGAAAATATAGGCCTCAGCTATTGCCTTGATTAGACAATACTATCAAGAAGGATATTTAAGTGGAGCTAAGGATCCTGCTAAGGGATTCAATCCTTCTGCTGCTTTGGTTAAGGCCACCTTGATTCACTCTGCCAAACCATTGACTGGTTATGTTCATCTGCTTTCAAAGCATATGGTATGTTTTATATTTGTCATTTAGAACTAATTGAATTTTGTTAGTATTGGCCACTTCAATATAAGGAAGGACACACCTTTGCACTTCAAAGTACATACATGCAAGGATTCGGACACATTGATCTCAGTAATGTCATGGATAAGAGTATGAATCTCTATATTCCAAACAAGGAAGATGCCCAACTTTCAACAGGTCAAGCTCACCAATATTGTCTCAATGTCAAGTCTCAAGCAACTAATCCACTCAAGGTAACAATTGTTTGGACCGATCCACCTAGTTCACCTGCAGCAAAAATTCACCTTGTCAATGACTTGGACTTGGTTGTCGTTACTCCAAGTGGTGATAAATTGTTTGGTAATGGAGGTAAATCTTCTGTCAAGCAAACAAGAGATGAACCTGATCAATTGAATAATGTAGAACAAGTTGAAATGGAAACAACTGATCCAGTAGGAAAGTACAATATTAGTAAGTTTTTCAAAATCTTAATTTAGTATTAACAATCAAATAGTCGTGAGAGGTAATGCTGTAACTAAAGGACCACAACCATATGCTATCGTTATTACAGGTGATTTTGAACTTACAAGTGGTTGCGCTGCTTATTCTTTCATTCCATATGCTTATTTGGCAGAAAGAGTTCAAACATACAGTAACTTGTCTATTGCTTTTGGTATTCTATCAGTTATTTGTATTCCAGCTCTTGCATTCTTGTCCATTTATTTATACATACAATATAGAAAGATTACCACCTCTAGTCAAGGTTATAGATCTGCAGACATTGGTCAAAACACAAGAACCTATGTCGATATTGGAGACGATGACAATTTTGAATTGAAAAACTTGAGAAAGAATTATCAAATTGATGAAAGTGACGACGATGATAATACTGAAATCAATAGAAGAGGAGGTACAGCAAGTGAAAAGGCTCAATTAGGTATGACAGATCGTGAATAAAGTATTTTTTATAAGTTTAAGGAAGATGAGCAAAACAATGCGTAAACTTCTAGGGTAAAGATTGGAACTTTAATGAAAGACTAAACAGTAAAGTAGATAATAAATTAATTGAGTTTATGTGATTCATCTTCGTAATTTACAATGTAAAAACTGCCTGATTCCAAACTACTGAGGAAAAAACCTTGTTCTCCGACCAAATAATCTTGATAGGCAAACTCCTTGATAAAACCAATTTGTGTAAACATATCCTTAGTGGCTGCAACACAAATGACACAAATGAATACTGGAATAAAGTCATCTGCAGAAACAAATTGATCTCCCTCAGATTTCAATGGTTGTTTTGTTTTGGAGAAGTAAATCTTATTCATCACTTCTTTGGCAGCCAATGTAATGATATTAAGTTTGGCAGATGGGCTGTATGGTTTGGTATCTGAAACCTTATCATGAGAATCTTCAGAAATTGTTCGAATTAAATCTATGGCTGTCTTGTATTCTTCCTTGAATTTTACCATTTCTTCATCAATTATAAATTGTCTATACTCGTTATCGTGTAAATCCTTCTCGTCTATCTTTTTACTTTCAAGTAATAGTTGGCCAACAAGTTTGTTGGAAACATCTAAACATTTAACATAAAAGGCCTCGTCCATCATTTTCATTTCATTTCTGACTTGACACAAGGAGCAGTCATACATGATCATTCCTCTTGTTTGTGAAGTATATTCAAATGTCATGGATTCTAAAACTTCATAAACTTGATACCATGAAAGATTAATCTTAATCATGGAGCTAACCTTTTCAGTGAGAGCCTTGAGGAAATCTTGTAACTTTTGGTTACCAACTGTAGTATTAACAGGTGAGTTGAGGAATTTTTGTACAAATTGATGGATTTGAGTGCAGAAAAAGTTAGAATGTTGACCTGATGTGATGGTGTTACGAAGACGTTGTTGCATTTGTTTGACCATTTGGCTGGCATGTTTCTTTCTCTCCTCCGATGAGGCTAATTGTTGAGATTTAATCTCTGATTGAATATCTTCCTTAATATGTTTGAGTTGGAGGAGGTAGGAATCGCCGCGTTCAATTCTACTCTTAAACTTTTCAATAATATGTCTGCTTGTGAGTTTAAAGAAACAAATGTCAATCAAATCATTCTTGCTTGGCATATCTATGAGTGATCTCATTTCTCGTTCAATCTCAAAGTTATCATCCAACACGAATAGTCTTTGAGGTATATTGTTACTCACAAGATTACCATATCTCAAACAATTGGTGGCAAATCGTTGAGTATTGACAACCTTGATAAGTAAATTCTCTATTAATCCAAGTTGATACATAATCAAGCTGATCTGATTACTGGTTTGTTTGAGCTTTGTTGTGGCATCCGAAAGATTGGCATGCACTTCTTGAATGGTTTGTCTAAGACCATTCAAAGCAGATGAAGTGTTGGTATCCAAACGAATTTGTGACCCTTCATTGGTCACTCCATAGGCTTGTGTATAGAGATTGTATCGTCCAGCAATCTCTTGATAGGTACTGCTCAGAGTTTTCTTGGTAGTGTTAAGCTCAAAGGATTGAGTGTACAAATGATCAAGTTGTTTCAAATTCTCTGTATTCCAACGTGAAAGCTCCTTGCTGATATCATTCAGTGAAAGTATCAAGTGTCTCCATTCGTAGGCCAATAAAAGTCTTGAGAGTTGAATAGATTTTTTAAAGTAAAGAGGTGAGTGTTCTCTAATCTTCTCCTCGATGGTTAATAAATATTGGAATTGTGGTTTGGTGTTAGATTTTTGGGAAAATGGTAAATTGTAGGTACAGGTTGGCTTGGTTGTCCAATCAATTTCTGACAAGACTCTTATTTTTTCTGTAAGTAATTCCAGTCTCGTTCGGTTAATTTCTTCATTTAACGATTCAATGTGAAAGATTCTGTCAATACTCAAATTCTTCATATTGGTGGATGAATTCAAATTGTTGCTAGCACTTTCAACTCTTGGTGGAGATTGGCTTGAAAATGATGATAATCCTTTGATGGATTCTCTTAATATCAAAGACTGTTGCTGTAGAATAAAGCTTCTTTCTTCACGTTCTCTCTTATTTTGCTCATTCTTTTGTATTTTCCTTGTTAGGCCTTCAACAAAAGATGTCAGCTCTTTTTTGTAACATTCCAAATCCAAAGTGCTTTCTTCATCTTCTGTTGATTTTGCAACATTTGAACTGATGGGCACTAAGCAATTACCACCCAAGGAAATAAATCTTGAGGGTGACTTGTCCATGCCAACAAACAGTAAATGCTTTAGAACACAAATCCACTCACTTCTTTTTTGTTCACTATCTGTTGATAGGAGTAGAACCTCCTGTTGATCGTCACTTTTACAGCAGAATGTAAATTTCCTATTAGAATTTCCAATAACTGGGTGTAAAGCTGGTGAATCTTCATCGTCATTGGATTGCCTTCTAGAGAGAGCATCAGAATTCTTTCTAGGAGTTGTCATTGCTGAGCAAGTACTTGCTGATGAAGATGATGGATTTAAATCAATACACAGATTGTCACCACTAATAGGAGCAATAAAATCTTCTTGCTCCTCTCTATACATTGGAACGTGATCGGTATTACTGGAGCTACCTTCAATACTCCGTCCTGAATTCAACAATAGAGGGGATTGATAGCTCGTTGATGTTTGCTGTGCATATACCTCTATAATACTGTCATAAAAAGATTTTTGTGAATAGGAAGTATAATTGAGTGGTAAAATATGATGATATTGAAGAAGATTGGTCTTCATCTCGTGATTAATATTCTGTTGATTATTCTGTGGTCGTGTCTTGTATTGATACAAGTGATAATCTGTATGTATTTCAAACCATCTTGGTTGTCCTATTTGTAATTTTCCATGTTGCTGACTTGATTCGTAATTTACATCCGATATTGTATTGCTATCCTTCTGTTGTTGCAATATCTGTTGCTGTTGTTGTTGTTGATTATTATATACAATAGGAGATGATGAATCAGAGGAAGAATAAATTATCTTTGAAGGTGTTTTACTCTCTTTTTCTTCCATCATCATGTTCGAAAAGGCTTCAACTGGATACAGATATCCACAATAAATAATTTCATGATGATTTTCCATTATGATATATAGTAAGATGTGATGATATTAATATATTTGAATTTAATGATCAAATTCAAAAAATCAAACTCTCTCGGTTGATGATTAACAAGAAATAAATAAATGATGACGCTGATGTGATGAAATAGTATCTTCTTGTATCCGATTTTATATTATATTGAAGATTCCTTCGGATAAAAAAATATCAATTCTTTGTGATGAAAACGATTTTATGTTTTTGATCGTTTTTTTTTCTAAGTCCGAAATTTAATTTAACGGAAATGTACTTTTCCCGCCAATTAAGGGTTTGACTTGGGATTTGCTTTATTCATAAAGGTAGGAGGTGTTTAAGGAGAGTGAATATGAATGAGGAAGTTAAGGAGTAATCAACTAATTACTGGAGGAGTTTAGTTTGTAGAAAAGTTATAAACCATATTTTTGTAATGTCTATTTTATAATTAATTTACAATAATTGAGTGAAAAGTAAAATGCAGAATACAAATAAGGCAATATCGTAATTCCACATCAATGCACCACTCACTTGAGCATTTCTTCCATTGGAAGTAGATGGCATTGGATTTGATGATTCCAAAGTAATTGCATTCACAAATTCCAAAGGTCTTTCAGGAGTATTTACAAGAGTTCCCTTTTGATCGAGAACTTTGATTTTTGTAATGAATGAACCAATTTGAGGATTATTCTTGGCTTGGAAGGTGAATTTGATAGTTTGTCCTGATTTCATAAATTCAACAACTGGAATGGTGATTGAAACAGTTCCTTGTTTTGGAGAATTTGACACGATGGCAGTGGAATTCAAAGCTGTTCCTTCTACCATTGTAATTTTCAAAGTTCCATTGTTGAGGAGTGGAATGGAAGATCCACTGAATGTGAAAACAAACTTTTCTCCATAGAAATGTCTCACTGGTGTCCAAGTTGTAATCTTAACTTGGTAGGTTGTATCCTTACCAAACATGGTATCCAAAAGATCCAATGAAGCACAAGGTGAATCTTCATATGGAGCAACACCACATCCAACAATCATATCATTTGGCATCCAAGCTGTCAAATTTGAAATACTGGCCTTGGCAGCGTCACTCACTGGAAAACTCCAAGCATCACAAAATGGTCCCAAATTTCTCCCGACCACTTTACTAAATCTCGTCATCCATTGATCTCTTTTCTGATCGTCATTCTGTGGTTGTGGTCCATTCTTTTGATAATCAACAAAGGTCTTCCTGATGGCAACCCAACCAAATGCTTGAATCAAATCCAAGTAGAAGAGCAATCCAGCACTTGTCCAATCACCCTTAAATGGTTGTGTGTTACCCTTGTAGGTTGTTTCGAGTCCTCTTGGTGGATTGAAACCTTTACCATAGGTGTTGGCACTGTCTGGATAGTGTTCCTCAAGGTAGAGACTGAAGATGTTGCATGTTACTTCACCAGATTGATCGTATGTCCAGGCACCTTCTTGGAAATTGTGTCCCAATTCGTGGTAATGACCCCAACGTCCTGGAGTATTCTTTAATTGACCCAAGTTGGCAGGGTTGACTGGAAGAATAGTTCCAACGTTCTGATCTAGAAAAGTCATAAAAGGATAGCCCTGAATGCATATAGCCAGCAGATATTTGAATATCAGCTTGCATTCTTTCCTTATAATCTCTTGTTTGTCTTTGAGATAGTTCATAATACATGGCCACAACATTTCCCCAATATTTGGCCACAGTCGAAACTTCTGACAACTGTCTGGCTGTTGGAGTGGCTTGTACATTGAAAGCAAAATGTTCTGATTCAATCTCAACCCATGGTCCTGGATAATTTCTAATGGTGCTGTTCCATTCTTGATCGGTGTGAATTCCATCCTTGAAAAATGGAGTTTTAACAACTTGTCCAATAACTGTCACATCAACAGAGAGTGGAATTGAAGAGACTTCAATATAAATAGTACCGCCATTCAAGCAAGTAATGGTTCCAGTAGAGTTGGTTGTGGCACTAATTGAAAAAGTTTTGGAAATGGATGGCCATCTACTCCAGGAATCAAGATGTGCAATTCCATCAGTGTGTCCACCAATTCTGACATTGGACACACCCTTTGGATTGGACAAGATAACTTCCAAAGTAGCTCCAGGCAAAGCATAGAAACCAGTACATTGCCATCTCTTTCTATTTGTGGATACATTCATTTTCAATGTTTCAGTTGGAGCATTTCTATAGGTCAATCCATTATTTGGTAAACCTGGAAATTGTTCTCCAGCCAAAACTTCTGGATTATTGTCAATTGGTAAAACTTTAGCTTCATTCAAGACGTCAATCATGAAAATGCAAAGTTTAGGCATGTTGGAAGAAACAGGAAACTTGATTTCAACTCCTGTACATACAGATTCGTATACAGATTTTGCCTTTCCAATAGTTTCAATAGAATTTGGACTAATTGGTTGTTGGAGAGTTGCATAAACATTTGATAACATATTTCCAACAGCTTGAACATCAGAACTTTGAATTAATGAAGCATTCACAGCAAATTGATTCTCAATCTGAACCAATTTGAAATACGGATTCATATCCGAAATTGGAATATTCAATGAGGAAACAAAGGCACCACTTGCAAAATAGTAAGTATAGAAAGAGACACCAAGTTTTGCAAAGAGTACATTGCCAGGGAATTGATTTCCTTGCAAGGAGTGTGCCCATGCTGTGGAAACAACTATAATTCCTCCACCTCTGGCCAAGAACGCATCCATCATTTGTTGCATTTGAGGAGTAACTTGACCAACACTGTTAAGATTCATAATGACCAAGTCAACTGTTTCCAATGGAAGAATAGTTGTATCGAATGCACTAGTTGTCTTATTTTGGACGAAACCTGGAATTTGATTATAGAAAGAAGCACCATTGACACCATGAAGTAAATATTTGGTTTGTTGTTTGTTGCCAGAGGCCCATTTTGCACAATTAACAAGTAAACTACCCAAACTAGAGGTTGTAGATGAGGTTGTGGCATAACCATTGTGGCCAAATGCACAAATCTTTCCACTACTTGGATTGGAATTGTAGGTTGCAGCCATGGCCACAGGTGTGGTTCCAGCAACAATTAGTGGAACAGCGTTGGAGCCATGGGCAAAGAAGTAACCAGCAGCAGAGGATGGGATATCAGTAACATTTACAAGAAGAGTACGTCTTACAGTGTCCAAGTCAGTTAAGGACATGCATGTGGCAGAGTTGACTGACAAGAGAATACAAATCAAACATGCAATAAAAGCAAAAGCACATAGAGTAGTGCTGTTGCTGTTATTAGAATTGTTTAATTTCATTTTTTTTGAGTATGACTATCTTCTCTTTCGAATCATCAAGATTATAAACGATTTATTCTAAACCCCTTCGTATTATTTAGCAAGGGGTATCTGATTGACATTTTGACTTTTCGTTTGTTTGACATGTATTGAAAAACAAGATACACTTTCAGGACAACCAAATCTGTCGAGCTAGGAAGTCCTCAGCCATTCTCAACCAATCCCAACCTCAAATGGCAACCATGCAAAATTTGCCAAACATTCACAAGGTTTACTAATGGGAGCTTTTTTGAGAGTTATTATTGAAAAATGTTACATTTTGATGTTGTTGCTTGCCATGATGATGATAATTTGCATACGATGTGGGATTGAATAGGTCAATTATTGGGAAAGGACATTACAATTTAAGTGTTGGAAAGGAATTTTCATTTGGTGGTTGATGATGGAGTAATTCGCAAGATTTACATTTGGTATAAAGTGAGTTTGTGTTCAATAATAAACTTTACAAATCGAAATTTACAGTTTTAAATTCAAATTTGCATACAAATTATTCATGAACAATTTCACAGTCGACCATTAATGAGAAATGATCAGAGGAATGTTTTTCACTTGGTAAACAAGTTTCGTCTATATCTTTAGGAAGTGGAATTGACAATAATCGTTTCAATTCAATCTTGGAATGTTGCTGAGTATTCCACACAAATATATAATCCAGAGTTGACTTGAAATCAGGTGTATACATCGTGTAGAGTACTTCATTATGATCCCAATCAAAGTGAACTCTCATTTCTTCATGATCTTGTGGATTTAATTTACCATACCATGAATACATGGAACGAAAGGATGGATAATTCTTTACGAAATGAGAAATCAACTCCTTAATACTTTTCATTCGTTTCTTCTTTTCCATTTCCAATTGTTCGAATATTTGTTCTTCTGGAGTATTGGAATCTTTCAAATCTTGAATGAATTTCTCTTCACAAAATGTTACATGATTAAAGTACCGTTCCAAATCTTCCAATGTAATGTCCTCGATATCAATTCCATCGATGGAAAGTTGATTGGTGAGGTCAATTTTCTTATCCTTCGTTAGAGTTCTCCCTGGTAGATGTAACAATTTGTAAATGATTGAATTGGGAGTTGTGTTAAAATCACCAACACTCAATACAGGATAATTCGAATATCTATGGTTAACAGATAAGGTATGAGCTATTAGGAGCATTAATTGTCTCAAGCGTACATAATTACACTCAGGTCTCCAAAATAAGTGAGAATTCGTAATCAATAGTCCATCTTCACTTTCTTTACTTTTCAAAACAAATATTTGAGCAATGTTTCCACTGTGCTTAATTTCCTCCTTTTCCAAAACAGATTCATCAGTAGAAATATTCAAATGTTGACTATTCGAAAGTAATTCCTGTTCCATCAAGATGACTTCACTTTCCACTAGTTCAAACTTTTCACTTTTAAAAGCAAATGCCAATCCATAAGGCATTTCTCTGAAATTCTTTGATGGATTATATTGAGCATGATAGAATGATGAATAGCCAAGCTCTTTCAATTTATCCTTCCAAAATTCCTCATACTTGTCAACCTCTTGTAAACAAATGATATCCGAATTGTAAAACTCAATTTCATTGAGGAGATTTTCTCTACGAACTGTCCATAATGCTGCCTTATGATTACAATATGAAAATCCCTCTCTTCTATTGAATAAACTCTGTGCGAGAATATTGTATGTTAGCAGAGTAAAGGAAAACTTGTGCATTTGATTATTTTGATGTGTGGCTGTTGCTTCCGATTGGTGATTTGCCATGGCTGGAACCTTTTCCTGTTCGTGATGATGTTGTTGCTGCTGCTTGTGTGATGATGCTTTGATCCATCGACGAGGATAGCCAGAAAAACAGTTCTTCAGGTTTCTATTCATTTTTTTAAATGGTGCTTTTTGGCTATTTAAAGAAATTAGCTAAATGTGGACATTAAATAATTACTTTTATCACTGTTTCTCGTATTTTCTCCTCAATTCTGTAAATTCATTCCCAAATATAAATATATTTGAGAGGTTTTAAAGTTTAATCCAAATCATATTCCTGATCAGATGGAGAGGAAGGTCGTGAACCTGAGGTTCCAGATGGTGTAACTTCTGATGACTTTTCTGGTGGGCTATCAACATCAGTTTCAACACGATATTTGGATGTAGTCGTTGTGGTTGTTGAATGGTCTGCAACTGTTTCAGTAAATTCATCCTCTTCTAACAAGTCAGTATCATTATTCAACATTGGTTGAATTTGAATGTCTCTGGCATATTCCATTTCAACATTGTGAATTTCAGAAGAAATTGCTTTGGCCAATCTTTCAGCATCATCTGGGAATGGAATATGATAGGATTCTCTGTTTTGAGAGAGCAATTGTTGCTTCAGACTCTTAATTTCAGCATTGGTACTCTTGAGCAATTGTGTCTTTTGTTGGACAAGTTCCAAAAATTCTGGTGATGAATTCTCTTGTTTCTCAAGTGCCTTGAGTTCCTTTCTGATATTATAATTTCGGAAAATAACATGTCCTTGCAGGTATTGCCAATAGCTGATAATTTCCTCAATTTCTTGTTGGGAGCAATAGTGTTGAATTCTAACATTGTTGCCATTGATATACGTTGGGAAATAATTCAAAATCTTATCCATAACAAAATCGTTTGTGGAGAGAGTACTATTCCAAACAAGAGGAAGATACTCAATCGAGTATTTGATCCAATTCATAGCTTCCTTGAAATTCTTTGAAATTGTCTTTAAACCTCTTGAATAAATTTGTTGTAAACAGACAGCAGTGTATGTGAGAATATCCTTCTCTCTACTTAATTTCTTATCTCCATGTAATTCTGTGAGCTCCTTATCATAAATAATACCCATCAAGAATGAGCTAATAGATCTATCAAATGTCTTTCTGTACAAATAATGCAATCCATAATGATACCAAGTTGCAACAAAGCAGAATAATGAGTACAACTCATTCAAAGAAGATACCACCTTGGTATTTGGTATGTCATCCACAGTCAAGTTCACAAGTGCCATGTATTCGTTGAATTTGTTTTGATCGGATTTTTCAGAGCTTGCACACAAATCCAAGAGCTTTCTCTGGAAGAGTGAGTAGAATACTTGATCGGCAATGGTATACTTCATTGGAACAATTTGATCTATGGCACAGAGGAACACTGGATAGTTGGCAATTCTTGCATCATACTGCAAGGACATGGAGTAAGTGTAAGTGCTATTGACCTGACCTTGACAGAGTTGGAAGCACTTATTGCAGAGCTCATTATATTGGTGTTGGAATTGCTTCTTCTCCCTTTCTCTCTTTTCCTTTTGTTGTTCAATATAAATATTAAGCTCCTCAATAAACTTTTTGTTTTGGAAATTCAATTCGTCCTGAACCTCTTTTGGAATGATAGCTCTCCATCTCTCAATGGATATTTCCATGAGAACATCTCTGTAAGTTTTAGGATAATCGGCGATAATTTGCTCAAGCGAATCAACTTCGAGTCCAGAGTGCTCTGTTGGAATTTTTTCTTCAACGGTGGCAGGTTTAGCTTCTTGATCATTATGTTCTTCATTATGATGGTGGTGATGTCCACTGCAACAGCCATGATGGTGGTGATGATGGTGATGATGATCATCATGACAGCTGTCTGCCTTCTTCAATTTCTTCAAGGATTCCTTGAGCTCCTTGATATTCTGCTCGATAGAATCTTGGAGATGCTTATCCTTTGAAATAAAGTCTTTCTCTTCCAAATTAACTCTACTATTATCCACATATAAGAGGCAGTAAGCACTAGAGTTGATATCCTTGTCAATACCACTTGAAGTTCTCATGACTTCCTCTTCAGTAACCTCAGTCACCTTCATATCATTGAATTTCCACCAACAATTTTGACCTGTATCAAAATAGTAAATGTAATAATGTCCGCTCGAAGCCAAGCTTCCTTCATGAACTAGAATACCACACAGATCGTATGGTTTCTCCTTCATATCATCGAACATGGTAGCAACATTTTCTTTGAGAGTATCGATTTCATTCTTTAACTTTTCAACCTTTTTAGAAACTTGTTGTCTTATATTCTCAAATACCTTGACAGCACTTTCAATAGATTGAACAGAGGTACCTCCTGATAGCTCGTGTTGATATTGAGCTACATATTCGAGAGCGCCTGCAAATAAATATTCAATGGAAATTCCCTTATTATCATTATAATTTAAATAGCCATCTAATTGTTTTTCCAAATCTGCAATCTTTTGTTTGATTTGTTTGATATTTTCTCGTTTAGTTGTAGTTTCTTTGGTTGTGTAAAGGAATTGTGAAATGATAATAAAACTTACTAACTTTGTTCGTCTCCAGATATCTATCCAAATAAATCACCTCTTGGAATTCAAATGGTAGATTAATCTTGTGAGCAACCTTTTTGGTAGTATCAAAAGAGGTTCTTTGGAGTTGAACTAATAATACAGGTGGTGGTGTTTTAAACCAGGTAGTTTTTACAGCTTTTGTCTTGTAAGATGTGCTGACAGCATAATCTGCAACCTCAGTGATAGAATAATCATCGAGAGAAGAATAAAAATCTTTCAGCTGTTCACTCACATTCAAAATTAAATTACAAAGTTCAGAGTATTTACTGATACAGACTTTTGTTGACTCTGTATCCAAATACTCCAACTCTTCTGTACAGATACCATAGAAAATTTGTTTGATTGGGTTTTCAAGACTGATATTGTTGGTCTTGTTCTCGATTTTTTCTTCCCATTCCTCTGAGAACATTCTCTCAAGTAGGATCAAAACCTTACTATAGAATTCTATTAAAGTAAATGTTTTTTGAGTATGATTAGTAATATTGACAACGTACCACTAATATCTTCTTGATGTCCAAGATTGACATCAATTCCCTCCTTTGAAAGAGCCTCTACAAGAGGAGATGGATCAATAAATGTCTTGTTAGTCATGATCATACTTGCAAACAATTTTTGAGATTCCTTAATGAATGTCACTATATTATTATTAGTCCAATAAAATCTCTAATTGATATATACTTACAATCCTTATCTGCTTGCTTTTGTAAATTCTCATTAGAGTAAACTTGTTGATGTTGAGTAATCCTCTTATCTGTTGTTGCACTACTTGTAGTGGTTAATGATTTTTCAATCTTTGCTTGAACTCTACTCATAAAACTCTCCTCAGAAAATGAGAATAACAATTGTTTCAACTTGGGAATCATAAAAAGTGCTTGAAATAACGAATTGACATAACAAGTATTTCCAATATTTTTCAATCCAATAGGAACATGTAGTTGTTTTCTATATTTCTCAATAGGAGATTTTGGTTCAGAATCTCGTTTTTGATCTTGTAATGATGCTTCAATGGCTCTATTGAGTGCATCATCTTCAAAGCTAGTATTATTTGATGATGAGAATTGTCTATTATTTTTGTTATTATTATTCGTTGAAAAGTAATCATCATCGGTATTGTGTCTATTATTATTAACAGTTGTCGGAGAGAGTTGATCAAAGGATGTATCAAAGTAGAAATCATCATTTCTATGACTATTGCTAATTACAGTGTCATCCTCAAGGTTTGGCATATCAGGATCATCAATATGCTTTTCTTCTTCTTGTTCATGATGATGATGTTGATTGTGATGATGTTTAAATTCATTATTAGAAGTGTACATGACTGGAGAGACTTCTCCACTTGTTGTAGCAGTTGTGGAATCATCAGAATCATAATTATATCTATTTACTACATCATCTGCTGCAGAGTGATGATGGTGATGATGATTAGATCCTCCATACACAACTGTATCATCAATTGTAGGTTCATCTTCATGATGATGGTGATGATGAACAACAGCTACTTGATTATTAGACTGCTGATCATTCTCCATCGATAATACACTCGGATCATCCGAAGCTGCCAATAACAAATCGAAGGCTCTCTCAACATTATTATTGCATTTCCTCAAGGCCTGTATTGCCTGATCTCTCCCAAAACCAGCATCTACAATCTGACTGATGGAATCCTCATTGATCGGTGACGACGACGGATACATCATTGAATTTCCGTAGCTGCTACTGAGAGGCATTTTATTTATGGATTACTGGTTCCTCACAGAAAGTGCATTGTGGTAATTGTGAAGAAAGAACACAATCAAGTTCTTTACCAAATGTAACAATATGATAATTGGTAACAAGTTGTATTTTCTCTTGTGAAAGAAGGATAGTATTTGAATCATTATTTAATGAACCCTTTTAATTGTTTGTAGGTCTTTGATACTCCTCTTATGGAAATAGAGGATTGTGATAATTTCAATGAAAATTTACCAACCAAGTGACCAGTCATGACAATTTTATCTGGATTACGTCCATCAGTTTGCACAAATGGAACAAGATAACATTTGCCTGCTCTAAGAACTAATTCATCAGTGTAAGTGGAATTGTTACACTTAATAACCTTAGATTCAGATCCAGTTGCCACCACCACATCATTCTGAACAACAATGAAAGAGAAGAAGGTTGGTTTGGCTTGCCCTATATCCTTTCTGAAACGTTTTCCAAGTTGATGAAGACCAAAGTAGGCATCATGTTGATTCTCTCCAATGTCTACACAAATTACAGGATATGAAGAAGAATCCTGAACAGGAAAGCTTTGCATTGGTACTGAAATATCTGATCTGAAATAAGATGGTTCATATCTACAAAGTGAAATAGTATCAAACCAACTCAAAAAATCATTAAAAGACATAAAGAAACGTCCATCATCAGCATCACTATAACCAGCCTCTCTCTTCATCTCAACAGTCCAACTATGGAAATTGGTTAATTGAATCTTGAAAAAAGTTAACTTACTTTGGATCTCGGTCACTCCAAGCTCCTGTCCATTCTCCTTTACCCCAAGGATTTCTTATGTACACTAATTTGAGGTTTCTCACTTCCTTACATGCAAGGAAAGCATACGCATGGTTTGCAACAAGACCCATCTTGTTACATCCATTATCATCATCTATTGTACTGCAACAGATAAAGTTATTCTTCTTTACAGCATCAATCAATTGCTTCCACAATTGATCCTTATTCTTTTGATTCTTTACAAAAATATTATGAGATGGATAACCTGTTAACAATTCAAAAGCCTCAATTGGGTTACCTCCTTCAATATTCAAGTAATACCCACATACTTTAGAGTAGGCTTTTTCAAGTGCAATAACCCACAACTCTGGAGACTTGTTATATGCAAATAGAGGCGTTCTAGTTCCATTTCTAACTGGGAAGTAATCATCAATGATGACCTTTCTGAACTCACCCCCTATACAAAGATTCAACTCATAAATACCCACTGGATTCATTATTTTGGTAGAGAACAATCTTTCAATGAGGATTGGTTCTCTGGCTATGCACGAGAGAGCTGACAAGAAGTAGCAATCTCCAAGCGATCCCTGTTTAATATCATCAGGCTCAATACCATCGTGGAAAAGAGCAAACTTGGGACCAAGCATTTCTGGAGCTCTCATAAATGTGCACTCTGGATAACTCTTTTGATTAGGACCCAATATCGATTTTGCATTTGGAGGAAAGTCAGCATCATTAAATGGTACTCCAGCATTAATTGCATTTATAACTTGCTTACTGATAACTCTGAGTGTAGCAAAACTTTCCAAAGCTTTTCTGATGTTGTCATTCTTTTGACTATTGTCCAAAATTTCACCATATCTACACTCTGAAATGAAAGCAGAAAATTCCTTGTCTTCTCTCAATGAATTGATTCTTTGGTCCATAGCATGAGCTTCATTGTACATAATTTCGGCAATCTTCTTCTGAATGCCTGAATATCTCTTTACCAACAATCTCATAGCCGTGAATCTTTTTCTATCTATATATTCCAAGTGTGATAAAATATTTCCTAGATACATGTCAAATGTTTCCTTTTCCGTATAATATTCCTTAATTGCTTGATTGTTTTCCTGTTCAATCTTAACAAGCTGCCTTTCACAATCTTTAATAGTATTTTCTAGCTGTCTTGTCTCATCTTCTGTAAGTGATGGATTGCTCTGCAATTCAGTCGTTGAATCTTGAAGAAGAATTTTATGTTTGAAAGCCTTATTTTTCACTCCATCCAATTTCTTTATACATTTTTTCAATCTAGCATGACATAGAGCTTCTTCTTTCTTGGCGGTCTTAATATGTTTTAGCAAGTCTTTCTTCAATTGAGTCAAATCAACATTAACCATATGAAAATCATTATCTGTTTTTTTATATTCTTCACCTAGGTTCCCAAGACTAGCAGCTAATTTGTCAAAAACACCATAATCTTCACTGTTATGATGATTGAACAATCATGCATTTCAATTATAAAAATAACAGATTAAAGAATTAGCATTAACTACTTACTCTATTCGACTTTGTACCTTTATGAGAGATATTTGATGGTATTCATTGGCCATGTTCTTGTACATCTTTTTTGTTTTCTCTACAATCTTATGAAAATGCCCGATTTCTACCAAGTATTTATTCAATTGCTGAATAACCTCAGGAAATTTATCTTTCAAAGCGAGGGAGTAGGGCGTATTAGAGCCACTATCGAAATCAACATTCGGTTCAACAGCATACAACTGCGGTTTTGCCATGACTGCACCCATTTTTTTTAATTGGGGAAAACAAAAACGGGAGCAACCAGACTGTTCATTAAGGAAGGGTTTCTAATTCGGCCACAAATCGCCTTTGATTTTTTACCGTATGTCGAGGATCATTATAAGGGGTTATATAAAGAGAACTTTTTTCTAAAGGCATTCAACGGATTTAATTTTATGCAAGCGTTTTTTAAGTATAATTCATACTGTTTGATTTCAATACTATGATACTGACCTAATAGCGAAATATCTTGATTGTCAAATATCATGTCAGATTGATAACGTTCGTACCCGCGTACAATGATTATTACAATGGTAAAAACCGTCGAGGATCATATTAATAAGGTGTTTAAAATACTATAAATTTATTTAGTTTGTACAAAAATTATGTGAGATCGATAGTCTTGATCTTATCCTTGATCTGGAGGAAAAGATTGGTCTTCCATGTATCTAATTTTTGGATCTTGTCGAAATCTCTTAAAGTAATAGTATATGTCTTTACATTCTTCTCTTCACAGGCATCTGCAAGTTTTTCAATTAATTTACATTCGAGAGAATCACCAAAGTGAACGTCCATGTCCTTGTATTCGGAAATCTTATTTCTAACTTCATTAATATCCTCTGGTTCACATTCTTCCAACTTGGCCATGATACAAATCAATGCCTTGAATAAATATTCCTTTGCTCCCCATTTCAATAATCTGTCATCAACAGCTGCTGAAGCAGCCTTTTCAAAATGTTCAATAGCCTCATCAAACTTTCCCATAACAGCTTGTAAGTGAGCCAATTTTACAATACATTGATTAGCACTACTCTTTTGATCTTCGGAAAGGAAATAATCAGCAGCAGAAGAATAGTGATTACAAGCATTTTCATAATCTTCGGCTTCTTCTAATACTTCAGCCATTTCCTTTTCATATTTTGCAACTGTGGCAAATTTACCAGCTTCGGTAAATAAACCTATTGCTTCATTAATACATTCGGTTGTTTCTTGTTTGAGTCCGGCTTGTTTATAACAATTTGATGCATCAATAGCAACGGTGGCAGCTTCATATTTACTACTCATCTTGAGCAAAAGAGGAACCATCTTTCTGAAAGTATCTCCGGCCTCCTTCCAAGCTTTAGCAACCTTGAATTTATTAGCAGCAGTTCTATAGGCTTCACAGGCATCATCATTTCTGCTACCCAGATAAATGAATTTGGTCAAAATACTGTCTCCCTTCTTGCAAAGCTCCATTGCTTGAGCGACGTTTGCTTCCTTCAATGAACCACTACTCATTTTTTATATTATTAATTTATAATAAAAACAAAACGGATAAAATTATTAGATGAGGTCATTTGGTATTCGTTGGAAAGCGGATGATGAAGTAATTACATCAGCAACACAATTTTTTGAAATTGAAGATAGTCTTTTACTCTGCTTCAATACTGATAGTTTGTTGTTTGAATTTTCCGCCAATTAATATCGTTACATTTTATGAATAAAAATCATCTAAAAAAAATATTCAACCTCGTTTGCTTCTCTCTTCTTTCATATTAAGATTCTGAATCACAATCTTATTAGTTGCAGCGACGGTCCTTCATCATCATCATCAACATTATTAATTTGCTATTGGATTTCAAATAATTAAGGATGAATGGAATTTCCAACATCTTTGATGCTTCAGAGATGTGGACTGACGACGACTTGAATCTCTTCCTTAATTTACAAACACCCATTCACAAGAAGAAGGATGATCTTTTATTTCCTCACGATGATTTAGAAGGTACAGGTCTCTCCGATTTATCGATTTCTCCTTTAATTCCAATAAGAGGAGTAGCAAAACCATCCTGTCCTTCATCAACTTTAAATGCTCCTTCCGTTTCTAATTCCTCGAATATGAGTCTCAAACCATTTCCAACCAAAGAAGTAACAAATTCCACTACCAATTGTAAAATTAATAAGAATGAAACAAATGTGTGTCAACCACCAATGAATACAACTCGACCACAGGAAATTATTTCAAAACCAAGCTCACAAACAAGTGCCACCACCAAACAAAATGATGAGAATATCAAACCTAACAAGTCAATGAACAACAAGCCAGTACCTCCCCCAACTACACAAAACGAAACGAAAGCAATCAAACAATTGAGAGTTAATGAGCCTCAGGCCACTAAGAAACCAACCTCCCCACCAAAGAAACCTAAACATCCAAAGCAGAAGAATATCACAACTTCAACCACACAACCACCACCAAAAATCAATAAGCCAAAAAAGCAAATACTTCCCTCACCAATACCACTTCTAACCAAGAATCAAAGTGTTCCTAATCTACCACCTAAACCCTCCATTTCAATTACACCTCCACAAATCCAACCAATTCCGATTATAAAACAGGAAGAAACAAAACAAGATCCAAATCAACCACCTCCTCTACCAAATCTTCCTCCTCAACAATTAATTCTAAAGCTATTTGAAGAAAAGCAAAAACGTTTCTTCAACAGTTTTGAGGACGATTCTCTTTTATTAATTGATTTCATTTCCAATTATTCAGTTTTGTAAAATAAAATCTCCCGCCAAATCGTTACTGAAAAAAACAAATCCAAAAAAAATTCCTCAATAACTCTCTCCCTGTAAATTATATCATCATCAAAATCTATTATTCCAACTCATCACCTTCTAAAATACAATGAAGCGAACAACAGGACTTACAAGGGGGCAATCAACAGGTGAATTAGTAAACAAACAAATGGTTAATAAGGAATTGGAAACTTTGATGAGCAATACGGCAGCAGCAAAGAAAGAGAACGCTGCTCAAGCACTCTTGGAAACGAAAAGAAAAGCCACATTGAAGGAATCAACAGATAAGAAAAAGCTTGCACTCCACTATCCCAAATACAAAAAGCAAGGCTTTACTCATACAGATTTGAGAACAAACGAAGAGTTTGCAATGCAGCAACAACAGCAACAGCAACAACAAATGCCAGAAAATCTAGAGGAAGATGCTGAAATAACAGAAGAGGAAGAAGAAGTAATTGAGGATGTTGATGAGACTAGAGATTTTAACATTGATGAAACACTTCCTGAAGCTCTTATTATTTCAAAGAAGGAAGTTGAAGAAGCATTCAGATTCCTTGATGTCAGACAAAGAAAAAAACTCACTCCAAAAGATTTGAAAATGCGATTGAAATCCTTCTATCCAAATATGACAAACAAGGAGTACAAATTCCTCATTTCTGAACCAGAGTTTACCATGCAAACACTTCAACAAATTTTAAATATCGACACAAGAAATTCAATTTATGGATCCAATTTTTATAGAAGTTATGATCCTGTCAAGGAAGCTTTTAAAGTTTTTGATCCAAAAGATTCTGGATTTATTGATGAAAAACATTTGAAAGAAATTATGGAACAATTAGGTTTGGGTCCAATTACTTTCGAAGATATGAAGGTACTGATCGAAATTGCAGATAAGGATGGAGATGGAAAAATTTCATTGGAAGATTTTAGAGATATGACCAATTTGCCAGACAATTAAATTATTTTACGAGATTTTCCTTAGCAAATCCAAGAAGATATCCTGAATATAAGCTATGGAATGGTGTAAATGCTCTCGTTATCAAATCTGTCTCTAAAACAGCACTTCCAAAATGTACTTCATTCTTGTTTTTTTCATTTTGTCCAACAGCAAACCACGTCAGGGTTTTCAAATCTGATTCAAGTAAAATTTCCTCTTCATTTCTCTCAATAACCTGAAATATTCCAACTCTATCACCTACATTGAATTTCATTTTCATAATTTCCTCCTTTGATAAATTATTCTTATTCGGAGCAACCAAAGATAACAGAACTCTCTCAGGTGTAAATGCTTTGGATGTGAAAAATGATTTGGCAAAATCATTAACATTTGTTCTATAATTCTCTCGTTCAATAATTGAATAATAATGGTCAAAGTGAGATGTCTCGTTGGCATTCTTTTGTTTATAATTATTCATGAGTGATGTTTTTACAAATTTAATATTTTCCAATTTTTCATGTTCCGATACAGTGTTGTTAGATGACAATGATGGTTCATCACCACTAACCATTTTAACTTGAAACCTCTGATGAATATAATAACAATGGAGAGAGTAGAGCGAGAAAATTCCTCCACCCAACAACATCGGTTTTCCCCAGTTATTCCAAAAGGACATTTTTTCTAAATTTTGAATTGGATGACAATTTGAAAATAAACTTACAAATACCACAAGAAATTGTATCAAAGAAGGTTTACTTTTTTTACTTTTACATCCTTTCTGGTCTGAGTCAAAGCTGGAATATCTATCTGTAACCATCATATTTCGTTCTATTTCATTCTCTATTATTCACAATACTCAATATTTTCCCTGCTAATTCAGTCATATTTGAAGAAGTTGAGGACATTATTCCTTCAATAGTTCCAATGACTCCATAATCTTTGATGGATTGGATTACTGTTTCCTTGAAACATGAATTCAAAAGTTCCACAAGTCCTTTCAAACACATAGGAATATATAAATTATCAGTAATCATTCCTTGATGGAATACTTCAACAACACCTCTATCGAGTAAATATTGTACAACTGTCCCATTTGGCAAACTACAAATATTTCTCAAGACCCAAAAGGCCTCTTTTTTTACTGGGACAGGTGATTCGCTGTTATTGAGAATGTCAAAAGCTTGCTGAACTAATCCTGCATCAATTGCCTTTTGCACTTGTGAAACAGTACCAGCAGCAATACTAGATAATATCCAAACAGCTTCCTTTCTCAATACCTGGTTAGAATGGTTGAGTAGTTGGGGTAGTGCCTCTAATAGACCTGATTCTATCACATTACTTATACTAGTAATGTAATTTCCAGATCTAATTGAATTTCCAAGAATACAAAGAGCAGGACTGCATTAAGTTTAAATAAATGAATTCTCTTGTATACTTACATTTGCACAGTATAATTGCTACCGAGAAGGAGGAATGAAACCACTCTTTTGGTAACACCAGAATTTATGAACAATTCGTAAGCTGAGTCATACTGAGGTCTATCAAGTGTATGGGAGAGAGCCCAACAGGCATCAGTAAGAACTTGTTCGTCAGTCTGGTTCTGGATTAGGTCAATCAAAATTGGAAATACATCTTTGACATATTCTATTGATACACTTGGTTGACCTCCCATCATATTTGCCAATACCCATGTTGCTTAATAAATGAATAAACGAATTATTGTCAATCATCATATTAACCTACCATTTCTTAAGAAACTTAATCGCTGGTTTGTTGGATTGTTGGTTTTAAAAAATGGTAATATTATTGATAGAGTTCCATGACTCAATACCAAATCTCTGGAACCTGCACTATCAGCACTAATATTTCCTAATGCCCAAACGCATTGGTCCACTAAATCCGCACAACTTTCATTACATTCTATGAGTTTAAGGATTTTTTCAATACATCCCAATGAAATTACATGTTGAGTGTCTTCGGGTGATCCACTTAAAACATTGGTCAATGCCCATACAGCTTCGAATTGTAATAGATTCAAGCTGAATCTAGTAATAGTTTCAAGTTTCTGATTCACATTCGTCGTCATGTATTCCGAAATGTTAAAATATTTGACAACCTCCTGTTCGTCAATGAGTTTAGCTAGCATGGTGGTTATTCCAGCATCAATCACCTTTGTAATCAGTTGATTAGATATATTTGACAAAATTCTCCTCACTGTAGTAGCATATTCAAATATAGTGCTAAACTTATTACCATCCAAATCAAGATAATAGCAAAAAATTCCTAAATTTCGCTCCGAGAGAGGTATATCTTTCCTGGTGAGTTCTCTAGAATTACAAAATCTAGCTCTTGATTTATACAATAAATTATTTCTAACTTTTTGTTTTTGTAACCAAATTTCCTTTCTGTATGTTAATTTTAGTTTTGTTTTAAGATGAATTGATTGATGATCTGTATTGGGGTTGTCTGTTAGAATTGCTTCCGATGTTGGTGTCTCATTTTTTTTGTAAACAAGTTGTTTGTTTCGAAATGTTGCTTGATTAGTTTCAACTAACCAGAGGAAATAATCATTTTATTTACACCATACCACTTGCATTCAGGATTGATTGTTTACTTGAGAGAGATGCTTCCTCTTCCTTAGAAGATTCACCTCCCATTTTACCTGAAATATCTTTAATACTAAACAAAATGTGAGGTGGTATGTCTAGATTAATTTGCTCAAATGCAAAGTCCATATCCTGTGCAACACGGTTGAAAGCAGGAAACACAGACGACACCAGAGGGCTTCTAGCATTCACAGCAGTAGTAATCTTTCTTCTTTTTAAAGTATCACTGGGCAGTTTGAACCCGTAATGTTTCAACTTGAAGCTCTCCTCTGCTGTTAAGAATTTGGGTTTCTCCTGATCTGTTGCTCTAAAGTGTTTTGTTCTAAACAATCGTCCAATTTCATTTTCTATTATTGATTGTAACTTTTGATTTGAAAAATCTGCAGTTGTGACATAAGCAGCAACCATATACAATGCCTCAAAAAACATGGTCTCTTTAACTGTATCTCTGAAACGAAGATTATGAGGACTTCTAAATGTGTATTCCTGTAAAATTTGAGAATATGCATAACTCAACTCGGTCAAATTATTAATACATTCTCGTTTAGCTTCTACCATAGGTTCATAATGTTCTTCAGTGAGTTTCAACTCGTACTTTACTCGATATCTCTCATATTTTAAAATATTGGAAATATAAATAATGCATAAACTCAATAATCTATCGGACATCTCACTTGAAAGAAACTCCAGAAACATTTCACAAAACTTGCTGTGATGTTCGAACGCCTTCTTCTTACTGAGAACAAATGTCCATGCTTCCACTGATTATTTCAGTTCAACAATAATGTTTCTAATTCCTAATACTTACTCTTAGTTTTTTCCAAATTGAAAACCTTATTCTTTTTCGATTGTGATATCTTTGAATACTTCCCAGAGAGTACACTAGCTGTATAGGATGTTTGTGAAGCTGTTTCATCATTTGTCTTTCGATCAGAAGTTGCAAAGTCAGCATTCACTGTAGATTCTTGATTCTCTGGCACACTTGCCATTTTGATAAGGTTTGATCTGTGCCTCATCGACATGGATTTAGATAAATGCGATAGAGATTCAGAAGCTGCAGTTCTTTTCAATTTACTAGAAGTGTTGTTGAGGTGAGAGTTGGAGAGGGCGTAATGCTATTACTGTTTTTCACTACTGGAGGAAGAGTTGTGGCTCCTCTCCCTGAATTTGCTGCTGAAGTCTCTTGTAGAATATCCATAAATTCCGACATTTTCCATTCAATTTATTTTGATAAAATCTGATGACACAGAAGATGAATATTAAGGCTTGAAGAGAAATAAACTGTAAAGCGTGTTACGGCAGTTTTTTTTTAAAATGATGTCTCTTGAAGTGTAACGCCTACTTTTCTCTTGCACCCAAAGTAAGAATCAGTTTTAGCAGTTGTAGCTTTTAATAGAACAATGAAAAAACTACGATTACGAATTAATGTATTTCAAAAAATTAAATTATTTAAAAAATTTGTAAAAAAATATTGAATATATAATAATTTTATTTTGAAATAAAATAATATATTAATTTATTATTTATCTGCTAACCATTGTTCAATAAGATCCGAGTCCCACTTTGAAGGTTTTGACTTGGTTACAGAATCTCTCTTCGTCACTCGTTGATAATAATTCTGCAAATTATCAAAGCCCTTTATATCAAATCCATACCTCATCAAAATTGCAAGTAATGGATAGAAGGCACAATCAGCCAAACTCAATCTCTTACCACCAACCAATGGCCACAAGTAATCTTTCTGACTCAAGTACTCATTCCAGTGTTTCAATTCATCACGCATCTTCTTCTTCCACTGTTGAACACGAATCTTAAATTCCTTTGATTTTATAACATCTTGTTGATCCTTGATGAGAGCATCAATAATGTCCTTTGAGAAATTATAGGCATTCAAAGCTTCATGATACAATGAAAGAACTTCGGCATACTTTCCACGATCATTCTCAAAATCTGGCATGAGAGTATTGAATTGATCGGCATATGTTGTTTCCAAGTATTGCATAATAGCACCCTCTTCTACAATAATAGCTCCACCATCTTCAAGGACTGGTAATTCTTTCTTTGGATTAATGGTTGGATTGAGAGAGTGTTGATTAAATTGATCATTCGATGATGGATCATTAATCACTAAAATATTATCATAGCCAAGATCTTTCTCTTCGAGTTGAAGTCTACATCTCCATCCAACAGCGTGAAGTGAAGGATTAGTTTTGGCCGAAACTATATATCTATAAACTTGAATGACCATTTTTAATTGACTATTAGATGATGATAAATCTCCTCAATTTGTTATTTCTACTTGTTAATATTAATATTCAATCGTGTACTCTGTGATTTGTATTACAACAATAACAAAGCAGACTTTTGATTATGTGGAGATGATGTATTTTTTTATGATGATTGACAAGTTTCCTTCTCAATATTGAGCGTATCAGCAGCACTGAGAAAAAACCCATCAGGTACAAATTAAACTTTTTATTAATTGTTAATTTTGTTAGAATTAAAACTATTAAAAGAGAATTCCAATAACTTGATCTTACAAATACAAATTGTTGTTACCAATACATTTATTTAATAAATATCAATATCGGAGAAGGTTTGTAATTTAAAGGTATTCTTGGAAGCATTAATAATAATCTTGTGATATGGACCTTGGAGTTCACCATCCATTAGAATAGAGAATGGTAAGCTTTGACTTTCGACAGTTATTGTAGCAACATGATAATTGAGACCAGCATCACCATCTCTCATCTTCTTCTTCTTCTTGCTGCCAGTTTCTTCGGCAAACACTTCGAGCCATGGTTGACTTGGTGCAACAAATGAACCTCTATCTCCAAATAAGCTGCATGATTGAATAGAAATGGAATTGTAAGTCTTTGTTCCTTCATTGATTTCAGATGAACGATTTTCTTCTCCTGTAGGATCCATAGGAACATAATTGACATTGAGTGGAATTCCTGTAAATTTGAATTGTTTGTTTTCCAAAATTTCTTCAATATTGGTGGCTTCAATCTTATTTTCACGTTGATAGGCATGAGCTTCGGCCAAAATACCAATGTCCAAACGTTGACAGAATGATAGAGCAAGTAAACTCTTTGTTGATTTTTGCCTAGTATTGTTTGAGCTGTCATATGTTAAACAGAGAGTAGGATAAATATGAACAGGATATGAACGATGTCCATCAATAAAGTAGTCATTCAACAAACTTCTCAAGAATTTGTGTGGAGTTCTAATTTTCTTGTTTGGTTTGTAATCGGCTAGCTTAACCATTTCTCTCTTATTCAATTTCATTTGAGGAACAAAGAGTGAGGAGCCCCTTGAAGCCAAATATGATCTACCAGATCTCTTATCATCAAATTCATTTCCTATTGTCTTGTTAAAAGATGTCATATGTGGCAAAATTGGTACCTTACTAAGGAGTGGGTAATGAACATGTCTTGAGAACCAACCGTCATACTTTTCCAACCAACTTGAAAGATAATTGTTAGTACCAAGTGGTAACAAATAAACTCTAAGCTCTTCGCTTGGTAAATTCTTGATAATACTATTCTTGTAAGCAAGTTCAAGAGATTGAACAAAACGTTGCAAAGTTCCACTGCCACCAGCAAGAGCAATATCAATTTGGAATGATCCTCCACTTTCAGCAGCTTCTGTACGAGCAGCGGTAATCAAAGTTTTCAAAGTTTCATAATAACATGATTTTGGATAAGACTTCTTTTCCAATTGCAAGTTTGTAAGTTCATCTTCTTCTGGCATTTGAATAAACTCAATATCAACATCAGGTAATTTAGGTGCTTGATTTCTGACAAGCTTGAAAATTTCTCCAGTTGGCTTGAATGATTGAATTTGTTTAGCAATTTGCAAAAGTTTGTTATCATCAGAAGAAGTATCACAGACAGCATCATAGAATTCAGAAATAGCACTGGCAGATAAATCTGACAATTCCTTGGTCATCTTTTTAACATCAGAGTTGGCCGATTCTTCATAAATGTTCAAAACGAGGTTAGCTCTACACTGAACAATTTCATCTTCAGCAAAGTTATTGGTCAAGTCCACACGTTCAATTAAATGATCGGCATAATTTGAGAATCCATTGAAAAGAAGAAAAACTTTTCTTCTTTTCATGATACTTTTTCCTTTGCTGTCTGTGACTCTCTTTACACTTCTTTCAAATCTTTCTCTCATTAAAATACCAGGTGAATTTTGTTCTTTGAGACACATTGCCAAAGTATTGTGACACAAACCACCAACAGGAAGTGGTTCCAAAAAGAATCTTTGCAGTAAGGTCATTAATTCTGGTAATTTCTTACTCTTTCTTGAAATTACTAATTGTGGTAATAAAAGCTTCATAAAATTGAAAACATTCTTCAAAGCAACAGAATCATAACTTTCAGAGACCATAGACTTATTAGAACATGTTGAAATTACTAATGTCATGAGATCATTGAGAACATTTTCTGTATACTTTGGTAAATGTGAGACAACAGTCTTGAGTCTTTCGTAAACAATAGCACCAATGCAAATCAATGGATCATGTAAACTCAAAGATGGTCTCAATGAGTAATCACTTTCTTTCACAACATCATAATCGACACATACGTGCATATACTTGTAGAGAGCATCAACGGGTGGACAGAGAGATTCACAAATTTCATCACCAGCAGAATCATTGTGAGTTTGGAAACGTAAATTTTTCCACAATTGAAGGACAGACATCAGGGAAGCATTTTGGAAATCGAATCTATAGAATGATGAAATAAAAATCAAGGATTGCATAATTGCTGATCTTTCGTATAATTGGCTCTTTGAGAAAAGATCACCATCAGCAAAAAGACTAGTGTTGAAAGAGAAGTATTTGTTTTCTTGCAATGAAGAAATAATGTCAGATAATTCCAAGTCATCATCTGTTAAAACATCAGCACTTATTGTGTTTGCTGTGCTTGTAGAATCTCCTGGTTTAGCCATGTCATAGTAGGCATTAACAAATTCTGAAATCCTTTCATCAACTTGAACAACTAAATGTCTATATCAAGATGAATATATTATTATTTGAAAATACTAAACTTACCTATTCTTGACTTCCTTTCTCTTGGCAAGTAAAGGGTGATGGGCATCATACTTTTGTGATCCCAATTTAAGATAATCAATAACCTCTTGCAGAGAACTTTCCTTATCATCCACATATTTATCATTTTCAGAGTTTTCGTTCAATTCTTGTTTTAATTTTAATGCCTTCTCTTCCAAGATGAGAAGTTTACCTAAAAGTACAGTCAAGTATACAGTGGCCAAGTTCGGATTTGTAAGTTGATTCCATAACTTTTCATAGGCCTTTTCATCTACACCACTAGTCTTGTTTTGTTTTCTGTTGAGAGTTTCATTTAACTCGGCAACAAATTTCTTAACAATTTCGTGATCATATTGAATTTGATGGGAATCTGTTTCGCTCATTTCTGATGATGATTTTTCGTAGATTAAATCTTCCTCTTCAGGTTGTATTAATGGGTACAAGTATTCTAACTCTGTTAATATAAAATCTACTAGATATGAAAGCGATTTTACAGTAGGAGGTGAACAACGTAAAGAATTTGTAAAATTAAACGGAAGTAAATAAAGTTTCTTGTTGTTGTTTTCGTAGTCTGGAAATGTTATACACGAAGGTGGTGAACAAAATGATGGTGTTTGGGAAACTGGGTAGGATAGAGGGTGAAGCAACAGCAACGGCCCTTTACTCTTTTTTTGTGTCTTGTTTGACATGTGAATATAAAGGTGATTGGTCTGATGTTGATGGGTCAATGTGTTGGCTGCTCGGGTGAATTAAATCTTCCAAGCCAAAGCAAAAATGAAATTTAGAGTTTCACAAAATGGTGATGTTTTTAAGGGTTCACTCTTAGATGATTCTCCAATTAATCTACAATTAATGTACAATAAAATCCGATATTCTCTATGAATGCTTGTTGCTGTTGATCTTCCAAACCTGTATTGTTGATGATTAAGGTAGAAGAAGAAGACCCCACAAGTTTACCAGGATGTTGTGTGAGTATTTTTTTAAGCTGATACTTGTGGATTGTTTGAGGCTGGCAACAATAAGGTTTCGTTGAAATGTTACTGTTGAATTGTTCATTATTGATTACAGGAGTTCATACAAGATATGAATTGTTTGTGTTCCAAGATATTCCAAGATTGTTAGACAATAAAGAAATGAAAATGTGATGGATTTATTTAATCTACATGTAGTTGAATCTGAAGATGTGGTTGGTCAAGAAAAAGTTACCATTTTCAGAGATTAAGTGGAAAAATTCACAGAATGGATGTGGGTGTTCGTTATCAATCTGTCAAATTTAAATATTATTAAATATTATATCATTATAAAAATAATTAAATATTATTATTTTCAAGTTGTGAATTAATGGAAAGGTCAGTGTTAAAAAGCAAAAACAAATAATAATACTTACAACAACGCTACCAGTACACAAAATATTGATACCTCCGGAAATACTTGGTTGACAATCGCAAACGCTAATATCGTGTCTAACAGTGGTGAATGGCAATTCAGTTAATTTCTTCAAAATATCAACTCTTCCTTGAATTTTATCCTTTTCCCATGTGAGCATACTGTTGTCAGTGTACAATGGAGCAATATTTTGTCTATTTTGATCAAAAGTGCTGTAATAGTGCTTCACGAAAGCTTCTCCAACTTGAACGAAATCCATGCTGATGTATTTGTGGTGGTTGATGAAAAATTATTTTTTTGCTACAAATCTCTTGTGCAGAAGAGCTTTAAAATAACCATAACACCAACAAGGTTTGAAAATTCCGAGGGAAGGAATTCCTCTTCTTATGACTCCAATAACATGCGTCTTATTAATAAATATTTATCAATACAAGTGCTGAAAGCCATTGTTCTTTTAAGCTAGCTTCCTATCATACAAATTCAAATACAATTTGATTCAATTTGTGTGTTGTATTTTAATTTTCAAATCTCGTTGGCGCGATGATAGCATATTGAAGTAAAATTATTCTATTAAAAAAATTTGTTGAAAGACTTCCCTACAACATCACATCTTTTGTGCAATAACAACAACAACAACAGCAAATACAACAAGAGATTGTATAAAGAAAAATTGTAGAGAAAAACAATATAACAACAAAGGATGGTAAGTAGAGCCGATGAGGATCATCAATTAAATGTTCGGAATAAGTCTTCAGTAAAAATCAATCAAGAAGTTAAAGATGTTACACGTGTTGAAAGACATGGTGCTCACTCACACATTCGTGGTTTGGGTGTAGATGATTCATTCTCAACTCGTAATGTCTCCCAAGGTATGGTCGGTCAAGAAAAAGCCAGAAAAGCTGCTTGTGTAATTGTTAAAATGATTATGGAAGGAAAAATTGCTGGTAGAGCAATCTTGATCGGAGGACCTCCAGGAAGTGGTAAAACCGCTATTGCTATGGGTATGGCTCACTCTTTGGGACCTGAAACACCATTTACATCAATTGCTGGTTCTGAAATTTTCTCTTTGGAAATGAGTAAAACCGAAGCTTTGACACAAGCTTTCAGAAGAAGTATTGGAGTTCGTATTACTGAGGAATCTGAAGTAATTGAAGGAGAAGTTGTTGAAATTCAAATTGATAGACCATTGGATTCTAGTAGTGCATCTCAAGGAAAGACTGGTAAAATTACCATTAAAACAACTGATATGGAAACAATTTATGATCTCGGAGCTAAAATGATTGAAAGTTTGCAAAGAGAAAAAGTACAAAGCAAGGATGTTATTTCAATTGATAAGGCAACAGGAAAAATTACAAAATTAGGTCGTTCAATATCTGCCACAGGTGATTATGATGCTATGGGACCAAATACTAAATTCGTACAAACACCTTCTGGTGAATTACAAAAGAGAAAGGAATCTAAACATATGGTTACATTACACGAAATTGATGTGATTAACAGTAGAAGTCAAGGTTTTATTGCTCTCTTTGCTGGTGATACTGGTGAAATTAAGAGTGAAGTTAGAGAACAAATCGATCAAAAAGTTGCAGAATGGAGAGAAGAAGGAAAGGCAGAAATTGTGCCAGGTGTTTTATTTATTGATGAAGTTCACATGTTGGATATTGAATGTTTTTCATTTTTGAATAGAGCTATTGAAAGTGATATGGCTCCAGTTCTTATCATGGCTACTAATCGTGGTATCAGTGGTATTAGAGGCACAGAAATTAAGAGTCCACACGGTATCCCAATTGATTTGCTCGATCGTACTCTTATCATTTCAACATCATCATATACAAACGAAGAATTGTCACAAATTATCAAGATTAGATGTGAAGAAGAAGATGTTAACCTTTCTCAACAAGCTCTTGACTTGTTAGTCAAAATTTCTGAAAATACATCATTACGTTACGTTCTCCAATTAATGACAACAGCCTCACTGGTCGCCCAAAAGAGAAAGAGTCCAGAAGTTGATATGAATGATGTAAGGAAAGTTTTCGGATTGTTTTGTGATGTTAAGAGATCAGCCACTTTCTTACAAGGTTTCCAAGATCAATACATCATTCCATCAAAGCAAGACCAAATGGATATTAAGGAATAAAACTTGTACAATTTAATTACTATTTATAAATTATTGTTAATATTATTAATACAATTTGTTGTTATTTAAACATAGAAAACTCTAACTCTATTAGAAGCAATGAGCTTATCACCATCATAAAAGGCAGTATCAATAGTAAGGTTACCAGATAAAATTTCAGGTCCAATTGTTCCTTCCTTTGCAGCTTCAATTACTGATTCCCAAGAGTTTACACTGTTTGGAATGACAAAACCAAAGTCAAAATCCCATCTTTCAATATCCTTTCCGTGCAATTTGACTTGTTGTACAAGGGAGAGATTTTTCAAAGCTTGACCACATGAAAATACAATTTCTCTTTGGACTTGTTTACATTTGAGAATTTCCTTAGGGATTTCTAAGATCGGAATGTTGGAGGATGATTAATTGATACTACTTACTGATTGGAATTTCACCCTTTTGTTCCGAGTTGCTCCAATTAGACTCCCAAAGAACGTTGCTCTTTGAGGCCATCTTCATCTTTTCACTATGTTTTAATTATTCCATACAATCATCATTATCCGCAAATCATAGGTGCCATTATCAAATCATAGTCATCAATTATTAAATACAATCATATGTATCTCCAACCTCAAACACAAAAATACAACCTACATTTTAAGGATTTGAGACATTTTTTTCGTAGTTCATAAGAATGATAATTTTGTAGATGACCAATGTTCATGTCATTCATTCTCGCGCCAAAATGTAAATTAATATCTTAAAACTTCAATATTATGAGTGGTGGTGGTATCCTTTCAATATTCTTCAATTATTGATTAATACAATAAATATAATACAATTTAATAAATATTCAAATAAATTAATGATTGGATGCATAGAGTTCTTCAATAATAGTCTTGTACTTGTTGACAATATTCGATCGTTTGAGTTTCATGGCAGCAGTAAGCATTTCATTTTCTGGTGTCCATTCATCTGTCAAGACTCTAAAGTTCTTTAATTCTTCCATTCTGTTGAGGTGATTCTTCTTGGCTTCTTCTCTGAGGGAGTTGGCAACAGCCTTTTGATACTTTGGATCTTTGATAATTTGATTCAAATCACCAGTGACACCATTATCTTGAGCCCAATGTTTGGTATGTCCAGGTTGAGCAAGAATGAGAGCAACAGCATAATCTCTTTCAGAGTCACCATAAACCATAATACCATTTGGTGAAACGAAAGGTGAATTTCCATAAACACTTTCCAATCTTTCCAAGGCAATATATTCACCAGTGGCAAGTTTGGTCAAATTCTTCTTTCTGTCAATAATGCTATAGGTACCATCCTTGTGCAAAACACCAATATCTCCTGTATAGAAATATCCATCACTGGCATAGGATTCCTTGGTCAATTTTTCTTGCTTGAAATAACCCATAGTGACATTGTTACCCTTAATAGCAATTTCACCACGTGGTTCATCACCAGTGGCAATATAACCCATATCTGGAACAGAAACTAACTTAATTTGAGCAGTGTTAACAGGTGGACCAATATTTTTGGTAGCAAATGGTTGATAACCATATTGAATGCACTATTTAAAATAAAAATAAGAAAATTATTATTTCAATGTTATGATCATGAAAATTCTTCAAATTATTACTTACACCTCCAGCACTTGTTTCAGTAAGTCCATATCCTTGAATAACAGAACATGACATACAGACACGTAAAAATTCTTGAGTTTCCTTAGAAAGAGCAGCACCACCGCAAAGAATCAAAGCCAAGTTACCACCAACAAGCTTCTTGAACTTGTTGAAAACAAGGAAGTTCCATATTGGAGCTTCTCTTCCACTTTTGAGAGATTGCAACTTGTAATTGTAAGCACTGTGGAACATCCATTGAACGAATGGTGATGATGATTTAATCTTTTCAAAAGCACCCTTCTTAATAGTATCAAAAACACGTGGAACACCAACCAAAACTGTAGGAGCAATAGCTTCAATATCACCTTTTGGTCTGGCAGTTCTCTCAGACAAATAACGGGCATTACCAAATCCAATTCGTCCACTTTAGAATATTTTTTTTAAAATTTAAACAATTTTAAATACTTACCCACGCTTCAAAATAACGTGTTCAGCAGCCATTTCAAGAATGTGAGCTAATGGCAAGTAGCCAATATATTGATACTTAATCTTTGGATCGTCACCAACTCTTTGGTCAGCAGCAGTGACAATGGAAAGAATATTCTTATGTGAAATGAGGACACCCTTTGGGGCATTGGTAGTTCCTGATGTATACATAATCAAAGCAAGGGATTCAAGAGTTGGTTCTTCCTTGACAGGAGTAATGTTATTAGCCTTCTTTTCACTCTCACCAAGTTGTTCAACTTCTTCATATGAGAGAACCTTAATACCTTTCTTGGAGAGCTCAGAGATGACTTCACTTGTGGCCTTCTTTTCATTTTCATCGGAAATGATGGAATGAGTATAGACAATATATTTGAGTGTTGGGCAATTTGGTGAGATGGATTTGTTAATCTTTCCCAAACTCTTTTCATTGACTAGCAAGGCAGTCAATTCAGTTTCATTGATAGCACAACATAAAGCATCGTCACCCAAGGAAGCATAACAAGTCATTACAACCATGTTATATTGGAAACAGGCATGAAGTGCCATAAGCCATTCTTTACGAGTTTCCTCAAAGATTCCGAAAATATCCTTTGAGTTTAATCCAGTAAATTTAGTCAATCCATATGCAAAATTCATAATTCTGCTATAAACTTGATCATAATTTTCATAGACAACATCTTCAAATTCAATAATTTCCCAATCACGTCCATCTCTCTTTTCCACAAACTTTTTAATGGCCTTTCTAACACCAAGACAATCCTTGGTTGAGTTGGCTTTAACAGTGTAAGCCAACAGTTCCTTCATTGTATTAACACCTTCGATTGGTGTATAGAATAAACCGTCTCTGCATTCAAGAGCCCTTCTTGGTTTGGATTCTGTTTTTGGATCATAACTTCCGTCATCAACTTCAATACTAAACTCTTTAGTTTTGCCATAGACTTCTCTCAAGTCGTGAGTGACCCATCCCAAGCCAATTGTCCAACGAAGAACATAATACAAAACAATGTCAAGCAAATTAATCCCAAAAGCGACTAAAGAGCCAATAAAACTCAAAATATGCGACAAACCAGCCATCAAAATCAGCACTATTACACTATACTGTTAATAAATTAATTCAATCTATATAGATTCACAAGATATTGTCAATATTTGTGTTGGAGGGTATTATAGTGTACTACTACTACTGTAAAAGTCGAGATCGATGGAACTGTATAAGTTGTCGATGTATTTTTTTTAACCTGTTCTAAGTTTCCGAAGGGAGAAATCTTCCATAGCAAACCAATATCTGCATATACTCCTCTCCACAGTTGTAAACGAGAGAGAATCACTGGGTTGAAAACAATATATACGCTCATAATGTGATGATGACAAATGGTTGGGATTCTTTGTCATCTTTGCATGAATGTTATTGACAATGAAAGATTGAAAGATGGAAAATTTGTGAAACTGAGAGTGGAGGATAAAGGAAAAATTAAGAGATGCGAACTGGTCGGAAGAATTGAAATTTGGGTTTACAAAACTGTTTAATACCTGTAGTGTTTGTTAGTATTGCACATTATAAATAAATGAACTATTATTTCTCTTACCAATTATGGACATGCTAACCAAATGGTTAGGAGTGAGATTTTTTAGTAGACAGCTGGAAAAAGGTCATTACTTCTTGTATTTACATTTGATACTCTATGTTTTTCAACAACATTAAAAACATTGAAATTCAGCTTGATAATTTTACTGAATTTCATATTAAATTTTCAAATAAACAGGTACTAAACGTCTTTTTAGGATTTGAGTTTGATGTGATCACCAAAGACTCGAAAAGGTGAAAATAAATTAGCCATGACTCGCTTGACTATCAAATTCTGTTGTTAAGCCATTTGTGGCTTATTGAAATAAAACATTTTTAATAATTTCTAAATATTTAAAAAAAAAATGGAACGTGCACCAGAGTTTATCAGTCACGATCGTTTCAGCCACTTTATCGCCAATGATGAGTGGAATTACAACTCCAACGAAAATATATTGAAACATATTTATACTGAAAAGAAGGCTCCGATCAGTTTATTTTCATACAAGATACAAAATGATGGCTTGATCGAAGAGGGTGTTGGTTATACACAATTATTCAAGAGACCATTGTTCAATGATGTTGTTGGAAATGGACTTTTTGAAAAGGAGAAGAAGGAATCAAAGGTTGGAGATTCATTTGGTCCAAGTTGGGCTACTTTTTGGTTTGAGATTAATTTCCAAGTGCCAAAAGAGTGGATCGGAAAGGAAGTACATTTTTTGTGGAATAGTAATAGTGAAGCTTTATTGTTTGATAAGAATGGTGTTGTATTGCAAGGTTTAAATGGTGGCGAAGGATGGGATAGACGTGAGGAATTTTACATTGATCAAAAATTAATTGATCAAGATGGAAGTTTAAAGTTTTATATTGAACTTGCTTGTAATGAAATGTTTGGAAATGGTTTTGGTGGACAAATTAATCCTCCAGATCCAAATCGTTACTTTAAGTTGAAAAAGGCTGAAATTGCCCTATTTGACAGATTGGCCTTTGATTTGATGTATGATTTCAAGATTGTGATGGAATGTGCAAAGGAATTGGACAGTAAGAGACATAGATCAAGAGAAGCTCTCATCACAGGAAATGAGATGTTAAAGGTTTTCGATCCAAACGATAGAGATTCTTGGCAAGAAGCTAGAGATATTGCTGCCAAATTCTTGGGTAAAAAGAATGGTGACTCTACTCACAATATTATTTCTGTTGGTCATTGTCACATTGACGTTGCTTGGTTGTGGCCTTATGCTGAGACAAGAAGAAAGGCAGGCAGAAGTTGGGCTAATCAATTGAAGTTTATGGAACAAAATCCAAATTTCCAATTCATGCAATCCCAAGCTCAATTATATGATTGGGTTAAGGAAGATTATCCTGAACTTTTTGAAAGAATCAAGGCTAGAGCAAAAGAAGGTAAATTTATTCATGTTGGTGGATCTTGGGTTGAGACTGATGGTGTTCTCCCATCTGGTGAATCATTCTGTAGACAATTCCTTTATGGACAACGTTTCTTCAAGGAAGAATTTGGCTCTTATTGTACAGAATTCAGTCTTCCAGATAGTTTTGGTTACTCTGCTGCATTCCCTCAAATTTTGAGATTGAGTAAGATTGATTCATTCATTACTCAAAAACTTTCTTGGAATTTATTCAACAAATTCCCTAACTCTACATTTGTTTGGGAAGGTTTGGATGGTTCTAATGTATTTACTCATTTCCCTCCAGCAGACACATACAATGCCAGTTTGCAAGTTAAGGAGTTGTTATTCACTGAAGAAAACTTTAAAGATAAGGAAATTAGCTCATACAGCTTGTGTCTCTATGGTCATGGTAAGTTTTTTTCAAAAATCATTTTATCAATTCTATTTCACTTATATATTTATTACTATAGGTGACGGTGGAGGTGGTCCAGTTATTGATCATCTTGAAAGAATTAAGAGAATTCACGATGTTCAAGGTTTGCCTAGAGTAATTGAACAAACTCCAAAGTATTTCTTTGATAAAGTTAAGGAAGAAAATAGAGAATATCCATTAAAGACATGGAGAGGTGAATTGTATTTGGAACTCCATCGTGGTACTTTCACAAGGTAAGTTTTTTCATTATTATTGAGCTATATCTTTTCATCTTTCACAGTCAAGCAGCTGTCAAGAAGGGAAATCGTAAGTGTGAACTCATGTTGAGAGAAGCTGAATTATATGCCACATTGGCAAAGAATTTGGCTGGTTTCAATTATCCTCAAAAGGAATTTGAAAAATTGTGGAAGAATGTCTTACTCAATACATTCCACGACGTTTTGCCTGGTTCTTCAATTGGTCTCGCCTATGCAGATGCAAGAGAAATTCATCAACAAGTTTTGAAACGTGCCAGCGAAATTCGTTCTGATGCTCTTTTGGCTCTCACAAACAAGAATACCAAGACCAATGGAACTCAATTGGAAAAGGCAATAACTGTTTGGAACTCACTCCCTTGGGAAAGAAGAGAAATTGTGGAGATAGATTGTCCTCCTGAGGTATTGGGTGATAGAGTTTGTACTCAAAAATCAGCTGATGGAAAATGTTTGGCTCTTGTTCAACTTCCATCCACTGGCTTTAAGACTGTTTCAGTTCAAGAAGCCATTGTTGCATCTGCCTCCTCTACCGAGTCTATGGTTACTTTGAACAAGAAGGGTCATTCCTATGTATTGCGTAATCAATTTGTTGAAGTAATTATCAACGAACATACTGCCACAGTTGACATTATTGACTTGAAGAGCAATAGAAAACTTGTTCAAAATGGTAATAGATTCGTTCTCTTCAATGATAAGTGTTTATTCTGGGACTCATGGGATGTAGAAATTAATCACTCAGAGAAAGAACTTCCAATCAAAGGATATTGTGAAGGTTCATTAACTATTAAGGTTGTTGAGAGTGGTCCATTGAGATGTGTCTTGGAAGTTTTCCTTCCAATTAGTGAAACTAGCTCCCTTTCACAAACCATTACGTTGAACTGTCTCTCATCAAGATTGGATATTGCAAACAAAGTTGATTGGCATGAAAAGCACAAATGCTTGAAAGTCAAGGTTCCAACTCATATCTTCTCCGATCATGTTACCTTTGATCATCAATTTGGATTTATTAGACGTTCCAATTTGAAGAATACTAGTTGGGATGTTGCTAGATTTGAAGTTACTGTTCAAAAGTATATGGTCATTTCAGAATATGGCAGTGGTGTTGCCTTAATGCAAGATTGTAAATATGGATGCTCTGCAACACAAGACGGTACTTTGTACTTGACCTTATTGAGAGCTCCAAAATCACCTGATGCTAATTGTGATATGGGTCATCATGAATTCACCTATGCTATTCAATCATACAATGCCTCAACATTCCAAGACGCTCGTATTATGCAAAGTGCTTATGAACTCAATCAACCTGTTAATGTATTGACCTATGACAGACCAGTTCAATTGAATGAAAATGAAATTGTTGCTGTTGAGACTGAAGAATCAATTATTAGTGTCACTACAGATCAAGTTTTCTGTGAAACATTGAAGGTTTCTGAAGATTCATTGAATGATTTGGTCGTTCGTTTGCACGAATGTTACGGATCACATACAGCCCCTTACCAACTCAAAATCAAATCACCTCAAACCCCAAAGGCAGTTGTTGTGACAAATATTTTGGAAGATGAAGAAATGTTCAGACTCAAATTTACTCATGACAACTCTACACTTGTTATTGAAATGCCACCACTCAAACCATTCCAAATTTACAATATCAAGATCAAATATTAAATATTTTATTTACATGTTCAATCTTCATCCACCAATATTGGTCGAGAGGCGTTATCATTAAGTGATCTTGTTTGGATAAATTGCATAGTTGCCAAAATACCAGCCATAAACCACCAAAGTTCCAACAAGAAAACAATAATTGATGTTGTAATGCCAACACCAATAAATTGATTTGATAATGGGTAGGAAATTAGACTTAAATAAAAGAGAAGAGCAGCACATGCACAATAGACAAAACCAACAATGAATTGAAGCCAAACTCCAAAGATTACAGCTTTCATCAATTTAGCATTTCTAAAGCTTGCCAACATCCATATAATTGAAAATATCAAGCAGGTACACTGAATGATCGCAAAGAAACCCAGCATCCCGAATAATACTTTCGAGCCGAACCCTTGAGGCATATTTGGTATAGTAAAACTATTTGGTATTAAAGCAACACCAATCGCAAGTAAGACTAAGGTTAATAGACTCGCTAAGGTTGAAAACAAATTAAGGGAGGCTACAACTTTAAACACCAATTTCGATTTTTGCATTTTTGAAAAGAAAATTTTACTAACTGATAATACCCGTCCAAGAGATCTGTAGTACACATGTTCAACCTTCAAATTACATTCCAAAATCAAAATGATAAATAATATGATGTATTGAGCTGTGTTGGTTTCAACCTTAATGCATTCAATTAGTTGTATCAAAACTTAATATCGATCTTTGGGAACAATTCTTTTAAAGTTTCCCTATCTTCATATCCTAACATTCTTGTTACAACAATTTTTTGTAGATTTGTAAAGGACTTGCAAACATCATCATTACAGTATTTGAGTGATGGAAAATTACATTTCAACAGTGAAACAGAGTTGAAAGAAGATGAGTTAAATAATGTTTCATAGAATTCTAGTGGTTCATGATACCAATGCCTAATATTTAAATTAAGCTCTTGCACAGTTAGAGCAGCTCTGAAATTTCCAAACAATTCATTTTGAGTGCAATCCAATGACAACTTGTGTAAACTGAGACAGTTAGGTAAAAACCAACCAAAGTTGTCACAGCTTGAAATAGAAAGGTTGGTCAGTGATCTATTTGAATCCACAGTCCCCTTCCTTGATGCAGTGTTAGATTTCGAATCGCGAACCGAAAGTGTGGTTAAAATAGGACAGTTTCCTGAAAATAGTATGCTTTCAATAACAAATGAATCTAGAACAATATTTGACAGAGAAAGAGAGCATAGCTTTGAAAATTGAACTGAAAAAACATTATCACCTGGTATATTAAGGTAGGAAAGACGTACCAAAGTGGAAGCATTCTGTTGTATGAAGCTCTTGATATTGAGGTATGAATCAAATGTTCGACAGTAGTCTAGTTCTAAGGATTCCAGCTTTCTACATGAGGATGTGAACTTTTCAGTTCCTTTGCAGCGAGCATAATGTCTTATAAAATTCATTTTGAGGTGTTTCAAATTTCTGGTGGCCCTTCCTGAAAGGAGAGTTGAAAAATATCCTTCACAATGGTCTAAATCTAATTTTGTAATGTTTTTCATGTATTTGCTTTGTGAAAAGTGGTTTGCTGCATATTCATTGATTTCTGAGACTGACAAATCAAGGCTTTTCAAATTCCTCATCCTTCTCGAGCTTGCAAGAGCTGCCAAAGCATGGCCACTAAAGTGTCGCAATTCCAGACGAGTAATATTTCTTGAGTGTATGTAGCTAAGCATGCAATTCACTCTAGTTTCATTGATAAGACATCTCTTTAAACCTATCAAAGACACTTCCAAGTTACCAACTACTTTCAGATTTGATCTAAACGTCTTGGAGACTAATTGAACCGAATGTACCATCTCGGAAGTAGGAATGTAGCTGAAGATTTCTCCCCAAATATCAGAATTGAGTCTGTCCCAAATTTTCCATCTCCTACTAGCATTAAACTTCATCACGAAATACTCCACATTTCCAACAAACTCATTCACCATTTCAAAATTATCCAAATAGTATTGAAAATCAAGAGTATCAGCCTTTCTAATCATATCCAACATTCCATCGTTAATCAAACTCATCTTGTTGTATGCTTCATCCTTCTCAACCAAGGCTAACTTTTGAGGCTGTTCATCTTCGGTTGAGTGTTGCTGAAACTTTCTCTTCTTTGTTGTCGAAGAAAGCTTTCGAGTCATTTTTTTTTACAGAAAACAAGCCTTAAAACACAAGCAACCACAGCAAAGACTCTCTAATTATAAGAGTCAATCAGACATTGTGCTTATGTTGTATTCCAAGTAATCTTGATATTTGTGAAATCTATTGAAAGAGTTATTGACACATAATTTTAATAATTTGTGTGTATCAAAATTCTGATTTACTTTTTCTTTCTATCAAACTTTTCAGCAAGAATTCTCTCAGTATTTCTATCAGGTTTAACTGGGAATTTGCTGTAGAATAGGGCTGCTTTATCAAAACAACCAGAACGAATGTAACATAGCAGTAATGAGTTGCAAATTCTCAATTTTCCATCATTGTCCATGGTTTCATCGTAGTATTTACGATAGAAAGCCTCTCCAAGATCTGCCTTCTTTACGAGAGCCAATGCATAAATAATATTGTGAAGGTTTCTAGTGTTAATTCTCTGTTGTTGCTCCAATTCTTGAATGTACATCATGAGATTTTCAACTCTATCTAGGGCTGCAAAACTTTGAACGAAATATCTAATGAAAATGTAGTGATATTTTTCTTTGAATTTTCTAATATTGTTGTAAACTTCAATGACTTGCTCGTATTTTCTGGCATTGAAGAAATGGTGAACTAGTTTAGTATCGATGAATTCATTCGATTTCACACCAAAGTAATTCATTACTTTGAGGAGACTCTCGAATTTTTGTTCATCCTTAGTGTTGTGATAGGTTGAAAGCATGGTAACGATAGTTCTTTGATTAGGTATCACACCTATTGGGCTTTTGATTATTCCCTTCTTCTTTTCAGAATCAAATTCTTCCAATTTTTCTCCTAAAATATACTGGTTGAAATAATGTTCAACCTTGTCGTATTGACCTGCATTGAAGAAACACGAAAGGAGAGCATTTACCAATTCGGTATCAATAAATTTGTGTTGGGCATTATCAGATTGTTGAATAGCTTCTTGGAAAGTTGACTCTGCCTTTTCAATATCTCCAACTTTGAAATAGGCATCCAAGAGAAGAGAATAAGTGTAATTATTTGGTGCCATCTTTTGCCTCAAAAGTGAAACAACCTTCTCCACATTTCCAATACTTCTCTGTTTTGAATAGAGTAAAATCATGCAATTACAAATATGAATGTCAGGATACTTGATTTGTGAAAATATTTGTTCAGCCTTTTCAACATTTCCTTCATATGCATAAGCTTTTAATAATTCTGTCAAATTGAAAGAATCTGGATGTTGAATCTTTTCAAAAGTCTTTTCAACTTTAGAATAATTACATTTCTTTGTATAAAAACTCATAATAATATTATAAATATGATTGTCATATCTTTCCGATGGGAATAAACCCAAATAATGTTCAAATTCACTTTCCGACAAGTTATTAATACGAGATTTTTCCTTCAAAATCCTAGTAAATTCCTTTATCGACAGGGTTTCATCCTGTTGTTGTGCAGATGATCGATTCTTAAAACTTCCACCCTCCAGAGTATTATTAACATTTTTATAAAATCCTCTCATAGTGATGATATTATGATTGAAGATTGAATTTCCGAGCAATGAAAATACACTATTCTTTGATTTTACAGACGATAATTGTCTCTCAGATGAGAGAAGCAATCGTTTCACTTGTTGTTTCATTTTTTTGAATTGAATTTCACCATAATTGGTTGTTTGAAAAAGGAAAATTTGTTCAGTGGTTCTTAAGAGGATTACTTTGATAAATAATTAGAGTATTTCTCTTTTGCTTCTTTTATTATTTGATAAAATTAATATCAAATTTAATTTAATTTCCAATAATAATATTTTGTTGAAATAAAGAAAATTGGTTACCACTTTAATTTATGTTCTACCAGAGAGGCATTTCATTAAAGAAATTGGATAATACACACAAATCATCATACCTCCAACTCTTGATTAATTTGAAGGTAACACGATCTCAGAGTGAACATCTTCAACTCCTTCATACTACCTCCAGCAGCCGATGAAGAGAGAAGCATCATCTTCCGAATGCACTCATCATACAACACAGATAAATAATTTACAAAAAATAATTTAAAAAAAATAAAGCGTTTTATCTACCTCCATGATGAGACCAACAAACACTGGCGACAAGCCAAATCCTCCTCCACAACCACAAGGAACTCCCTATGTTGGAAGTAAAATTAGTTTAATTTCCAAGAGCGACATTCGTTATGAAGGTATTTTGTACAATGTTGATACTGTATCTAGTACCGTAGCTTTGAGAGATGGTATGTAAAATAATTTGATAACGACGTCATATTAACCCAACACTTGTATTTGTTATTGTATTAATGATATTTATATTGATCAAATATATATATTAATATTATATCATATGATTTTGTATTAAACAAATAATAGTTAAAATGTTTGGTACTGAAGGAAGAAGACAAGGAGACCAAATTCCACCTCTTGATAAGATCTATCCTTTCATCATCTTTAAAGGAAGTGATATTAAGGATCTTACTGTATGTGAACCTCCACAACAAACTCCTCCAGTTCAACCTCCAAGACCTCAACAAGGAGGAGAAACTGGTTCTCAACCACCTTCAATGGGAACTTTCCCACCTCAACCTGTTAATCAACCAGGCGGTAATATGCCAGGTATGATGCCACCAAATCCAGGAATGATGCCTCCAAATATGCCACCTTACATGAATCCATACTTTAATCCATATATGCCGTATGGAAATCCAATGGGATTCAATCCTGGTATGATGCCACCTAATGCTATGGTTAACATGCCACCTAAAAATCAACCTCCAGTTAATCAACCAACCCAACAACCTTCTCAACCAACAACTCAACAAAGACCAACTACAAATGGTCCAGTAGTAGGAGCTAAGTCAACACAAGTTTTAGAACAACCAAAAGTAACACCAACAATTGATACTGTTCAACAACAACCACAACAAGTAGTTGAAGAAGTTAAGCCAACCCCAATCACTCCAACAACCCCTGTTGTTTCAATCACAACAAGCACTGACAAAAAGCCAACAACACCAACCAGTGCTACTAACGGAAAGAAGGACAAGAAATTTTTCGATGACGAATTTGATATTCAAGCTAACCTTCAAAAGCTTGACAAGTCTGTAATTGCTAAAGAATTGGAAGAAAAGCAAATTCACAAAGGATACGATAGACAAATTGGATTCTTTGATACTATCAGTCGTGAAAGTGATGAAAAGAAAAACAGAAGAACAAAACAAGAAAGACAAGAACAACAAAGAGTTGATTTGGAAACTTTTGGTGAAACAGTGTCAAATGGTAATGGAATGCCAAGCGGTAGAGGAAGAGGAAGAGGAGGTTACCGAGGAGGATCTAGAGGATCGAGAGGAGGTAGAGGTGCTTCAAGCAGAGGAGGATATTCTCAAAGGTGAACTGATTAATCTTTTTGCAATAAATTATTTTTGAAGATCGACGATTAGAATAGTTGGAATTTAGTTGGAGGACTAAGAAGAATAGTTGATACGCGAAAATAAATTATTTTTAATGTAAAAGTAATCCTTTGGCAACTTCTTCACTAGCATGCTTACTATCCAAAACTTCAATCAATTTAACACCAAAGTGAATTGCAGTAAAAGGACCTAATATGTTTGGTATTATTGAGTTAATAAAGATGACACTTATTCATATTAGCTTACCTTGTGATGTTACAACATTCTTCTCCACAACAACCTTTTCATCCACAAATTCATGAGAGTTGGTAAGTTTATCTTTAAGTGAAGGATAACAAGTAACCTAATGTTTCACCGTAAATAAATTAAAATAAATTCACTCAACTGATCAAATAAGCTTACCTTAGAAATACCAGCCAAAATCTTATGTTTTGAGAAAACCAAAGCTGGACTAGCACAAATAGCAGCACAAATCTTATCAGAATGTCTCTGTTTAACCAATCTATGCAACAATAATTCATTGGCAGCAAATGTCTCTGCTCCTTTCATTCCTCCAGGTAAAACAATAGCATCAAACTCTTTATCAGCAACACTTTGATCAAAATGAACATCAGCTTCCAATTTGACATTTCTTGATCCGAGAACTTTGAGTGAATGATCATGTGAATCATTTGAAACTTTGGCTACTAATACATTGAATTTTGCTCTTCTAAGAACATCAATCACTGTGACTGATTCCATTCTATTATAATTTTGTTAAACAATTAAATAATTAGATTATTAAATTACATACTCTTCAGAACCATCAGCAATACAAAACAATACTTGAACCATTTTTTTTAATTATTGTTACATTAATCTTTCCAGTTTCATAAAAAGACATTATATTAATATGTTCATTGGAATTTCTATCCACAATTTGAATGTGTTTTCAGTCTCCTTAAGCTTCATCATCACCCGATAATTTAATAATTAATAAATGTGCGATGATGAAAAAATTGAATGTGTTACGACAAAAATAAAAAATTCGAATCAAACAATAAAAAATATAAGCAACGATGAGACTAGTGAGGTAGGTTTTTTCCATCATCATTATTAATTTTAATATGTGTATTTTCATAATGTTATCCTGTAATGATGATGAGTTGCGATGGAAAATTTAATGATCTTGTGGATTTTATATGCATTCTAACTTATCGGATCAATTTTGTATGATGAATAATTTAGATTTTTGATGAAACTAAGTGGTGAATCAGTAACTATAGAATTAAAGAATGGTACTGTGATTGCTGGAACTATTGTGGGTAAGTTTTTTGTTATTGGACCAATTCCGATAGATTAATAATTAATAGGAGTTGATATGAGTATGAATACACACTTGAAAGCTGTCAAGATGACACTGAAAGGAAAGAATCCATTACCACTTGAACATATGAGTGTTAGAGGAAGTAATATTCGTTATGTAATTCTGCCAGAAACCATAAATTTAGATAATCTTTTGCAAGACACAACAGTGCATCCAAAACCTAAGAAGAAGACTGCTGGTCAAGGACCAAAGAAAGGTGCCTTGTCAACTAGAGGTTCAGGACGAGGTGGACGTGGTGGAAGAGGAGGACGTATGCAAAAATAATCTAAATAACAAACACAATGTATATTTATTGAAATAATTATTCGAGGATTTCTTGTGGAAGGAAATGGATTTTATGAGATTTTGGAACAATTTTTTTCTTGAATTAACTTTGTAAAACATGGGCTTTTCACATCGATGGTTCAACGATACTATTGGTCAATTCTTTCGACTCTAAGGCATCTCATTTTGTAATCTAGTTCAATAGTTCAAATGGTTCAAAATCTCATACACAAAAGTTATTTTTACACTCAATTTCAACCAAATCAACAACTAGCTGCATGTTCAAGTGATTTGTCAACACCATCCTCAAACTTCTTGACCGTGTTGACCATTAATTTTACAACAAGCTTATTCATCAAATCTCGTTCTCAAATCTCTCTTAAAAAAATGATCAAAGTCAAACACCACAAAACCAATACCGAATTAATCTCCTACAAGTTTCTATTGGAAAATTATGTCAAGGCAATGGATAAGGAACTCTATGAGAAGGTGATCTTCTCCAATACTAATAATAATACTAGTAATAACAATAATCAAAATGATGAAAAGAATATCATTGATAACAATTCAACTAATGATCATTTGGATACATGTATCGGAATCATGTTGGGAATTGTATGTGGTGATTGTCTTGGATCTCCATGCGAATTTTATACTTTCAAGCAGATTAGAAGCATGTACTCGGATGATTTGTTTTATAATATGATAACTGTGGATGAGGAGAGGGAGGCTGGTGTTTATACAGATGATACTGAAATGGTAAGTTTAGAGAATGAATTAAATTGTTTCGAATATTGGAATGAAAATAGGCATTGGCTTTAACAAGTTGTATCATTCACAAAAGAGAAATTAATGCAGATTTATTTACCAAGTTCTATGTCAAGTGGTTTAGAGATATTGGGCCTAGAAGAGGATATGGACCTGCAGTTTCCGTGATTTTAAACAAACTCTATAAGAATGAAATGACTTTCAGAGAGTCAGCCACAAGTTTTTATAAGGATGGAAGTTATGCGAATGGTGCACTGATGAGGATAGCTCCATTGGCTGCCATTTTGTTGAATTCTGAGGAGGCATTCAATGATGAGTTGATCTATCAATTGGTTTATACTGCATCCATGACTACCCATGTAAATATTGAGGCTGTGGATGCTGCATTCCTTCAAGTGAGAGCAATTATTGAGCTCGTGAAAAAGTGGAAAGGAAAATTGGATGAATTCAAACCACAAGAATTTCTCGAATGGATTATTTCCACATCCAAGAGTAAGGCCATGAGAGAAAAATTGGCAATCTTACAGGATATTCTCTATGGGCCAAATGCTATACAAGATCCAGGAATGGACAATCTCAATGATCCTAAATCCATGACTCAAGAATACATTCAAAAAGTTGATCTATTACTGGAAAAAACAGTTGGAAATACTCAATTCGGATTTGGATTTCAAGTGAAAGCTGTGGATGCATTCTCAAATGTCTTGTTCATTTTCTTGCAATATTACAAGCATCCAGAGCAGGCAATTGTTAGAATGGCTACCATGGGAGGAGATGCTGATACCACATCAGCCATTTTGGGTGGGCTTATTGGAGCATTGCATGGAACCAATTGGATTCCACAAAGATGGTTCGACAAGCTTGAAAATGATGGTGATTATGGAAGGGATGCAATTATTAGAATGGCTATCAGGCTCTCTAAATTGACTTTCAAATCGGAATTGAGCACGAATGATGATAAGGAAAAGCATGTCACTCTTTCTTCTGAAGACGTCGGATTTGAAAAGTTTAAAGAAAGATTTGAATAAATTTTATTAAGGTTTAACTGTTTCTTTGAGATGTGGTTCAATAATTGAAGAATTATCATATAATTTGCCAATGGAAGCCAAATATTCAACTTGTTGCAAGATGAGAACTGATTCCGTGAGAGAAGGTCTTGTCTTGAACAATGCATTGATCTTCTTATTGAAATGCTTCAATGAAAGATCGAGTGATTTGTCCTTGAAGTGATTTCTTTGTTGACTAATTGCCCATAATACTGGTGGGAATGTTGATTCATTTCTTAGGAAGGTTTTAACCATGTAAGAAGTGAAATCTGCATCAATTTTGGAATAATATTCTTCAAATTTCTTACATGAATCAAGAAAATGTTCAGAATTTTCCATTTCATGCAAATCTTGCAAATCCAATAATAATTTCTCTTGAATATCTGGATCAAGAATCAAATCGAAAGATGTTCTATTTTCATGAATCCATCTACTGATAGTTTCTAACCAATTCAATGAGTTTCCAATAATATTTGCCTTTGGAAATCTCTTTCTAGTTGCTTGATACAGTCCATCTTCAAATTGCTCAATTCTCAAATTCAACTTGCTGACATTCTTCAAAGATGGACTCAATTTCTGAGTGAAATCCCAAACTTTTCCAAAGAATCGCTCATCTCTCTTTTCTCTTGACAATACGAAAAGAATAGGATAGGCATCCAAGTTTGGTTTCTTTACGAGAAGTGAAACTAATTGAGTTGTTCCAGTTGGGCAATCTTGATAATTAACATCTAAACACAAGTGATCGCAATCTGAAATTCCATTCAAGACGGCAACTTGTGCTGGACTGGAGTAGAATAAATTAAATTGAGGAGTGAATTCGAAAGTTCTTAAGAATTCTTCCTCGCTCACTGTTTTAGCGAGGGGTCCTTTGGTCAATTCGTCCAAGTTGAGTAGCTTGTCCATTTGCTTAATCTTATTTCGAGCAGATTCTACATGATTAGTTTTCACTTCAAAGCTTGGATTTCCTTTATGAAGTGGTGAAAGTTTCGAATTTAATACATTCACCACCTCATTAACATCCAAAGAATCGTCAGGATTCGAATAAAGCCAATCAAATACTTCTCTTCTCCTCTCTGGACACAATTTACCCACCTCTCCACTACCATAATACTTTGGTGGAGCATGTGAATGATCATGAGATTGCGTCCACTTGTTAAATTGAGGATAATAAACAAGTTTTGCCTGACAACCACTATCTCTTGATTTACAATCAAATTCCATAAGGTTGGTCAACTTGGGATTTTCTTTGTAAATGAATTCATTGTATTGGAGTGTTGTGGTTTTCTTGTTGGAATGATGTTGAATTTCTGATTGATTAATGACTTGATCGTTGTGTTGGATCAAATCGTGGTAGAATTGTTTTTCAGATTTGGAAATTTCTAAAGGTTTAGCATTCACTGATTGACTCATTTTTTTTTAATTGTGCATGTTTTTTGATATTATTTGGAATATTAACAATTTTAATATATTTGTAAATATACCTTAAAAGGAGAATCTTCTTAATTATTTAAAGAAACGTTTAATCTCAAAATTAAAATATTCTTGGAATAATTTCAACAACACCAAGCAAATTAGACAAAGAAATTAAAGTTCCATTGACTCTAAATTCGTATTGATTATCTCCTCTTTAAAAATTTTTCTAAAATTCAAAATAAAATCACTAATGAAAAACTTATACTTGTTCCTTCCCAATACGAATCAAAATAAATCATAATAATTCAAATTCATTTACTTTTTTGTTGATCCGATATGTTGTTGGATCAGTTTTTTTTGAATTGCATTGTTAAATAAAAACTCATTGTTTTCAAATCATGATTTGTTAATAATCTTAACGTTCTTCTACTTCAAATAAATATTGAACATGTTGTGTCTTCAACAAGGTCGGAATTGGTCTTCCGAAGATTTGAGACACGTTTTTGATTCTCTCTCAAAAGATTAAGCAACATTCAACATACAATTCCTTTAAGGATCCCAAGTCAACTTGATTTACTGTAAATAATCGAGAGGGCTAAAAATATTTTCAGATATGAAAATTGTTCTTCATCATTCTTTCCTTCGAATAAAATTCAAACAAATCCAGCATATTCACATGAAAACAATGAAACTCAATCTCAACTTTCAACTCTACTAACAGATTGGAGCTAATGAAAAATCTGGCTAGTTTAGCTTCTCAAGTGGAAGTTCCACTCAATCTCAACACGGAAGATTTTCCTAATCCACTCAACGGTTTGTCCAAATTAACGTTCTATTAATAAAACATCAAGCACAAAAAAATGACCAAAGTTGATACTGTGGCCTCTGTTCGTCCAGAAAATGATCAGCCAGTCACCACTTCAGCAAAAAAGAAGGAAAAGAAGAGAAAGCCCTACGTGAAGAGAGCATGTCTTTCTTGCCACTCTGCGCACGTAGCATGTGAGGCTGAGAGACCTTGTAAGAGATGGTAAGTATATGAATACAATGTTTTTTTTAATATTCATGTGGTAAATTGTTATTAACATTGTATGACAATTTGAAATATAGTAAAAAGAAGGGAATTGCTTGTGTGGATTATATTCCTTCCAAGAAGAAGTCATCATCAAAGGAGGAAGATGATGAACAAACCGATGTGAGTGATAATGAAAATCCTCTTGTTGTACAACAGCAAGAACAAGAACACACCTCTCCAAGAAAGAAGAAGAGAAGATCCCCTACTAGTGGCGAGCCATCGTGTGTTATTAGGATTTCTGCTCCATCTTCAATGGATGAACAAACATCCTCTTCCAACAAGCAACAACAAGAACAATCGGAAGCCTTGAATAATTCTTCGAGTGCTCTCGTCAAGTCAGCCCTCACATCATCATCCTCAGCTGATATTAAGAAGAGAAAGACTTCAAAGAGAAGGAAGGATTCTTCATCGATTAAATCACCACCAGTACTACCATCCATAAAGATTGAAGATGTTCCTCTTGAAGAGGATTCAATGCATACATCATCCCCAACAATAACTTCTGCCGACCCAGTTAGTTTTGATCCTATAACCAATAATTTACCAATCTCGTCTCAAACAATACCACAACCTAATATGATTAATGCTAGTATGGTTAACCCTGACATTGCAGCTTCTGACAACAAGTCTCAAATGTCAATGTATCAACCATATTTCTGGAATCAAAATCCAATGATGCAACAATGGTTTGCTATGCAAATGGCACAATACCAAGCACACAATCAACATCTTCAACAACAAACAGGACAACCTCAACAAAATATGGTCTATCCACCATTCTTCATGATGCCAGTAATGCCTCAACAACAAGCCCACACATTCCCAGTACAAACACCTACCTCTCCAATGCAAACAGATGTTGCAATGTCACCATCAACTGCTTTTCCAACTATTGAGCAATCATATAATCCTGCATATGCACTTTCGTATAGTGTACCAAAACCAATCACCATGTTGGAAAATACTGATGATGGATTTTCATTCTTTGACAATTCAGCAAACACCTATCCTGATAATGGAAATGCATTGATTGAAGAATTAGATGTAAACAATAATGGACTTGTGGAAGAACATTCTAATGATGGATATAATAATGAAGAAAAACCAACACAAACTGTAACCACTCCTCCACCAAACAATAATACTACTGATAATCTGGCATTCTTTGAAGATGATGATTACTTTGGTACTAGTGCTGCAGATTCTTATCCTAACTTTCCAGATTACACTTCCTCTCCACAGCCAACATTCCAAGAACCTCAAGAAAAGAAAAAACCAATTGTTGCCCCTCAAAAAGCAACAGATGATGATATTATAGATCTGATTACATCTGAGGCTTCTCTATTGACTGAAAAATCTAAAGAACAACAAAACAATCAAATCAACAGTCCAAACACAACACTGTCAAATATTGATTCTAGTGGTACTAATGGCTCATCAGACATTGACCTCACTGTGAATGACATTAATTATGTAATCAGTCAAGCTCCAGATAATATGATTTCAAAGCAAACTATTGGAGAACTCATCAAGAGAATATGGCAAACCCAAGAAAATCAAACAAAGGAAATTAACGAACTCAAACAATTGGTTAGTGAACTCAAGAGGATGATCATTTCATAAACTTTGCACCTAAGATTTCAAAAGATAATAAACCATTAAACTTTTTTGAATAACAATAACTGAATGAAAATATATGTACATCCGCCAAACTCTATTCTTCAAATTGAACAATAAAGCAATATGAAATTGAATCAATTTCAATCTCGAACTTGACAAAATTCACAAATAAAAATAAAAATTAATTTCAAATACAAAAAAAAAATGACGAAAAAGAAACCACAAAAAAAGTCATCACAATCCAACAATAATTCATCAGTGCCGTCGGGATCTAACAATGCAGGAAAACAATCCCTCACCGAGCACGAAATACAAATGGTTTTATTGGAGGAACAAGAAATTGATCAATTATTTTCTACCATGTCCCTGAAAAGAAAACCAATTGCAAAGGATGGAGCTTGTCTTTTTAGAGCCTTTTCTGATTTGTATTATGGAACACAAATTTATCATGATAGAGTTAGAAAATCATGTATTGAATATATGAAAGAACACGAAAGTTTTTTTAAAGATTTTATATTTGAAATGGATTTTAATTCTTATATTAAATTCATGTCAAAAGCTACATCATGGGGAAGTCAATTGGAATTGGAAGCTTTGGCTTCATTGTACAAGGTCAATATTACAGTATATGGTGTAAATGGAATCTTGACTGAACATAGAGGAGATCCAACTCTTGAAGCACAAGATGTGAAAAATCAATGGAGTTCTGATACTTCAATTTCTGATCTGATAAGACAAAAGAAACTGGAAAAGGTTGAACCAAAGAAGAGAAAGGAAATTAGATTAGCGTATTTGTATGGAAGTCACTACGACTCTGTTTATCCAGCAAATGAATTTATGAATACTATCATTGTTCAAGATATTATTTATGATACCTTTATGGACCCATTTAAAAATGATTTATTTCAAAAGAAGGTTGGAACCTACAAGAATGTGGAATATGATGCTTGGTTAGATGAACTTGAAAAGATGGAAAAGAAATCTCTTCAAAAAGTTAAGGAATTATTATTTCAGAATGAGAAGAGTTATGATTTGGATGATCCAAGGGAATTCCCACAACTTGCAAAACAAAGTTCAAACTCAATTTCACCACCAGTTGCTTCATCCTCATCAACAGATTCTGCAACACCACAAGATGGTTCTGCTGAAAATGCAGATTCATCCGTTACAGTAGAAGAAAAACCAGTCAATGCTTGGTTGACTCAAGAGAAACCAAACTGGGCTTCAGTAGCTATAACCAAACCAGTTGAAACTCAACCGGAAGCACAACCTGAAACTCAAACTAATGGTACCACTCCAACAATTAATGCCTCAACAAATAATAATAATAATGGAACTACCAAGTCAGTAATATCTCAATCCCACTCATTAACAGTCAAAATGGAAACCAGTACTACTCAGGAATCCTCCAACAACAAGAAAAAAGCTAAAGGAAATCACAAATCAAAGAAACCAAAGAACACCGAAATATCAAGTAATCAACAAGTTAAACCTAATACTAAGGATGATGTATCATTAACAAATGATGAAGTGAAACAGTCACCTCCAGTTGTGAATATTAATAACCAAAATAATTCATCTCAACAACAATCAGTGACAATTTCCCAACAACCACCATTAGTTTCTCAATTTTCTCCTCTTACTGGTTATCCTCAACAACCATTCTCTCCACCCCAATTTATGGGGCAACCTGGAGTCTTTCCTAATCAACCTCCTTTCCTTGTCATGATGCCTCCCCCAGGCACTTATCCAATGCCTCAACAAAATCCAAATAATGGAATGATTTTAATTCCAACTAATTTGGTTCCGCCAAATTTTGTTCCTCATTATCCAATGATGCCACCAATGCAACATCATGCAAATCAAATTGTTCCTCCACCACAGCAGCCTGTTGTTGTTCAGAATCATCAACCAGTTATTCCTCAAGTTGTTACTGAACCACCTAAACCGGTCTCTGCCTGGTCCATGCCATTACAATCCAATCCAACTTCCAATTTGACTGTTTCTTCTGTTGTAAATTCACAACCAGTCTCTACTTCCACCTCAAGTAGTACTACACCAGCTCAATCAACAACAAGTAAATCAGAACCATCAACTACACAGTCAGGCAATAAGAAGAATACAAGAAAGAAAAAGTAAATCAAAATTATTATTGAAAAAATTGATAAATTTTAACAAATTGATAAATGAAAAGCTGAATAGGGCATCTTCAAAAGAATTAGAGATAGCCCAAAGATTGTCTTGATTATTTACAAATAACTGAAATGCAAATTAAAATTCTCAATAGTAATCTATTTACAAATTATCTACAACTTGTCTCGATTGATAAAAACCATCTTTTGGATGATTTCTATGCCACTTTTTATGATTGGTATCAGTGGATCGATGATACCATTGATCATTCGTCCTTCGCCTTATAATAGATTCCTGTTTCTTTGCTTCAATAAACTCTAACTTTTCCCATCCTTTTGCTGTGTTGTACTTTTCGAAAGTTACCGAAACACCTCGATCACTTTCTTTTGATCGGAATTTGTTTGTACTATACTTTGTGGAGGCTTCAGAAGTTTTAGGCACTCGAGGTGTTTGTGCCTTGACTTTGCCACTTCTTGCCAACGAACCATACATACGCATTTCAGTTAAATTAATTTGATCAGATTTTTTTCTTGTTGTTTTTCAAATCTTAAAGTTAATTTTGGAATTTATTTTTCTCTCAAATTCAAAATAGATTCAAGCTTGACTTTGAACTTGAGAGAAAAATCCAATTCAATACCAGAATATTATAAAACTCTTTTTCAAATATTCTTGATTATAAAGCCAGAGTTGCGAAACTCACCTTAATATCGTAATAAGTTAAGAAGAAGAAAAAATGTCTCTTCCTGCCCATAATTTTCTCTACAGGGATAATCCGATAGAGACAATGAAGAGGAATGTTGAGCAGTTTTTCAGGGGAGGACCACCAAGAGGGCTACAACAGGCTCCACCTCCACTCTTTGTTAGGAATGTTTTGCCAACATCGAGAACACCTGTGTTTGCTAATCAACCTCCTTCTCCTTCTTTGCTGACTCAAATGAATGAACAACAAACGAGTAGTGAGGAAGGAATTGATGAAAGGAGAGATAAGACCATTCTAATGAGTAGACCCCGAGAGTATGAAGACATCAATCAAGATACCATTAAGGACACAGCCTTAGACTTTGAACATCAACAACAATTAAAAGAAAAATCCGATGTAAATAATAATAGAGAAAATAATATTGATGATAACCAGGAGAATAGTAATAATAGTAATAATATTAACGCAAATACTTTGGGAGAATTATTTTCAAATAGTGTACTATCATCTTACAAATGGTTAAAATTTGATGGTGATAAGGCTTGTGTTTATTCCGATCAAAACCTCACAACTATTGTGGAGACTTATGAAGTATCAAAGAGGTTGGGGAAAGGATCAGGAGGAAGTGTCTTTTTGTGTACAAAACAATCGGATAAGACTGCAATAGCATTGAAGAAAGTCCATGTTGATGATAAATACTTGTTGGAGATGGCAGTAAAGGAGTATTCACTTCTTGTAAAGCTGAATGAGGAAGGAAAAGGAAATGATAATAGAATTACACCAGTATTTGAACTGTTCATTGATATTGATTCACGGAATGAAACTTACATTATGTATTTTACAATGCCAGTGTATCATACAGATTTAGAGAAATATATGAAACAAGCGAGGAAGGATAGTACGATTAATCAAAATATTGTTTTGTCAGTAATGACGCAAGTCTCAAAGGCCTTGTCTTACATTCACAGGAATAATATTTGCCATCGTGATATCAAGCCAGCAAACATTTTGGTGGAAGATGTGAAACCTGAATCAATCACTTGCGTTTTGGCTGATTTTGGATTGAGTAAGGAAATTGAGGAATCATCAAGACATTCAAATGTGGGAACTTTGAGTTTTTTTGCTCCAGAAATTCTAACAGAAGAAAGTTATGGGCTGAGAGTGGATGTTTTCGGACTAGGAGTTGTCTTGTTCCAATTGATAACTGGAGACTATTCCAAGAAGATAGCTTGGGAACTTGTCCAAAAACCAGAAAATCTTGTGGAGCAATTAATTCAACAACAAATGAAGAATGCCCTCCCAACATTGGAAGATGATATCATTCAAATTATTCTTCAAATGTTGAAGAAATCACCTCGTCAACGAATTCACTCAACAGAGATTTATCACTTTTGTTTGATGAAGAAAACCAAATCCAAAAAGTTGCAACAATTAGAGCACAGACTTTCAAATCAGCCTAAACCAATACCTCCACTTAGAACCTCCACTTTACCGCCCAATAGACCACCTTCAAGAAGTATTCCAGAATCAACATTACACCAAACTCCAGAAATCAAATTACATGAAGTCCCTGTGGTTTCCTCGTCAAATGATTTACCATCCATTGATAGTTCAGTAAAAGTAAGATCAAAATCTTTCAGCCAAAGGCAAGATGTAGCGCTGCATGTTATAACAGAAACTTTGGCAGGCTCTTTCAGAAGACTATTCACAAAAACAGATGAAAACTCATTTACCTCTTTAGAGAGTGCTCTAGCTTTCTGCAGATCACAAGCACAAGATGTTACTTTTACCATATTACTTCATCCAGGAGTGCATAAAATCAAGCAGGTTTTTCACATTGATAGATCAAACATAATATTTGAAGGTATTGAAAAGAATGATGAGGAGGCAATTGTTCAAGGAGAGAAAATAATTATTACTGCCAATGTTCTCTTTAGAAAAATTAATTTTGTAGGAAAGAAGATAATCAAGGGTAGTTTAATGACCAATCCTATAATTATTCAATGTCTGAATTGTGAACCAAAAATCTTGAACTGTAGAATTAAGGGAAAGGTGTCAATACATTCTAAAGTTCCAAATCTCTGCCCTCACATTGAAGGAACAGAAATATTTGGTAACAGTGATAAATTAAAAACAGATCCTCACGAGAGACTTGGGAAAGAAGCATTGTACATTGAAAACTGCTTGCCAATTGTGACAAAGAATAGAATCCACGATAATGGTAAGTAATTTCTTTGACAAAACATTTTTTACATGAAACAGAAAGTGCAGGAGTGGGGTTGAAGAATTGTGGAGGAATATTCTCAAATAATCATGTGTATAATAACTTTATTTCAGAAGTACCGGCTGTAATTTTATCGAATGGATGTACAACAAGATTAGTTTCCAACATGTTTTATGACAATATTGCATGTATGTCTATTTCCAATTCTGACTGCTGTTGTGAAAACAATGAGCTAAGATCGAGTAGAATTGGAATCAATGCCATTAATTCTTCTGTAATACTAGAAAATAATGAAATTGTAGGAATGAATGATTGGGCCATGACTTTGAAGAAGTGTTCTAATTTTGTAAGTTCTCTTTGAGAATATAGCTAATCCACAGATTAGAAAATCACCAATAACAAGTTACACAATAACAGGATAGGATTGTTTATGGACGAAATTAATGGAGAAGGGTTAGTGTCAGGAAATAGGTTTAGCTCTTGTAATTCAAAACAATTTTCATCCATTTCGATAACTCACCTTTCAAAGATAACAAGTGTTTCTCTACAAGAAAATATGTAAGTGTAATTCAATTTAATGAAATATTTAATGAAATATGAGTCTAGATTTTTCCAAAACATTGGTGGGGCAATTAATATTTCTGGAAAGGAAGACCTCTCAGAGAATTACATGATCAAGTTGAATATTTCAAAGAATCAAATTTTCAATAATTCAATGTATGGAATAAGGGTTCTTAATGCCATGGGAATTTTCATTTTGGACAATAATATCTTTTCTAATATGGACTCTGGTATAATATTGGATTCACATCATGCTGTCACTGTTGAATACAACATTATTAAGGATCATGTTCAATCCCCAGCAATCAGTAAGTTGAAATTACATCTCTCTAATAACTTTGTTCTTTAGGTATTTTGAGAAATTCTAATCATTTAATTGTAAATAATTCACTTTCAGGAAATGCAAAATACGATTTATTCATCAAAGAACCATTATCAGAGGAATTCCCCATGGTTATCAAAGACAACAAGCTATCTAATTCTGAAATAAGAAAGTCCATTCATTACGAAGGAAAAGATGAACAATTTTCAGAAAATGAATAAAAAAACAACAATTAATTTGTTTAAATTCCTGAAGATAAATCTGAATCACTACTATATGTTCTCATTTCTTCCAACTGAGCAACATTTTGAGAGGCAACAGTCTTGAATCCAATTTCGTCTTTCATATCTTCATCAGTAAGGAGGCACCGTTGAGATTTATCCTTCTTTGAGTAGCTAGTCATACCATTCAGTAAATCTCGTCCTTTAACACCATTTGTGATAACAGCCACAGAGATACCAACAAATACAATACAAGCTGCTCCAATTATAATAATGTACCAATAATTCTGTAAGAACCATATGAACCCTCTTCCGTAACTGTATTTCGTTTCGACATTAATCGTCAAGAGAGATGAATTCTCCTGATTTAAATTCACACTAACAAAAACATAAGAATCAGAGGTTGTAATGTAAACGATATGAGTGTCTTGGCTATCAGTTTCGTTCAAAACTTGAATATTCATAGCCTTTTGTCGTAATGTTCTAAGTGAAGGATCTTTAATAAATTCAAAATAACCAGACCTGGTAACTATCATAAAATTGCATTTGACAGTTGCACAATTAGCTGATATTCTCAAGTTATCCAACATATTTTCCTCCGTAATATTAAAAGGTATCGGAATGAGAGATGAAGCCGGTATTGTGTTATTAAATGAAAATAAAAGCTTCTTTCCATTACTAGTTGAATTTTGTTGAGGTGAAACATCATTAAGGTTTGCCAAATCCAATGCTTCTGTAACACTATTTCCTAATACTAATACAGCTATTATACATGCTATCAATAATCCTAGATTTGATGAAACCCTAGAGTTTTGAATGTGACGGAAAATTATGCATTTTCCTAGCATTGTTTTGTTCAGTTTTTTTTGGGATGCGTTGTTAGTGCCCTTAATATACAGGATCGGATCTCTTATTAGCTTCATTCAACAACAACGGCTACCAATCTTTTGATTCGCTCATTTATAGTAGTTAAGGGAATTGTAATATTGGGTTGATTAAAATATATTCACAAATAATTTATTTGAATTGGACTTTGTTTCCTTCGAATTCGATAAGCAATTCTTCAATAGTCTTGACACCTTGTTCCTTATCGCTATCTCTAATTCTAATGTTAACACTGTCACTTTCCATTTCCTTAGGACCAACAACCAAAATATAGTTGTATTGAGACAATTGAGCATTTCTGATCTTCTTGTCAATTCTATTGCTGCTCAAATCAACATCAACGTAGTACTTGGCTTCATGGAGCCTCTTTTGAACCTTTTCAGCATATTCGTTGCACTTGTTGGAAACTGGAACAACGATAGCTTGTCTTGGTGAGAGCCAGAAAGGCCACTTACCACCAAAGTGTTCAGTAGCAATAGCCAAGAATCTTTCCAATGAACCAAAGATGGCTCTGTGGACAATAACTGGTCTAGATTCAGTCTTATCTTCAGCAGCATAAGTCAAATCGAAACGAATTGGCAATTGGAAATCCAATTGAACAGTAGCACATTGATGTTCTCTCTTCAAAGCATCAGAAATGAGAATATCAATCTTTGGACCGTAGAAGGCACCATCACCTTCATTCTTTTGCCAAGAATGACCGAATTCATTCAAAGCAGCTTCCAATTGACCTTCAGCTTCATCCCATTGACTAATTTCACCGAGATACTTTTCTGGTCTAGTAGAAAGGAAAAGTCTGAATCCGAAACCAAAGATCTTGTAAATGTCTTGCATCATACGCAAAGCACCCATAATTTCACTCTTAATTTGATCTGGACGACAGAAAATGTGAGCATCATCTTGTTGGAATTTTCTTAAACGAGTCATACCAGTCAAAGCACCCTTCAATTCATTACGATGCAAAACACCAAAATCAGCAAAACGAATTGGCAATTCTCTGTATGATCTAGTTCTATGTTTGAACATGAGACAATGGCTAGGACAGTTCATTGGCTTCAAGCTGTGTTGAGCCTTATCAATTTCCAAAACAAACATATTTTCAGCATACTTATCCCAGTGACCAGAAGTCTTCCATAAATCACTGTGGAAAACATTTGGAGTTTGAACTTCAGAGTAACCACGATGCCAATATTCATTTCTCATCAATGATTGAATGCTATTGAACAAACGTTGACCGTGAGGTAAGAAGAAAACCATACCAGGAGCATATGGATGGAAGAACCACAATTCTTGATCCTTACCAATGATACGATGGTCACGTTTCTTAGCTTCTTCCATCAAAGTTTGCCATTCCTTCATGAGTTTCTTGTCTGGGAAAGACATAGCATAGACACGTTGCAAAGTTTCCTTGCTAGCATCAGCTCTCCAGTAAGATGATGAGTTCTTAGTGACTTCAAAAGTGGTAACTTTACCAGTATTCAACAAGTGAGGACCCTTGCAAGGATCGATCAATCTACCACAACGATAAACACTACAATAGTCTCCTTCCTTGACCTTTTCAGACAAGATTTCAACCTTGAACTTGTTATCAGCGAACAATTCAAGAGCTTCAGCCTTGGTGATGAGCAATCTTTCGAAAGGTTGCTTTTCATTGATAATCTTGGTGACAGCATCCTTGACTTTTGGATAATCAGTTTCGGAGACAGAACTATTCATGATGAAATTTGTTGTTGTTAATTATATTGATGTTATATTTCATAGAGTGTCATGTTGTTAATATTCAGTAGTTGTTATTATTATAATAATAATAGAGGAAGAATTAGTGTAGATAATAATAATTAGTATCATCATCATACAATAAAAACTTACTTATCACCCATGTAGGCTTCATAGTAGAAACCACCATCTTCCAATGGAGGTCCCTTACAGAGGAAGCATTTGAAAACATCTTCCATAGCTTCACCCATAACGTGAGAAGAACTGTGCCAGAAAACTTCCTTGGCTTCTGGGTGGTCAAACTTTAACAATTCCAAAGTACAATCACCTTCAAGAGCTCTACCCATATCCCACAATGCACCATTGACTTTAGCAACGACACAATTAGCAGCAAGACCAGCAGAGATGGACATGGCAATATCGTGTGGAGTGGTTTCGTAAGCCTTACCAGGTCTAGTACTATTATCTGGGAGAGTAATAGTGATTTCCTTTCCAAGGACATCACCTAATTCTTGTCTTCTTCTTTCCTTGAATTCTTCAAAGAGTTTATTTCTCTTAGCATAGTATTCATCAATCTTTTCAAAACTGACGCTCATTTTTTTTTAAATAATCAAATTTAATATTTTAAAATTATCTTGTTTTTTTGCAATACCCAATTGAAATCGATAAAGTATTTATAGGTTTGAGAATCTGGATTTCTGGTCGAAGATATTGTTATCTGCACTGTATTTGATGAATTTGAAAGAAAACGGTGCAAATTCATAAGTGAATTTGAAACAAGAGTTAATTTGAAGGAGGTTCATATTCAGATTTATATTTAGGAGTGCAGCAATAATATTGCATTTGAATACGGTTCAACTTTATGAATGAACCAGTAACTTGTTGACCATGTTACAAGAGTAGCTACTCATTTGAATTTATCAAATACACAATATCTTTGTATAAAATTAATGCAAATAGAAGATTGAAATAAATTAGATTTATTAATGTACAATATTAAGCTCTCTTATTTGGCTTAATTTTCATATTCTTGAAATATTCACAAACTTGACCTGGGATTTCCTTCAAGGTTTCTCTTGCCAAGAGTTGATAATTTTGAGAATTATATTTACGGAATGGAACAAATTGAACAATGTCACGAGAGGCAATTTGTGAACCACTTGAAAGTCTTCTGTCATCTCCATCAAGAGTTTCCATCGAATCGAAATTGGCAGCACCAACACCAACAATGACAATTGAAAGAGGATAGTTTGAGGCCTTGACAATTTCTCTGATAGTATCATTCATATCGGTAATAGCACCATCTGTAATGATGAGCAAGATGAGATACTTTTGATTTTGTTGGCTTTGTTCCATTGAAGCTTGTGAAGCATAGGCAATAGCAGTTTGAATGGTTGGTGAGAAATGGGTAGGTCCATATAATTCTATATTGTTTCAAATGTTTGAAAATTGGGGAAAGATAAATAATGGTTAAATATTTTCTGACTAATATAATTCATGAATACTTACCACAATTGTTCAAAGCTTGACGATAATCACGTAAAATACCATCAACACCTTGACTATTTGGATTATTTGGATTACCATTCAATGCAAAACAGTGTGAAATAATGTTACCTGGTAATTTTGCTCCAAAACCATAAGATGGGAATAGTTTGTCTGAATCATAGTATGAGAGAATGTCACCAATAGATCTAATAGCCATTTCATATTCATTCATTTTACCACCAAAATGCAATGAGCTTGGGTCGTTAGGATTACCGTTTGAAGCAGTAAAGTCAACAGCTACTAACAAGGAAACTTCCAATCCACCTCCTAAATAATCCAAGAATGAATATTCCTCTTCTGGTAAGACACTTCTAATTCCTCTAACCTGAATTTTACCAGTATTCTTTGGTGCCTTCTTTTTCTTGTGATAGGAACCATCATCAATTAATGCAATAGATTGTCTATCTCTGTTAACTTGTTCCAATTGAGCAAGAGTTGTTTCAACACTTCCAATCTGTTTTGTGATCATAAGCTTTAGATGATTCTTTTAACTTCAACTTACAAAGTCTGGATCAGAATTCTTGTCCCAATCAAAGACTTGAATTCTAATTGGTAAATTGGCATCACCATTGCACAATTTTTGCATTGGAATTGAAAATCCTTTCCATACAGGATTTAAATTATTCATAATTGTCTCGGATTTGTAAATATCAACAAATTCATTTCCGACCTTTTTAGCCAAAATGAAATATCTAATATCCATCATCCACATTATTTCTCATTACTATTAATTTATGGAATACTTACGGATCACTGATAATAATTATTGATTATTAAATTTACAATCAATATTATACAAACCTCTTTCCGAAAAAGTCCTTCTTTGCAAGATCTTTACCATCCAATTCCAAAGTATAAATTGGATCTCTAACCTTAGATTTTTGTTCACTTCTGATGGTAATACTTCCCAAGTCTTTGCTTGTGTCACCATTTAGAGCTGTTAATTTTCTAGTAATGGCTCCGTTCACACCACAAACAATGTCAGACAATTTAACTTCACAACAACCCAAGAAATCATCATCGGCCAATGAAGCAGTTTCATTATCAATATCATAAACCAAAAACTTGAGTGGTTGAATTTCTTCAAACTTGTACGAAACAATAAAAGTTTTAACAAACTTTGGGTTGACTGATCATACTATGTTAAATAATAAATGCATCAAAAAAACCTACGATTATCTTTTTGAACTTCTGTTCTACCCAAATCACTCCAGAAAACCTCACCACTCTGTTGTCTCTCTCCCATTCTCACAAGACATGTCGGATCCGACTTGGACAATAAATCTTTATTCTTCAAATGTGTACATGAAATGTACAATTCAACCTTGGATTCCAATTGATTACTAATTGACAAACCAGCCATTTGTTGTTGCAAACCTCCAGTGCTGTACATTTTTCTATATTGTATAAATAGATGATTCAAAAGATGTCGATTATTTTTTTTTGGTTTTTAAATTCGCCATCACAATGATGCTCAAGTCCATCATCTTTTGGGTGATGAAAAGATTAAGTTCCTACGGTCATCATGAGGGAGCGACCTTACTATTGATCGATATTACAACATTTCTTCAAGTTACTTTCCAAAAGGATGGCAAATTAATATCAAATTGTAATGGTTTTAAACAGTACAGATAGAGCTTTGTTTTTGTGTGGCTTTTGAAAAACGTTCTGGCGCCTTTTTTAGATTTGAGGCTAAATGGAAAAAAATGCTCAACAAGGGTTTGAAGGCAACCTCGCGATCATCTGTGATGGTTAATCAAATATTTGGCAAATTGATTCGGAGACAGAATAATGGTGTTGTTGTTGGTGGAGGACGAGTTGGAAATATTTTGCAAAAGCAGCAGCTGGATCATGTATGGATGGGAGGAGTGAATAGTAAACAGGATTATCATTGGAGCAATAGAGTTTTGATGGAGGAAAATAGTGATGAAGCATTGGGTAGGAAGGAATTGCCACTTTCTCATTTGAGAGTTTTGGATTTATCTAGAGTATTGGCTGGTCCATATTGTACACAATTGTTGGCTGTATGTAATTATCTTTCTCATATTTACAATTTGATGTGTAAATAATAGGATTTGGGAGCAACTGTTATTAAAATTGAACCACCAAAGGTCGGTGATGACACTCGTTCTTGGGGTGAGTTTTGAAATTTATTCGAAATTATATGAATTATTAATAATAGGACCACCTTTCATGAAGATTGAAAATGGAAAAATGGAAGAAAATCAAAGTGGATATTTTCAATGTGCAAATAGAAACAAAAAATCACTCACAATTAATTTAAAATCAAAGAATGGACAAATGATTTTACACAAGCTTGGTATGTGTTTGAATTTTTGGCTTATCTGACATGTCAATTATTTAGTGAAGAATAGCGACATTTTAATTGAGAATTTTAAAGTTGGATCTCTTGAAAAATTTGGATTGGATTACAAAACTGCCAAATCAATTAATCCTGATTTGATTTACTGTTCTATCACAGGTTATGGACAAGATAGCTCTAAAGCACATCTGCCAGGTTATGATTATGTAATGCAAGCTTTGAGTGGTGTAATGTCAATAACTGGAGATGTGTCAACACCACCGTTTAAGGTCGGTGTAGCTATTACAGATGTAATGACAGGCATGTATGCAGCTGTCGGTATTTTATCAAAAGTTATTGAAAAACAAAAGAATGGTGGTAAATCTAATAGTGATAAGGATTGGATTGACCTTTCACTTTTGGACTGTAATTTGGCTTATTTGGTAAATCAAGCCACAAATTATCTGCAAACAGGAAATTCTCCAAAGAGAATTGGTAATAAGCATCCAAATATTGCACCATACGACCTGATAAAATGTATTAATGGAGATATTGTCGTTGCAGTTGGAAATGATGCCCAATTTTTGAGATTTATTTCAGTTATTTCTAAGGATCAACCATTTAAAGATTTGGACAAGTTCACAACAAATCAACAAAGAGTTGCCAATAGAACACAACTTATTCAACAAATTGAAGAAATCACATCCCAACAATTTACAAAAGAGGAATTAATTAGAGAATTGAGCAAGTTTGAAGTTCCATGTGGTGCTGTCAACACAATTGGAGAGGCATTAAATGACCCACAAGTTTCTGAAAGAAATATGGTTTGGAGTTTTGACAATGAGATTAATGACAAACCTGTAAAAACAATTGGAAATCCACTCAAATTTATTAATGAAAAGCATGAAGAATTGAACCTTAGACAATTTGCTAAACGCCCTCCAATCTTATCTGAACATACCAATGAAATTTTAAGTGAAATGATTGGTGCCACGAGTGAGGAAATAGATAATTGGAGAAAGGAAGGAACTATCTAAGATATTTCTACAATAAATAACTGTTAAATTTTAATTATTGATTTTGAGGAGTTGGAGGAAGGACAAGATCATCCAATCTGAACATGAACTGAGATGGTATTCCGTTCTGTACTGCTGTATTATTATTACTAGACATTCTGCTCCAGTTACGAATTTGTTGCACTCTTTCAATTTGAGCTCTTCTATTAAGTTCCACTAACTCTGCTTGATGACTATCCTCTTGAATATCATCAGCTTCGTTACAAAACAATACATCATGATCTGATACACCAACTACAGATGGAAGCCCTTTCAGGAATTTTTCAATATGTTCCTCCAATCCGTCAGCATCTCTTCTATCCTTTTCATGAATCTTATTAAACCTTTGGCAGGTATCTGATTTAGTTGTATCTCCCAGAGTGAACATTTCCAATAAATCAGAGTGTCTCAAATATCTGTATTGGTTTGATGCAATGACAGCAGTTCTTGAGACTGTTGTTTTGCTTACTTGTCTATTTGTATTAATAATGGAGTAATTAATACAATCGTACAAAAATACTAACCTTTTGTAAATGTATTCCTCAATTGTGGATGAGCAAATAAGACGATAGACGATAACATTTTGTCTCTGGCCAATTCTATAAGCTCTGTCTATTGCTTGCTCATCAATGCTTGGGTTGAAATTTGGTTCCACGATAATAACCCTACTTGCTGCTGTCAAATTGAGGCCAACTCCTCCAGCTTGTTGCAAAGTTTCATAGTTGCATGAGTTCCATAATCAAATATTCAAAAAATAATTGCTTACCTTGTGAAGACAGAAGGAAACACTTGATATTCTTTTTTTGATTAAAACTGTCTACAAGACTTAATCGTTCTTGGTATTTTGTTACACTGCCATCAATTCTATTATATTTGATATTCATACTCTTAAGAATGACGCCAATAATATCCAACATTCTTGTATATTGAGAAAATATTAGAACCTTGTGTCCATCATCAATACTCTTCTCTACGAGCTGCTTTATCATTTGGGCTTTGGTACTTTTGGCCAAAATGTTTTCTATAGGCTCCTCTCTAATTCTTTTCTTGATCATTTCTTCTTGGGCTTGTCTTAATTTTCTTTGTAGAGCTCGCTGTCTCTTTTCATCTAAATCACTCATATCAAGAGTCATGGATGGCAATGCAGCCTCACTTAATAAATTATCTTCACTGTCATCAATGAAATCTTCTTCTGACTTTTCCTCATTTTCATCTTGTTCCATCATTTCATTTTTAAGTTCCTCTTTCTTTTGTTTCAGTAATTCATCATAACCTGTGCACAACAAGGTATGATCACAAATCTGTTTCAAAATAATAATACCGACAAGAGGATTCAAAGTTCTGTTCAAAACTTGTTTGACTTGATCACTTAAAAGATAATCCTTGTACCAATTAATTTGGTCCTCAGTAAGACTACACCAAACCACCAAATCATTCTTCTGGCCAATTTTGGCTGTAGTCGATTGATCCTCATTCTTGTACAATTGATTATCGATTGATAATACTGATTGTTTGGTTCGCATCATCATGTAGGGTTTGATTGTTTCTCGAAGGGAATCTGCTGCGTTATTTCCCATTAATTTTTCGAAAGGTGTAGCATCTCTTTTTGTAGAGTGGTTGATAGGAATTGTGTACGATTCATTGAATTCTCTTTCAGAACCTAGCAATGTTTCTCCAAATATCCAAGAATAAAGAGCATAAAGCTCTGCAAGCCGATTCATTATCGGAGTGCCAGTAAGAGCAAATCTAGAGTGTGATGGTAATGTTTGCAGAGCCATAGAACATTTGGCATCTCTATTCTTAATTTTGTGAGCCTCATCTAATACAATTGAATCCAGTAGTAAATCATCAGAGAACTGTTCCTTTAAAAAGTCCACATGATTTGAAATGGTTTGATATGTTGAGATCATTACAGCTCCTCCATTATTTGCGTATCTATTGAACTGATTGACTAGACTCATCCTCTTCTTATTTCCTGATTTGTTACCTCCAACTTGGTGAAAGACTACAATACCCTGTAGACAATTATCTGTCCAAGCTAACAATTCTCTCTGCCAATTACCAATGACAGAATTAGGGCAAATAATTAAAACTCTAGAGGCTTTTTCAGAGAGGAAGAGCCCGTGGATAAGTGCAGATATTTGAATAGTTTTTCCTAATCCCATTTCGTCAGAAAGTATACCACCACGAAATCTTGTATCTAAGTGTCTTTCTGCCAACCATTTCAAACCAATTTGTTGATGATGGTATAGTTTTTCAAAGATTGTGGCTGATGTCACAAATGATACAATATCGTCATCTACTGGAAGCACATAATGATCATTGACTACATCATATGACCATCCATTTTCAGAGCTCTTTAATTGATCTGCACTGACAGGGACACGTTTCTTCTTTTTTGTCTTTTTTGACTTGAATTCTACCTCACTCAACTCTGAATCAGAGTCAATTACCTCTTGATCATCCGACTCCTCATTCAATACTATTTCCTCTTCTACCAATCCTTCCAAATATTCATCATCGTCATCTTCTGATAACTCTTGTTCGTATTCTTCCTCTTCTTCTGGTTCTTTCTTAGTGGTTTTACCAGTTGTTTTCGCCTCTTCCTCTTCCTCTTCTGAGAGCTCATATTCCTCCTCTTCTTCTGACTCTTCTTTCTTTTGTTTTTTATATCTTGGTGCATATTCTTCTTCGTCTGATGAGATAATGATTGAATCTGAAAGAAATGAATTGTTAGGCTCTTTTTTTTTGGGTTGTGGGATTTTCACTTCGTTATCATCACTTTCACTCAAATCTCCTTTAGGATTTGAAACTTTTTGTGTGAAAAGGTTTCGGTTCTTTCTTCTCATTGGTACATTGTTAACAATAGTTTCATTACTTGGAGTAGGGTTTGGTTTTAAAGGTGCCACAACTGAATTATTACGAGACTGCCTTGTTGGATATTTCTTAACTCTCTCATCCTCTTCATCATCTGATGATTCACTATCTTTCCCACTACTAGATTGGGAATAGTTAATAACAATTTTTGTACCAACCAATGAAATGTCAGATTCTTCTTCTGAGGACTCCTCTGAGGAGGATGATAGTTCATTTTCTCTCACCGATGACCAAGCCACTCTCCTTGTCCTAGTAGTTGATTTTGAATTTAGGCTCTTGTTGTGGAATGAGGTTTTTTCTTTTATCGGATCTTGTATTTTTGTACTAGTGTTAGATAAATATGATGACGATCGTGTTATTCTCCTCTTTAATTCCATTTGTGGGTGTGATGTTTTATTGTTCGTTGGCATGTTTAATAAATTAATAAATTAAATATTTAACTAGCTGCACTGTTGCGTGTTGTGAGCTTTTTTTTTTGAGTTTTTAAATTTATAATTTTGGCGCCAAACATGAATTCTTTCAGAATTTGGAAGTGATACTTTTAAATTTGTTTCAACACAAAAACAGATAGAAATGTTATTGGATATAGAAATTGAACAATTGCTCCAGAGACCTTTTCAAATGAAATGCCAATTACTTATTCTTGTTAGATTCTAAAATGGTTTATCAATAAGATGAAGTTTTGAGATGCTCTTTTGATTGCTTAATACTGTTAAACTGTTAAACATAATAACAAATCTGTTGAAAGTAACTCAGATTTTTGATATCATTCTATCTTCAATTTAGTCAGAGTCGTGATCAAGTGCATATTCTGGATATTCAGTTTCTTGTTCAAGTATTTATGACCACGACTCTGACTAAATTGAAGATACTAATGATCTAAATTGAACATTGAGAATCCTTAAAAAAGCTTCCTTACTGATGATCATCCAAGAGGAAATACAATTCCTCTCACACATGAATAACAATTTAAACACCTAGGACAAACGAACATTAAATATTCTAATCGAACATAATTAGTGCTTTCTCCCTACCCTGTTTTTCTATGGAAACTTTCAGGAACAACAATTCTCTACTCCTCTGTTTGAACGCCATATGCGTGCGTATTATTTAGGATTTAAAGAAAAATTTGTCTCAACAACGATCTGCAGTGTGTTGCTTCATCTCTCAATAATTACGCATCACACAAATATTAACGATAATTGGCACATTCGTGTTGTTATATAGTATTTAGAGTATTGAATAGACTTCTTCCGAGAACAGTTGTGATATATAGTATTATTTATTCTATAGTATATAGTGTTGTAAATTTGTAAATAGTACAAGAAAGATGAGGCGTATGTTTCAAGTATACTTGACACAATACTTGCGTGCCTTGGAGGATAATGAAGATGAGGAGGAAGTAGATGCAAATCAAATGTTAGATGATGACGATGAAAACGGAGGTAATGATAATATGAGTGATGATGATGATGACGATGACTCTGATGATGAGGAAACTTTACAACCTGTAATATTGACACGTGGAGGTGGAAGGACTTCATCTCGATTGAGTACACGATCTGCTCAATCACGTCTTAGAGAAGAGGAAAAGGAAAAACAATTCCAGGATAAATTAAGTGAATTACTGAAAACCCTCAATGAACACGATATTGCTCAAACCATTAGAGCACATACAGGGCAATACTGCAAAAATAGTGAGGAATTAGTAGAAAAAATTGAAAAGATTAATTATTATAGTGGTGTAAATTATACTCAAAAGAAGGGATTAATCTACCAATTGCATAGAAGAAAGATTGGTAACTGTACAAATGGAGCCCTTCATAGAAATACAGCCTTAACATCGCCCAGTGACTTGCCAAGCATGGCCTCACGTTTCTTGCCCTCTCTTAATAGAGGGCCAATTGGGAAATCTGAAGCTTACATGTTTTGTGGACAATTCTCTCTGGATGGAAAATTTTTCATGAGTGCCTCTCAAGACCAAGTTATTCGAATCTATGATGTAAATACTATTCTCCTCAAAAAATCTACAATATCAACCGCAAGTAAACCAAACAATGACAGTCAGTCGTCAAGAATGGAGGATGATGACGTTTGGGACTCTGAGGATGATGAAGAAAATTCAACAAACGATCAAACAGATTTTGGAAATAATTCAACTGTGAAACATATTCGAGAAATCCATGCTAGAGATGTTGGATGGAGTATTATTGATTGTAATCCATCCCCAGATAATAAGTTATTAGTGTACAGTAGTTGGAGTCCATATATTCATTTGGCAACCTTTGCTCCTCAGGATTATGATCCAAATGAAGATATTGATAAGAGACTCAAATATATAGAAAAGCATGAACAATTATATCTCAATCCAGGAAATTACAGATTTTGTGCTTTTGCTGTTCGTTTCAGTCCTGATGGAAAGGAAATCCTGGCAGGTTCTAACGATGACCATCTCTATATTTATGATTTGGAGAAGAATGTAAGAACTGAAAAAATACATGCTCACAAATCTGATATTAACACTGTATGTTATGCAGGCTCATCATGTCCAAACCTATTCTATTCTGGCAGTGACGATGGATTATGTAAGGTTTGGGATAGACGTCAGTGCTCAACATCATCCTCAACACCTGTAGGTATATTGGCAGGCCACTCTGATGGTATTACATGTGTCACTTCAAAAGGAGATGGCAGATATTTTATCAGTAATGGTAAAGATCAAACCTGCAAGTTGTGGGACATTAGAAAGATGGCTGACTCTGCCCCACAAATTCCAAGAGCAAGTAATTTATGGGACTACAGATATGAAGCTGCTCCTTCACGACATGCCAGAGTGATACACCCACATGATCAATCCTTAATGACCTACACTGGTCATCACGTCCTGCAAACCTTGATTAGATGCTACTTTAGTCCAATGAGTACCACCGGACAACAGTACATTTATACAGGTAGTCATGATGGTATTGTATACATTTTCGATATTCTAACTGGACAAATAGTCAAACGACTTTATGGACATTCTCACATTGTCAGAGATGTCAATTGGCACCCATATTTACCTGTTTTGTTCTCTTCCTCTTGGGACGGCACATGTTTAATGTGGTCTCACAATAATCTTAATTAACCAAGTGTTAATGAAATTCTTCACTACTCCCATATAAAAAACTAAATTATTCTTCTATGACATTACAATTTTGAATTAACAACAATTAATTGATCAATCTAAAACAGCAAAACAACGAGGTTGATAGAACGTTGCAATTAATGTGATGAAGAATTTGATTAAGAAACATCTGTAATCCATGTAATCACATTGAATCTTGTAACCTTCATTGTATTAAGATTTGCATTAGAATTGATCAAGAAATGTTCATGTAGCGTATTGGCTACTTTTGAATCAGACTTGCCTTCTCAATTCCCGTACTTGAAGTGAACACGTTATTGAAGATCTTTAATTTTTATTAAGGAAAATTTTTATCAAAAAAAACTTGTCCTACTGTTTGATTACAGGGTTTTTCCAAAAGTAATTTCTCCTTACTTTTATGGATCTGATACAGCAAACAAACACTTCAATCACCCTCAAGTATGATTGCAAGTTATTTTTAATGTTGAACAAACTCTCACTCCCTGTCAACTCCTCTCAAAATCCACATAAAAGATTAAGAGAGATGAGAGTATCACCTCCAATAAGACTTCATATCACTTGTCCAGCTAGAGATTTGTTCCAAAAAACTCAATTACAAAACCTTTAGTAGAAGATTTTTCATGAGAACAATTCGTAGTTCACTACACAACTTAAAATATAGCCATTATTGTATCCGTAAATGCCAAACCTCAAATATCTCTCACTGAAAGAGTCTCCCATATCTCCAAACCAGTTATGTTTTCTTCCTTATTCATCAGAAGAGTTTTTTTCAATTTGCCTACTCACTGTTCGTCTGGTCTCAACAAGGAGTCTAAGAGCGCATCGTCGCGTGGATCCCTTACAGTATATTAGAGGTTCGACGAATATTATATTCATGAGACCGAACAAAGCTACATTATTTTAAAACAAAAACACCACAACAAAAAAAAACCTCAAAATACCCAACTCTAAGAGAGATTAAAACAACAACCCGATATCACTCACTACCACAAACAAACCCTCAGAAATGTTATTTCAACTGAATTGGAGAAAGAAGGAACAAACAGGCAAGGATTCTACCTCAGCAAGTTCGACACCTACTAATGTATCGATAGGTGGAGGAAGATCAAGAAGTGTTAGCGCACCTATGGAATATAACCCAGACTCGAAAGAACACAGATTGCGAATCATCTTTAATATGTTTGATGGAAATAATGATGGAAAGCTTACAGCAGAAGAAGTTAAGGACTTTTTGTCATCCGTATACGATAAAAAGTACATTGAAAACTTATCCTCGACATGGAATTTGAGCAAGGGTTTGACCTTTAAGGAATTCCTAGAAATTTGCGGCAGAACCGAACAAGAAACAGAAAATGATGAAAAACAACAAGAATCATCGGGATCAAATACATTTTGGAAGTTTAAACCATTTAGTGCTTTGAAGAAGAAGGATAAGGAGCAAGAAATTGTTCTGTCTCAAGATTTTGATGAAAATGAATTAAGGAGAGCTTTTGAAGAAGTTTTTGATACAAATCGAGATGGTGTTCTCACCAAGAATGAATTTAAAAAGGTTTTGAAAAATCTCAGAATTGGTGAAGCATTTAACGATGAAGAAATTGAACAATTGTTTGATTCTGTAGTGACGAATAATGTACTCAAATTTGAACACTTTATGGCTTTATTGAAAGATATTACTAATTAATCATCTAGGTTTTGTAAATTATAAATGTACATTAAAATAAATTAAAACTATCTATTCTTTTCGAAAACAACTTTCCCTAATAAAAAGTCAACTAGTTTCTGAACTGTTGCCTTTCCACGAAGGCAATTTACATCCGTTATATGACTTTCCTCACTTTCATTGTCCTTAATTTGGAATTGAATAGTATTATTTCTCTTCTTGATTGTGACAATATCAAAATCCATCTCTGCAAGTTCCTTCTCCGAAATAAATGATTTGTTCTTTGAACGTTTTGATGAAGAGGATTGAGATGTTGGTGGTGGAATTTCAATGTCATTATCTTCTGGTTCGATCATTTGATTTTTCTTAGAGGAGGATGATCTTGTTGAGCTAGCTTCATCATCACTACTGAAAACCATTGTATCACTTGGTGTGGATTTTACAGAACTACTTGAAGGTAATGAAGAGGTCTTGCTTACCACAACCTTCTTATAGGATGTTGTTGATTTGTTATACTTGGAAATGAATTTGAATGGCACTTCATTCTCTGGTTCCCAAGTATTAATTGGAAAATCTCTCCACTGCACTAAATATTCTGTCGAATTTTTGTATTTTCTTGAATTTAGAACCTTGTCATGCACAAATTTACACTGTCCTCGTTTATATTCACTGCTAAAGTTTGGATAAATATCATTCTCAAACTTGTTCAGCATTTCTGTAAGCTTTTCCAAGTGTGCATGAGGTTCCCATGAAGAATCTTTAATTGACCAATGTTTCCACTTTACAAGATAGTTTGCTTTTGAATTCTTTGTTTTTTTCAACAGAATAGCTTCCACCTCATACTCATCCTCAGCTTGATCGGAATCTTCATCCTCTTCTGCTTCCTCAGATTGAATTTGTTTACTTCTCTTTTTATCAATCATTCTCCTAGTAGGTTTTGATTCGGATGATGGTTCACTCTTAGATTTAGAACTGCTACTTCTAGTAACTCTCTTAGTGGATGATTCCTCCTCCTCCTCACCATCATCATCATCTGAATCTTTTTTTCTCCTCTTTGGAGTTGTTATTGCTGTTGGTGTTGATTTATCATTCAAGTCTCTCTTTCTTTTACTCCCAGAATCAGATTGTTCATCATCACTTTCTGGAATTGTTTGTTTAGATGATGATCCGCTACCACTACTACTACCCACACCACCTGATGATGATGACGATGCTGCAAACGATGAAGTGATGGGATCGCTGTCATACTCCTCATCCATATTGACTTCACGAGAGAGTCGCATTTTTTTTTGTGTTTTTTTTAAATTTTAAAAAATATTTTTCCGTGTAACGGAAATTGTTTTGAGAATCATTTTCAAACATTTACAGTTTTACTGAGGAATACATAATAAGAGATGATGAAAGGAATAAGGTGATAATTATTCTGAGAGATCTATGAGGGGAACGTTTAAAAAGTTCAATTGTTCAAAACAATGATCAAGACCATTGAGAATGGCTTGCTGTTTTTCTCTCAATTCTTCATTCGAAAGTTTTCCAATAAATTGTTCAATTCTGAAGGAAATCAAGTTTGAAACGTGTGGTAGGAGCATTACATATATGGGATATACAATATTTTTCATTTGATTGTAAACTGGTTTTTGAACTATTCCCATGTGAAAGAAAAAGTGTGAAAAGAGTTTTGAAAACTTACTAGAAGTGAAACTGCATGATTTTGTTGCATCTGAAAGAGTTGGCTCACAGAAAACATATAAATATAAATATCTTCTCAAACACTTATCAATTGCTCTGATTAAGAAACCATCCACTTTAAAAGTTCCTCTGTATGAATTTTTAAGTTTTGTTCTTTGAGATTCAAAATTTTTCATATACTCATTGGCATCATTGGGATTTGAAACACTTTCGAATAGCTTGGTAACAGGTGTCTGAAGTAAATGTTCAACCTCACTCTTGGATGGGAACTTAGCCAATTGGTTACAAATGAATTCCTCACTAATTCCATTACCTTTGAAACTTTCAAATACATGTTTTGCGTACTTGTCAACTTGTGATTGAAAGTAAATTCTTGCGCTTGTACTTGGATTCACACATTTACTTCTTCTAAAGTGGTGATGAAAAACTGTCTGGTCTTTCACATAGCCAATATAACTATCTAGTCCTAAATATCTTTCCAATAAGCCAGTAATCACGAATGAATAATATGTTTCATCAATGGAGGCACAATAACTTTCAAACAATGATATCATCCTGTTAGAATCTCTTGGATAGACCAATGAATATTCCTCATCCGTTGAAACAATAGTACAATCAAATTCCTTCACCTCAGAATCAATCTTATCCAATGGAACATGTGGATAAACCCTAAAAGATGGTCCTGGCAACCCTGTCTCCATACTAAAATCCACATATGGAAGTGAATGTATACCCTCTTGTTCCTCTCTCAAAAATCTATCTTTACCAGAATATCCTCTCGAAAACAGAAAATAGGCAGAACATGGACAACTGCTCTTAAAATTCAAATCAGTTACCAAATTCTTGAATAGCCTCTTAATGCTCTTGTTTGGTAGATTAACTTGATTGATAATATCCATTAAGAATGTGTTGTTAGTATTTCCTAATTGTCTTGTTTCAGTCAACAAGTAGAAAAGTTTGAATATTTTCAAATAGATGGAATATTGTACTCTGTGATATTTGAAACTGGATAACGAATTCTGATTCCATGTATATTCAGAATTGAAATTAGTTTCACAAAACATGTGATCCATGATGATTGAGCTCATAAAATGAACCATTTGACTTTTACAACTTATCTTGACAATATTAAAATCCCTTTCTTCCACTTTTCTAACAGTATTCGAAAATAAGTCCTTAAACCAAAACGAATCATCTTTCAAAAAGGTCCTTATTCTTTCCTCTCTCTCATCATTCCACAATTTCATCTGAATCCAATCCTCAATCAGTCCAATCAAGTTAGGATACATGTATTCAAATTGTTTTTTCCACAATTTTGAATTTTGTAAAATTAATTTTCTCATATTTCGATTCAAAATTGTAAAATTCATAATCAACTCTTTAGGATGAAAAAACTCTGCCATAAAATAACCAACAAAAAACTCAACTCCAAAATCATTGATCATGAAAGAAAATTCGTTCTTTGCCTTCATACGATCGTTCACAACACTTGTTGGTGTTGTGTGGCATTGTTTTGAAGGCATTTTTTTGGTTGACTGAAGTTAGAGAGTTACAGTTTTGAGGCAAGAAATACTTCGATTAATGAAAACTGATTATTGCGATACTCCCGTTTAGATTGTCGTAGTGGAAGCAACAATTTCTAGTTCAAAACTGTGTGAAATCATCTAAAACATAATTTATATTTTTGTAATTTTTACTGTTAGTAAGATTGCTATAACAATACTGGAGGTTACTTGATTTAAGTGGTTTTCTTAGAATTGAATTGGTTGAACAGTTGTGGACAGTTTTATTGAGAAGTAAGAATGAGAAATGGTAACACCTCAATATCTTCTCACTATCGAAAATGAAAGGATATTAGTTTACAACACTCCATGTAACTTCTGTAAAACCTTAACTGGACAATTACTATTCCATACCATCACCACCGTTTGACAGATAGGTGAATGACACCAGCTATATAACAATACTCTGAAGAACCAATTCATCAGAAGCAGTATTGATCTTGGTGTATCCCACAGACAGTAAGTAGTGAGAAATACATTGTAAAAATGTTGTAAGAGATGAGGTTTATGTCTAATGTACACAATCCACCTTGACTTTAAAGAAGATTGATGAATATGAAAGATATATTTACGCTGTACTATTATCCCAACAAGTTTATTGCCCATTCTTGCCACATGTTCTCAAGTATGGTACTGATTATATGGAATTAGAAAAGTTGGAACAAATGGATCACGAGAGCAACTGGGATCATGATCAATTGATTAGCCTACTTTTGGACGAGTCTTGTGCTTTGAAATATTTACATTCTATCAATACTATTCACAGAGATGTCGAACCAAACAATATCCTGTTGAGAACAGGGGAAGATGACTATTGCCTATGTGTTGATCGATTTCGGTTTATCCTGCCACTTTGAAAGAAAAGAAAACGGCTTGCTAAACAAACAAACAAATTTAATGATTAAGGAAAACTTGGGTACATCCATATTTAGAGCTCCAGAAGTTGCCAACCAAGAAAACTATTCAGAAAAAGTGGATATCTTTAGCTTGGGAATGACTGCAATGTATTTATTTGATTTTGAGAAAATGGAAAGAGAATTCAAGAAGAATAGAAAATGTAATTGGTCTGATCTTTTAGATGAATTAATATGGAAGAGTCCTTTAATGATATTACAGGACAAATGATCGATACAGACGTTACAAAAAGACCAACAGCTGTACAATTAAAGAAACTGCTTGATGATTTGAATGACAAAAATGTTATGCAAATAAATGATTTTTGAAATGGAGGATTATACAATAAAATGATTAAGAATTGCTTTCATCCAACAAACGATGTCAGATATTCCTAACCAACACATTTGTTGTTTAAAACCGTAAGTGATTCATATAGTTTTTTACTGGAATTTGAATTTCTTTGAACATGCTTGAGATACTTTGTAAATGTTTTCACAAATTTTTATTAGAATACTGTTTTGGATTGTATTACAAGTCAGTTAGATATGAACCAAGCTGTTTTATTGAAGCTGAAATGTTTCGTTTTGTTTGTTAAATGAGTATAGTCCTTTTTCTAATTGAATTTCTTCCTGGAAAAAGTTATCTTCCTTCCATGTCTTGATTCCAAACATGAAAGATATTGAGGCTATGCCCATGAACACGACTCCCAACAATATCAGGATTAGGTAAGTATTTCCTCCTAACCCAACACAACTTCCTATTAGAAATAAACTAATTGTACAAGAGAAACTGGGCACCATTTCTATCAAAATTGAAAAATGTGACTTTCTCAATGTAATTGGATTTTCCTCATGGTGTGTTTCATTCATGTTCGTTATTAAAGTATTCGAAACTCTCCTCCCTTTTGCAAATTCTTCCTCGGCAATATCAGTCATTGAATCGGCATGTTTTCCTTCTTTCATTCTTTATTGTTTGAATAGTACCTGTCCTTCTTTACAACATTAAACCACTTTCGAATAAACGGGAAAATCCTTCTCGAGTAGGCCCGTCTGTGTTTTTTTAATAAGAAGTTTCTTATTGAAATTCCCAAGGTAAAATTAGATTTCTGACATTTTGCTTTGTCCGTTTAAGATAATCAATTCTTTGATTTGCCCATTAAGGACAAATTTCCAAAGACAAAATGTTGTATAAATAAGATTTTCAATATTCTTTCTGTTCATTGTAATTGGTAACTTAATGACTACGGCCATATCACGATGAATGCACCTCATCCCTCCGATTTGAGAAGTTAAGCATCGTCGAGCCACATCAGTACTGAGGTTGGAGACAACTTGGGAACCTGTGGTGCTGTAGTCTTTTCTTTTTTAAGTTCATCACACATGCCATTCAACTTCTTAACTTCTTGTCTTTATTTTCAGTGAACAAAATGAAAGTGCAATAAACTTGTGAATAATCAAGGATTTTAAGAACGAAGACTTTTTTTGTTCATGTTTTTTTCGCTTGTTAGTAAAATTGTTGCATGAAAAATTACTGTTTATTCAAAGTGAGGGAACAATAATCAGAAAGCTTTCTCATTCCATACAAGTTAGCATAATCAAGTAAGGAATTCTTAACAGGAGGAGATTTGATAGCAGAAATCATTAATAGGTCGTAACAGTACTTGATAATCATTTCAGATATCTTTAAATCTTTGCATTCGACCATCTCATAAAATGTATCCTTTTCATTATTCTTATTTTTGAATAATTCCTCAAAGAAATGACTGTTGGAGGATAGAACAGTCTTGTGGCAATAGAATTTCTCCTTTCCAATAATTATGGTAACATCACTCGACGTTTTATCATTGAAAAGAGACGATAGATTCTTCTTTTCGCTCGCATTCTCTTGGATGTGGATATTTGGAGTTGTTCTCTCACTAATTTTGTAAGCAATTAGAGTTATATGTTTAAGAATGTTGGAATGTTGAAGAATTTGAGGTGAATCTCTCAAAAAACTAGCTGCCATGCAAATGCAATACTCAAACAATTGATTGAGGATTATATTATCAGGCAGTATTTCAATATATTGCTCTATCTTTTCCATCATAAAGTGAATATTTTCTTGACAACAAGTTTTCTTAATCTTTTTTACAAGTGACTTTTTCATTTCTATAAATTCACATCCTTGAAATAATCCTAAAATTGACAAGATATCTATTGGATCGTAATTGTCTTGCCAATTTTTGACAGGTTCATAAATTATATCATCGATTAAATATTGTACAATTTCATGTTGAGTTGTGCTCATCTTCTTCAGAATGTCACATTTCAACACTGATTCATAAAATTGGGGTGAAGCCATCTTGATGAGATAGCTCACTCCCTGAATATTAGTATTATCCACACGATCCCAATAATACTTTTTCATTCTTCCACCTGAATTCAGATATTTGGTAGTTGAAATCTTTCTAATATAATTATTTCCTCCATCGACCACATAGACATCTCCAGTTTCATTATCAATTGCAATATCTGATGGATTATTGAATTTAGCCATTCTAACTGGACCATCCTGATAACCCTCCTCGGTTGTTCCAGCAATAGTTACCAAAGTTCTATCCCTATTAATCTTACAAATTCTATTATTGTAAATGTCAGTAAATAGAATTTCACCTTCTTGACTGATGGCAATTCCAGATGGACCATTCAACATGACATCTAAGGCATCCATTTGATCTCCATTAAATCCCTTCTCTCCTGTTCCTGCAATAGTGGTGATTATTCCACAAGTTGATATCTTTCGAATAACATTATTACCCGAATCTGAAAAATAGACATCCCCTCTCTGATTCACTGCAATTCCAGTTGGACAACGAATTCTAGCATAAAATGCAAACCCACCATCTCCATCATACCCCTTCTCTCCAAAACCAGCCACGGTGTGAATCAATCCATTCCTTAGAGAAACCCTTCTAATTCTATTATTGTGATAATCTGAAATGAAAAGTTCCTGTTCTCTCTCATCAATGGCAATTCCTGTTGGAAAGTACAAGTCAGCATGAATGGCTGGTATTCCATCTCCATTGTAACCTTCTCTGCCAGTTCCTGCAATAGTTGAAATACTTCCATCCACAGCAGAAACCTTACGAATTCTATGATTGTGTCTATCAGCAATGTATAAATCACCATTCTCACATCTGGCAATTCTTGTTGGATAGCTCAACTTGGATACAGTGGCTACACAGCCATCTCTATTAAATCCTCTCTCTCCACAACCAGCAATGGTTGTAATAATGCCTGATTTGATTCTTCTAATCTTGTGATTTCCATAATCTGAAACAAGTAATTCCCTCTCACCATTTGGTGTCCTTTCTCCCAATGCAATACCAGCTGGCGAATTGAATGGTGTCAAATGACTCGATGATTCACTATCTGAACCATAACCTTCATGGTCTATTCCTGAAATTGTACTCACATTCAATTCTGTATTAGTGTGTTCGTATTCATCAGTGATGTCATCATTAATAGCCAATGAGGAGTTGTTGACATTATTTGTTAAAATAGACAATCCTGATGATGGTGCTAATGTTCTAAATGTGGCAGCTCGAGCAAATAGTGAAGTCATTATGTTCTTTGTGTGGAAGTGAGAATAGGGTATTGTGTTTTTTTTTTTGATGTTGAATTCAATCACTTCCAATGCCTGATCGAAGTCGATTTGTTTATTGATTGGCGCCAAAAAGGTGTTGAACACAAGAACATGAATCATTTTCATTTGCTACTATTATGGCTCGCCAACACAAAGACTGCTAAGGGGTGAATAGAGAAATAGATTGGCAAATTATTTTCAATCAAAATCAATGAGTGAGTGCACAAAGTTTGCAATTGTTTCCACTGAAGCTAGAGCACCATTTCCTGTATCTCCACAAGCTAATAATTTACAAATAGGTTGAATAGTATAGACATTCAATTCCAATTCTAGAATTGACAATTGTTTGGCTGTGAATGGATGTTCATGCATGAGAGTATTCATGGCTGGAGCCACAACAAATGGAAAATTCTTCAAATCCCAAGCTCTGGCTACACATGTCACTAAATTATCACAAATTCCATTTGAAATCTTTGCCAAAGTATTACAATCCAATGGAGCTATCAACAGTATTTGAGCCCATTTACGTAGTTCAATATGTAAGACAGGATCTCCTCTCTTACTCCACATACTCCACTCATCTTCATCAGTGAAACATTCAATGGAATTGTCAACTTGATGAATTTGTTCCTTGGTTATGAAATGTTGTGCTCCCTTGGTTAAAACAATTCTCAATTTGAATATTTTCATAGAATTGAATTGTCGTATCATGTCTGGTATTTTGATTGCTGCTACGGAACCTGTTGCACAAATTAATAAATTAATTAATAATGACGAAGAGGGTGGAATATTATCTTCTGTTGTTTGATCGGAAGGTGTTCGTTTTAATCTAGGCTTGTTATTATTAGTATTGTTCATTGATGATGGAACTTCTGATGGTGGTTGATGAAAGGCAATCGTTGTTTGATTTTTTAATTAAAGAATAACATGTGTTCTCGAAGAGAGAAATCACAAATAAGAAGCAGAAAAACAGAAAGATGAGAAGAAGAATTGCATTACTACATAGGCCACTGGTCTTATACTAAGGAATAAAATTTTAGTCTTGACTTTCAAATCCTTCCCTTGTAAATATTGATATTATTATATTATAATATTTACAACATTTCCAAGTTATTCATGATGATGGTTCTTCTAAATAATTGGTACCAATGATATCATTCATTAGACAAGCACAGAGAGTGAAGAGGTATTTCTTCTATTAAAAATGAGGATAAAAAATTTTATTGTAAAAAGTCCATAGACTAGACAACCTAAAATTATTAATTTTGTTTCGAAAAAAAAAGTCAAACAAGTAAGTGTCATCCACCGTTATTTACCAACAACATTTTTCTTCAACAGCAAGATGTTCACTTCTCTTAGAAAGATCAAGAAGGGTAAGGACCAAGAAGTCTCCGAACTCGAAAAGCAAGTTGCTCAAGCTATCTTCGATTTGGAAGTCTACAACAAGGATTTGAAGGCTGATCTCCAACCACTCCACTTTGTTGCTGCTCAAGAAGTCGCTATTGGTAAGGAAAAGCAATCTTTGGTCATCTTCGTCCCAGTCAGACAAGTCAAGGAATGGAGAAAGGTCCATGGTAAGGTTGTTAGAGAATTGGAAAAGAAGTTCAATGGTAAGCACGTCTTGATCGTTGGTCAAAGAAAGGCTGTCTCCAAGCCAACTGACCCAACCAAGGAACATAGACCAAGAGCTCGTTCTTTGGCTCAAGTCCAAGAAAGATTGTTGGAAGACGTCTGTTATCCAGTTGAAATCGTTGGTAAGAGAACCAGAACTCGTGTTGATGGATCTAAGCTCACCAAGATCTTCCTCGAAAATAAGGAAAAGTCTAACTTCGACCATAAAATCAAGACTTTCAACAAGGTTTGCAAGAGATTGACCGGAAAGAAGGTTTCCTATGAATTCGCCAATCTTTAAATCTTTCTAAACATAAATATAAACAAAAAATTCTTCAAAACCTAATTTATTTAATATTTTTGTTATTATTCTTTCATCAGATAATTTGATTATATTTAAATATCTTGCCTTTCCAAGTTAAATCTTTGTTGAAAAATATCATTTCTTACTCCGTTGTGTGTTTTGTTGTTCATCAAATTATTATTAATATTATTGGTTCTTGATATTTATTGAAGAGGCAAAAGCTGAGGAAGAAGAATAACATTAAAAAAATTGAATTAAAAAATGAGTGAATTGAAACTTGTTGCCGATTTGACCAATGCAGGAAACGTAGTAAAGGAAGTGTGTATATCAACAACTCATGCAGAAGATTCCGTATGTCATATTTGGGATGTTCAAACAGGAAATATCATCAACACATTAAAAAGAACAAGAAATAATCGTGGCTGTATTAGTTTTATTCCCGAACATTTATGTTTAATATCTGCTCAATCGGATAAGAGTAGAATTTTCATTTACGATATCAGAAAGGAACAACCATTATATGAATGTCCAGTTGCTGAAAAAATCACTAGTTTAGCCACTTATGGAATTTGGTGTTTTGGTGGAGGTGAAAATGGTACTGTTTATGTTTGGAATATTCTTACAGGAAAATTATTGAGAATTTTCAATGCTCACTTGAAGACAATTACCTGTATGGATGTAAATAATGATTTCCTTGTTACTGGATCTCTTGATACACTTATTCAAGTTTGGAATTTGGCAGAGTATGTTTGTTCTTTATCTTGTTGTTAATCATCATGTATTATTTTCATTATATTTACTTCTATTCCTCATATGAATGGTATTGAATCAATAATTTAATTGTGAATGAATGAAATCATAGCTTATTGGATATTAGAAATGATGAAAGACAAGTCACTCCAATCTATTCTCTTTCAAGTCACTCATTGGCTGTTACAAGTGTTAAATTCTCATCATCTAGTCATACTAAATTAATTACCACAAGTTTGGATAGAACATGTAAAATTTGGGATATTTCATCAGGCATTGAAATTACTTCAATTGTTTACCCATCAAGTGTTTTGTGTGGAGTTTTATGTAAGAATGAACATGATTTATTTGTTGGTTGTTCCAATGGATGCATATATCAAATGAATCTCTATCCACATAAACCTCAATATTTGGATGAAAGTAATCAAGATATGTATGACGATGATGAATATGATCCATTATTGAGTGGAGCTAGAATGGTGGTCAGTGAATTGGGAGCCAGTTCAAGTGGAACAAAGAATCTTACATTGGAAAGTGATACATCGAGTGATGGTTCCTCAACAAGAGGTTCAAGATATATGTGTTATACATTTAAGGCCCACAGGTAGGTTTTCAAATTCAATTTTGGTTGAATTATCATTTAATAATTAGTAATGCTGTTACAACTTTGGAATTAACTCAAGATGGATTAATTATTGTCAGTGGTTCTAAGGATGGTAAATTAATTACTTGGGATGTTAAATCAAGACAACCTCTTGTTACTTTCAAGAAGCATTCCATTGCTGTTGATACTGAAATTTCCAACTCTGTAATTTCCACCATCAACATGACTCAATTCTCCTCATTCCACAATAATGAAAATGTCAAGCAACACTCAGATCAACAACAAAAACAAGCCAGAAATACATCATCCCTCTCTATTAAGCCATTGAAAAAGTTTGTTGATACACAAGGTCTCTTATTAGAAGTCAACTCAACCAATGACACTTGGAATACTCTCTTTGCTGATTCTGATTTTGATTTGAAACTTTCACAACATTTCAACACTCCTGAAAGCTCACTTACTTCCTCATTGGTTCATCAATCCCTCTCCAAGATTAAGTACAAACCAAAGACAGTCTCTAGAGGCATTCAAAAGAAGGAATCTTTAATGGTTAAGAAACTTGTTGCATTACAAAAGAGATTTGCTGAAACTGAACAATTGTACAATCAACAAAAGTCTATCAATGATGATCTCCTTGAAATTGTTGAAAAATATCAAATGAAGGAAGAACAAGAAGCTGCTGCTGCTGCTGCTGTTGAGGAAAAGAAAAAGACATCATCAGCCAAGAAGGCTTCTTCTGGTGGCGGTTTCTTCCATAGAAAATTCCAATAAATTCACCTTAAACTTTAGATTCAAACTTTAAATAAATCACCACAATAAATACAATTTTGTTGATACTTTATCGAGAATAGTCAGCTTTAAATCCTTAGGAAATTAATTTTGTGATACGACGCAAATTTTACCAGCGACTGCATTTTGTTTGTGATGTGTTGTTGCTCTCTGCATTTTGCTTCCGTGGCAAATAATTCAACGGACAATGGCAAAAAATCAAGCTGTCAAATGTTAAAAAATTTATTTGGTGGAGAAGCAGTAACACTTTTTTCCTTTTCCTTCAAGATATCATTGCATTTTTGTCGCAATGCACTTTGTCCATAGTAATAAACACACTCTATTTCATCATCTCATCTTATATAGTCCAATGCTGACTCTATTTTTTGGTTGTTTTACATCTTGCCGCTTGGCATAACACTTATTTTTCCGATTTCAGAAGAAAGGTGATTGGGTATCAAGTCATCAGAGTGACAGTAACATGTGTATTGCAAAATACCAGGAGCAAAAGCAAAGGCAACGGCTTTGAGTCGTATCACATTTTAATTTTCTAAAGAAATTATGGAAAAAATTTATGAATGAATTGTTTCACTTTTTAAAGATTTTTCGAGTCAATATTCCAACATGAAAATCCTTCAACAATTTCTAGTAAGGATCTTTCCTCAATTCTAAATGAATTTTCCCTGAATATTTGTAAATTGAAATTAGATGGTGAATGCAAAATATCTGAAACTCTCACTCCTAAAATATCCTTTCCAACTGCAATGAAAATGATCGAATTGATATCAGAAACTTGCTGAAGAGCTGGATATTTACAAATCATATCTAATGATTCAAGTTTTGAGAATCGAACAGGACCAGAAATAATGTTGAGTTTCGGATTTAGAAATTTTCTGTCAGCATCCCATTCGAAACCATGGACAAACTCCAACAATGAAGGTGGAATAACCAAATTCAAATCATAATATTGCTTAATATTTCCGTCAAAATTGGATCTAAAAGGAATAGTTTCCTTTATCATTGCGACTATTCGATTGTCTAGAATTCTCTTATAGGGATTTTGTGTTTTAGGGAGAGGTGGGAGAGTTCTTATAAGAATCTTTCGTATTTCATTTTTGTCCAGTTCGCAACTCTCATCATTAAGTAATTCGTCCAACGGTGATGAAGAGGAAGAAAAGTTTTCTATCGAATCGTAACTGTTAGAAATGTTTCGTTTCATATAGGAATCCTTATCAATATGACAAGAGCTTATTGAACCATTGGATGAACGATGAAGAAGTGAACCAACACTCGAAGAAGCAGATCCCAAACAAACTGCAGATGAGGTAATTGCTGGCATTTTATTGTAAATAAAGAAATGAAATTGACACTTATTGATGTGATACTTTACAGATAATGAATAATTGTTCGTGTAAAGATACATCTTACAAGTATATTTTCATTTTATTAGTTTGAGAAATGAATGTGTACTATTTTCTATCCCAGCGCTTAAAACGAAGAGCCAGATAAATGGCAATTCTCATAATAATGAGCATTCCAAAGAGAATTAGGACATTGCCCCAGATTGGAATGTGATTGCTACCTTCAAAATAATAATTGAGGGCATCTTCTCCAGATTTAAAACAAGTAGAGGAGGTAAGTGTGGCAACAGTTTGATTCCAATTCAATTCCGAACATAATTGCTCTGTATATGGCTCAATAGATATTTGAGAGCTTCCATTGATAGGGATTGAAGTTCCATTTCTGAATGAGCAAATATCAGTCATGTTAACGGTAGAGAGGATCTTATTAGTAGAAGAGCATTCAAAAGACATTCCACTCAATTCGGCTTGTGCCAAAGCATGAACTGAATATCTGAATAAACTGGTATATGAGAATGGATAAAACCATCCACCAATTTGAGTATTTCTAATAAGGAAACCGCTGAAGCTCCTAAAAGATGAAAATAGTTATTAATTTGCTTAGAAATTATTAAACTAAACTTACATCCAAATTGTAATGACAACAGAGAGAATCAAGTTGCCAACACCAACAGACTCACAAAGAGCTCCAATAAACAAACCAATTGATTCACTCAACCACTGAACAAGAATCATAATTGCACAAAAAATAAAAAAGTTGCCTGGATTGTTCTGAAAACCAACCAACCAATAGGCACAAATTAAGTTGACAATTGGGAAAATTGCTTCAACAGGAATGTGGACAATAGTGTATGATGTGTAGTATGTGAGAGTGCTGTACAGATTCGATTCTCGTTCTCTTGTGAAGAGTAATCTCTGTTGAGGGAAGGTAGAAACAACAGATGTTGCAGGAACAATAGCAAAACAAGTAACAAGGAAAAATAAGGCAGAAATTCTATCTGTAATGCCCTGTTGATCTGCACTGAGCTTAAAGTAGAGAAGTCCACAAAATAGTCCCAGAAATACTGCTTGAACAAGTTCAGAAAGGACCAACAAAGGATCTCTAAAGGTGGATCTCAGATTTCTATAGGTTAAAACGAGTAACTTTAGAAAACCTTCAATGAGGATGGATTGAATATTTCTTCTTTCATCAGAGTCTGTGAGAGGGTTATCCAACACACTACCAGTACTAGTTTGAGAGGAATTATATTTGGATTTGTAAAATGAAGAGAGCAAATCAATCCTATTCTGAATGATTTCAAGTTGTTGTTCCATTGTCTTTTCTCCATCATTATCGATACAAATTTCAATACAAGATCCACTCTTTGCAACAACAGCTTCTGAAACAGAGGAGGTCATACTTTTTTCTTGTCTCAAATATGGATCCGAGACAATGGAAATAAGAAAATCAGCTGGATTTGTGTCTTCTGGAATTGGATAATCAATCTTTTTCAAATAACTTTTAACCTGTGAAACTGGGCCACAGTAAACAAGTTTACCCTTGGCAAGAAGAATCACATTATCAAATATGCCAAATAACTCTGACGATGGTTGGTGAACGGTGGCTACAATTGTCTTGCCTTGCTCATGTGCCAATCTCTGCAACTTTTTTCCAATTTCTAAAGAAGTATACGAATCCAATCCTGAACTATATTCATCCAACAATAGTAAATCAGGATTGTTGATCAATTGAATAGAAAGAGAAGTTCTTTTTTTTTGACCTCCTGAAGCACCCTTCTTTTGTTCAGTACCAATTTTAACATTTCTATGAGGATATAATCCAATATCATTCTCAACCTGGAAGGTTCTTTCGCTACACATTTTCCAAATATCTGACAACTTGTTACCCTCCTTGTGTTTGTACTTTAACAGAGAAGATTCTAACAGGATTTCATGAATAGTGTCTGTGGATAATAAAATATCATCTTGATAGACATAGCCTCCTTGTTTGTGAAACAACTTTTTGGTTAGGGGTTGTCCTTTGAAAGTGATGGTTCCAGAACATCCCTTCCTTACACGTTTAGAAATAATGTCAAGCAAAGAGCTCTTTCCTCCTCCACTCCCCCCAATTATCATCGTTAATTGTCCAGAGGGAATGGTGCATGAAATGTCAGACAGAATTTGTTTTTTCTTTCTTTTGAATCCAATATTCTCCAAAATCAAGGCTTGAGAAGCATTCGGCAATTCATGATGAAATTGCTGGGTTAAAAAAGCATCCTCCATTGACAATGTAGTACTAGTTGAAGATTCAGCAATTTGTAAAGCTTGTTGTGTTTGAAATTCGTTCATATTTGTCATTATAATATTTTGTTATTTCTTTTTCCATTAGTAATACGAGGAGGTAGGTTTGATTTTATAGCAAACAAGGCAGCCAACCATCTCTATCGAAAATAATGCTTTGATTCCTCTTGTGATTGGTCCTCGGGTTCTGAAAAATGATTGAAGTCCAATGTCCACTCCACTGTTCATTTTCAAAAAACCACTCCAACTTGCCGCCAATTTTTAAGAATCACATGTACCTTTTTTTAATATCCATCATCAGCAAGGTCGAATTTTTCCAAATCATCATCAAATTATTTAATAGTAATTTATATTATTAAAATATTGATCCACCATTTGTAGCACATTAATTGAATATCATCAAATTTTTGTTTAATTTTGTTCTCGTGTGTTTGTCGCTGCAATTCATGAAAAAAGATTTAAGAAACTATGATCGCACCCGAGTATTTTAGTTTTGGTCATTTTTTTTTTGAAAAGAAAAAAAAGGTAAATTGAATGGCGGGTAGCTTTTTGAAATTGAAACGTAACTAATTCAGCTTCGACTAGAACAATCTAAAGACAGATATCATTGTGAATAAAAATTTAAACACAGGAGTGCGTTTGTTACTAGACAATTAAGTGTGTGTACTGTTTGAATTGAGTAAGGTGAGTGAGGTTAATGAGTGAGGTTTCAATTTCAAATCTATTCGAAATATTAAAGCTGAAAAGAGAACTGCATGTGCAACTTTGGTGAAAACCAAATTTCTTACAGCAACTATTGTACGACAATATGACTTAGTTTTAGATTCTGTTCATGTAATTATGATTCAGTATAGAATTATTGATCTTTGGGGAAATAGTCTATCATTTAACACGTGAAAAAGAGTACATCCACTTCTAAGGGTCAGTAAATATCTTTGCACCAGTCAGTCAATGCTGGATAGAATTTGGTGTTGAGGTTTGATCTGTAACCAAAGTGCAAGATTATAATTTTCTGTGGTTTTCATTGGATTCACGATCAAAAAAATGTCAACAATTCATAGAATTGGGTTGTCAACAAGGTTGTTAATGATATTGTTGATTACAATCTTGTCAATCAATTCAATTGACTCATATCAACATTACAACAATATTTCAATATATTACAGTAGTGATATTTATATAGATCCATGCAATAATAACACAACACCTTATCCATGTTTTAACAAGGTATTAATACTTGACAATTCCCAAATATCTTTCTTTCGATCACAATATCAAACTCTCTTTTTATTCAACAGTTATTTGGATTTATGTGAAATTTACACAATACAAGATACAAGTTATTGTCTTGAATGGGAAAATTACACATTCAGTCCGTCCTTTCAAGACTATTGCATGTATTGTAATAAGGTTGACAATGAGTTGAGAAGAAAACTATGGAACGATTTCCCATTCATTCATCGAAATGTAATCAACAACTCATCAATGGAATTGTGCAAAAGTGAGAGAGCTACACCAGTGCTGACGAGTTTTATTGGTGCTAACTTTACAATTCCAGATATTTTGTGTTATTGTGAAAAGGATCAGTTTTGGGCGAGTGATTGTAATCAAGTGCATTCGTATAGAACTTTCTATGCTTTTCAGTATTTGATTGAGATATTTTCGTTCATTGTGTCGACTGTGTCGATTATTGTGTTATTAATACCAACAGTGTTGCATTTGAGAATATTTAAATGGGTGAGAGTGCACATTAAGAAATTTAATACCAAAATTAGAATTTTGTGGAATGGAAATGGAAATAATGAAGTGGGATTTTTAAATGATGATGAAATTTATTTGAAAAACCATTTGATTTGGTTCAATGTCAAGCATTTAGTATTATTTTTTAAAATAATAATTCCAATTACCATTTTAGTATATTCTATAGTTAGAACAGTTATTTTATTTGGATTTAAGGAATATTTTTCTGTAAGATATGTACAAGCAGTTGTATATTATATTACTTTATTATGTTTATTTACAATAACTATTATTTGGATGAATTTTGTTTTGAAAGAAAAGAAAAAACAAGAAAATGATAATTTGTTAATTTATTTAAGAATTGTTTTTGTGATTGGAATTGTATTACTATTGAGTGTTGCTATTGCATTCACTGCTTTATCCCTTTCAGGAGAATCTATGGGAAGTGGAATTTTATTGATAATTCTAGTTTCCATTTTTATAACTTTGAGCATCTTACTTACTATATTTGGGTTAAAATTATTTATTGATTTAACAAGAAGCAAAACGATTAAAGACCGAGCATCCTCGTTCAAATCATTGAAATTCACCAAATTTATACTTCTCATTAACATTTCCTTTATCGTTTTGTGTTGTTTCTTTTTGGCATTTGCTGTAGAGAACTTGACACAAGGTAGTTTTGAGAGAGGAACTGAATCACCAATGATATTTATTGTAATCATGGAGCCAATAGTCGAAATATTAATCATTTGGTTGTTATTGTTATTGACCTTTTACATGTCAAGTGTAAAATCAGTTTTAGATATTTATGAGTTTGTGTATTGGCCATTAAGAAGTTTAACTTGTAATTGTTTTGGAATAAGTTTGGAAAATTAATAAACTACTGTGGAGTGTTCATTCTAAGCAAGTTTTCTAAATATCATAATATACATATTTATTTAAATTGGAAACTACAAACCCTCGTATTCCTTTACTCACTGATAGCAATATATCTATCTCCCATATCATCACCATCCTCATCATCCTCATCATTAACTTGCACATCCCACTCATTATCAGCTGGTTGTGTATCTACAATAATTGGAAGTTCCAACAATCTGTTTCTCATAGATTTGCTAAGATAACAACGATTCATATCTAGAACCTCAAGTCCCATAAAATCTGTTGTCAAACCTCCTTCTAACTTGTCAATAAATTTTGAAACTCCCTTATCTGATAATGTTCCTAAGGAAATATCAATAATTTTCACTCTCTTTGAAATTGAGCTATCGAAAATATCACCACAAATCTTATCAATAGACTCATAGTTTCTCAAACCCAAATATTCCAATGATGGGAAGATGCCATTCTCTTTTGGACTTAATAATTTTTCCTTTAGGAGTTCTGGTTGAAAGTCAGCTCCTTGATTGCTTGTTCCCAAGAAAAGCTCTAAGTGTGCTAATTTTGGCAAATAAGCTGTGAATAAATTACGTAAGAAAACCTCACTCAATCCTGCGGAAATAAAAGTGATTGATCTCAAATTGTGATGAGAGAAATTGGCAGAGAGAGCAAGTTGGATTGACCCTTTTGACATCCAAAAATTTAATTTTGGCATGGCATTCAAAACTGGTGTAATATCATCAATGCAAATCCAAGAGACTTCAGCATCACTTTGATCGATATCTAAATAGTAGATACTTTTGATATTATTCAAAATTTCACTATTTTTGACGATCCAGTTTGAATATGTCTTTGGAGGAGTATCCATTGAATCTTCAGTATAACGACCAAAGTTGATTTCATCAAAGCTTTCAATATGTTGCTTGAGTAATCTCAATTGCTTTTTAAGGCCTCCCTTAAATGTTGGACCATTATTTTCTCCAGCATTGTCTTCATCAAAAGAATGACTGAAATTTTCACCATTCGTAATCTTGGCAGTTCTTAATGAGGAAAGTAAATTTTGATCGTAGGCATATCTAAACTTGATTGATTCCAATAAACTCAAGGTAGATGTGAATTCTTCCTTCTTTGCATTAGGATAGAATTGGAGAGCCTTTTCAACAGAAATTGATTTTCTGTTAACCATTTCCTTAAACTTTTCAAAATTTAAGGAGTATCTCTGTAATTTGTCTTCACTAATATTCACAGCAACATTTGCTTCCTGTTGTTGTTCTCCTTCAGTTGGCACATCGACAGGTCTATTATCTGAGTATTGCTCATCATGGAGAAGAGAAAAGAATTTGTATGGTTCTGACACTTTTCTTGTTGATCTAATGTAATTATTCATTGTTTGAATGAGGAAAGTAATGGTTGACTCATTATTTTCATTAGTAATCATATCATTGAAACGTTTACAAACTCTTGACAAGAGTAATAGTTCATCAATGGTTACATATTTGAAAATTGAAAATAACAAATCATCTAAAAGAGGAAAATTGGTAAATTTAACAATATTCACCACCTCACTCTCATCAATTTTTCTCTTTTTAGCGAGAGGTTGAAAGTCTAAATCATCTTGACCATCATCAGCTTCATCGTCATCATCTTCTTCTTCCTCTTCTTCATCTTCATTATCAAATGAATACTTGGTAGCAGGTTGAAGCTCACCCAATTTAACAGAATCCCAAATAAAATCCTCCTTCACAATGATTTTCTCCTTTTCCTTAGCGGCTGAAACTTTTGTTGTTTCCTCCTCAAATTCCTTTTCTATCAACACATCATATCACCATAATCATCATCAAAATATTATCAAATTATTAATAAATTGTTATCATTATAGTGCGCATCATGGATCAAAGTATTATTATTCAATTAATTATCATCATCATCAATAAATTACCTGTTGTAATCAAGTGAGTGACTGCCTTGGTAATGGAAGCAGCAGTTTTACCACCATACTTTTTAATTTCATTTTCAACTTCTTTCCGTCCCTTGCTTAGGGTACCAGAGATGCAAAATACCAATGAATTGAAAAGTTTCTTGTTGGACATTTTTTTGTTTCTTTCTAATTAGAAAGCTCTTCTCAGATTATCTTTGCATGGAAGGGTATAATAATAATTGTAAATTCGGAGATTGGTTCCTCCACCAATTTCTGGAAAAAAATTTGGCGCCATAAATTCTATTGGCCAATTCAACGGAGTTAATGAAGCAATCCTTACTAAACCAGATTCAAATTATTGAACTTTAGAGTCCAATACCACTCAACATTCGAAAGAACTTACAAAGTTTCAAAAAGAAGCAGAAAAAAATGCTGAATGTTCTTCCTCCCGAAAACATTCATCAAATTTTCAGCTATTTAGATTATTTTCATGATGTTTTTCGGCATCGAAAATTAGCAGTCCCCGATTTTAATATTATTCACGAATGGACCACTGATGATTTTAGTGCTACAATGGATTTGGAATATTCGGAAGACTTGTTAGATAACAACACTTCATGGGAACCTCTCTTTCTTACATGTAAATCATTTTATGAAGCCTTTGAACTGTTTCAGCCTTCAGAAATTAAAATACAAATGGTGAATGGAGAGAAAAAGAATTGGGCAAGATTTTCAATTGATAGGGATTATTTGCAACTAGTGCGGAGTCTTAAAATAATTCCTATTCATGATAACAAGCAGTGCACAGAGGTGTGAGATTACAAGATAGGAATTATGTGGAGAAGGCATTGGAAAGGATTATGAAAAGGTATGAAAATGTATTTGATCGAGTTGAATATGTCAACTGTTTTGCACCTTTGGGGAGGAATTATTGGACTAAGAGTGGAGTGAATTATAATTTGAAAAAGATTTTTAGAAATGTGAAATATCTAGTTTCAAATTATAGTTTAGCCCAAACTACTATCTCAAGTTTTCTTAATAGATCATTTTTTATTGAAACTGATCATATTGAACTCAATCACTACAATTCTATTTATTACACAGAGGAAAGGGAAATTGAGCATTTGAGTTTGGCTCAAAAATACCTTGGTAAACGATCATTTCACATAGAGATATTTCTTGCCAATTCAATATTTTATGAACGTTTTGATACTTGTAAATATATTATCAAAAATTTCAATATTGACATTGGATACTTTCAACATTTTTGGAATACTGTCTTTTCGAGCTTTATCAATATTCATGACAAGCATTTAGATATTTTACGTTTAATTTATATGAAATACAGATCATTTAGGATTTTTATTGCAAACATGAACAGCTTGAAACAGTTGAAAATGCTTGAAAAACATCAATTTATTAACTTTGATCTAAAAAGATGTTTGAACATTAGTTTAATCAAAGATTTATACTCTAGTGATATTGTTATGTCAAAATTCAGCAAAAAGTACAACATTAATTTTAACAAAATTGGAAAGTATGGTTTTTCATTGTTGAGCTTGGATGGAATTGACAGTTTTTATTCTTGTAAATGGGGCAGTCCTGATGTTTTTGGTGTGACACCTTTTATGCACAACTTTACCAAAGATATTTCACAAACTGTACAGCACATTATGATGAAGGATAATTTTGGAAATAATTTTTTACACTACTTGTTTTCGAATGATCAAAACAGAGGTCGATCTTATTTAGTAACATATTCGGACATTCGATTTGCTAAAAAAATTCCTAAAGACGTGTTACTTAAATTGGAACAAGAAGAGAATGATACAGGATTCACACCAGCAGAAATAGGTATTGCCAATGGGTGGAATATGTTCCAGTTTCAACCTTTACCCTCAAAAATATTCCGTTACAAAAGAATTGAAATGTTAAATGATAAGTTATCTCGTCCATTTGCACTATTAGATGGACTTGAGGTGAATATGGCTATACTAATGGCTGTAGGTTCTGGAAACAAACATCCACATTTGGATTATACTATATATCAGGATATCAATTATAGAGATGTAAATGGAAAGCACTTAATTCATTATTTTACTGAGTATGATACCAGTAAAATCTACAATGCCACACAAATTAGATCATGTCAGCAAATATTACAGACACCAGACCAAAATGGAACCATTCTGTTGCAGACATGCAATAATTGGTATGATCATTTATTATATGCAACTACTTGCTATTGGAAAGGTTCTCCTACTATCAACATTTCTGGTTACTTTGATAATTTAGGATTTAACAGGATTATGTATGGCATGTTAAAATTCACTTCTACTACTTTCAAATATCTCATTTCAGAATCTATTGTACTTGGATTTGATTACTCTAATGAAAATTATCCAAGACTATTCCATATTACCTTTCAAAATAAGGATGATAATATTCACTTTGAAATTGACAGTGGATTAATTCCAAGAATAACAGGAGGTTTTCAATGGTATGACGGAGAGGAAGGAGATGAATTTTCACACTTTGTAATCAGATTGTGTATTCAACAATTCTTGAAAGACAACCATTATGCCTTTCAGTCGGTGGTCAGTTGCTTGGTTGCAAGAGGATTGAAATTTGATGTTGTGAAAAATTCCAGAGGAAAGACAGCACTTGATTTACTGAACGAATTTAAAGAAAATAATCCTTCAATTGACTTGGGAAGTATTTGCAAACAGGTAACCAAAGGATCCACTAAAAAATCACAAGCGCTGGTTGAGTTTAAAATCAAACATACCAAATGCCCAGAGGAGGTAATTATTTCCCAAACAAATACTTCATTAGTGGTGAAGAATAGTTTTCTTTTATATTACCACGTTTCTATCAAAAGGAGTCTTTACTTTGCACAAAAAGAAATGAGCACCGATAACAAAGGAATGATTTCTCAATAATTTCTACTGAATAGATTATCAACACCTATGTCCTCCAAAAAACAAAGCAAAATCGTTATTGTAAATCAAATATCCTGTGCAACCACTGAATGTCAGAGAAGCTGTAAATCTAATTCTACCCATCATTTTTTCATTTTTCATTAAGGAAAGTAACTGCTTGAGGCATCCCCAAGCAATTCTCAATCTTCTTGGTCTTTCATACGAACAAAGCCATACTTGTGGTGGTTTGAACTGTATTTTCCATTGGTCATACATGTATGGTAAATAATTGCAACTGGTTGGTTGACTATCAACACATTTACCAATAATTTCCAATATCTGCTCATCATTGTCATTATTAAAAGCGTCATTCAGTGCATTGACAGTTTGAGGTTCATCCACCAGATAATTCCAACAAGATCCTATTGTAAAATATCCTGAACAATTCATTGCAGAGGTAGAATCATCCAATAATTGTGAGATCATTAACTTTTCATAAGTATTCGTATAGAAATAGTGAAGCATCTTTTTCCAGTTAATTTTAGGATTCGTCCTGTAGAATTCATCCAACACTCCAACCATCCACTCATTCCCACTTCCCAATTTTCTATATTTGGACTTGCAATTTTTAGGTAATCTCTCAATTAGCTTTTCCCAAACATTTTTCCTCACACAAACCACCTCCTCATCAATTTGTGTACTTGTGAAATGGTGATAATAGTAATTCAAGTCTTTCCAATTTAAATTTAAATGAAATTCTTTAAATTTTAAAAACCAAAAGTAACAAGAAAGAAGCAACGAATCGGAAGGATTTGCAATTATCACTTGACCATGATTTCTCGATATTTCCTGATGATGAAACAATATGGAGCCAAATTGACGACAAACTAAGCCAATGGGTAAAAGTTTTTTAATGGGAATAAATTTGAATATTTCCACAAGCAAGTAATCATCATGGAGTAGCAGTTGAGACATTTTTTGGGATCTTTCCACAACCTCCTTCAAACTGGAATAGCTGTCAAAAGTTAAAAAAGTGGTAGATATTTAACAGTTCACAGATTTATTGTGTGTTATGAGGAAGAAGTGCTGTTTGTAGTGTTGGAAGAAGTAGTTACTACAGTGAATGTATCGACAGATTCAAAAGTTGTTTGAGAAACTTTCACAGAAATTGTTCCACTTGTGGCCAAAGGTGGAACCTTAACTAATAATACTGTGCTATTGGCAGACGAAACTGTAGCAGAAACTCCATTAAACTTGACAATGTTATAAGTTGTTTGAGTAGAATTGAATCCACTTCCATAAATAACAACTGTAGAGTTGACACTTCCACTTGAAGGTGAAAAACTTTCAATTTTCAATTGACTGGATGTGTAAAATTTAACATAGAGACCAAAAGCAATGGCAACACCAATAAGGAGAACAATGGCAGCCAAGCAGCAGATGGTAGACACAACAGAACAAGATTTAGACGACATTTTTTGAATTATTAAAGTGAAAGAGTTTCGTATCGGCTTTTAATACTTGTTGGTAACAGTTCTGAGGGAGGAACACAAATATTGATGTTTGTTTCTAATAGACTTGTTCCAAACAATGTTTTAAATGTCCTCTTCCTTAATGAACTGTTTTCCGTTGCAGAACACATCTAAAAATGGATAAGTATCTCCGTAAAAGAATGCCTCCCTTGGGAATCGAACCCAAGACCTCTGTCTTACTAGGACAGCGCTACTGCCAACTGAGCTAGGAAGGCTTACGCTTCACAATGAAAAAGTTCTTAATGTATGTGTAACTCCAACCCAAATACTTTTGTTTAATAATCCTCGTCCGTCCTATTGTTCTCTACTCTTTGTGCACATCTTAGTTTGGCACTTCTACTCCTCACATTGAATTCAACTTCTGCATCATCAGGTATGATTGTTCCTTTTGTAATCTTTTTAAAGGAATCTTGGTTCTCTTTCATGAAATCTTTTGTAATACGATCTTCTAATGAATGATAGCTCACCACAACCAATCTTCCTGTTCCAATCTTTAAAATATCTTTGGATGCATAGAGAGCATTCTGTAAAGCACTCAACTCATCATTCACAAAAATTCTAATAGCTTGGAATGTCTTTGTGGCAGGGTGAATTCTCTTCTTTTTTCTTTCATGGAATGGTGTTATTTTTTCAATTAAATTTGCCAATTCAAGGGTGGTCTCAAAAGGTTTTACATTATTTCTATAATCTACGATAGCTTTAGCAATACGATATGCCTTGTCATCCTCTCCAAATTTTGTAATCATTATTCTCAAATCGAGTTCACTCATATTATTCACTACATCTCTAGCTGTTGGACATTCATCATCCAATGGGTTCATTCTCATATCTTGAATTAAGGTTTTAGTTAGAATCAACATATCAAAACATACCAAGTGGACCTTCTCTAAGGAAGGAGAAACCTCGATGCCCTTGATCCAATTGCATTGAAGAAACTCCCAAATCAAACACTATTCCATCAATCACATTACTTGTATCTGATTTTAATTGTGGCACTATTTTTTCCTGAACCACTTTCTTAATTTCTCTAAAATTGACACAATGCACTTCCAATCTCTCCTTTCCAAATTCTTCATGTATCAACTTTTCATTCTCCTTAATGGTAGGATTATTGTAATAATCAGTATCAATTCCAATAACTTTACATCCTGGATAAGCTCTCAAAATCTCTCTCGTGTATCCACCAGCTCCAAAAGTTGCATCAATGAATAGCTTTTTCCCTCCACTGCTACTACTACTTGCACTACGGTTAGTGATCATCTTTTTAGAATGCTTTGATTTATCCAAATTCTTTCCCTCCAGAAGAGCACAACACTGCCTAACCAATACAGGCACATGGCTCTTATAATTAGAATCATCACTTTTATAATTTTCCAAAATATTATTATTATTATTTGTATCATTATTAGTATTTCCATTAAATTCCAATGAGTCTTCGGAAGAATTTACTGATTTTATCTTCTTGTTCATTAACTTCTTAGAATAGGAACAATAATTTACAGCAGGAGACTTTCGGATCATCATTAAAGAAAATGATGCCACCACCGAACAATAATAATTTAAAACTCCCTTCCTAGCACCCTCGCCACCAATCATCATCATCGTTGATGAAAACATTTTTTTAATTTGTATTATTTTCTCAAATTACTACTTATTAATTACTTGAATAATTCCACAAATTCATTCTTTCCATTGTTCTCTTGTTTGTCTACCACAGCCATTGACAATTCTTAATAGGATATTTGAAGAAGTACTTCTTAGACAAAGAAAGACCTTTTGTTTATATGAAAGCAAAAACATCCAACCAGCTCCGTGAAGTTGTTGGCCTTCAACAATCTCATTTGGTACCCATCCAAATGTAAAATGGTTTCTGTTTCTACTTTGACACAACCACCTTCATGTGCTCAAAAGACCTTTCAACTGTCAGCAAAGAAGAAAAAAATTAACGACACATCTTATTACCTCGGACAACAACAATAGCACATCAATAAGAATGCCAACATTTGTTCGTCGTCTGGTCAGTAAAAACAAGAAGAGACTCCAGGAGGATAATTTTGATCTCGATCTTAGTGAGTATTATTATTCATATATTCGAATAATGGATTATTTTAACTGTTTTTGTTGTTATTGATGAATAATATTAATATTCAGCCTATATTACCGATAATGTTATTGCTATGGTATGTGATCAATTGGTTCTTTTTCTAATTTTCATTTCTTTTCGATTGTTCTAAACCTTTCGAATGTGTTGTCAATCAATCGTTAATATTTTTGAACTTTGAATTATAATCATCTCTTTACTGCTTGCTAATAACAATTATTCATCATGATGTTTGATTTTACTTTCTCAACATTATTCTCATCACAAAATAATACATCATATTCGAAACCTTTCAAATAGGGTTTTCCAAGTGAAGGAGTAGAATCAATCTATAGAAATCCACGTGATGAAGTTGTTGATTTTCTCTCTACAAAACACGGAAACAAATATAAGGTTTATAATTTGTGTTCCGAAAGAGATTACAATGATGAAATATTCGAAGGGAGAGTGGGTATGTATAATATTGTGAAATTCAATGTTTTTTGATCTTTTTTAGCTCGTTTCCCATTTGATGATCACCAATCTCCATTATTTGATTCGGTTTTGGAATTTTGTGTCGATGTTCATGAATTTTTGAAGGATGGAAAGAATAATGCTGCTGTTGTTCACTGTAAGGCAGGAAAGGGAAGGTATGTAACTGTTTCTATTATATCTTGGAGAGTTCTAAATAACTTGTGTGTTCGTGATTACTATGTGGACTTGGTATCTGATACATATTTGTGGTGTGGTGGAATATTAATCTGAATTTTTTGATATCATGAACAATAGAACTGGAGTAATGATTTGTTGTTATTTATTATTCAGTCAAACTTGTAAGACAGCTCTTGATTCTTTGCATTTCTATGGTGATAAGAGAACTAAGGATGCAAAAGGTGTGACTATTCCATCTCAGAGAAGATATTGCTACTATTTTGAACAATATTTGAGAAATCAATTTGCATTGAGAGGATCTGTTAAATTACATCGTGTTACATTGAGAGAATACACAAAATCCAAGTATTACATTACAATTAAGAATTTAAAGAGAGAGGAAGTTTTCAGTTCAAAACAAGATCAAAATGTAACTTCAAGTGATGATAGAGTTGTTATTGATCTTAAGGAACCAATTGAATTAACTGGTGATTTCAAGGTTGTTTGTGTAAAGAATGGAGTGAATGTATTGAAATCTAATAATTTGTTACACTGTTGGTTGAATACAAGATTTATTACAAACTTGGTCAAGAATACAAGTCCTGGAAATGGTATGGGTGTAAATGCTTATCATAATTCCCTCGATGAAAAGATTCCACTCGTGAAAGCTATCAGTTTGGGATTACATGCCAAGGCAGAAGAAAAAATTGCACCAGAAAATGATGAACGACTTAAGAATGGTAAATTTGTAACAGTTTCATTGACAAAGGATGAATTGGATGGACCACATTCTGACAAAAACCACAAAACATTCTCTGAAGATTTCCAAGTTGACTTGACTTTTGAAATTTGTAACACTGATAAGGTTGAAGATGATTCCTACTTGCTAGGATTAATACCAAAAGAGTTCTTAACAGACCAATCAAAGAGACTTTCAGTTGGTGCCTCAACAAGAAGACAATCAGCAGTAACCAGAGGTTTAATCATTGACAGTCATGATGATGATTCTGTCGATATTATTGATGAAACTGCAACTACACCTCCAAGCACTTCATCCTCAGTGGTTGTGTCTAATGAGCAACAAACTCAAAATGAATCACAACAGCAACAGGGCACACTTTTCCAATAATCATCTTCCTCCTCTTCTGTTTATCAAACAACACACTTATTTTTTGTAAAGTACTTGAAATTTTGTTTGCCAATGTCTGGTAGAACAAAATGGCGCCATTTTGACCAACAATTTAAAATATTTTCGTTTTAAAAAAATAAAAAAAAAACGAACGGCTTTGCTCGTCTCATCCACACAACAAAATGCCCAAAGAACCATCACATAGTCTAGTAGTATCGGATGCCAAGTTAAACGAGCTATTAAACGATACGGTGTTTGTGGGTTCTGATCGTGAAGCTCAAAAGAATAGAATCAAGAATGGAGGTAGGTTCTTTCTATTAGTATTTTCGGAAAATATAATCAACTTGTTTTAAAAGATTTTAATTACTTTAAAGTGGACCAACTTAAAGCAATGATCAAGTTTTTGAGAACAGAATGTAATCGTTACGATTTATCACTTCAAGGAAAAAAAGCCAACCTTGTAGATAAACTAAAGGATGCCTTCTTCAATTCTTCACCTTCGGGGGGTAGTGGTAGCAGTGGCTCTGGATCATCATCTGGATCTTCTAAACAAACAGCCAAAAGGACGTCATTCACCACAATATCCAATGCTATCAAATTACAATCAGCCACTGATGAAGAACAGAGACTTTTAAGAGAATTTAATTTGGACAAAACATTGAAAGGAAGAATAGATCCGCACCAACAGGTAGAGCAATACTTGTATGTCAAAGTTTTCCATCAGGGGTTAGCATCATTCTCATTTGATTTGGATTTATCTGAAGAGGAATTTCAAAAGTTGACGTCACAAAATTATCAAATTAATATCCACTATTTTACTCACGATATGGTACCTAGAAACTGGAATAATGAACACCCAATTTTCTTTAATGGACACAAGTTGGATAACCCTGCCTTGAACAGAAAAATAGCTAAAGGAATGAAAAAGGAAGTACTGATTGTGTCTACTCCTTTTGTTATTAAAGGAGAGTACGCAAAAGTAGGTGTAAATCGAGTAGACATCAAGGCTGGCCCTTATAGTACTATGGATGGAAGACTAGTTGTAAATTTTTTGAAAATGCAAAAGAGTGAGGAGTTGGTTCAATCAATAGTATCTAAATCAACTGTAAAACATAACCTAGATTTGGACAATGAAAAAGTCTTGGATATTCTATTGGAAAACAAGATAAAGTATGTACCAGTAACATCAACAAATGAGTCAATAATAACCTTTGATGACACCAGTTCAAAGACAATAACACCAATAACAGAGCAAGAGAAAAAGAGTATTGAGACACTGTTAAAAATTGTGGGAACAGAGACACCAATAAGCAAGCACGACGATATGATTGATGAATTGGAAGGATGTGATGAAATAGTACCACTCAAAGACCCTCTTTCACTTTGCAGAATAGAGCTTCCAGCAAAAGGAAAATTTTGTGTGCACAAATCTTGTTTTGATTTGGTTGGATATTTGGATTTTGGAGCGAGTTCGAAAACTTATAATTGCCCAAGATGTGATAAGCCTCTTCCTTTCGATCAGCTTATTATTGATCCTTTAATGCAAAAAATATTGTCGAGTGTCAGTCAAGATGTGGACAAAGTTCTTGTGAGGCATGATGGTAGTTTTACAGTTTGTGACGATGCTCCAAAGAAGAAAATTGCAACACCAGCTAAACCACCAATAATAGCTGACATTATTGATGATGATGATGAAGATGATGTCATTCCTCATAGCGCTTCTCCACCATTCATGATTAGTACTCCTCCACCTCCAAATTCTATATTGGCAACAAATACAGCCTCAACTCCTCAAACTCTTTATCCACCTGTTTCTCTTGCTGATCTTTCCAGGTTTTTCTCTCCTTCCCTTACCCCTACAAGCAACTCACGTCCAAGTTTAACACCAAGTACACCAACACTCCAAAAAGGTACTCCTACTACTACTAGCAACCCATCTTCAAACACGAATGTCAATAGTTATGGTCTATCTGTTGATGATGCTATAGAGATTGATTAGAGGAATTTTATCATTATTGAACTGTTTAAATATTGGTAGTGATAATAGTAATTCCAAAATATGATTCCCTTAAACGAAGGATTGGATCCTTATTAATGGTACCATTACTAGTCGATTAAAAAAACTTCACAGGTTTGAATAATAATATGGATTATCCATCTTATTTCCTTATTCAATAACGTAATCCACTTGTCAAAATAGTTGTACAGCTTTCATAAAGTTTTTTGCCCGCTAAATGTGCTCACCCAATGAAAAGCTTTGATGAACAGTCATGGACAACCAATTCTTTCCAACGATTAATAATCCCTCAATCTTTCAATTTGATCGAACCAATATTCAACTAATAATAACATTGTACACGTAAGCAATATTATCAGAAAGTGAGCGTATTAATCATAATTGTCCTCATCCTCTTACAGGGTCAAAAGTCAATAATCAACAACCAACACATTCCACTACCATTAAATGTAAAACAAAGTTATTATGAAATTAAACTATCAATGAATTACCAAACCACCAAATTCTGTTGAGATTTTGCTCCACGCTCTCCTTTGTTGGGTGCCTCCCAGGTTTGCAAGATCAATTTCATCACCCAAACAAATAACACCAACGAAAAAAATACAACACGATTATTGTGTAAATTTTTGATTACCACCCATTCTATCATCACACACAAACCGAAAAATTCAATGTCCTCTCCAGCCGAATACACTCCAACTGAATCTGAAAAGAAGTTCTTGGAGGATCAAACCGATGTTGAAACATACAAAACACAAGAAGGAACTTATAGCGATGATCCAGAGGATGAATACTTGAAAGTTAAGGACAGGGATGATTCCTACAATTTGATTTATGAATTTTTAAAACAATTAACTCCTCAAACTGAGTTGTGGAGAATTTCCGTTCCAACCTACATTTTGCAACCACTCTCTCTTCTTGAGAAAATTTCTCACTACTCTTCTCCTAATAATACTATTGAAAAGATTAATGAAGAAGAATCAGCTGAAAAGAGATTTATTTCTATTTTGGCTTGGGTTATCAGTAATTGGAGAACCATCCCAAGAGCCGGTATGCAACAAAGTAAGCCATTCAATCCAGTTTTGGGTGAAATTTTCAAGTGTGAATGGAATCACGGTGCTGCAGATGATAATACCAAGTTCTTGGGAGAACAAGTTTCTCACCATCCACCTGTTTCTGCATTCTGTTGTCACAATGAAAAGCGTCAATTCACATATACTGGTTATGTTTTCCCAGTTACTTCATTCTCATGGAACTCTGTAACAACCTTGATGGACGGTGAATTCAAGATTGATCTTGGTAAATTCAATGAAGAATATATTGTTAACCATCCTCCAGTCAGTGTTAGTAACGTTTTGTGGGGAAATACTGTTATTGAAATTTATGATTATCTCAAAATTAAATGTCCACAAAGCGGATTCTATGCTGATATCTACTTTGATTACGGAAAGGATAACTACTTGAGTGGATACATTTATGATGCTGAAGGATACAAGAAGCATTGGATTGAAGGAAAGGTTAATCAATCTGTTCAAATTCAAAATTACTCAACAAGTGAAAAGTCAACCTTGTATGATGTTGCTACATTGACTCGTCCAACTAAGATTATTAAGCCTGTTGCTGAACAAGAACCAAGAGAATCAAGAAGAAATTGGCACAAGGCAGTTCATGCTTTGAAGAATGAAAAATTCGAAGATGCTCAACTTGAAAAGCACATTGTTGAAGAAAGAGAAAGAGCTTTCAGAAAGGAAAGAGCTGAAGCTGGTTTAACTTGGACACCAAAATATTTCAAATTGGAAGGTGAAAAGAAATGGGTTATCAAGGATAAGAATGTATTGACACAATAATTTTATCAATGCAAATTGTACAAATAATTTGTATCACATTTTCAAAATGTAAAATAGTAATTATAATTTACAGAAATAAATATAATTCGTTGTGAATTATTTAATAGAAGCAAGTTGATCTCTAATCTTTGATAGACCTTTAAGCATTGTAGATAAAGTTTCCTTATCCATTTCAAAATTAACTTGTTCAGTCTTTGGCATGACACCAACAACTTTGGATGGATTTTGTACATTCAATTGGATAACAACACTTGGAGCAGACATTTTTTGGATTACATTTGATGCAGTGCTCAGATCTACTCTCCATTTCATATCTACTAATTTTGGTAAACCAATTTGTGTATTAATTGCTTGTTCCTTCCAAACATCATAAAATTTGAGAATTGTTCCTGCAACTAATTTCTTTAAATTATCGTGTGATGTGAATGAAGTATCATTATCTGTAAATAATTCTGATGTCAAAATTGCTTCAGGAGTATTTAATTGATGATATACACAATATTGAATAACATGAAGAACTGTGGATAATAATTCCTCAATCACATCATGATAATTAACTTGTTGATTTTGCTGTAATTGTTCCGCAACCGATTCCACAAAATCAGAATTAAATCCGTCAAATCTAGTTTGATAAACTCTAACAAAAACCTGTTCCACAAAAACCTTTGATGGAGCTTGCAATAATAATAACAATGGTGTGAGTTTGATGGTTCTTGTATTGTTGAAATGTCTCATTTTTTTAATAAAGATTTTTTCGGATCAAGAAATATTTATTTATTAATTAATTTCTAGTAGAAATTGAGTTAATCTTTTTAATATTGGCCAATTGAATTAGTCAAATATTTTCAAACATTTATTACAAACATAATTGAGAATTATCAATTTGATAATAAATTAATATTTGATAATCAATTATGTAAAAGTATTCTTAATAAATTAATTTATTTTCTAATCACAATTTACATTTCTCTTTTGATAACATCTTCTTCAAAATCTATCAAAAATACAGTATAATCCTTGTTTTCAGTCATGGCAACTCTTACTTCAGCTCTCTAATTGATCCACACCACAATTGATAAGAATTGAAATATTGAAATGAGTACTTACAAAATCAGCTGCATTCAAAGCCCCTTTAATGATACCTGCACTGAAATAGGCACATTGCACATTCATATCTCTTGGTGGAGAAATGAATTTAGTTTCTAATGGTTCCTTCTCATAGATCATGTCTGTAATTATTAAATAATATTAAACTATTAAAATAATCCAAAATATTCAACACCTACATCTTGTAATAATCTTATTTTCTCCTGGAATAGCAGCAGCTTTTTCAATTGTTGTAACAATTCTTCCAAAAAGACATTTCCACATTGTATTTCCAATAAATCCCAACATGTTTGGTACTTTAATTTCTCTCTTTGAATTTTTATCTCTCAAAACACATAATTCAAGTAATCTTTGTCCGATCGGCATTCCTAATTGTAATAATCTTCATCAATACACAAAATCATTAAATTTTTAAATTCCAATCATCCCCTCACTATCAACCTACTTTTCATGCAATTCATTTACATCATTTACTCTTGATTGGCAATATTGTACAACTTCCGCAAACAGGAAAGAAAAGGCAGGCTCGCTCACCTCCTTTTTCTGTCTAATTAAATTTTGATCAAGAATATTTGGAGCATAATCTTTCTGTGGATAGGTTGGTGAATTTACAGTTGGTGAATTAACGATCGGGCTATTGGCAGGAAATGATTGTGTTGCCGTCCCGAAATTTGTTGTTGGTGTTTGACTATTCGATGGTAACATTTTTTTTTAAAATTAAAAAAAAATTTGAAAAATTAGAAATTTTGAAATATAATATAATAAATAATTATTGTAGAGACATCTATTTTGAGAATGGAATTTGATTCAGTGCAAGATAATGCATCTATGGAGCTGCATTCTTATTAACAGAGATACAAATTGGACAATATTCAAAGAGAAATGGCTTTTCGAAAAGAATGCTACTAAGGACTGGCAACTCTTTCCTTATGAAATCTTTTTTTCTCATTCTCAACCACCTAATATCAACCCAAACCATCAAACGTTACGAATCATCCATTCAAAAAAACAAATTTATCCACACACACAAATTCAAATCAAAAAAAACCGCTACATTTTTACGCTTTCTTTTGATGCATTTTTGTGTTCGACTTGTTGCTCCGTAAATCAACCAACACACACACACATATACACAGGATGAAGATTACCATCACCCGATATTCAATCTCAAAGAAGGAGAATGAGAATGATAAGCAATATGTGGTAGGTTTTTATATTTTTCCAATGGAATCCGATGATGATGACGATTTGTTGTGGTATTTGTTGATTTTTTAGTTGTATCATATTACTGTAAATTATGATGGAGTTATTTGGGAAATTGCGAGAAGGTATTCCGAATTTGAAAAGTTATATATTGCCTTGTCGAAAGTGATTAATACTAAAAAGTTTGGCAAATTTCCAAAGAAGGTGAGTTGCAGAGGAGTTTAATTGGAATTTCTGATAATTGTCATGTTTAGTATTTGACTGGAAATATGAAACAGGATAAGATTTTGGAACGTCAGAATGATTTGCAAAATTATTTGGATAATTTATTGAGTGAACCTCTTGTTCCTAATTTGCAGGAAGTTTTGGAATTCTTTGAGGTCAATAAGCATTGGGAAGAAATTAAGAATTTTGCAGCTCTTGCCTCTACTTCTAGTAGTTCAAATATTGCCCCACCTGTGGTTTATAACATTGATAATAATAATAATTTGAAAATCACAATTGACCATAATTTAGAACATTTAGTTTATAATGTTATTGATTCACCAACTGTTGCTTATCAAGAAACCGATTTTGATGAAGCTCCTCCAGTTGTTGTTGGTCAACCATCGAGACAGAGTGTTGAATCGAGACCATCTACTGAAAAATCAGAATCATCCCTTCAGGAATTTAACACACAATCTCTATTTGTAGCCATTCGTGATCACAATCCAAAAGATGAAACTGAATTGTCTTTCAAAGCGGGAGATGTCATTGAAGTGATTCAGAGAGGATCTTGTTCTTGTTCGGAACAAGATTGTTACTGGTATGGAAGAAATACAAGTGAAACAGGTTCACAACAAGGGTTCTTTGATGCCAGATGTTTGGATTTGGGCACTTTTAAACCAAAAGCATTCTCTGTTTTAATGACTGATGCTTACAATTCTGATGAGTCGATACAAATTGATGGAACAATCAAGGTTATTGAAATTGACTATGAAGCTGAACGTGAGGATGAAATTAGTGTAAGAAGAGGACAAACTGTTAAAATCCTTCCAACTTCAAGACAAACTAGAAAGGGATGGAAATTAGTTGAGATTCTCTCTGAATCATGTCAAAGAGTTTCTGAAACTGGCTTCATTCCAACAGAATATTTAATGATTCTTTAATTTATTTCGAGTTAAAAAGACAACAATTTTGAAAATGTAGTTATAAAAATCCTTAACAATTTAATTTAATATTAAAAGTGAGACAAGTAATCTGAACTACTCAAATATATTGTCTTGTAAGTCAACTTAGAACTTTAACATCAAAATTACAGAAATTAATAATTGTCAACAATATACTGTTAAGGTATAGGTATTAATTGCTAATATTTTTTAATGGCAATTTGTTATTCTACACTACAGTAAACTATTATTGTCAACTGTACATGCAAATATGCAAGTATTATATTTGATTACATTCAATCTCAAGATTCTCCATGCAATATTACTGAAAAAGTAACTTCATCAACTATTTTACATACTTACTCTTTTAGAAAAGTTACGCTTGCATCTACCATATGTTATCCCTCACTTCCATTTTACTTTTTTATGTTTCATTTTGAAAGTTACCGAAACTTGTTGCATGACCCAACACAATACCGAATGGTAAATCCAAATCTCATTCAAACACTCTCCAGTCATTAACACAATCCTCTTCTTACGGGGGTGGTCATTTTCCATTATTCGAAGCTTGACCACAAACAGTGTTTAACTTCAATAATTAGTCAATCCACCCGCCCTCAACTACCGTCATTACAACAGCATTGACTTTCCTTAAATAAAAATATTTGACCATGTCAAGACACATCAATATTTTGTAACTCTTTAAAAACCCACTCAACCGAACACTAAACATTTTCACATCAAGAAAAAAAAACATGAAAAGCATTGCTGTACTTTTATTTGCATTCCTTCTTGGTTGCGTTATTGCCCAAGCTAAGAAGAATACCCAACCAGTCAACCCAAATGGTTCTCTCGTTCAAGTTCAAATTATTTCTAGACATTGTGATAGACTTCCAAGTGCTTCATCAAAGATTCCAGCCGACCCAATTGATTGGCAATTGGTTTCTGGTTTGGCACTTGGTGATTTGACTGGTTTAGGTCAACAACAATGTAGAGAATTGGGTGAACATTTACGTGAAAGATATTTGAGCGAAGATGCTTCTAGTAGAATTTCTGGAATTACTGCCAATTACAATGCTTCAATGTTCTCATTCAGATCTACTAATTTTGATCGTGCTTTGAATTCCATGCAAACTATTGCTTTAGGTTTGTTCCCTGATAAGACAGGTGACAGAGCTACTGTTAATTATCTTGCTAAGAATGATAAGGGAAAGAAAAAGTGGGCTCTTCCACATGGTCAACAAGCTGTTCCAATTCACACTGTTGCTGATGATTATGAAAATTTATTGTTGGGTTTCACTTATTGTAACACTGTTCAAAAGAGATATAACACTGCTTTTGGTACTAAGGCTTTGGCTTATTTGAATGCTAATAGAACTTTTGTTAATCAATTGTACACTGCTACTGGTTGGACAACTGGTGATTTGACTATTTCCACTTTGATTGATTTGTTGATTGTTCAAAAGGCTCACAATATGTTGAATATCAAGTGGGTTAATGATAACTGGACTCAAGTTCTTAAAATGAGAGATGACGTCTTGTCATTGTTATATAGTTATGATGTTATGGGTAAGGAAGGATCAAGTGTTTTGATTCAAACTTTGATTGAAAACATGAACTCATTGAATAAGAAGTATATTCACTACTCTGCTCACGATTCTACTCTTCAAGCTCTTACTGGTTCATTGAAATTGAATCAAGATTCTGATTATGCCTTCTTGGGTGGTCAACCAAATTATGGAGCTCACATTGTTGCTGAATTGTATCAAACTGCTGCTGGTAACAAGACTGTTCGTTTCATGCATGGTAATCAATTCGATTCTACTTCATTGACTCCTTTGATTTTGAAGAATTTGGGTTGTCAAACTGAATATTGTCCATTGGAAACTTTCACTCAATTGACTTCTCAATACTCCACCACAACCAATTGGTGTGTTGATTGTGCCAATAAGGGTAAGGTTGTTTGTGCTCCATACTTTTTGAGTGTTGTTACTCCATGTACAACTTCAACCAACTAAATAAACATCTCCTTCCATTTTGGTAAAAATGCAATTGCTTACATTCTTTAATAATTATTCGATTACAAAGTTTCATCATCATGCAACAAATCTATTTGGCTGGATCTTCTTGTGATCACAAACTCTCCAAAACAAGCTTTTTCAGCGAACATTACCAAATTAAGAACTTGCTCACGCTACGGGAGCGAAAATGAAAAAATTATTTATTTAAAAAAATAGAGTTTCATCTTTATTACACTCTTTACAACTCTCTTGATTTTATTGGAGAGTATTAAAAAACGTTGTGGTGGTGGATTTTGTGTGATTTTTGGAAAGAATTTGTGTGATCGGAACGATTTTGATCAAAGGAAGTTCATTTAATCATCATCACAATGAAGAATTTCTTTAGAAAGAGTACTCGTTTGTCGAGTAATGAACAATCAAATAATAATAATAATCAGAATACTTCTCCAGTTTCCTTGTCGAAAGGAGATTCGAGTAAGGATCTCACAGCAATAGCCTCAACCTTGAGTTTACCAAGAGAGGCTACAACATCAAATACGAGTGGTGTATTGTCACCATCTTCTAATTCATCATCATCGGCAGCATCCTCCTCATACTCCTTCTTGCTTCCTACTGCAGAAAATTTAACTAGAGAACCTCCTTGTGGACTTGAATTATTTGAATATAATAATGGTGATATTTATGATGGTGAAGTTAATCAGAAGGGATTACGTCACGGATCGGGAACATGTAAATTTTCAGACAGTGCAGAAAGAGAGTTTCCTCCATCGTTAAGTTTTATTTCGCAACCTGGTCTTTCATCATTCACAGGAAAGTGGTTTTGTGGACAACCTTGTATTGGTATGTGTTGTTATTGTGATTTTATGTGAAAATAACATTGATCAATTTGTGAAGATATTCAAGCCGTAATTCAATACGTAAATGGTGATAGATATTGTGGTGCTGTTATGGGATTTACGGAAGAACTTTTAGAAGAAGCATCAATTTTGTCAGAATATTATTATTCAAATTATACACCGTCTTCATCATCTAACAGTAGCTCTCTCAAAACCCCAAGATCATCAGTTTCATCTACTTCTCCTTCCAACAATTCTCCAAGTGCTCCACCAAAGAAGAAAAAGAATCCATTCTCATTCTCCAGTTCAAGTGAAAATAATAATGATTCCCTCTTTGGAAAACCAGCTTCTTCATCTGATGAGGGTCTTCCTTATATTATGAAACATGGTGAAGGTGAATTGCACTACCTAGATGGCTCAAAATATAATGGAAGTTTCAGAAGAGATGTTCGTGAAGGATTTGGAGTAATGATCGACACTAAAAATGGAACTGAATATTATGGAAATTGGAAAGATAATGAAAAGGAAGGATTTGGTACCATGATTTTCAATGATGGTACTATCTATGAAGGTGATTGGAGAGGAGGAAAGCAAGGACCAAAAGGAGTTCTCAGATTACCAAACGGTGACAGAATTGTTGGAGAATGGGATGGAAACAATATTAAGAAAGCCATTTTTGAAAAGGGGTCTATTCAAAATGTAAAGAGCAAGTGTCCAACTATGCTCCTTAGAGAAGAAGTCAAGAAATCTGAAAAGAATGACAGAACTACCTCATTTTCACACGTCACTACTCCAATCCTTGCCAAAGAAGACCTCGTTACTCCAAGGAAATGGGACGGTCTCTTCTCTATATTTGCCAATAGTATTGAAATAGAGAAGGAAAAATATGCAAATGGTGTCACTGCTAAATGCATTGAAGAAAAGAAAACTCAAGATGGAAGCATTTCACCAATTTCCAGAAAATCAATCCAAGATGCCCTTCAGAATTATCTGGACGATTCTATGGCTCGCAAATTATCGAAAATTACAATTGATAATGTGACTCAAATTTCACATGGAGATGAGGCCCCTATTTTTGGCGTTCTCTCTACAGCCACCAACGATCACGTTCTCTCAAGAATTATCGCCAAGTTTGTTAACCTTTTCAATTGGAAATATCACCAAAGTGATATCAAATCGACAGCTGCTGCCAAACATCACATTCCTCATGCATTGGATGACTTCGTAAGTAATTTATTAATACTATTTTCCTGAACTAACCATTGTAGCATTCATTTGTTATCTATATTTTTGAAAAAACCTGTCACATCATTGGTAACGACTCTGTGGCTGTATTTGGTCACAAGAAACTTCTATACCATCTTAAAGATCACATACTGAGCAGAATTTACAGTACTCTTTTTACAATTTACAAATTCTGTGTAAGTTTTTAATTTCATTTTGCTTATTACAATACTGTATCAGTATCACGAACAAGATAACATGTATAAATTCAAAATGCTTGCCCTTTCATCCATCTCAATGAGAGAACTTGGTGTAAAGGATGGATTTATTCCAACTGATGAAATGGGACTTTTTGAACCATACCAAGATTGTATCAAAAAGTTGAGAACTCTATCAACCAAATTCACAACAGCCCATGAAAAGTTTGAAATTCTCGTTGAGGTTGGTAAAGAACTCGTGACAGCTATTGATTTCATTGAGGAAAAGAAGAGAGGTAAAATATCTGATAGAGGTGCTGATGACATGTTACCAGCTTATTTGTACATTTTCATTCAAGCTCAAATACCGAATGTATATAGTACCTTCAAATTCCTTTTAGATTTTATGGATGAAAAAGTTCAAACTACTGAACAGGGTTATAGATTTTCTGTCTTTGAAAATGCAATTCAATACATTCCAATGATTGACTCATCTATTAGAGATACAAATGGAATACTTGTACCAACATTCGTTTTGGAAGACAGATTAGAAAGTTGTCTCAATAAGATTAAGAAGGAAGCCAGAGAACACGGAGAAGCACCAAGGTTATTGTGGATTAGCTCAATTTTCATAGTTGTAGGAAGCACCTTGTCTGAAATTTCTCAAAGCTCAACAACATATCAATCCAATAATCCAACTCCAGTTATTCCTGTCCTTCATACACAACACCGCGACTTGTTGAGAAGATATTCCAAGTATGCTGAAAAGATACTCAAATGTGTCTCATTAAGCTTGGAAAGTACTGATATTGATAGTAGTGAAATCAAACAACAATACTCACCAAAAGAAGAATTTGAGGAAGATTGGACGCCACTTCAAAAGAAGAAGGCTGAAGAGCCTGTAATAGTGACAAAGAACTTTAATATTACTGTAGATCAAATTTATCCAAGCTACATTTATTTCAAGATGGCCAGAAAACTGGAAGAACTGATAGAAGAGCACTAATTGTACCATAAAAAATATTCAATGATTTAATGTAAAATAATTAAATTACAAGGTTGTCTCCAATTTTGGATTGGTTTGCACTTTCCAAATTCCAAGAGTATAGAACATTCGTACCAAGAACAAATCTCTGGCCATACCAATAATTCCTGAAATATTGACCTTACTACCTTCAATTTCAGACCAGTTGACAGCATGTTCATGAATAGGAATATTCAAAGAATTGCAAATATGAATGAGATCAATATCGAAACACCATCTATCAATTTTCATATTTGGTAATACTTGTCTAACAGATTCTCTATCCATCAATTTGAATCCACACTGTGTATCAGCAACATTTCTAATATTGGCAACGAAATTAACAAGAAAGTGGAATCCATACATTGTAATATTTCTGTACCACTTTCTTTCACGTTTAACTCCTTCCAAAAGGTGATTTCTACTTCCAACAACCATGTATCCATATTTCGATTTTCCTTGTTGTTTCATTTCTTCCATCTTGGTCAGTAATTTATCCAAATCTCTAATATCAGTAGCATTGTCACTGTCAGCGAAAAGAATTAATTTTCCTCTACTTCTAATCATTCCTTGTTTAACAGCAAATCCCTTTCCTTTGTTTTTGATCAATCTCAAAAGTTGAATGTCAATATTATTATTTCTATTAATATATTCCTTCATAAAATCAACAGTTACACCAATTGTATTATCAGTACTTCCATCATCAACAATAATCATCTCACATTTAAAGTTTGGATTCTTTTCAATTTTTCCTTCAAGATATTGATAAGTATCCTTCAAGGTAACATTAATTCTAGTCTCTTCTTTATATGCTGGAAATACAATACTTAAATCTAAATCAGATTCATTCAAAACAGAATATTGTTCTGCTTGTGTTTCATGTCTTTTTAAAAAGATCGGATTTGTTACAGTCATCTTGTCTCTATTCTTGATGGCAAATCGATCAGAGTCCTCCAAATCTTGTTTAGAAATAAATGCAAAATCGTTCATCTTCCAAATGGTTGTTTGTGCTCGGGCCAATCGAACAAAGAAATAATAAATTCCTCCCAAGATTGCCACAAGAGTGAGCAACAAACATGCTATCGTTGTTGTTTCCATTTTTTTCTTTTAAAGATTCTCTCTAATCGACAGAAGTTTGATCAACAATTGATGAGAGTAAGAAGAAGAATAAGGGACACGTGTTTTTTAAGTTCCTTGTTGGTCCATGAGTGAGTTGGACTCTTTGAAATGCAATGATGATTTAACAAAAGGTTATTGTTGTGTGTTTTTAATGATGTTAAAAGATTCAAATCTCCTCATGATGATAAAAGTGGTGCAGGAGAGAAAAGGTGCATTAATTGTACTACTACTTTACATGATGACTCTCCGAAAGTCAAAAAGTGTTGTTCAAATGTGTTTTATGAGAGTGTGATGAATGGAAATTATTCTTCCTCTTCATCATCATCGTCTTGCCATGAAGTTTCAACCATTTCCTTCACTCTTCTCTCATAGAGTTTTCTATTTTCAGTGTAAAGTCTGGCTGCTTCACTGTTGGCTGGTGAATTTGGATTCGGATCAGTGAGCAAACTTTGAATGGAGGTTAAAATTGCAGCCACATCATAAATTGGACTCCATTGATTTTGAAGAATATCCAAGCAAATTTGTCCATCATTATAAACTACAATTGTATGATATGAATATTATTTAAATAATATTAAATATTAATATATATTCATGAATATAATAATAATTATTTAACGAAGGAAAATGTTATTACTAATACCAATCAAGTGATAAATACATACTATTTGGATGGAACATTTTGGTGAGGAATTTTACTTTTGGTGGTTTGTTAGGATAGTCTTCATTGAAGGAAATGCTGAGTTTGAAAGTTCCACCTTCCCATGGTGTATCTTCAGGTCTATCCGATCAAAATATTCATATTAATCACCATCAATAAATTCATCAAATAATAATAATTAACGACGTTCGTAAAATTTAGAACAATAAATTGTGATTTAAAAACCAAGAGCGAAAAAGAAGAACATGAACACAAAAAATTGTAAAAACCACCTACCCGAAAATTACAGCATTCCATTCCATAATATTGGAATCAAGAGGTGTAGCGCTGATCCCTTGTGGTGGATCGGTTGACATCTTCTTAAAATCCTTGATTAATCTTCTCTTCACTGGTGTAGACATTTTTTTTAATTTATTTTTATTAATAGATTGAATGCAAGAAGTAACTGGAAAATTCCTTTACAAAATATCAAACTTTAATTGCAATTATTAATATTATTAAACAATTTATTTAAATGGAAGAAGTTTGAATAATAAACTTGCCATGTGAGCTCCAGTAGCAATGCATACCTTAATAAAACCAAACACAATACGAAAAGCTCCTGGGAAAAAGTACCACAACACAAAGGAACCAATTACAAAACCAACAATTACCAATTTGACGATGAGAGAAATTGGTTCTTTTGATTTCTTCACTAAACTGTTTCGTTTTCTAGTACTTGTTGTTTTTGAAGAATTACTATTTTTGGTGAATTCATTTTCCGAAGAGGAAGGTTTTGTAAAATGTGAATCAATTTTTTTCTCATTGTTGACATACTTGTGGAGGTCATTCTCAAGTTTATCTGCTTGGTCTTTTAATTCTTTGGAAAGTTTATCTGAAATTTGATTGGCACGAATTGACTTCATCATTTTTTTCAATCACTTTTCGAATTCAATCAGTTTCAAAAAGTGTTCCAATTGAGTTTATGCCTAGCTTTGTGTGTCTCAAAAAACCGAGCTAACATGCAATAATTTGTATTTTGTTTTACTAATATACACATTTTAAAGAGTTATACGGTGGCTGATTCATGATCCTTAGCAACTTCCATGAAAATAGATCTAGATTCAGAAGCTACAGTAACTAACAAGATGGTATTGCTCTTGAATTGCGATTTCATCTTTCTATATTCGCTCTTTAAACTATTTGCAATTTCCATTGAAGGAACGAAACAGTGCAAGAATTGCTTTTCCCAACCATCTTCTTCGTAAACATTTTCAGTACTAGAAATAATACCAGAGAGCTTCTTATTTAAGAGCATACGTAATACCTTTGGTGACATGGTGGTATTTACTTCAGGACCAGATTGACTCTTGTAGGACAAAAAGTTAAAAGCTCTAGTTACAGAGACACCATACTTCTTTTGTCCAATTCTGACACTATAGTCAGTCTTCTTAGAACCTGCACAATAGCCTATTTCCATTTCAGTCTTGAGGAGTTCAGCAGAGAAGAGTCTCTTTACAATTTCAAAGGAGAGACTTTCAGAAAAGACAGAATTACCTCCAGCATTTTCTTCTTGACTAATTCTTTGGGCACCTTGCGATGAACCTTGCATGAGCAATTCAAATTCGAGTTGATTCTTGGTCTTTCCCAATTCACTTTCTGACTTTTCATTAATCAAATTCAATTCTCTCTTTTGCTTTTCCTTCAAGATCATTTCGTTGACAACACAAGTTGGCTTTTGACGAGTTTCAAAGGCGTTGAATATCTTCAATTCTTCCTTAAGCTCAGTTCTCAGATAGAATGAAGTCTTTTCATTACCAATATTGAGTGAATAATTTCTAGAGGAAGAATTAGACGATAATGATGACCGGTTCTGCGATAATGATCGGCATGAGCGTGCCACACATTGAGCCTTTGGTGCCTTTTTCTCTTCCTGTGAATATACCTGCTGCCACATTGGCCCCACGACGTTTACTTCTTGCATTGGTAGGACATTGTCTAAGGCAGTTGACCGGAAGGTATTGTTGTTCATAGACAACCTCTTCTGATTCTGACTTGTACTTTCGATCCTCATAGAACCAGTAATGGTTCTTGGAGCAGTGATCAAAGCAAAGCTTGTTGGAGTAGGAGTTGTTGTTGAGGTTGTTATTTGAGTTATTGGACAAGTTTGAGGAATTAAAAAGACTCAATCGACTGCTGCTTCGAAGGCTGGATAAATTAGACGAGCTTAAAGCACTTGAAGTACTGGAGTTGCTGCTGTTTAAGGGACTGCTACTCAAAGAAGAGAGGCTACTGCTTGAGGAGGAGAATGAGTTGTTAGAGCTGTTCATTTCTAATAGATTTTGTTGAGTGGTTGGTGATGAATTTGAGTCGAGTGGTATAGTGGTTTGATGTTTTTAAATTGATTCAAATATAGTGTAATCTTTTTAAAGTGGTTTTGTGGTTGAGCTTGTTTTTTTGGGTGATAGTGCGCTTGGATATTGAGTCACGTTTGTTGTGTGGTCAAAAATAGCTTGTTGTAGTTAATACAGAAGAGAATGAAAACGAGTTGTTTTTTTTTTCTTGTTCGATGGTTTTTTGTCGCTTGAGTTCTTATGCAACACTGAATTTGCAGTTCTAAAAATAATTTTGGGTGATTTTGTAAAGTGCAGGTCAATACGTGATTGGTCAACCAGTATTAGGAATGAACTTGGTAGTGTACTTAGTATTGAATTACATTGGTTTGACAAATGAATACACTTTGACAAATTAGAACTCCCCAATGAAGAAGGATAAGTCAAAGTAACATCAGACTTCTCCTAAAGAAACTTCCAAATTTTACTTGCTTTAAATTTCTATAATACTTGTTACTTGAAATATTTAGCAATTCTGTTGGACATTTTGTATCTTAATGATGGTGGAGATTTATCCAAATTATTAATATAATAATCTTCCATTGGAGTTGGTGGATAATAGAGTGGAATGTGACATCTACTTCCAGAGTACTTTGAAAAACATCGACATGAATCAATTCCAATACAGAAACCATTTCCAGAACATACATCCACACTTGTTGCATTCTTTCCAAAACACTGCCATTCATCTACAGTAATAATAACATTAAATGCCTCACCTGAATCCAGTGTAAGAGGTATCTTTCCATTTGGTTTTGCAAGTGCCAGAACAGGTTCATCATTATATAGACTCGTAGAGGTGGGAGCTGCTTGAAGATATTCGTTTAAACCTCTTGCATAAATATTGCCCCTATTGGTAACGTAAAGTGTAGCCATAGAACTGTCATCTCCAGCAGATACATCAACTACTAGCTCAGAGTTTGGAATTAGTTTGACAAGAGATGTTCCTGAATAATAGTACATTGCAATACCATCATCTGAAAGAAAAGCTGGAAGATTTCCACATATAATTTTGATTATTTTCTTTGAGCCAATTAAGCCGTTTTCCAATCTGGTCCAATTTGTAACTGTTGTAACAGTAGCACTATAGATTATTCTATAGTTTGAATTTTCACCAATAGCAAAGACCTTTCCTGACTTGGTCAAGATATAAAATGTGTTGGTGCAAATTGCAAAATCTTGAAGGGTTTCACCTATGGCACTAGTTGCATTGGAAATATCTAGCTCAGTCCATGAAGTTGCTATGGATGGCATGTTAGGAGCTCCAAAATTTCCAACAGCTCCTCTAACCACTATACTTCCATTATTCAATTGTATACCAAGGAAATTATATCCAGTAGCTATCTTTTTTGCAGTCCAATTTGGTGTCTCAGAAAATACATCAATTGGAGTGAAAAGAAATGAAGATATATAATCAATACCATACTGATAAGCATGGCCACTTCCCCAACCATATACTTTTCCTGAACTTGTCAAAATTAATCCATTGGTTGCTGAAATTCGAATGTCAATAATTTCACTATTGTTATATTGTGTTGCATTGACTTGTTGAGGAGGGGTTGAAGAGACAATTTCATTGCTGTTTAATGAGGTACCACTAGCACAAACACCCCAATTGTGGAGAGTTGAATTTCCTCCTTCATAATTGATATTAATATAGGAGCAACCATTAGTTGATCTCACTAAAACATTTCTCACATTATTTGCAAATGGATTGTAACCATTGAGTGTTAGAGGAGAAGGAAGAACTTGTTTGTAATCCCCATAACCCATTTGGCCTCTGTAATTATCACCAAATGCATAAAACTTTCCAGAGTTTCCACTTATTAAGGAATAACCATTAAGAGTTAAAAATCCTTCAGAAGGAATTGTATCACCTCCAATATCTATATCATACATATCGTATGGTGATGTTCTTCCTCTATCAGGATCCTTTCCCCATGATAACAAACTAGCAGCTCCCATAATACCAAACAAGCAAAAACCTGCATTACTACTTCTGTCAATGTCAAGTATTTCACCGCTTAAACCTCTTGTAGTGGCAGCACTATTAATTACAGATGTCAAATTATAGGGTGTATAAATAGGGGAACCTCCAAAAGCAGGATTAGAGCTTGCTTGTCCTTCATTATTTGCACCAAACACATAAACATGTTTTGACTCTGTTAATATTGTTCCAGTACGATCTCCAAGAGTAATCTTTATCGGTTTCTCAGTGGAATAATCTAATGGAAGGAGTTGTGGTTCTGAAAAGACACTTGTTCCAGTATTTCCAATTCCTAATGCTCCATCTACATTCGAACCCCAAACCAATACATGATAGGTAGAATTAATGACAGCTGCACTATAACTATAAAGACTCATCGACAGAACATTACGTAATTTGGGTAAAAGTGTTGGTGTGGAGTCAGTTCCAGTGTTTTCAGGAGTGTGACCTCTTAATCCATCACCCCAACCACCCCATGAAAAGATATGACCACTATCCATCAAGACTAAATAAGTTGGTTCGCCAAATACTCCACCAACATAAACCTGAGCTATGTTTGCAGTGATAGATACTTGCAAATCTGGATCGACGAAAGTTGTTGGAACATCATATTTAGCTAAACCTAATCCAAATAATTGATGGACATAGACTTGATTATCTGTGGTGGCCAGAATACATGTAAACCAACACTTGATTTTGTGAACTTCCTTATCTTTCAATGGATTGGTGGCTATTTTATCCTGACGATAGTAACCTAAAGTTACATAATTTGGAATATTATAAGGAACTTCAGCAAATGCAAAATATGAATTACTATTATCTCCTGCCATGAGAATAGTTTGTCCAATCAATGAATTATCAGTACCATTTCTAAATGACAGTAAAACTGTCGTAAATGTCAAACCTCCTGTTATAACTGTTGGAGTGGTAATAACATTGCTCATTCCATAGGCAACATTCCATGTGTAATTATTAGAAAACATTTCTCCAAAGTGTTGCAATTCAACAGGTGTCTTGGCAGCATTCAGAATAGGATATGCCAAATTTCCGATCATGTTACTTCCCCACACTGTTATTGAAGGATTCGAATAGGTTGCACATTGTGTTGATGTGGTGAAATAGAAGAGCAAGAAAGTGCAATAAACTAGTGCTGCAACAGATACCGTATATTTAGAAATCATTTTTTTGTGTGATTTGAAATGTCCCTTTTTGACAGGCGTATTTCACGATTTCACTGACAGCAACTAAGCTTGGATTTCACCGATAAGAGTATCGAATATTCTTCATTTTTCAAAGAACACAATAAGGAAGGTTTCTACTATTCTGTATTGCACACCCTTCAAACTTTATTTTTTTAAAATTAACTTTTAATTATCATATTTTGAAATAATTCAGTTTTGTTTTTAAAAACTCAAAATAATAAAATATATAAATTAAGACAAATAAATTAAAAGCTCAAAGATTGAGACACCATTTGGTGAATCAACTTTGTAACCTGCCTTAAAGGATATAAATCTTTATTAAACACAACAATCTGTATCATCTCTATTTAGATCAATAAACAATGGCATGTTTAGAAACAGTTTTGATTGTTTGTATTATTTGTTGGACCATAAAATTATGAAACGGTTCGGTGAGGCCATTCTGGTGCTCTTCTAGTAGTTCCAAATATTTTGTTCTGCATTTCTTTTGTACAGTAATATCAAATAGTCCATATCTATTAAGAATCATATTCATCAATAATCGAGCAGTTCTTCCATTCCCATCCAGAAATGGGTGAATATGAAGAAATTTACAATGTGCTAGAATGGAAAAGAGTGCAGGATGTAATATTCCATTATCAACTCTTTCTCTATTCAAATGGAACCACTCAAAGTATTGTTTCATGATTTGAGGTACCTCCTGAGGGTAGGGTCTAACAGTTTCAGAACCCTTGACACGAATTGGGATGAGTCTATAATTCGATTCCATAAAACCTTCAACATTGCAATAACATTTACTCTTCCCAAAAAGTTCGGTGTGAATATTAAGCAACTGATTTTCGTTAAAATGGCTTAGTGGTTGTTCCTCTAATTTAGAAATATATTGGAAAGCATGGTGGTGGAACAGTACTTCTAGACATTCTCTTGTGGTTGCTTCTTTTTGCAAAATCTGACTGAAATCTTGTTGTGATACACCCATTAGTTGTTCAGAAGAGTAAGTGCCGAATGAGTCAAAGAGGATTTCGCAGTCTTTTTGCGATAAAGTATTTCCCTCAATGCTTGTGCTGTGGTGAGTATTTGAAAGACGATAATTTGCCCAGATGGCATGGTTTTTAGAAAGCTGTGGTACAATACTTGTGGATAAAGAATCTAAGTAACCTAAATGATAGATATTTGCCAATGGTTGCTCATCTTTGAAGATATTAGTGGCTCCCAACCACATTTCTCCAGAAAATGCCTTTTTAACTTTTTCTTCTGGTGAGAGGGAGTTATAGATAGAGTAAATCTCCAGCAAACGTTCCTTTCGGCGTGCTTCTTTGCTCTCTATTATAGTATTAAAGGTTGCATTTAAAAGAAGTCGTGAGGTACGCATTTTGAATTTTTTATTGTTTTTTAATATATTAAGGATTATTTGAATTATATAAATGTTGTTTTTCTAATAATAACATGATGCGGCAAGTAAACTCAACTTCTTTTGAAAAGAATTTGAAAATGCTAATTGCAGCATTCTCAAAAATATAGAAATGAGTAAGAACGAGTATTAATAGCAACATCGTATTATTCGAAATCTGTGTATTATTAATAGTGTTGCATCCCTTACAACTCTAAATCACGTTTGGGGTTTATTTAGATCAACAAGATTTGGTGCAATGGAAATTAATGATCCTTCAAATTCCAAATCATGGTTTCATCAACGCGAGCGATTAAAATCACGTTAAATAGCTTAAAAAACAAACTTAAAAAAAAACAAGAAAATGGTTTCAGCATCAACAACGAGAGCAAAAAATCGATTGTTAAGAGACTTGAAGGAGATTGAGAATAATCCATTAGAAACTGTGTATGCCCAACCTTTGCCAAACGATATATTTCATTGGTATGCAACAGTGTTGGCTCCAAAGGAATCTCGTTACCATGGAATTATATTGAATTTGAGTATTGTTTTCCCAGAAACGTATCCGAAAGATCCACCCAAGGTTGTTTGCTCGACTCGTATTCACCACCATCATGTCTTTCCAACTTGGATCTGTTTGGACATGTTGAGAACTCACTTTTCATCAGAGCCTTACAGTGGATGGAGTTCCAGTTATTCTTGTTTGTCCATCTTGTTGCAGTTGCAATCCTTCTTATTGGAGGAGGAAGAACAGCAAAAAGATTACATTAAGGAAGATATTGCATCATCAAGAGACTATTCTAATCTCAAAATAGGACATAATCCGAGTAAGGGAAATATTTGGCCACGAGCACCACATTGGAATGTGGATGAAATTATCAAATCAGAATATGATCCCTCTTTACAAACTAAAAAAAAGGATGAAACTCAATATGAGAAGGGTGTTGTTGACATGGATTTGGAAGAATTTATTGAGAAGGAGACGAAGCAAGCGAGCTCTGTAATGTCAAAGAAGAAGAGAAAAAAGATGAACCGATTACAAAGATCCAAAAAGGAGGAAAATGATGAGAATGTCCCTTCAAGCAGTACATCTACTATTACTCACCAAGCACCTGTTCAATTAAACAAGATTGAAAAGATGAAGGACCTTCCAAATGAAACATTGATTCATATTTTGAGTTATCTATCTCTCATTGACTTGAAGAGAGTGAGCAACTCTTCCAATTTTATGAAACTCTTGTGTGAAAACAAGAGTTTGACAACTGAAAGAGAATTGATTTGTTTCCACTCCAAAGTAACCTACAAAGAAGATATTCTTGGAGTTGGATTAACATTTGAAACAAAGGATGGTGGGGTGGTTGCCTCCATTTCTACTCCATTAGATTTGGTATCAAAAAGTGCATTCTTTGATGAAAGTGTCAGAAAGAGTGTTTGGGGTGTTTTGACTCAACAATGGATTCCAATATATATTAATAAGGAACATGGAAACTTTGAGGCTCTAAAACAAGCCGTCAAGAGTATTGCCAAGTCATATCCATCACTATCTCAATCCAATAAGTTTGACAGTCCAGAAATCTATATTGATCTATTGTGTAAATTGATGAATACCATGGTGGTTGAGATTATGAAAGGTCAAACCCATGCCTCAATCAAGGCCCTGTATGGATATATGTACTTTCACCGATGGCTGATTTACTTGGTTCAAAAGTTCCCATCTGCTCTCAAAGATATTGAGGAACAAGTCAAATCCTTTGTTACCAATGAGAATTCACGTAAAAAGTCAAATTGTCCAAACATTGGCGAATTCCTTCCAAAACTTTCAGTTTTGGGTCCATCTGGTTTAACTTGGGATTATGTTAAATCATCTGTTGTTGAGGAAACCTCTATTAGAAATCAACTTTGGGTCATCAAGCAGTTCCCTTCTCTATCTTCCACTAATGATAGTTCAGATGATTTCAGATGCACCAATTCGTGGGTGGCAAACAATGTCTCTTGTAAGCTAATTATGTTCCATGTATTCTTCTTGAGAAATGTTGTAGAATCTTATACTGACCTTTCTCTTGAAGAATTTGGAAGATTGTACGATAATAACTTTGGTTGCCCACCAAAGACAAAGAATGGTGATTTTTTGGAAGATGTTCTTCAAAGGGAGGTATTCACAATTCAAAATGTGTCATGTTTCCAACAATATTTCGAATACGTCGGTTTACCAAATATGAAAACAAGAACATCTGTTGCTCAATATTTGAGAAATTGTGTTACCATTAGTGAAAAGAGAAGATATCATAATAATTTCAAAAATGGAAACAAGAACAACTTTTACAAAAATAAAAAGTAGTTTTCCTCAATCAACTTAATCAGCTCTAAAGATTATACTGTTTAAGACTAGAGGAGCAAAGTTATGAAAATGGTGAGGGACAAAACCAAGTTGAAAGTCTTTGAAACAAGAGGAAATTTGACCTTAAACAAGAAAAGGAACCTCACTTTGTGTTGATGTTCTTTAAGCAAGCTTCCCAGTGTATATTATATTCGGAATTCTGTGAAGAAAAGAATAATTGAATGGGAGGAAGGCGAGTTATTGTGTTATTTGAGAAAAAGAAAATTAATATTTAATTTTAATAGAGTCACACATTTACATGGTTTGAATGAAAAAGCTAACAGATTCAGAAAAATAATGAATGAAAATGGCAAATCATACAAATTCATTTCTGGGTCTAGTGATTACGATAGATATGAAGAAGTAGAGAAAATGAGAGAAGACATCTATCGTAAAATCATCAATGCAGGGTTTGAGCCAGACACAAGATGGGTCACTAATTCGAAACTAATGACAGAAGAAGAAAAAATAGCTTCTCTACACAAGCATGCAGAAAAAACAGCCATAGCTCATGCCTTTGTTTTAAATCCAAACAGAAAGAAAATATTACTAACCATAAATCTACGAGTTTGCAATGATTGTCATAACGCTGCTACGTATATTTCCAAAGAGATGAATGTTGAAATTATTGTAAGAGATGCAAATAGATACCATCATTTTGTTAATGGTAAATGTAGTTGTGGAAATTATTGGTAACACAACCCCCATGATACCTCAGCATGATATTACTCCTTGAACATCTAATAATACTAATATTTCTAATAATTACAAATTTTATTAAGGTTTATTTGGGAAAATTACAAACTACCAATAAGTGTTCCTAAAGCAAAACAAACCGCTGCACATACAGAAGTAATTGCCAATTCATGATTGATATCATCGTATAATCGCCTTTCATTTGGTGAAATCAATGTTTCACATTTGAAAACTCTTCTTTCTGGATCAACCTTTCCAATAAGTATAACCTGATCATCCTTATTCAAAACTTTTTGAATAATTTGTGCATCAAACAATGCAAACAGCTTTATAATGGGTTGGAATTTAATATTGCTGTCTCGATTCATTCTCATTACTGTTTCAATATGACCGTTATAGTCTCTAATATTTTCAGAGTATTCTTTGGTTGGTCCCATGACTATTTTGCAATTGGGTAAGAGTTCAACCTTTAAACTTTCAGTTAAATCATTATTAGAATCGAACCATTCTTTAGATGGAATGCCAAAAGCAAATTTCACCTCCAGATCACTACTATAACATCTCAATCGCTCTCTTCTCCTGCTTTTAACAAACAAGATCTTTCCACTATCTTTTGAGATTTCATAAATCAAAACTGGTTCTTGACTTTCGATTGAATCATCCAATTTCAGCACCTTGTTTGAATTAATCTTTCCAACATTTTTACACAATTTACCATCTGTTAAATTTCCTTCCTCAATAATGTTCGAATGTTCAAGTTGATCATATTGAGTATAATACAATGATCCGTCAAGTACACACAGAGCCAATCCCATTAATATTAAAATAATTCTAGCTTGTGAAGATGAGGATTTTCTTTTTTCCTCATCATTTTGATTGTTATTTGGATTATTATTTACAATTGTTGAATAATGTAGCAATTGTTGTTGATGTGTGAAAATTGTCTTGTTTAATCTATTACGAATGCAGTATGAATCCAATAACCATGGTTGTCTATTGCTCATCATTATGGAGGGTGATAAATTCTTACTGGTTTGCAACCATCATGAAATAATTTGTTGAGATAACTCTTCCTACATGGACACGGAGATGTCGTTTCATTTTTTTTAGTTTTACAACATGATGAACTGTTACGTGTCTTGTGTGATTGGTTGGTTAAAAGGGGTGGTTGTGAGTCAGTGATGATGGACACATCATACATGCTTTTTGATTTGCTTCATGTTGCAACTACTATTGTTTTTGTGTACATAATTAAGATTTTTGATAGGAATAGTTATTCTAAACAAGTACAACAAAAATCCACAAAGTTTCTAAAATAGTATTTGTTTCATTCGTAAATTTCAATTGATGTTGTAATTGCAATTAATAATTGACCACTTTTCCAATCAATACATATTCCACTTGGTTTTTCCAATCTTTTTCTCCTTGTAAATAACATTGAATCCTTCCCTGATATCGTATTCACATTTGGGTTGCAGCACTAGCAAAGTATTATGTTCCAAATGGTATTGTAGCAAATATATTCCCTGAATTTCTCTCATAAATCATTGCAAACATGTTATAAGAGGTGTAATTTCCAACATAATCCGAAAGAGTCATATAGTGTAAAGAAGTCCATTCCTGTTTCTCGCTCTGTTGAAAAACCTCCAACTTATTGGAACAATGACAGCAAATGAATTGATTTTTGGAAGTAACCTCAAAAGCAGAACTGTTTCGAAGTATTAGGGGAGTTTCAACTTTCACTATTTGACCATCTCTACATCTGATCTGTCTCAGTGTTTCAACATCAATTTTCTTGGAGGTCAGCAAGACCAGTTCTCCATTCAAATCACATGTGGCCATTCCATACGTTGCACAATCTAATTCTGTTTTCCATAATGAATTAGATAATTTACCTCCCATTAACAATGAGTGCAAATTAAACTTCATCAACATTCCCTTAGCATCTTCCTCATCTATCCAAACCATCAAGAAGAACGCATCCTCTCGATCATTCACAACTGAATTCATATATTCAAATTCTAATTCTACTCTATTAATTAATTGCTTTGTTTTCCGATCCAAAACATAAATCAATCTCTCTGTACAAGCCAATATACAATCTAATCGGTACGATATTTTCAAATCACAGGAAACATCCATATCATTCACATTCCATGTTTTGTATTCAATAATTTGAATAGGCTTTCTGAGGCCATTATTCAGAGAAAAACTCTTAATTTTTCTTAAAGTTAATTTATTCTTCAACCAAGTCATCAACAATTGTTCATTCCCTCGTTGATTCATCGGAACATCTTCATCGCGCTGATTTATTGTCATATTAAAATCAATAAGGGTAACTGTAACAATCTCCTCATCACACATTTTTATTTTTTAAAACTTTGACTGCATGAACGGTGAGAAATAAAAATCGAAGTAGACCCAAATCAATTGGGTCCGCTCAATTTTTTTGTGCTGGTTATAGCACAGAAGAGTTGGTGATCCATATGCTACAAATCGACAGCCATATTTACTGGCCTTTAAAGTGATCATGAATCCTCAAAATGTTGTGGTTTTCGAATTTAAAAAGGAAAATTGATAAAGTTCACCTAATACAAACCTTGAACATTCAAGTTCAATGAATTATATTCAAGTTCAAGGTTTAATGTTTTAAAATTTTTTAATTTCATATTCAAAAAAATGTCTCGTGTGGTTTATACAAAAACCACCAAAGCTTCCAATACTCAGCAACAACAAAAAAATAATCAAACCAAAACGGAAGATAAGAAAGATAAGAAGAAGGATAATAAGAGTGAACCAGAGAAGAAGCCTTTTCCGGGACAAGGTAGAAAACTTGGAGATTAATGATGGTTCGGAAAATTTGTGATTGTTGCAATAATTAATTTTAAAATTATTATTATCATCAAATATTCTTTTAATGTCGTATGTATGGAAGAAGAGGCGAAATTAATTCTAGAAGATTTGCCGATTAAAATTAAATTTTAGGAATTATTTACTTTTATTCTTTGGTGGAGATTTTCTGGAGTGGATACTAAAGAAGAAGACACCTTGGAAACTCAAAATTATTCCTATCCATCCGAAGAGACTGAATGAGACTCCGAAAAAAGCAAAGCTAATGAGCAGGGTTAATAATTTGTAGGTGGTATTTGCAATGGATATGGAAGTGTTAGATGTCAATCGAAGAAGGAAAAAATAAGATAATCCAATGAAGAAACCAAAAGCAGAGGTCATTAAAAGTGAAAACCAAATGAATGGAGAGTTCAATAGTTGAAAAGAGTTTGTTATGGACAACATGTCATCTTTAACCATGAGAATTATCATCAGCAATGGAATTGACAAGAGATTTCTTGTGAAATTCATTCCAGCAGGAGTTTGACCTTGAAGATAATTGTACAACAACCGTTTTTCAATCATTGGAATAGCCACAGAGCAACAAGTATTGAGAATAATCCAATGAAATCCTTGCCAATCAAGACTAAAGTCATAAATACTGTAAAATACTCCTCCAAGGAATATTGATATTAGAGAACTAACAACTTGGAAATCTATGGAATATCCAAAAACTGTCATATCCAGAATGGCAGTTATCATGGGCACTAAATTTCTAATAATTGTGAACAAACTCACACTTGTCAACCTTAAACCTTCCAGAGATGTCCATGTCAACAAAACAAAGAACATGCTAGAGGGTAACTGATAGGCGAAATCTCTCCACATTGGATATTTGAATGGGAAAACCCCAACATGATTGAATATCACAAAGAATAAGAGTGAAACTACATTCTGAATCATAATGACAAGTAGAGGTGATGAAAAGTTCATTGACAAGTACTTGTTAGCAAGTGTTAGTGTGATTGAGCAAGTTCCTTGAACAACCATCCAGAACCATGCCTTTGAGAAGAGCGAATCATTTTTCACAAGCATTAAGGGTATAATATTTGATGAGTGTTCCTCTCGTTTTGAAGTATAATCTTTAACAAAATCTGTATCCGATATGTAATGACCATTTTCATTCACTAAAGAATAATCAGATGCGTCATGTGATGATTGAATATTTAATTGTATCATGGCCATTCTTTTCACACTTTCAAAATCACTAATTCCAATCTCGGAATCGATCACAATACATTCTCCGTACAGTGTTTTAATTTCAAATTGAAAATAATCTAATAAATTATTTCGATGATCCAAATCTATTAAGGTTGATGATCTGATCTCTTTTGACCCTTGGTGTGGAATCATTTTTTAGGTGTGAAGATATCATCTAATAGAACAGATATCGCCAAAGAACAGAACTATTATACTGAGAAAAAAGCTCCTTTATTTGGATTGTTCTGCACTGCTACTAGAGGAGGAAGGGTTAGTAGTTGAGTTTTCAGAATTAATGGATTGTTTATAATATTTGGCATCAATGTATTGTTTATCTTGATATTGAATAAGCATATTCTTAATATTGCGTGGAACGTCAATACTTCTCTGAACATTTGATTCGGTATCATTAGCAAATGGATGAACTACATCAATGATCTATTTAATTCAATGAGTAAATTTCACATTTCTTAAAGACTTACCTCATCTGTCGTTTTCCAATTTTTGTACACTGAATTATACCACATTGTCAATTTCACACTCCAAAGTAATGTAATTCCTCCAAGTAATAGTACAACCAATTTCCAAGGACTCTTCTTCTGTTTCTTCAAATCAACAAACATGTGTTCATGATTTCTCTTCATATGCTCAAAGTTTTCCACCTTTTTCTTCTTCATCATTTCCATAAATCGTTGTTTATCCTCCTCACTCAAATTTACAGTCCTCACTCGTTGTCTCTTATTACCAAATAATTTAGAATAGTCATCTTGTTTGAATTGTTCTTCCAATCGGAAGGCTTCCTCATCTTGTTGAATTTCAAAATCATATTCTGCTCTTTTAGCTGGATCGGAAAGAACCTTATAGGCTTCGTTTAATTGTCTGAATAATTCCTGATCACCTCCATTCCTATTATCTGGATGATATTGTTTTGCTAAGCCAACAAAGGCTGTTTTAATTTCTTTCAGTGAAGCCTTTCGGGAAAGTTTTAATATTTGATATAAATTATTGGGAACTCTTCCAAAGGTATCTCTTGGAAGTGATGATCCGGATTGGGTATTTAATAATATTCTGTTCAATTTAAATAATAACATTTTGCAAGTATAGTATATGTTTACAATTATTTGAATTGATAATATATTCTTCAATATTTAATATCGGTTTGGATTAATGATTTTGAGGAGTATTTAAAACAGTTTAAAACATCTGTGTGATGATTTCGCTTTTTTTGTGATTGAATTATCTGCTGCTAATTGCATTCAATTTCGGCCCGACTTGATTTTCAGTTAATTTGAAGGTTTTACAATGGAGAGATTTGAGCTCCATGGAAAACAATAAAACATTAAAACATATCCAATTTCAATTATAGTGCACTTGAGTTTTTCATGATAATCTTTATATTTGAAAATTAGATCATCATTGAAGTCTTTTTCAATTTGATTTCGACCCACTTGAGAAGAGGATGTGAATTGACACCAGTTTCTTCCATTAATTTCTGAATGAGTTCGAGGGCAGTTTGATATTGCTTGTGTGCCTCGGCAGCTCTATTATTTACAAGATGTAAATCTCCAATTTTGGCATTGGCAATAATGGAGCTCTCTAAATTATTTGAGTGTTCAGTAAGAATTCTTTGATAAATTTCCATGGCAGTATCATAATTCTTTAGTTTGTACAAGTGAACATCTCCCAATTTGATTATCGTCACTGCTAGCGCATCCATAATTTCCCTGTCAAATGTTTGATATTTGGCAACATCCTCCATCATGGATACAGTTTCTTTAAGCATATTCTTCACTTTTTCCAAGTCCACTGAATGATTTTGGTAAATATCACTTAATTTTCCAGAAATTCCACAAAACATAACAGCCAGTCCAGCAGAAATATTCGATTCGGATAAACTCTTGAAGCAAATTTCCTTCAATGCAATTTCTCTTGCCTTCTCCATCCAATTCATATCACAATACTTGTTCAATAAATATTCCTGTTGAGCTAAATTAATATAGTGTTCAATCTTTTTAATTTTAAACTCTTCCTCCGAATAGGTTGAAATATTTGGATCATTTCTCTCAAATAATATTTCAACGTAACTATCAGTCAAGTGTTGTTTGAACGAATCACTCTCATATCCATCCTTTTCCTCAACAAACATTTTAAAACAGAATTTACACACTGACTCATTCTTTGAAGACATACAGCCAACCAAATAGGCATTGCATCGAGAACATTTAAAATCGGAAGCCTTCAAACTTCTATCATTATTATTTGAAGTAGCTTGATAAGGACATTTCAAAGCAGAAGATGAAGAACCCTCTTCAGATGATGAGCCTTCCTCTCCTTTCATCACTGGACATTGACCAATAGTTGGAATTAAATCCTGATGATGAGAAGGAAGCTTTGATGGAGTGGCCATCATTTCCTTCACTAATTTCTCCTGTTCTTCCGGATCTAAATGAGCAATGTGAGGACATTTCTTGATCAATTCCGATAATTCAACATTGTGAGTGGCGATTGGGTTCTCTGGTTCTGAGTACATTTTTTTTACTTTAAATTCCGATAATATCTTTACAACATGATGATTCACAAGAATGATTAATATTTTACACTCCAATATTTACATTTATTAAATCTTTTAAGGCAGCAATAGATTGATCATTATAAGATTGTCTTGATAATGAATTAACTGTTGGTAGGGAGCCACTGCTCTTTGGTCTCATTTCTTGATTCGAATTGGTATTTACATTAGATTTCATCATTCTTGCACATTGTCCAATCATGCTCAAACTCGATTGACTATTATTTACAGAACTAAGTGAATTAGCACCAAATCTATTCGAAGAGGATGAATAATTCGAAGGTGTTAAACTAGTTGGTGCACTTGGCATATCATCATCTTCATACATTCCACAACCATTCGAATAGTAGCTACTCATTCCACCACCAACAACAGCTCCACCACCATTCACAGTAAACGATGAATAATAATGACTCTGATTATACATCATTGAATCAAACATGATATCATCATCACACGTTCCCATCAAACTTAATCTTCTAAAACTACTCGATTGTTCCTCAAAATCTGCAGAATTAGTACTATTATTATCATTTTCATTATTTGGCATTGATGCTTCATCATCAAAATGTCCAATCACTTCAGAACAACAATCATCAGAACATTCACTCGTTCCCATCTCCTCATGAAATGTACAACTAGCAGCAGATGTGGCCGTATTAAAAGTAGTTGCTGCCGATGATGAATGATTATTATTCACATCACGATTATGATTATAATAGGTTGGTGTAGCAGAGACTGCTCTTCCTCTCTCCATCGCCATCTGATCATTTTTCTTCTTACGTGGACTCTTTCCTCTCTGTTCCATAGTTGTTGTACTCATCACATGCTGCTGATGATTTGTCGTTGTTGGTTGTTGCAATGATTGTCTTGTTGGTTGTTGTTGCGTATTTTCCTTGTTCTTATTCCCGCGCTTTTTTAAAATATTCGTAATTTTGACCTTCTTCTTATGATGATGCGAATGATTGGTGATGATGAGAATGATGATGAGGAATCATCTTTGATTGACTCGATATATGTGTATTGTTATTGTTGGTGTTATGTTTGGTATTGTTGTTATTGTTGTGTGATGGTGTTGTTGGTGCAGAAACGACAACGAACATTTCATTGACAGGTAGAATGATATCCCTACCATTGATATTGTTGGAGTGATGATTATTATGACCAAATAAAAGACCAGTTGATATTGATTTGTGTTGTTTGTGTTGTTTGGAAGGAGAAGTGAGGTTTTTGGCATCTGACAGGTTGCTGCTGTTGAGAGGTTGTTGGAAGAGAGAGTATTCTGGTGAGCCGGCTATGGATTCTGGTCGAGAGTTACCAGCTGCTGACCTATGGTTCTTTCTTGCTGAATTAGTGTTACCCATTTCGAAAGTAGACGAAAGTAATAGAAAGGCAGTTAATTGGTTAATCAGTTGAATTCAATCAACCTGGGTATATTTGAAAATGTTGGTATGCAGATATTAATAACCTGTGCTTAGAATCTGGTAGTTGCCAGTTGTCAGAACTTGATTTTAATCTTTTTTTTTGTGAGGATTAAATGTGATGGGAGATTCTCCCATTCTCCAAATTTCGAGTAGAGTGCACATGTGTGGATGCTGGGGCCCTAGTGTAAAGGATAGATGACGGTAACGAAAATAAACAAACCATTTTAAACCAACATTAGTCAGATTCTGCAAATACACATTAGGATAACGTTTCGAATAATATATCTTTTGAATGGACTCTTCATCCTATTGGTTGGTTGTGACTTTTGTTACAATGAGAATACACTGCCAGATGTTGTCTATTGTGTTCAATTCGAATAATTGTAATTTATAAGATGATGTAATATTAGAATGGATGAACAACATTTTTTAAAAAGGCAGCTGCTGGATAAATAGGATGTTCCTGTATTGGTGTTGAGTTGCTTCCTATTCCATACAAACAGTTATCACTATGTACAGAACTAGTTCTCCATTCTAAAACCCAAAGAAGAAGTTAACTAACAACTGTGTGAAGATTCTCACTGACTAGTCACGATTCCATAGTTTCATCTCCTTTCAACATCGTATTGTGTTATTCCTCATCAAAATATTTGAATTATCTCTTGCTTAAAAATCATGTTTGTAATCAAATTCGATTCTCTCTGTTGATTCCTCCCTCACTCAGTTGACATCAAAGAGTCATTTTATTGGAATAATGAGAATCAATGATATGTTTTTATTTACAGAGCTGATCTAATAAATCTATGAAATTGAGGTGTATCTAAACCATCTTCATCTTTACAAGGGAGAATATGTTTATCATTGTGGGTTAATATAAGTGATGTTTCTCTGCAAAAACAATCTTCAGCAAAATTCTGAGAGTCAACTGGTTTTACAATGTCATCTTGTAAACCAATGAGGTGAATATTTACAAAACATGGAGCAATTTTGAGACCTCTCATGAGTAATACATTCAAAAGTTCTGAGACTTGTATCGATGAAGGTCTGAAAGCTCCAATCAAAATTATAAACTTTAAATTACACTTCTTATTTCCATTCTCATCAAGATTAAAGAAAACTTTTCTAATTCCCTCGATAATATCATCAAAGTTGGTTTCGTCTGGATCCTCCCCTGACTTTTCAAATAATGAAGGTGGTAAATTATCTCTATTCAATAATCCATAAAATTCGAGGGATATTAAGGTTGACAGAATTGAGGTGATCATTCCTCCCTGTGAGAATCCTAATAGACCTTCAATGATATGTCCTTCTCTCCTTCGTTTTCCAATGAATCTAATCAAATAATTCATACATTGTCTCCATCCGTGATGAACTTTCCCTCCATCTCGTCCTAATCCCCAACTTCTGAAACATTCTTTTGGTTTCTTATTGACCTCCGAAGATGTTCCCATGACAATACTTGCTACCTTAGTATTGGGTGGAATGTCAGCTACAAAAGGTGCATTTGGATAAACAAAGTTTTGAATTGGTAAATTTCCTCTCTCAAAATGATACTTTCTAAATTCCAAAGTCTTTCTCTCAAATACTTGTGCATTTTGAAGCCAACCATGAATCATGACAAGTGTTCTCTTCTCCTCAAAGGTTGATGTTGAAGAGGATGATGTGGCTAATAATTTTGAGGGATGTAATCCATGTTGTTTCATTTCCGATTCATTCAAATTACTAGTGTGAAAGAGCATCGGCGAGGATGTTCCAACCATTTGCTGTACATTGTGGTGTTGATGTTTCGACATTTTTTTGTCCTTGAAAAAAACGAACCATTTGTGTGCGAAATTCTATTAATGTACCAAGTTTGAGGAAATGAGCGAGGAAAAAAAATGATGGCGCTCAATAAATTTTTCAGGTGATTTTCAAGTTTTTTCCTGTTTTCATCACAATAGATTTAGGAAGAATTGGATATTATTTTAGTGGTAAGGTGGATAAAGCGCGAATTTTCATAGAACTGAGAAGAATTGGATTGAAATTCAATAAATTGGTTTTAATAAGGTTGTAAAAAATCTAATGGAGTTCCTTTATTTAAAGAGTTTGCTGGAAATATTGTTCAATTCTTGAATTTGAGAGTTGAGCTGTTGTATCAGAGATGGATCCTTGTCTTTTTGTTGGAGGAGATCATTCATACTCTTGTTTACTTCTGCCAATTGATCAACAATGCTAACAGTCTGAATAGATTTGATATTAGATTTAAGTTTTTGCACTTCAGATTGAAAGGAAACAACTGCAATCTTCTTATTCTTTGAAATTTCAAATTTAGAATTTTGTAAATCGACCATACTATTGTCTGTTAATTTTGAAAAAGCTCTCACTTTGCCCTCCTCATCTTTTCCAGAAAGTAGGTGTTCTACAAATTCAATAAATTCAGCACCAAGTATATTCGAAGCCATTTCACTGTGTTCCGACCTTTGCAAGTAGATGGACAATAGTGATTTGGAAACAATTGTTTGAACTGAGAGATTGTCGCTTTCAATTGCTAATTTGAAAAATTGTTGCAATGTTTGTGTGAATTCATCAGACAACTTATTTCTTGTAATTGACTCTACCAGGCTACAAATGCAAACTTTGATTCTATCTGATCTAGCCCAGCAAATCTGTTTCAAATTATTCAAAATATCATTTAAAAAGTTGAAATCTGAGCCAATTTCTGGCATTGAAACTTGGTCCCTTAAACAAAGAATGGCCTCTTCTAAATATTTATCCGAAACTGTTGATTGGAGCTTATTGGTAAGAATAATGGTTATCATCTTTTTACAGGATTCTGCAGGTAATTTCCCTTGTTGAGTAACATTTTTCAGCAATATAACAAGTGCTATAGAGAATGGATCATCATTTCTATCTTTCAACTTGTTGATTATTGAGGTGATGCATTTCCTCAGCTCAACTACACGAATGGAACAAGGAAGAATTGCAAGTTGAGATATACCTTCTTCTGATAAAATGTCTGTAAAGTTAGTGACCTGTTTGTGATCCTTGATATCCATTTTACCTAGTAGTGGCCTTAATATTTTTTCAACAACCATCCACTCGACATTTTCACCCTGTTGTGAATTGGATAGTCTCAACTCTTGTGGTGCCAAAAACAAATTATGAGAGATGACACCAATCAATTCCTTCAAATAGTCTAAATAAGGTTGTTGGGATCCAGAGTTGTTGTTAAACAGTGTAGCAATAATATCTATACAAAATTCTCTGGCAATATCATTATTCGAAACATCAAAAAGTTCTTTCCATAATGTTACTTGAATATCTGACAATAATTGAGAATCCTTATTCTTTACAATAGCAGAAAGAGTGTTTTGAAGAATGGTTTGATACAAGGAAATTGAATCTGAAATATCCAGCATTAATATACTATCACAATATCGGATTTGCTTAATTACATTTTCTATATATTTTCCATATTTCTTGTCAGAATTAATTAGGAATGAAAACAAGTATGTCTTGGCAGCAGCATTCAAATAATCTGGAGATGCAGGCTTGATTGATAAATAGGCTTCAAGAGAAGTATTTTGAAATGGTATTAAGAGGAATAGTTCTACTGTTTTGTTCAACATTTGTTGAACTACTTCGCTTCTTCTTGGCATTAAGAGCATTCTTGTAACTGAGTTTGAAAGGGATTCCAAAATCAATTCTTTTTGCCCTGATAAATAGTCTATATATGCAGTGGCTACGGCAGATAGTAGAGTAATTCCTTTTCTTACATTTGATTTCTTCTTTAGACTTTCACAAATTTCAACAATTACAAATTTCAAAACATCCATAATTGTTTCGGATTGCTTTCTTTTAGATTCGGTATAGTGTTGAATTGCCATAACACAAGAGGGAATACCTGTAAATAAGTGAATAAACACATTTTGAATATTGTCATTGCTGAAAGAGTGATTGAACAATCCTCTACACATTAAAAGATATTGCATCATGAAATTGTCATCAATATTCTCAAAACTACTATCAGAAAATAATGTACATAATGAATCCATATATAAAGTAAAGCATGCTTCTACTTCTGCTTGAATGTCTTCCGATGATGATGATTCGTTTTTTATCAATCCCATTCCTTCAAAAAAATCAATCATCATTTGATGAATTTCATAAGCGTGTACAATTGAACGAAAGTGTTTACCTTCTTTTGCAATTCTAGTAAAGACAGCCAAGAAGGATCGGAGTACTCGGAAAGCCTTTACACTTTTTTCAGCTTTGCAAAATTCAACACAAATTGCCAAGCCTTTAGTAACTTCCATAAAGTCAAATATATCATCAATACTTGAACAATTAGAAAAAGATTTGTACATTGATGTAAAACAAATCAGAGAAATTAATGAAAATCCATAAGAAAGTGATGTTTTGGCTTCATCATCACAAACCTGTTCCGATCTACTATAATATTGGTCCAATGCATACATGTAGGCTTGTTTAATTTGTTCCAAACCATTCTCTGGATGAGCCAGCCTTTTTCTATTTTCCACATCAGAAGGATCACTCAGTACGCTATCCACAATTTGATACAATTCTTGTTCTGTGAGTGCACTCATTTTTTTTCCTTGTTTTTTAAGAACTTCTTGTTGGTGTTGTAACTTGTTTTTGGCGCCATATTTTTGCGCCACTCCAATACAAAAAAAATGAGTGCATTTACATCACAAACTGCAGACGATCCAACTCTTGAGAGAACCTACAGAGGTCATCATGGTACAATAACAGCACTTAGTTTCTGTCCAAGTATGAAGCGTATGGCTTCGGTGTCAATGGATTCAACATTGTATATTTGGAATTTTAAACCAAACCTTAGATCATACAAATACCAACAACATGAGAAGGGAGGTGTGATGTGTGTCGAATTTTCTCCTCTTACAGGTAAATTAGTGGCAACTGGTGGTAAAGATAAGACTATTAGACTTTGGCAACCAACTATTGAAGGAAAATCAACCATCATCAGAGGACATACAAACACTGTGAGAAGTGTACACTTTTCAATGGATGGAAAACGTTTATTGTCTTCATCCGATGATAAGACAATCAAGGTATGTTATTCAATTATTAATTGAGGCAACTAAGTGTCACTTTTTTATCAGCTGTGGTCCATTTCAAATCAACAATTTATTCAGGTCTTTTCCGGTCACTCTAACTGGGTAAGAGCAACAGATTTCTCACCTGATGAAAGATTGATTGTCAGTGGAAGTGACGATAAAACTGTGAGATTGTGGGATATCAAATCAAACAAATGTATAATGTCTCTTGTGGAACATACTGATAATGTTAATGATGTTCATTTTTCTCCTGATGGAAATTGTCTAGTTTCTTGCAGTGTTGATAAAACTGTTAAGGTGTGGGATGTAAGACTTGCAAAGAAACTCCTCCAACATTTTACAGGACACGAAGATATTGTAAATCAAGTTAGCTATCATCCGAGTGGAAATTATATTATCAGTTGTAGTACAGATCAAACTATGAAGATTTGGGATACTAGAGAAGGAAGACTCTTTTATACAATTAGTGGACATGCTGCACCAACTACAGCTGTCACGTTCTCTCCTCTAGGGTAGGTTTCAAACCTTTCATCTATTATTAATTATTACTATTTTAAAGTGATTACTTTGCAAGTGGTGGCGCTGACAACTTGGCCATGGTTTGGAAGACAAATTTTGATAAATCGCTTCCAAATTATCTATTTGAGAACAATCTTGCTCCTCCTCAATCTAACATTAATACCTATGCTGGTATTGAAGAGGACCAAATGGCTGATAGATTATTCAGAAATGTTCAAGAAAGACCTCAAACTGCCCCAACTGCTTCTCAACCAATTCCTTCAAACCTTAGAAGTCCAATCATGAGACAACAACCACAACATGTGCAACAACCAATGGAACAATCTTTCAATCAACAATCCATCCTTCACACTCCAAAACAACAACCAAGCACCCCACTAAACACTCATCACAACCATCCACAACCAACTCAACATCAACAACAACCTAGGCCACAACCGCAACTCAACAGTCAAAGTACTAACTTCCAATCTGTATACCTCCCTCCTCCAATACAAACTGATAACCTTCCTCCAACTCTTTCTAATACATTGGAACATATTCTAAGACAATTGGATATCATTACACAAACTGTTAAAGTTATGGAGGATCGTTTAACACTGACGGAACACAAGCTCTCTAAAATTGAAATCAATCAAAAGAAAATTATACAGATGGAATTGGCCAACCAGCTGGCTCATATGAATATTCATACTCCACAATTATCAGAAATTGATGAAACTAATTTATAAAGAAGAGGTGAGAGTCTCTAAGTTTTGTACATATCTCTAAGAATTACTTGCTGTTAACAAAATAAACGTTATAAAATACAAATTCCTTAATCTTAAAAAATGTCTTCCACACCAACATCATCAAGCAGTAAAAATATTGGTGTCAGCTCTAATATGATTGGTACAGGTTCTCCCTTGAGAAATCTTGAATATCCACAATTTTCTACACAAAGTCCTCTAAAGAGAGGGTTATTGGAAGGTAATTCAACAAGACCCGAGAGTTCAACTCTGAGAAATTCATATAATAGTACATTAAGAAGTGATCTTTCCTTCCAGATAGGTTCCTCACTCTCAATAGACATGATCACTCAACACGATTTGATCTTTAAACAAATGGATAGACAAAGAGCAGAACTCTACCAACGAATGCAAGATAGAATTCAAAGAGCCAAACAATTAGGACATATTTGTAAAGATCAAATTAATTATCTTAAATCTAAAATCATGGACTTGGAAGAGAGAATTAACGAAGCAAATAACGAACATTTCAACAAGCATGTTCTTCAAATAGATCCAAAAACAGCCATCGATTCTCTCTCTGCTATTCTTTCCGATGATGAAGATATCACCGAATTAAATAGAAGTAAAATCTCTGATAAGAGTCTTAACAGTAGTTTATTCAGCGACTCGAAACACAACCTTGATGAATGAAGCGATGACCTTGACAATCTTTGAAGATTATCAAACCTATCTTAAACATTCAATTTCTGTAAATACCATTATCAAGTGTTTCATCTGAAATCGAAACCTTTCGCTTCCAACTCCTTCTCGAGAGAATCCACTTCATTAATAAATGGATGATGAATAACAATTTCAGAACGCACATAGACGTTCTTCCTTCATAATTGAATGAAAAATTCATCTAGCGCACCAATGTAAGTCCGTCATTTCTTCGACCAATGACACCGCTCGACTGAAACAGCTGGTACATGGAAATTCTAATGTTGCTCATCAAAACATATTCAAAAATCAACACCAAAAAAAAGCTAACAAATCTCAACAAGCAACATACAGCTTTGTTGAACAATACCCTCCGAGTACATTATTATACTTTATTCTAATACTACTAGTACTTAGCTATAATTTTTTTGATCATCATGCAGCAGCAGCAACAGCAAACTACTGTAACAATAGAAGAAAAGAAAAATGTGCAATTTGCATCTAATACAACTCCAGAACAACAACAACAGGGAACAACACCTCATAAAAATGCTACCGAGAGAAGTGATTTATTGATGAAGACTACCCTCGCTAAGGACTTTAATCAAATTAGAGGGCTCTTTTTGAAATCTTTCTTTTTGCAATTGAAGCAGTACAAGTAGGTTTAGTTTTTAATTTTGACAATTTTTAAAACCGAAAATTATAGAACTAATCTTTGTCAATTACTCTTCCCAGTCATGTGTCTAGTTTTTATATTTATTTTGCAAGCAGTTTTGAATACCATTGTTGCAGGATTTTTGAATAGTGCAGGTAGTGATGGTGTAGTAAGAATTAATTCTACTTCTGTAGAACTTTCTCAGTTAATGTTACAAGCAAAATCATTACAATCTGGAAAGAATATTTCATTTTCACCACCGGAAGCCATCTATGTCACAAGTGACAAGCTTGGTTATCTTGATAGTATTGGATTTGGAAAATTGTCACCTAATCTCACACTTTCTAATGGATTTTTAAGAAATATTGGACCGATTAGTAGACTTTCAGCAAGTACGGCTGTAAATGGTACTTTCAATTACACTGGTTGGGTATCAATTCCATACTCTGTATCCTCACCATTCACTGATGAAACTTCTATGGATGAAATCATTTATGATCATATGGGTGCCGTTTCTAAACCTGAAAATTTGGATGCCGTAGGTGGATACATTATTAGAGACTTATCCATCTCTGATAAGGTTTCTACCAAAACCACGTTTAATTATACTGTAGAATATGATTATGATGAAAAGACTCAATTCTGTAAGAATTACATCAAAAAAACACCATACTCGTATGCAATTAAGAGTTGCAAAGATGCTATTGGTGTAGGTCTTCAGAATTGGATGAATGATGCTTTTTTGAGAAATATTACAGGTTCATTCAGAATTAGAACTTATACTGCTCAAATGGCATATGATACCGAAGTTGCAACTTTCCAAATTGCTGACTTGTTGGGATTCTTCTTCTTCCCTATGATTTTATGTTTATTGCTCCCATCATTCTCATTCACAATTGTCTTGGAAAAACAATTCAAGTTGAGAGAAATGATGAAACTCATGGGTATGAAGATGAGATACTACTTTTTAGTGACCTATGTATTCTTTTATCTTCTCTATTGTATCTCTGCCGCATTGTTTATTATTTTCTCATTGATTTTCAGATTTAGATTCATTACCCAAACCAATCCGTTTATGCTTTTCCTCTTCTTTATTGCCTGGGGTAATACTTTGGTTAGTTTTGCTTTCCTTTTGTCATCATTTATTGGTAAAACCATTGTTGCTACCATTATTTCCTACCTCATTGTCCTTATTATGCCTATGGTAGGAATCATTTTGGAAACTGCAGTCTATACTAATGTTCCAGAAGCAAGATTTGGTTTGTTGACAATTTTCCCGTTACAGATAACTCATTTTGTCTATGCTGCCTCAAGTTCTTGCAATTCATTTGAATGTTTGAAGAAGGTTTCTGATATCTATGATAACCAATCTGTGTTTTATTCCTTAATTTATATGGTTGGTATGTCATTTGTGTACTTTATCCTTGGTTTGTACTTTGATGCTGTTGTTCCTCAACCATTCGGTGTCTCTAGACATCCTCTCTTCTTTTTGGAATGGATTTGGAAACCATTCACAAGAAATAGAGTGAAGAGTAAGAATGGAACTGCCAAGAATAGAGTCAGTCCATGCTCTAAACAAGAAAATCAAGATGAAGAAATAGTTGTAGATGCTGTTAAGGGAGAAACTATGGACTCTGATGTCGCTGAGGAATATTTCAAGGTTAATCCACCTGGATATGACAATAAGCAAATGCAAGAACATGTGAAAAAGTTGAGAGAAGATAATGGTGTTGTTCTCTTTAATTTAGAAAAGACCTATGGTTTGAATAGAGCTGTAAAGGGTACTTGTTTGACCATTGGTAAATCTGAATGTTTCGGGTTATTGGGAATGAACGGTGCAGGTAAATCTACTACCATTTCCATGTTATCTGGTATGTTTGGTCCAAGTAATGGTACAGCATACATATATAATAAGGACATTAGATATGATATGGAAAGCATTCACAAAATGATGGGTTTGACAGCTCAATTTGACATTTTATATCCTGACCTTACTTGTGAAGAACATTTATTATTCTACAGTAGACTGAAAGGTATTCAATTGAAACATGAAAAGGAACATGTTCAATCCTTGTTAAGACAAGTTGGTTTGGATAATGATACACTGAAAACTAAATGGTCACCAAACTCTAGCTCACTTTCAGGAGGTATGAAGAGAAGATTATCTATTGCTATTTCACTGGTTGGTGACCCTAATGTCATTCTTCTTGATGAACCTACCACTGGTTTGGATCCTCTCTCAAAGAGACACTTGTGGGATATTATTCTCGCTCAAAAGAAAAATCGTACAATTATTTTGACTACTCACTCTATGGAAGAAGCCGATGTCTTGTGTGATAGAATTACAATCATGAATAAGGGTTCTTTCAAGTGTCTTGGATCTGGTGTCAGATTGAAGAGTAAATTTGGTGATGGTTTCTTATTGACTGTCAGTTATGGAGTTTCAAGTCAAGAAGCTGCTGAAAAGTACGTCTACGATTATGTTCCAGAAGCTCAAAAAGATTTAACACTCACTGGTACCACTACTTTCAAGATTCCATTCTTCAATACCAAGCAAATTGGGGAAACTGTTGCAGATAATAGATCTATTGCAGGTCTCTTCCAACATATGGAATCTGGTAAAATCAATCATGGTATTAAGGAATGGGCTCTTAATCAAGTATCCCTCGAACAAGTATTCTTGAATATTGTTTCTAAGGACTCTGAGAAGAGATCTCAAGCTGAAAAGGATGTCAAATGTGCTCACAAGAGATCTTCTGTTCTAATTAGACAATGTCTCTGTTAATTGTTGAAAATTAAACATTTCTAATTGTAACTCTTTTTAACATCAAAATATCTTCCAATAAACAACAAGCAATCCGATTCCAATAATTGTGTTCCATTAACTTCAAAACAAGAATCAAAAAAACACCCAAAAATGTCTGACTTGTATTTTAATATGAAATTTGCTTCCAAGCAATTCGAACGTCAAAGGTTTGTTGTTTGGAGCGATCACAAGAATAACCGACGACATAATGAATATATACACTTTGATTATTGTTTTTTCGGAATGAATATTATTATTTAAATATATAATGTGATGATGGAAATATTTAATTTACTTGACAATTTTTTGATAATTTATTTGAAATATTAATAGTAAAAAGAGTGAAAAGGAACAAGTAAAGGAACGTACAAAAATCAAACAAGCTTTGGAGAAGGGAAATGTTGAAGCTGCCCGAATTCACTCCTCCAATGTAATTCGATTGAAGAATGAGGCTAATAATTTCCTGAGATTATCGGCACGTTTGGAAGCTTGTGCTAGTAGGTAGAGTATCAAATTTTACAGAGTTTTATTCAATGAATTTTGAAAGAGTGAAAACTGCTGAAATGATGGGAAATGTTGTCAAGACTATGGGAACTGTTGTGAAAGGAATGGACAAGGCATTGGAAGCATTGGATACAGAAAAGATTGGAATGATTATGGATAAATTTGAAGAACAAGTTCAAGGATTGGATGTGACAACTTCATATATGGAATCAAGTATGAATACTGTGACAGCAACAAATACCCCTGAGGATGAAGTTAATTGTACGTTTATTTGGAAATTATTGCATTATTAATAATTGTAGCATTGATGGCACAAGTTGTGGATGAGAATAATTTGAATTTGGATCAAACTATTTCACTTGCCAAAGTTGGAAAGGATCAAATTTCTGAAATTCAAGCTGAAGCTCTCATGAAAGAAGTACAAAAACAAAGAGAGAAGAAGAAGGCACTCATGATGTAAATTATGTAAATAATCAAATGATAAAATTAAAAAATTCTTAAATAGTACAGAAATTGGATTCAAATTTTTTAAGTTTTGTAAAGACAAAATACTACAGCACCACAGGTTCCCAACAAAATATTTAAAGTTAAGCGAAGAGAAAAAAGACTACAGCACCACAGGTTCCCAAGTTGTCTCCAACCTCAGTACTGATGTGGCTCGACGATGCTTAACTTCTCAAATCGGACGGGATGAGGTGCATTCATCGTGATATGGCCGTAGCCATTCATTATGTAAAAATATGAATCATGAACATTTAATCTCCCTCTTCGCTGTAAACTATTTATCATTTTGAAAAGGCATGGGATTTGGTATTAACTTTCGAACATTGCCATTGGATCATTCTGGCAATTTGGAAATGAAACAAGATATTGATTTGAATTTTATCCATCGTTAGGAGGAACAAACTCCGTGATTTGGTCAAATAAGAGAAATGAATCCAATGTGTGTTGATCAACGTTTCACTCCTTGTGGTCGAATGTAAGTTCATGAATTTGTCAATTATGAAGTAGCTGAAAAGGGAAACCAATCACAAAATACTGACATATTACTTCTCCAGCACAAATTACTTGCTTTCCAAACCAGGAGTTGTAAGTCCAGTAATTAGTTTAACCAATGTTCAAGCATTGGAAATTCAATTGACTAAAGAGGAGAAGAAGAGTTTGGAAGGCGCCTATTCTACAAAGGAAATTCAAGGAATGTTCAAGTGTGATTAAATAGAGATTGATTAAAATTTATTCTTCCAAATAATTTAATTTCTGATTTTCAGTAATATCAAGAAATGTCAAGTTTTTCAATTCCTGTATGTATTCAATCCCTTCTCTACCAATATTATTATTATGAATATCAAGATATGTTAATTGTTCCATTCCACTAATATATTTAGCACCAATATCGGTAATACCGTTCATATATACATTTAGATTGGTCAATTGCTTCATTTCACTAACATATTCGGCACCTTCATCACCAATTTCATTACAACCAACATCAAGATTAGTCAATTGTTTCATTTCACTAATGTGTTTAATTCCTTCCACACCAATATTGCTGAATGAAATACTAAGATAAATCAAGTGGTTCATTCCACTTAAAAATTTAGCACCCTCATCTCCAACATTGTTCATGGCAATTTCCAGATTTGTCAGGTTTTTAGACGACCACTAGCAATATATGCAATACCCTCAACATCTATATTGTTATTTTCTATATTGAGAAATGTTAATTGTTCCAAATCTAGTATGAGCTCACATCCTTTGTTTCCAATATTATTTCCAGAAATTATAAGATGTTTCAATTGTTTCATATTAATTATGTGTTTGACTCCTTCTACTCCAATGTTACAGCAATTCATATTAAGTTTAGTCAATTGTGTCATTTCACTTATATGTTTAGCTCCTTCCACACCAATTAAATTGACAGCAATACTGAGAGAAGTCAATTGCTTCATTTCAGATATGTATTCAATGCCTTGTTGACGAAGTGCATTAGTAGAAACGTCGAGATTATTTAATTGCCTCATCTCTCTTAAATATTTGGCACCTTCTTCACCAATCTTGTTATTTGATATATCAAGAAAAGTTAATTTACTCAGTCCAATAATGTGTTTAACACCTTCAACACCGATCCTATTGGATCCTATATTGAGATTGGTCAAATGTTTCATTTCAGATAGATATTTTGCTCCTTCCACACCTATTTCACAATTATCAATATGAAGAGTATTCAGTTGTTCCAATTCACTTAGATATTTCGCACCTTCATGAGTAATTGCATTTCCATTAATATTTAGATTAATTAATTTATCAAGTTGACCAATATATTTAGTATTTTCCACATTCATATTATTGTAAGAAATAGAAAGATTAGTTAATTGTTTCATCCATTCGAATATTTTACAATCAAACACAACACTATCACTTCTTCTCTTTTCAACTTTAAGAGTTGCAATATTTTGTAAAAATTGACCTTGCATTTTCGAATGGTCATGATTGCGTGTCAATGAAAGTTTACATCTATCCGAAATGACATGCAACCACTGTTTAGAAACTAATGCACAACCCGTTACCATAAATTTAAAATCATGGCAAAGAAATGATAAAATTTCATAAAGTGAATCATCTGAAAAAACATTTGCTTTTGAAAAACCATTGATGGCTGACTTGTCAGAGCTGATGGCTTGGTTTTTTAGTTTGCTCATTTTTTTTGAAATGAGTTCAGCAATGTTCAAGCCTTCATTCTTTTAGAAGTTTGAAGAAAAGCATTTTTTTGTAACTTTAAATTTAAAAAAAAAAGATAGTAAGTGGAGGCTATTTTCCTGATGGTTTCAAGATATGAATCTGTAAAAAATGAATAACTTCTAGATAATATTGAGTTGAACATACAGTAAAAATATCTGAACTGAAACATTAGAGATGGAAGCAAAAATTGATCTCGAGTGCCGGGAATTGAACCCGTCTGGAATGCTACCACTATACCACACCCGATTACACAAAAAGAACATTAAATTCTTAAATGTTTGCTTCAAAAGTTGAAAGTGGCATTTCCTAAAGCAATAAATGGTCAAACACGTGGCTGAATTTGAAAAATTGTCTCTTGTTCAATTAAAAAAAAAGTAACCTACTGCAATGAATCTTCAGTCGAGTATTTTCATAGATTCATTAAGCCCTCTTGTCCAATCACACGATATCGTTCAAGAAATTGTGCAAGAGGGCCTACTATTAATTGAGAGGGAGGAAATCCACAAGCATTAAATAAATTTTGCAGTATTGTAAATCAACAGCAGTAAAAGAGGAACTTAAATAATAGTAAACACCAACCCAAACAATTTGGATAAGATTGAATTGACATTTTTTCAATAAAGTCTTGAATTGTGAAATTTTCAATTTATTCTTTCTGAATTTCAGTTCAATAACATTGCCAAAGAACAAATTCTTTATTGGAAGGCTCTAGAAACTCTGCTTCTAGTCTAAAATCATATTGTTGGTCAATGTCTAAAAGGGTCACTTATTAAGGAACATCCAATTCTGATCTCAAAAAAGGAAATTGGCTCCAAAATATTCATAATCTATTCTTTTTTGAAATATCTCCTTATTGAACCGAAAGCATTGTCCTGTTTGAACTGCTACCAATTCCTCAATTTCATCATAGTACTGATAGCCAATAAACCCAATTGTGTCATGCAAAGTTGACAAATTTTGGCATGCAGCCTCAATAATAAGCTCTCTATCCATTATGTTTGAGTAAAAAATACTTCTACCGAACTGTCTGATAGCATCAAGAACTACTTCCCTATTGCTTTTCAATTCCATTGGAGCAAATTCTAATACTCCTCCAAAAACTTTAATAGCCCGTTTGAAAAATTCAATATTACTGGAAGAAATAGATAAAAATGGTAGGTAATAAAGCGCTTTTTCTTTGTATAATCTTAACCCTTCAATCATAGCCTCTTCTTTAAATGGAGCTTCACATGCATGTATTAGTGTTTCGATATCTTTTTTCAAACATTCCATACAAATAGAAAACTCAGCACCAATTTGTGAAAGTAAAATCTTCTGGAAATCTCCTCTGAAGTATGTGAACAGTGTTTTAGATCCTGTAAAGTTCATATTCTTAAGAGCTATCATCATTATATCTGTATCCTTCATTAACGAATAAGGAAGATATTGGATTAACAGCCCATTATGCCGTACAATTTGAATAGCTAGTTCTCTATTTTCCAACAAACCAAGATCACGTGCAACCTCTACTACAAACGCATATGGATTTTTAAGGGTTTCTAGAATAATCTCCCTATCGTTATGGAGATGCTCTGCTGCATATTGAAAAGCAAATGAATTGCTCCTCACTGCCATCAATACCAATTCTCTATCGTTCTTATATTCATTGCATAGAAAATTTAATATTGATCCATTTGCGCAAAGACCCTCTCTCACTATTTCCTTATCGGTTAAGAATATCTTATTGGCATATCTCAGAGCCAATCCGTTATTCCTAATTGAGGTCAATACAATTTCCCTATCCGATTTAAATGTCTCACTTACTTGTTCCAAAGCAACTCCATGTTTTTCCACAACTTTTAACACTACATCCCTATCTTCAATCAAATTGTTAGGAATAGAGAATGAACTTCCAAAATCTGTCCTCCTATCAATGGCTTCCAAAAATACCTCCTTATAAATATAGTTGTTACACATTAAATCCAAAACTGATGGATTTTGCTGAACTGCCTCTCTCACAATATCTCTACACGAACGATGATTTGTAAATATTTCAAGAATTAATCCATTTTGTTTCACCATGAACATAATATCATCCGATGAAAACCCGTATTCATCTGTAAACTGTCTATATTCTTCATAATGCATTGCTAAAAACTTTAATCCAACATCTCTCCTTTCCCCATTCAATAAATCACTCAATATTGAACCTCTATTAAACCTTGAACAATTTTTCAAGTTATAATTCGCAAAATCCAAAATTATTTCCTCATCCTTCAATAATTCCTCATCAATCATGTCTGTTATATGCAGAATTGGTTTATATGGTGTAATTAGAACATTAGCCTTCCTCAGAAAATTTGAAACATATTTCTTGTCTTTTCTAAACTCAATCGGAATGTAATTATAACAATTTAAGGCTTCTTCTCTCCGTCTACTCCACAAAGCCTTTCCCTTCTGTTGGCATTCAAATTTCTTGATCATCAACTTTTGATAGTCGTGATGAGGAATTAAATCAATTAATTGAATCGAAACCAATTCTTCATCTTCTTCATCATCATAATGATGGAAATATTTATTTTCTTTGGCGGGAAATTCTGAATCAAAATCTCTATCTAGCACTCGTTTCATTTTTTTTATAATTAATTGCAATTACAAAGAATCATAATTGTAAAGTCTTTAAATGTGCAATAATTTGAATTGAACAACATTAAATAGAATTGAGGAGAAACAAAATATTAAACTAAAGCACTTAATAGTCTCCAATTGTAGACAAAAAATGCCAATCAATTAATAAAATGTGATCTGTCTACTCAACATGTCAATTTTCCACAATCAAAAAAAATAACAATTAACTGCACTTTCACTTTTTGAAATAATAATTCGGAGCGATCGGCTACTACTTTGCAGAAAATTTATACAAGAAACAATATTCGAAACCATGTCATCAATAGGATATTCTCTAGCCGTTGATCAAAGTGGCTACAATAAGGAATCTCTCACCGAAATTTATCAACATTCTCTTGTTTCCAATAATTCCATTCTCTATCTTTATGGTGGAGAAGATTCGAATGGATACTGGACGAATCGTCTATGTGTTATGAATGTTGCTGGTTTTGCAATCAAAGGAAAAGCTAAAGCCAAATATCTTGAATGGGAAAAACCGAAATACAATTCATTTCCTCCTAAAAAAGATGGTCACGTAGTTTGTTTCAATTCCACACAAAAGAAAATGTTTATTTTTGGTGGAAGTGATAATCAACACATTTCTGGACAGAATAATGCTGTCTATTCTGTTTCTTTCGATAATTTTAATTGGAAAATTGAGATGAAACATGAAGAAACATCTGCTAGACCAATTGGAAGATCAAACTCTGCATTCACACAAGTTAAGAATAGTTTATTCTTGTATGGTGGTAAAGTTAGTGATTTTAATGCAAATTTGGATTTTCCAGTAACTAATCAAGTATTGGATGATTTTTGGATGTTAGATACTGACTCAGTTTCTTGGAAGAAACTTTCAAACAAATTGGCTGCTGGTAAAAACTTGCCAAAATTGTTTGGTGCTTCATTGTGTGCTACTGCTAATGGAGAACATCTCTTCCTGTATGGTGGATCAATTGGTAGAGAATATAGTCCTGAATTGTACAAGTATTCCATCAAGAGTGACTCATGGGAATGTGTAACATCAAAAACCAAAGGTGACGGTCCAAAGATTGGTAGAGAACGTCATGCTTGTGTACTTTTAACAAAGACCAATGAAATGATTGTGAGTGGTGGCTGGGTTTTTGGAGGAATTGACTCTTCAATTTACTCTCTTAATTTGGATTCTCTCATGTGGAAGAATATTACACCAAAGAATTTAGATTCAAAATCTTTACAGAGATATGGTCATGCTTCTATTGCTGTTGAATTGTCAAATACTGAACAATATGTAGCTATTATTGGTGGTAAGGATATTTCAATGAATAATAGATCAGATTGTTTATTGATTGCACTCACCAATAAGGAAGCTACCTTGACATCAATCTTACAAGGTATTTCACAAAAGCAAAACAGTGACAATTCATTCACAGAAGATTGGAACAAGTTTGAAAAGTTAGCTACTCCTCTTCCTGCTCCATCTTTGACAGATGATTATATGGCAAGCGTTGCAGGTGTTGGTTCAAAGGCAACCACCACCACTACTCCTACAGCTGTCAAACAACCTGAAGTGCCAAAGAAACCAACTACCAGTACTGTTACTCCAACACCTGAAAAGGTTAAGGAGTCAAAGCCAGTTGTAACCTCAAACAATTCAGGTGATTTGATCGGTGAAAAGTTGCAAAATATTGACGATAAACCAAAGTTGGAAATTGTCAAGAAAGGAGCAAGAATGCAACAAAGAAAACCTAAAACAATTAATGCTGATTTATCCAAGTTGGATAAGGCAGCTCAACAAGTCACTGTAGATGTACCAGATGAAAGCAAGTTCAAACAATTGGAATTGGAAGCTAAAAAGATTGTCACTCCACAACAAGAACCTGAAGCTTCTTCCAGTGACCAATCTGCCGAAAAGAAGCCAATTAGAGGAGGTGTATCCATGTTCCCTGCAACTGGTAATCCAATGATGGGTGAATTGAGTGCAAAGCTCAAAAAGAAACAATAATTTATAAAAGAGCATCCTGTAAGAAAATAAGCTCTTCAATGTAGTGGCAGTACTTTCTCAATTGAGGTTCATCATCTCCAAGAATTTCTTTTCTAGGAGTAATCTTGGCTTCCTCGTTTTGGATTTGGTCATTATTATAGATGTCCTTATACTTTGCATAGAGTTTTTGGAATCTATCCTTTCCAAAAATCTGTTCGTTCTGAGTAATTAACTTGGTCACTCTATCTTCCAATCGTCCCACAACTGGTACGTCATCATATTCAGTCTGATCATAATACTCGTCTTCGTCATCATTTTCCTCTTCATCTTCATTATCACTGTACTCATTTTCTTCATCTTCACTTTGAGTTTCATACTCAATGTCTTCAGAATCAACTGTCTCACTGTCATCACTATCTCCAAACATTGTGTCTTGTTGCTTGTCCTTCTCAGATTCAGGAAGTAAATTCATGATGGATTCCTTCTTTTTCTGGAGTGTTTCGATTTTCTTGTGAGTTAAATTGATCATTTCAGTGTATTCCTTCTCAAGCTCTGAATCTATTTCAGCTTGTCTTTGCGTTATGGATTCAATATCGGTAGGTGATTTGACTTGGTCAACTTCCTTCTTTAAGCCCTTTTCTGAAGCCAAAATATTATTTTGGTTGTGGAATTGGTTGTATTGTTGGTTTTTAGCGACCAATCTATTGGCATGGCTCTCAATTCTTGCCTCTTGAAGTTTTCTCTTTTCCTGTTCTTCCTCTTGGGCTCTCTTTTGTTGTCTCTCGAATAAAATTCTTTCCTTCTCATTTGAGAATTGATTTTGTTTGGACTCGAACTTTGATGGTACATTGAGGTTTTGGAATTTCTTACTGAACTCAGAGAAATTATTCTCCTCTCTCTCTTTTTTAAGCTTTTCCTCTTTTTCCCTTCTAACTTGTTCCAACATTTTTTCAACTCTCATTTGCTCCTTGTGAAGCTTTAAAATTTCTTGATCTATCTTCTTTTCCTTCACTACTTGATTTGAAGAGGATGGTCTGGATGATGGAAGAGGTTGAACACTAGGTTGAACCTTTAAGATTTGTGGTTTAGGAACAGATTTAAGATCCGACGGTATAGGAGTTTGATTTCTTGCTGTTTGGGGTTGAACCACTTTTCTTGCAACGATATGATTTGGATTGGATGGAACAGGTGATTTTTCAGATACACCTGTTGATGGCACAGGAGAAGCTGGAGGAGTGCTATCAATAATTCTCGAATTCAAAATACCCAACTCAGAAAGCTGGGCAGTAAGATTGGCCATTTCTCCTTCTGGAACAATATCTTCAACTTGATCTTGAGCTAAAACCAACTCCCCTGTTGGAGATAATGTAAGCATTTGTTGTCTAATATATTTTACAATAATTGGGGTTTGTAAAATTTCTTTAAGCGTTGGTCTCTTCGATGGTCTTGTTTGGAGACATTTAGTGATCAATCCTACGAGTTGACTATTGTAATGGTTCACATTCTTGATTGGGGAATAATAACCTTTTTGAATATTAAGGAAAAGCATTTGAATATTTTTTCCTTTGAATGGCAAAGCACCTTGGTTAACCATTTCATAAAGAATCACTCCCAAAGCCCAAACGTCCGATTTATAACTATATTTTGATCCTCCACATTGTTCTGGACTATTGTGAATGTCAGTAAATTCAATTTAACTCTTAATTGACTTACCTCATGTACAATGGCGTTCCAATTGTAGTTTGGGCCATTTGCTCACAAGTTCTCATTCCTGATTCATCAAACACTTTTGCAATACCAAAATCTCCTAATTTAACATTTCCCTTCTCTGATAAGAAAATATTTTGTGATTTCAAATCTCTGTGTAAAACCTTTTGATTGTGAATAAAATAGAGAGCCAGAGCTGATTGGACAAACAATTTCAAAACAGTCTTTTCTGGAACTCTTTGATTGAGATAATTTTTCTGAATAAAGTTCGATAAGTCACCTCCTTTGCAAAAGCTCATAACAATACACAAGTTGCTCTCCTCATCCATAAATGAATCAATGTATCGGACAATGAAGGGATGTTGAAGTGTTTGCAAGAGCTTGACTTCTTGCTTGGCACTATTCTTTTCCTTTTGAGATTGACCCTTCAATGGAATCTTTTTCATCACATATTTCTTATCAATATTAGTTGTTGAGTGCACTACAAAGACACTTCCATAACTTCCACTTCCCAATTTCTTTTCGACTACGTATCTATTCATTGTTGTTGTTGTATAATATTAGTATAATTTTGTAAAATGATGTTGCTGTTGTATTATTATTATTCGTGCAATATAACCTTCTTCACCATATGGAACAACAAAAGATACTCTCCCTTGAAGTATTGCAATGATGATGGTTGAATATTTTTTTACTTTGAACTTTTGTAGACAATTTTGGCGCCAAACAATAAAATTGCAATTTTAAACATGTAACGTTCCAATAGACATCCGGCAACGCGTTTTTAACGTTTTGGTGTTAAAAGGTTTTGAAACCTTATCACTACGTTTCATGACAGACAATCAAACTTCGTAAACTAAACTTTAACGTGCAAAGACCACTTATTGATATGCAAATAGTCTGTGAAGTTATTTTTACAAAGACAGTCCCATGAAAAACGTTTTAAAACGTTGCAACTACATTTTATTAAATGATTTAATATTGATACGTGGTACTGGTTGTTCTTTTTTGTGTATCTTTACTACATAGTAATCTAGTCTCTCCTCAACGTCAATTTGTTTAGTTAAATCGGTAACTTTTGGGAATGTTAGTTTCAAAGTATATGTTAAACCTTTTTCGCCAATAGGATCTTTCTTGCTAATGATTTCATCTGTGTCAAAGATGATGTCTTCATCAAATTTACCAACACTAAATTGAAACTCCATCATATTAGGTCTCTTTTCGGATGTTTTTGGGATAATTTCTATGCCACCAAACTTTTTAAAAATCCAATAAATATTGGATTTTGTTATTACGACGCATGGTTTAAACATTATAGGAACGTCTGTATGATTTACAACTTCGACGTAGTTGTTTTTGACGACTGCATTCACACCTCTTGTTGGTGATAACATAATAATTTCATCGTCAGATATGTTGCAAAACAACACGAAAAGTTGAAGACGAATAAAACGTAATAAAATGTTTGTTCAACGTTGACGTTAATCATCATTCATTTTCAAACGTTCAAATCGCGATTTAAAAAATCGCGATTTTCAACGCGTTGCCGGATGTCTAATATACAACAACTCTAATAAGAACAACAAATATTAATGACAATAATTTTCTTCACTACTGTACTGTGTTACTGGATCATGACAGGATGAAAACCCAACTTGCTCATTAAAACGTGAGGCACAAGAATTAGACTATTTTTAAATACAAAAAATTGAATCAAATCATCATTAGAATTTTATCAGTTGCCTTCCTCTTCTGTTTTAGTCTCATCAGAGAATTTTCAAACGTGATCGTGGTGGCCACCATCAACTCTCTCTCGGAATCTACATGAAGAAAGAAAATAGTACTACAACTTGTGATGGAGTATTTTAATAATTTATTGAGCAAGACGGGCAAGTTAGCCTATGGAAGCAGAGAGAATGTTCAACTTTCGGGGAATCAATCGACACAAGCATTGAATAGACAAACTTTGGAATTGTACTCTATGGAAATGGCTGATATTGCAAAGGAGTCATATGAGTTGGATTTTAGTAAAATTCCACTCAATAAGAATGTAGTGCTTGTGTTGGGAGATCAATCTGCTGGTAAATCTTCATTCGTTAATTATTTATTCTCTGGATCTAGCATTAGAGAAACTGGTGCCAATGCCATTGATACTCAGTTTACAATTTTGGAATGTGTTAGTGAAAAGGAATTTAGAAATATTGTTGGAATTTCAAAATATGATAATTTAATGAAAGAATTCAATAGGAAAAAAAGAGATCCAAATTTTGATATTGACGAATGGAAATCTCAACCATTAGAGAGGCAAATAACAGACGAAAGAGAAAATATTCTATATTGTGAACTTTCACAGACTGACAAGATGAATAGATATCGTCAATTTTATGATTCTACTATGAAAACTGTGCTCATAAAACATCATGAGCTAGTTAAAGCATATGTGGTGAATGCCAGATTTATAGATGGAACTGATATGGAGAAAATGTATCAGGGAAATGTTCAAGAGAGAAAGAAACAGAGAAAGAAAGAGAAGGAACTTTCAGAGTTTGTTGATAATATTTGCACCACGACTAAAAAGAAGGAACCTGCAGAATCTGAATGGGAACTACTAGATCCAAAAGCTATCAAGAAGAATAACTCACAGAAAAACCTGGAGGAAGATGATGGAGAAAAATGGTTGGTGGAAAATTTGATTTTCATTGATACACCAGGATTTAATGGTTCCATGAATTTGGATGTGGAAAAATTCAAAGCAAATATTGAGGTATTGGAATTCTTTTACAAAAACTCTTCATTAGTGTTGTTCCTCTTGAGTCCAGCACATTTGTTGAGTATTGGAAATTCTCTCTACATGTTACAACTGACCATAATTGATCAAGAAACAAGAGAGAAATTGTACAAACATGTATATAGTCAATTACAAATCACTGATAACACCCTACAGAATGGCAATAATGTACAGCAGCCAACACCTTCGTCTGGTGGATTAGTGAGTTCTATTAGCAAGACAGTGTTGGATACATTGTTGAGTGGATGCTACTCTGCATTGGAATCTAATTTCAAGAGTATTACATCCTTGTATAGTGGAGGTCCAAAAAAACAAAAGGATTATTATTTTGGATCCTCAATCTATGACAAGCTTTATTTTGTCATTAACAAGATAGATACTGTAAAGAATGTAAATTATTGCCATTTCGAACTTGGATGTTCAATAGGGAGAAACTTTAAATTTCTTCCATTGCCAACAGCATCCAGAGTTCTATGCATCGCGTGTCCAAATGAAATAAGGAGTCAAATAGCATCCACCTCTTTTATCAAGAGGAAAGATGTCAACTTGGCAAACGTGAACTTTGGAGATTTACACCAATTGGAAAAGATCATTAACACCCTACGAGATGAAAAACAGATTCAGTTAACATTCATCAATCACATTCAGTACATGTTTGAAAAGATACAAGCCAAACATCAAAATATGAACTATTACAATCAGTACATGTTAGGAACAGTCTATGAACGAGCTCAAAATATTTGTAATCTTTGTTGTGATCCTACTCCTGATGAGTTACGAGATGAGCAATCTAACTAATGATAAATATTTAAATGAATTGTTTTCAATAGTTATTTATTACTCAATGAATTTGATAAATGTTTCATGCACTTCCCAAATCGAGTTTATTCCACCTTTGATTTATATCTTTTCTTCCTCAATGGTTATTGTTACTCTTCCTTCAAGACAACCCATGATTCGTCACAAATAAACTTGTTTTGAAATTTGGAGGGCTCAATACTCAATAACATTGCTCTGTGAACTCCTTGCTACCTAAGCATGTTTCACAACAGGTTCTTCAAATTGTGGGTTCATTTGTTTTAGTTTATCTAACTCCATATGTTTCGAAATAAGTCAAAGAAATGGAAAACTGATGCAGTCGTATGAAAAATTTAAATTGAAAAGACAATCTGGTTTACAATTTTTTAATGATATCATTTTGAATAGCTTGAACAATGGAATGATCCACTTGGTAGGATAAAAAGTGATTCTTATCCTGGAAAATATATGGAATGGATCCAAGCTTTTCAAAAACAACTTTTTGTTCACTTTCAAAATCAACTAAATGATCATCCTCAGATCCAAATTGAACAATAATTGGACAATTTCTTTTCATTAATTCCCAATTCCATTCTCTATTGTAATATCCACTCTTTCTTTCATTTTCATCACCCATATCAGTTACGCAAGCAGAAACAAGAACACAAGCATGAAGTGTATGTTTTTCAATATATCTCATACTATATCCATTTCAACAATGACCATTTCAAATAGGAGAATTTATACAATTAATAGATTGCAATTATCACAATTAAAATTTAATTAATTTCCGATTATTTTCATATTTAATTAATATGATCATTAATAGTTCAGAATATTTGAGCAAAGTAGCAAACTTACCAACATTCGGCTCCACTACTGTGACCAATTAATATTAATTTTGCACCTTCCTCTCTATATGGTTCAATATGTTTTTCAACAAAAGGAATCCATATGGATTCTCTTGCAACATATGGATCAGGCATATCCTTGCAAATAACAGTGCATTTCCGAGAAATATCATCATCAAACAATTCTCTAATTTTATCAGTTAAATCACTATACCAATTTGAATCCAAAATATCCTCGCAACCATTTCCTGGTAGAATCATGAATACTAAGTGATCTTGTTCTTGATTGTTGGCCATTCTTCTTGTTTCTATTTTTTTATTTAAATTTTAAAAAAATATATTTTTTATGAAATAATGTGTTTTTTGGTTAATTTATTTATTCTGACTTCTTGTTCTTTCTCTTGGTCATTCTACCTGGCTTACCACCTTGAACTAAAGCGCTGAAAGGTGACTTGTTAATGTGCTTTTCAGAGTCAACTCTAACAGTGAATGATGGAACATTGACAGTTTGCTTACCAACTCTGATGTGACCTTGGAAGATAAGTTGTCTAGCGTGGTGAATAGACTTGGACAAGTTGAGCTTTTGGACGATGGTTTGCAATCTTCTTTCCAACAAGTCTTCAGCCTTCAAGGACAAGATGTAATCGAGTTGTTGTCTAGATTCATCCAACAAACCTAATCTGGTCATTCTTCTCAACAAAGCAGCACCTTCGAATTGTCTCTTGATATCATCTTCTGGCAAAGTGAGCAAATGTCTAGCAGTCTTACGAGCACGAGCAAGGTAGTATTGGACTCTCCAGATTTCGTGCTTGTTCTTCAAACCGTACTTTCCGCACATTCTCAATTCTCTGTCCAAACGTTCCTTTTCGAATGGACGTCTAGGTGGCATGGCAACCTTGGAGTGGACTCTATAACATCTATTTTGGACCATTCTATGCAAGTTAATAAAAATGAAGAAAGATATTCAATACTCACTTGACGTTTTTTTTTCAACAAACTTTTTAAAATAGTGGCGAGGAATGGTTAACTATTATTTTACAATCAAAATTTTTTAGAAGCATTTCTCAGCTTGAACCACCACAATAACGCTCTAAGCAGATAAAAATTACCACTTATTCATCTTTGCTTCCTATCAAATATTAGCAATCGCTTCAACAATGTACTAGCATCATAGGGGAAGATTCCTTTGGAGTAGAGTTGGTAAATTTCCAAATGTAAATTATTCATCACGGATACAACACTAGTCATCATCGTTTGTTGTTGACTATCTTCAATCTGCTCATGTCCCGTCCTCTCATCCTTCTCTTGGTTGGAAACATAGTATTGATACCATCGACACGTCTTGAATATCAACTCTAGAATGCACTCACAAGTTTCATCAGAAATTAAATAATCCATCAACACTTGAATGTTAAAGTTCAAAATGCTCAGCAAGTGGTAAATTATTGAGAGTGGATTTAAAAGGTTATTCATGAATTGATTAATTCTCTCTGCTAGTAATTTGTCATCGGTAGTGGTTGGACAATTTTTGGATTCTTCTTGCAGCTGATAAAACTTTAGCCAATTGGAATGTATGTGAAAGAGAGAAAGGAAAACTTTTAACAAGCTCACATCATGCATGGAACAAATTCTCTGAATGGTTGAATAGAACATTTCTTCACTCGTTTCAAAGATGCTCTTCAAATCCAGTTGGTGCCAAATGGACTCACTAGAAAGATTGTTATAATTACATTTTTCAACCATCTTGATAACCAAGAGGAGAAACTCTCTCTGCACCGATGATTCTACACGCTCACTGCAAAAATCAGTCTCAATACACTCATTGCTGTTGAATAGAGAAGGATAATGACCTATCGCGTTAGTAAGCTGGTTGACAAAATCATGTGAAGAAATTTCAATAACTTTTCTCATGATGGAAAATAACTTTTTTGAATTGACATCCATACGAGTACCATTACACTCTAACATGGCAATACAATAGGATAAAATTCTACTTGCAATCAATTCAGAAAGGTCAAGATTTTCTACAAGTTTGATATAATTATAAATCATGTCATTGGTTGCAAAGAGGAGAGAAAATGAATCTGAAAGATTATTATTCTTATAAGTTTCAACTAGTTGATCGGTAATCCTAATAATCAATCGAAATAAAATTTCAGAATCGAACTCTTGTTGGGATTTCCTCAAATGTTTTACAATATTTCTAATTAACATGATACATTCCTCATTTCTTAATTTTACAATTCGAACAATTTCACACAACAAGTTCAAAAAATCATTACTCTTTTTCACATCCAAAATCCACAATTTGAAGATAATCTTTTGGGAAAAGTAGCAAATGAGTGGATCATGAAACAAATCTCTTCCAGACTTTTCAGTCAAAAAAAGAATTGGCATTAATGAGCTCGAAATGTTATCTAACAAACAAGGAGTTAATGAATTGTATTGAATAATTTCTATTGTATTTTCTTTTGAATTATCTAATTGTTGTGAAATTTTGGAAATTATTTTCCTATAATCAAAAATTGATTTCCCTTCTTCCCAACTTTCCAAATCTTGCACAAATAAATATAGTTGATTAAAATATTCAACAATGTGACAGTATTCATCTTTACAATTTGCCTTCTTCTTCTTTGAAGGATTCTCATCTCCGAGTGATGCTATCGTATTGTTATTACATAATTGATGCATCATTGTATTATTAGAGGGATCATTTTTCATTTTTTTAATCTATTCTTCATCCCTCTTCTTTGCCATTATTAAACGATACATGTTTTCAAACTCTAGACGATCATCAAAATTTTGAATCTTTTCAATTTCCTTTCCAATGTTCATCGTAGATGATCTAATATTCAGAGTTTTAATATTCTCTACAAAGTTTTCACCTGATTGGGGAGTAATTCTTGTCTCGAATTTTTTCAGCAGGTAATGATAGGCTTCGAAATTACCTTCTTGTTCCAACTTGGTCAATGTTTCAAAAAAGAGAGAGAACATTATTTTGTATTGTCTCAATGTATCTTCTTCCATGATTTCATCTTCTTCCTTGATTGTTATTTTCTCTGTATTTGATGACATTTTTTGATGAAAGCAAAATTAAATAAAAATGCAAAATGAAAATCATGGTGATGGTGGCAACAACGGAAATCAACAAGTCTCAGCATCTTCATCGTCGGAACAAACAAAGAGTGAAGGTGGAAAGAAGAGAATGAAAGGAACACAAGCAGCCAATATACAACAAGCAAAGGAAAGATTACCCTTTCCAAGATTTGGAGAAAAGTTGGATCAAAGGGCAATAATATCAAAGGAGGAACTTGACTTGAGGATTAATGAAAGAAAGGAATCTCTCTATACATTATTGCAACAGGAACGATCGAAAAGAGAGTAGGTTTAATTCATTTATTCAGTGCAATTTCAAAATTGACCATAGTAAGGATGTTTCATTTGCAGAGTTTATTCCAGAGATGAATGCAGTTAAAGTTCTGCATTTGAAAGGAAAATTAACAGCAAATATGGGATTTTCAGTGAGGAGAGAAAATTTATGCCCTCGGTTGGATCAATATCCATCAGTTTATATTGAAGGATTGGATTTAAAAATTATTTCGAGGCAAGATGGAGAAAGAGCTTTCAAATTTTTACATATTGAAGAAGCATTATATTTGATTGATGTTGGAACATTGATTTTAATTCATGAAAAGGACCCAATGGATATTAAAACAATAGAAGTGGACTCCAAGAGTTATAATGTTAGATGTGGCAATGTTATTTCTACTGTTCAGGAGGCTTATTCTTTATTCCTTCGTTATTCTAATCAATTGAATTCACTGTACAAATATCCTGAGGATTTACTAAACTCATTTATTGCCTATTCATACCTGAAGAAATTGGGATTTTCAGTTCAAAGACACTCTATAGATCACATTATTAAGGATGAAAAAGAGTCAAAGAAGAGAAAGGTAGAGAACAATACACCTATTGAGACTAAACAAACAAAATCTCAATCTAAAAGAAAAAAGAAGGAGAGAAAGGCATGTGATTTCCCTAATACATATCCATATACCATGACTAATCAAGAATCAATAGATGTATTATCAGACGAATCTAACAAACCTCTTGTATATAATATGAAATTGGAAGACAGTCAAGAATTGAATCTCCAACAATTATTCAACACTCTCAATATTGTTCAACATGAAAAATTCAACTCTAATGTAAATAATGAAACAGAAAGAATAATGTTTGATGTTTGGAAATCTGGAACTACAGATCTCAAAAGTCCTCCAGCCATGGTTGTAATTATTACCTCATTTTCCAGAAGTACAGTTCCACCGATAGAGGACGTTTTCAGAATGCACAACATGTTTGGAACTATTCCAATATTCTATTGTATGGTTGGTGATAGTGGTTCAATACTTTTTATGAATATTGCTCCATTCGAAATTGAAAATTTAAATATGCCTTCTCAAAATTCTATTGCAAATGACAATAATCAACAAGAGCAAGCATTGAACTCTTTGATTGTATAAAACCTTAAGTAATTAAAAGTTCAACTAAATATTGCCCTTACAATTTCAATGCGCCAATTTTGTTTTTTGAACGTTTTAAATTAAAAATAGATTTAATGTCGTCACTCCAACCAATGAATGAACAAGGAAAATTCGAAAAAAAAGAAAATGAATGCACGATTTGCACTCTATTTGATATTGTTGATTGCAATGCTCTCCTCCGTATCACTCGTGCTGTTCGTTAAATACTTTTCATATAGACAACAAATGATAATTCAAACATCATCGGAACAAAAGAGTAGCATTCTACATCCTCCTTCAAATTTAAAGAAGGATGGAGAAAAGATTAGCAATAATAATGGACCAAGAATTCATGACACAACTAACAAGGATACACAAACTAATTCATTGTTGCAACAAGCGGAAAATCAAGAACCACAGTCTTCTGACAGTTTTAATGTACAAAAAATTGAAACAAAGAAAAAGAATCACCAAACTTCAATTATTGATGGATTTTTTGATGATAGGATTGATTTTCTAGATACAAAGACCACAATCACTCAAATTGGAGAAAATTTGGACTCTGAAAAAGACAACTCTCTCAAAGTTAAAGTAGAAAATGTGCAATGTAGAAATACTAAACAAGGAGCTGAATATATTACTGATAGTCTTGGATATGTTTGCTCAATTATGCATGTAGATCCAAAAACTAGATGTTGTAAACACATTGATGACGAACAAGCTAGAAAGGATGGTCTTCCACCAATTGAAAGATATTCATGCTCGACATGTCACACTAATCAATGTTGCTCATCTTATGAACATTGTGTCAGTTGCTGTATGGATATTGACAAGAGAGAAGAACTCCAAAGATCATTCCAACAATGGAAGGATGAAAAATTATTTAAGGGCGTAAAAACAGTTTTTGAACTTTGTTTATTGAGATGTAGAACAACCAGTAAGAGTGTACAAAATGAAACCAGATACAAAGACTCTAGATATAGATATTGTTATGGATCTATTAATTAATAATGGTTGTATGATACTCTTGGACTTTGCTTAGGAGAGGCCATACTTCTAGCAATTACATTGATGGCGGATGAATTAATTGCATTTGAACCTTGTCTTGTTAAAACAGGTGATTTTGAGGTAGTTCTAACCTTTTCAATAGGAGCTGTAAATGAGTGCACAGATCCTTTGGTAGGGCTATAGAAACCAAAGCTATATTGTTTGTCAATTGGTGCACAACCATTTCCACCGAACGAAGAAATAAAACCTCTAGGCGATATCATCTTTTCCTTATCCTTATCATCTGCTCTCAATTTTTGTTGTACAATATTTGGATTTGAACTTTCATATCTTAATCCACTATTAATAAACTGTGGGAGTGATTTGTCTCTTGTGAATTCCTCTCTTCTTGGTGTTGCTGTTTGGAATCCCTTACTGACAACCCATTTGTTTTTTTGGTCAGGTCTGAAAAAATTATCCTTAGGGTCTTGATATGGTCCAGCAGTTGTAATATACAATCCCTCAACATCTGCTACTGAAAATGCAGGAGATTTTTCATTGATTGCAGAGTATAACTGAGATTTTTCATACTGGTCCAAGTTGTCAAGAGGTTCTTGCGGATATTCAAGTCCAGCAAGGTAGTTTGTTGTATTGTACAAAATTTGAGGTTGAGAGTAAATTTTAAGGAACGGATTACCATCCGAGGCCAATCTTCCTTTTCCTTTTTGAAGGAAATTCTTCTTTCCAGAAGAGGAGGCAGAATCCGATGAATTACTCAAATCACTCATTGATAATTCTCTAATTTTATCCCCTCTTGGTCCAACAACTCTTGGACTACCAGATCTAGGTCTCTCCTTAATCAATGACATTGATCTTCTCTTCTTTAGCTTAGCATAATCTTCTTCATTCATTTCAATTTCCAAGTGTAAATTTCGAGGAGATAATTGTTGTTCAACTAGTGGTGCGTGTATTACATCTTTTTCTTCTTTCTTTTTTACATAGGATCTTCTTGGAGAAATCTCTGAAGGAGAGGAATGTCTTGGTTTTTGTACATTCATTAGCTGTTCTTCAATCATTTTTCCAACTCTGGACATTTGATCACTAAAAGAATTATTATCTAGATTGTGTGGAAGCTCAATATCTGATGGTGTTGGCTTCTTTTCATTATTATTCCCTTTTTCCCATGAATAAATTGGTTTTACTTTCTTTCCAGATTGAGCCTTTGATTTGTTAATGGCTTGTCTCTTTAAACCATCTAGTAATGATTGCTTAGTCGAACCCGAGTTTTCTGGCTTATTTTCTAAAAACGGATTATTTTCCTCTGTAATTTCATATTTATCATCAATAGTTGTTGGAGTAGATTGTTTTACAGCAAATAGGGCTGTTTTTAATTCATCAATTTTAGATAATGTTGATACATTGTAAGCATTAAGGAGGCTTTCAAACTTGGATTTAATATCTTTCAACTTGTTCGAGAAGTCTACATAAAGTAAAATTGATCAAGCCATACTATTACACTATACTACCTACCACTAGAGATATTCAACTTCCTCACTTCATCAATTTCCTGTATACGTTCTTTGATGGCAATAGATAATTTGTTGAGTACTCCCATCTTATCAACGTAATTCATTTGTGATTTGGGCTTCTCGGCATCTTTTGGATGTTTTAACAAGTTGTGGATTTCTTGTTGTTTCTCCAGTTTTAGTTGGAGAAAGAGCACTCGGTAGAGTTCGGCAATTTCAAAGGCTTGCTTTTCCACTTCCTCAGTGCTATTGATTGATAATTGTACCCATTTCATGTCGATGATGCGTGTTCCTTAGACGTTGGGAGCATATATTTTTTTTAATAAATCTTGAAAAATTTTACAACTGTAAAACTAGACGTTCCTTAAGGAAATGGTCTAAGCCTTGATTAAAAATTAACAAAATGAATTGCATTAGCCGGGAGTCGAACCCGGGTCACCAGCTTGGAAGGCTGGTATGATACCGTTACACTACTAATGCTTCTCTCTTTAAAATTAATTGATCAATGTGGGTTGATAAGTATCCCTAACCTGGAAGGTCCTTTTTCCAACAAGATCTGTTTTTCTGTACTATTCGCTATTTACTCTTTACTTAATAGTAATTTTTATGATTGATTTAAGGTAAGGAGTCAGTATTCTTAAAGAAGGTAGAGTTCATAATAATTATTCCAATTCAAGTAATTTCATCTTAATTGTAGTTAAAATTACCCAATAAATCCAAGAGCTTTAGCGAAAATGCATCTTGTTCCTCATCCCCAAACGGACATTGAAGAGTTACTTGAAAAAAAACACCTTTGAAGTGTTAGAATCATCAGATGAACCCAACAACTTCCTCTCATTCAATTTTACTTCAACGAACAACAGCAGAAATTATCACGATGGAAATTGATGAAAGCAGTTCTGAAAGTTGTGATACTGTTGTGAATGTTGGCTCTTCTGATATTTCACCTCAACAACTACACAAATTTTCCAGTAAATCTCTGCAACCTTGCTCACCTTCTTCTTCACAGGCACCGGCAGCAGAAAGCAAATTTGAATTAACCCACGTTTTGTGTATTGAACAGGTGGAATCTGATTTTACCCCCATTCCTTGGAGGACATCTACACAGAGAGGACAGTTCAGTTGTGAAAAGGATGAAAGGGGGAGATATGTTATAAGACAGCCTCCTGAGTTGGATTACTTGTTTCAATTTGTTGTTGGAGTTGCCTCAATGTTTATTGTTCCTTGCATTGGAATTATAATTTTCATCTCAATATTCTTCACAATGGAATTTAACTTGACTGTTAGCAGTGGTGAATTGACAATTAATACATTTGGAGCCTATTGGAAAAACAAGAGATTGGAAACCAGCATGAGTGTTCCTATACGTAATATTGCTGCATTAAGAGTGGTCATGAATCAAACACAAAAGAGAGAAGGCTTACCCGATGGAAAGTTGTTTATCATAACAAGAGACAATTTGACCATTGAGGTGCAGAAGGATTATGTTAATTATTACTCTGTTCTTGCAATGGCTCAAAAGGCAACAGAGGTGATTAATTCCAATTTGAATCTGAGTGCATAAAACATTCTATTTTGGAAACGACTCAAACACCTTTTTTGAAATTGTTGGTGAGGAAATTGTTCATCATAATGATCGTAAGCTGTTCTTGTATGTGTACAGGGACATTACAGAATAAAACTTCGAAGTTTCATAAAGTTAAATAAATTGAATAGCTGTAAAAGAGTAACTTTCTAATTGGATGAAAAATTGCTATTGCATCCACTGAGTTGTTAATGAAAAGTAGAGCTGTACAACAGTTTGCACTGATTTAAAAGCTATTAACCATGTGTAGCAATATGTTAAGATTCAATGGTTCTTTACAAAATATCAAAAAATGCCAACACTAATAATATTGCATGATTCATTGTTTTGTGATCATGAAAATGTTATCAAACTGAAACAAAAATTCACTTATCAAAGCAAAGGAAAATGTAAATGGATTCATAATAGATTAAATTGTGGTGCCATCTTCCGATCGAGTTTGCGCATGATAAATTTTATATTTGTAAATTTCTGCAAAAACACATGTTTAGGAATGAATTTAATATTTGTGATGAGTGGTTTGATGAGAAGGTAGATCTTTTTTTCGATAGGATCAAAAAATATGGATTATTGGACTACTCAATTAGAACTCGCAGTGATAGGATTTATTGCAATGAAATATTGCAAAACAGTACAGAATTTATTTTTCAAATAATTAAGAATGAGGAAAAGGCAAAGAAATATGCTCCTAAGCGTGCAAATGAGTGCTATGAAGAGGATGAGATAGTTGAAACTAACACAAATTCAGAAATAGATTTGGAGGACAAAAATTCAATTTTGAATGATCTGAAAAAGAGGTCTGATAGTTACATTTTCAAAAATATTTCACCAAGTTTGAAAGGTGATGCAGAATTTATTTTACAAGCACTCAAATATTGTCCTGATGCTTATATTTTGGATTTTGTTGATTCGACGCTGAAACAGGATAGAGAATTCATTAAACAAGCTGTGAAGGTAAATCCATATTCAATTGCATTTGCAAGCCAATTTTTAAGAAATGATTTTGAAATTGCTAAAGAAACACTGTTACTGAACGCAGATTGTTTCAGATATCTATCCTATGAGTTAAGGTCAAATGAGGAATTGGCCATGATGGCTTTGAAAGAGTTACCATTTCTTTGGACTTATCTTAGTGAAGATCTTTTTAACTGTGGAATTTGCATTGAAAGCCATTGAGTATGCCAATGCAGCTGTCATTAAATACTTTCCACAAGTCCCAGAACAGATGGAGATAGTTGCAGTGAAAGCAAATGGATACTATCTCAATTTTACAGAACAACTACTTGAGGAACGTATTAATCATGAATACTTTGGAGCTAAATTGTTCTAAACTTGTTTATAAGAGTGATTGATTTTCACCATTTTTCTTTTTCAGTTTCTTGAGAATCGAAAAGAGAACACTCATTATTAAGACAACAATCAACACTAACAAGATGAACCCTCCCACACTTCCAAAGATAACCCCAATCAGAGTATAGTCCTCCTCCTTAGGATTGTCGCTGCTACTGATACTGCTTGAATAATTATTGTAAATAATACTGCTTTCTGTTGTAATCCAATAGTTCAAAATGCAATTTTCATACTTTCCCATTGTATCCAATAAGAAATGTTGCCATCTTTGATTTAGTCTGTCAAATCTATAGAATGGATAGCCAGAGGAGCAATCAGAATTACCTATGAATATTTCACCATCCATTGTAAAGATTTGAGCCATGTATCCTATTGGAGTTCCAAACTCTGTCCATGTCGAAGAGTCTGCATCAAGTGATATGGCAGCTCCTTCCACTCTTGAAGCAAAGTACTTGGAATTAACAGAATCAAATACTATGGAATTGATTCCAATTGAATTGTTTGATCCAAATAGCTTCAAATCTTCAAGAGTAAACGTAGCAGTATTGAATTGAACTCTTGCCGAGTTTTTAATTTGATCAACTGAGAAGGTACCAACAACAATTACTGATATTGAACTTGTGTCCTTTTCAGAGATTAGTAGAAAATCGTTCAAACTATTCTTGGTAGAAAAAGGGATAGAACATTTTCTTGTTTGTAAATCCACTATAAACAAATTACTCTTAGAGGAAACCACCATAAATCTTCCATCCTTATTATTGCAAACTCTAACCTTTGTAAATGCTGCAGATGTAAACTCAACTGGAGCATTGTTAACTTCAAAATTAGTCCACTTTTCCTCTTTAACATTCCACACAACAATCTTGCTGTTAAATTTCTGATTCTCATATGAATATCCAACAATATACACAAGTCCATAATCTTCCTCATAATCAATATCCTTCACAGTTACCGAACTGTCTAACCCTCCTTTCATATTGTCCCACATCTGCAAATCAGCCTTAAATTGAGCTACCCCTTTAAAACCATTACCTTGGAAACTTCCACCCACAATCACCAACCTTTCCCTACTCAAGATTTTCATTGCGAAAACTTCATATCCAAGTGGACGTCCATTCACATCTTTAAATGGAAAAGGAAGAGAGTTTCCGACGGCATGCCAATCGGATCCATGACCCTCTTGCAAAGATGCCAGAGAATCAATGAATTTACCTGTGACTGGAGATGTGGTTCTGTAATCTCCACCAACAACCAGTGTGAAATTTGGGTTCAGGCCAGCACAAACCAACTCTAGCACTACTAGGACCAACAAAAGTAAAAGTGTGAGTGGAGACATTTTTTTAACGATACTCCTGACATTATAATGAATAAATCAAAATTATTTAAATTTTCTAAAGAATGCAAAGGTTAAATTTCCTGCAAATCTAAAATAAAGGGAATTCTTAAAATGTGTAAATGTGAAGAAGCAGAAAATGGTCTAGAAGCTTTAAAATTGGTATCAAAAGATTTGAACTATTTTTTGAATAGTTTTATATAACCGCTTGATGTCAATTTGAAAAATAAATGTGAAGGCGACATAGCTCAGTTGGGAGAGCGTAAGACTGAAGATCTTAAGATCCCTGGTGTCGGCATATTTTAAGTTTATACCTGTTTATTTGTGTAACAAGCTGTTTAATTTTTGCAACAACATTGTCAGAGAAGATCGAACTATTAAAACGATGACCAATGAACATTTACTAGCCTAAAGCTCATTAAAATTTAATTTTCATAAGAGGGAATTGTTCTAAGTAGGCCTCCAACGGTACTTTTTGAATATTAGGTGTTGTTTCAAAGAAATGATTTAATTTTGCGTTCAACTCATCTTCTGTACAAGGAACGGAAGTTTGAAGAGAATAATGGTCGGTGTGTTCATGAATAAGAACCAAGTCATCTGGAATGGCAACTCCTTCAGGAATCAGAATTAGCCCAACCTTTTTTTTGTAGTGGGCAAGAATATGCCCAAGAGTATGACCTCCTGGACGCAAGGAAAGACCATTAGGACATTCAAAAACATCACCCTCAGCTGGTTGTACCATTCCGTTTCGTAACACAAAATCAAAAGATTTTTTTCCAGCCTTTGTTTGTCTGCGATATTCTCTTAAAGCAATTTTTTTAAAAGTGTCTATTCTGTAGAGATTGCATGGAAACTTATTGAAGCGAGTTAGTGTGGACATTTTTTTAATATTAAATTATTAGATTTAAAATTGTCTAACGAAACAAAATACATGTCTAACAAAAACTACTGATGTTATATTATTTTCTGATTATCATATTATCACTACTTCAAGTTGATTATCGGAAGTAAGAATTAACATTGACAGAGAAGATTGAAAAATTTGAAAATCCAATAGGATTGGAGTCTCTTACTACGATTTCTGAAACTGTTGAATCATACCCTTTCTCACTTGATTCCTACAAAGAATTGTGTTTTAATCTCATGGTCAATTATTGGTTTAACATATGAGTGGATGATAATAAATATGAGAGATTATTAATAATAATGTTTTGCAGTAAGACAAACATATAAAGGTCTTTCAGGGTCTGCGTATTGTCTCCAACCGAAATAGACTCTATTTTGATTTCTGTGCAATCTTGAAATTTTGTTTGGATATAATGGATGGTTTTCAGTGTAGGTATGAGTCCAATTGTCAAAATTAATCTTTTCTGTTGCTGAAATCCAAAATTCATAACTTTGTCCATAGAAAACACACTTTCTAAATGCTTGTTCGATCAAATTAGACTGCTCAGGAGCATACTTTTCGAATAATGTCTCTGCATCACGAGTGTTATTGCCGTGGAGTGACAAATCTATTGAAATGTAGTTTTCCTTAGTTGGGTTTGATGGCATTTCCTGTACTGATTTGAACCATAAAGCTTGATAGGTATGCTCTTTCAGAAGTGGTAAGCGTTCTGGTGGTACCTTTTGATAGGCGTCTTGATAAAAGTTCAAATCTGTTGGATGAAAACTTCCAATTTGTGTTCCTGGATCCACTTGTAAGAATTCAATTTTTTGTGGAGCTGTTGATTCTTGAACTGTGTTATTGAGAATAGACTCCATATTATTAAGAGAGTAAATGAAATACGGTTTCCAATTAGCTTCACGACTTGATTTAATCTCTATATCGACTTGAGGCAATCTGGAATCTTTCAGTAATTGAGTGTTGTGACGAACATTTTCTCTTATTTTTCTCTCATTGTTATATGATCTTCTCCATCTTGACCCTCTGCTGTTAGTCTCTTTATCAACTACAACCTCGGTGGTTGGACCTTTTCTATTGTGTATATTTTCTGTCACTGTTTTAGCTTTGTTTAACATGTTAAAAATAGTTGCCGGTGGATATCTATTATTTTTGATAATTCCCAAATCTAAATAATCAGATTTTGGATTAATTTCTCCACCTAAAATCATGGCTTTTCTTTCTTCTTTTTGTTGAGCTGTTCTAGAAGGGGTGTCATAGTTTGCCAAAATATATTTTGGATTTTTGGCACGACAAGAAAAGTCATAAGCAAGCAAACGAGCCAATCCGTGCATTAAATGCTCCATACTGGAAAATAATAATCTTCTTGGGTATTGAAGAAGTTGATTTTTAACCTTTTCTGGATTAAAACCTGGAATGGCTACGCTAAATCCCCTTCTACTATATTTGTACAATCTATACTCGTAGGTAGTTGACTGACGATCAACATCTACCAAGTTAACTTGATGAGTGAGTGATCTAATACATCTAGGACTAGCCCAAACTTGATTTCCATCATATCCAATACACGCACAATCTATATCAAAACCTAAAATTACTTCAGCTGGTGATTTGTAAATACGAAGAACAACTTGAATTGGTCTAATATGATATCCATAAAAAGTTACTGCATATTTTGTTCTTACTACCAAAATATCATTATTAACAATTGTCTTTTGTTTTTTGAAAACCTTATCAGATACTTCCAGTAGATTAGGTTCCGAATCTTGAAGAATGATTTTGGACATATTTTCCTTGATAACATTATAGATATGAATCAACTTCTCTTCAGCTTCAGCTTCTGTCATTCCATAGAGGAAGAGATCAATATCTGACTTTTTGAATGAATAAGGAATGGGTGGTTCAGGTACAGCCCTACAATCGGTAGTGTTTGTAATAGTAGACTCAATACCAGGATGAATTCTCTTATTATGCATTCTGGTATCATATCCTCTGCTATAACTATAAGCTATTGAGTTTCCGACAGACTCAGTTACTTTGTATTCAGAAAGGTCATATAAACCACTGTGATCAAATGTTGGAGTTTCTCTCTTCCAATATCCAAAATCGCTTGGGTCATCTTCATCATCCTCATTTTCGATCAATGAAATTTTCTTTTCCATTTCTTTCTTTTCCATGTAAGACGTTGGGTATAATCCAGATACTGGTGTTATTGAATCATAGTCTGGTATTTCCTTCAAGCAGCACCCCAATACACCACCACCTGCTGCAAACACGCCTGTCCAGTCCAGTCCCTCCAAAGTTGACTGTGTGAATTTGTAAAAGTTAGACTTGAAAGTTTCAATTCTATCAACAAGATTAGGAATAGTACACTGTCTAGAGTAGGTAGTTTTGTCAGAGAGATCTAATATTTTAGGACAGTCATTAAAATTGATTGGATAGAGAGTTTTTGAATTGATTTGTTGAATACTGTCAAAGAGTGGAGAAAGTAACAAGTATGGATTATCTAACAATGGTGAATCTCTTTCCTTAGCAAAAAGAACTCTGAGTTTGTCCTCTTTTTCCTTCAGTTCAATATTTTCTTTTCCAAGTAATTCTACAGGATATCTAAGAGGTGATATATACTCGCTTATCATAGTATTGATTCCATAGAACTGTGCTTCTTTTTCCAATTGTAATGTTTGCTCATTTGACAATTTTGAAGGAAAATGATTGAATTTACCACCGGAAATCAAATATCCATATATAAGAGAAAATAATCTTGGATTTCTATCAATAAAAATAGAGTCATTCTTGTTTTCTCTAAAGCTATTAGAATTAATGAACTTGGTAATAATGCAATTTGGATGATTTGCCAAATGTTTAATAGGTAATTCAAATACCTCTCCTCCCACATTAATTCTCACACATAAATTCTCATCCTTTGTGGAAACAAGACTCTTGTACTTTTCTGTGAGTTCTTTTGATATTTTTGAAATTTCCAACTTAGATTTCGTAATGCTTTCTTCCATTTTCTTTGTTGTTTGATTAATTTTCTCTGTATTGTATTGGAAAGGAGATACTTTTTTAGTTTCAGCATTATCATATGGTGTTGGAAGTAAATAATTTGAGAATAGAGATTCATTTCTATGATATTTGTGAATTAAAAACATAATGTACTCTGACAACTTTTCAGTAAGGAAATACTTGGATTCTTCTAAAATTAACTCCAATTGATTAAGTTGTAATTTTTCAATACCAAGAGTTTTCACCTTACCACCCTGTCTCAAGTGTTCCAATATGTATTCAAAGTAATCTGGATTTCTGTCAGGAATCGAAATTGCTGACTTGTTCTCAACCTTTTCAATACCAAACCCACTTTCAAACATGACTTTGAAAAAGTTATCCTGTGGTTCAACAAACTCCAATAGATAAGGAACAGACTCTGGATTTTGTGTCATTGTGGCACGTTCTCCAAGTAATGTCTTTTTAGTTGTGGTAAAGTACTTTCCACCAACCAAAAGTTCCACAACTTCATCATCTTGCATTTGATGAAGAATGTTCATATTATTATCCTGATCTGATGAGGTTTTTGATTTTGCACCATCATCATCATGTTCTGCAGCTTCACGAGATAACAATTTGGAGAGTAATTGTTCAGTCTGTTGCTGAATGGTGAGGTTATTCATGGCATCCGATAATTGATCAAGATGTTTTCCTGTCATTTCATCGAGAGGTGTTGATTCATCCTCTTCCTTCCTCTTCTTTGATTGATGTTGTTGATCTTCATCGGTCATTATTGTGTATTTTTTTAATGTGGTTTATCCACCAAAGAGAAGAAATTGTTAAACATTGAATATTGTGTTTCAATATTGGGTTGACTTTCACTGTGTAGGAAGCATTATGGGTGAAGGTTGAAGGAGGTGATAATAAATCCATTTCAAGTTGAATTGACGCAAGTTTCCAAAAATTCTTCAATAAAATAATTGACTCGTTAGTTTCGTTTAATTCGTTTTCAACAATATTTATTGTCTTCACTTTCCCAAGAGTAGAATGTTCAAGAGTCATCATTTCTTTGAATGAGGCTTCCTGTAACATTTGAATAAGTATAGACAATTCTCTAGTTCTTACTAAAGAGTTTGTCCCAAAGTCCGTTCCATGAAGAGGAACGAGTGAGTGTTTTGTTAGAATCATCAGAGAGTGGAGAGATTGAGCCATTTAAATGATGTGGGTGATAAAAATGATCTTTACCATAGTTCTTTACAGCGTGAATATCTTTGCAGAGAGAAACCTGAATATAAACCATTACTCTTCCTTCTCGGATTTTGTGTTTTGTGTTTGAATAGATACTAGTGAGGTAAAGCTCGCTTGTTTTTTTGTTTGGTTTCATAACGAATGTCGATCACTTCAACGCAATAAAGCAATCTCGTTTATTTTCTTTCTGGCTATTTTTCCAAAACCGTACTATCATCACATTTTAATCGAGGGCGTAACTTGGAATTTCTAGGGTTTTGTTAGAGTTTTGTAAAGACGATTTCAATTTTATTGGTCTGTGACTTGTTGTAGTGGCAAAAACGCGAATTTTTAGTTGGACCACAGGCAAATTGTATTAAGTGGCTAATGAAGCGTCCATTTAATGTAGGAACAATGAAAAATATTTGGTTCATTGCCGTTATGTGTAAACATACTATCAAGCGAAAATTCTTGGTAGAACTTGTAGGTACTTGAAGTCCAACCAGTATTGAAAATAGATTTTCGATAAGGAATAACAATGAAAAAACGTTAAAGAGTTAATAAGAGAAATGAGTATTAATAGGATTTTGAGAATTGGAAGACTTATCTATTATTGAAATTGTTCAATGCCTTTCAATGTTATTATTAATAGATATGGTTTTGATTCAAATTGAATCATTTTCTTCTTTTGTGTGCATCTACAGAAATATTACAAAGTTTGATATTAATTTTGGATTTACAGAAGTTGTAAACACAATGCCAGATCCTTAAAGGAAATTGTTAGACAAAACCTTGATACAGACCCAACAATGAAGCAAATATCTCGAACAATATTCTTTAAAAACATGTGGTTATTCCAAGTTTTCTAATATCAAATGAAGTCTATGAATTCGGAAATAAAACTTTATGCGTTACTTTGAAAATCATTAATAAACAAGGATGTAGACTCAATTAACATGGATAATACGCCAATTATTTGCATTGTATGCAGTTCAAACTGAGTTAATCAAGAAAGTGCTAATTTACTTTAGAATAATGATTGTTTTATTTAAACCTTATCCTTATAGTACAAACATGGTTGTTTGGAACGAGAGAACCAACCATTACCATTTCTACATGATGTATCAGCATGGTTGATATTACCACTGTAGAAGTCAGAGCTTTGAAGAGCAGTGAATGTTCCAGTACAAATGGATGAACAACTAGAACTTTCCAACAAACCATCATTTGGATTACTGATATCAGTAGTTTCAGCCAAGGCAGTCAAGATAAGTGAATATCTTGAAAGGATACCAATTGGTGAAGTACCACACATTCTACCAGCTGGTCTATAAGTACGTGAAAGGTTGCTGGTATAGAGTTGAGTAGTTTTAACACCACCCTTTGCATAATTCTTGGAGAGAGACAAATAACCTGGATATGGTTTACCAGTAGCTGGATCACAATAACCATATTCAGTGGCCAAATAACCATAGTAATAGTCCTTGCTTAAGAGATTGGTTGGATTCTTATAGGCAGAACAATAAGCAGTTAATCTATCAATCATTTCAGCACCTTCAAATGGAGTAGAAATAGAATACCAACTTGAAGTACTATCGAGGGCACATTTCTTATTATTCAAAGCAGCTGACATAACAAGACCACCTTGAGAGTGAGTGAAAATCACAACATTCTTCAAATATGGAACACCTCTAACAGTTTGATTGACACCAGATTCTTTAACGGCCAAATCACAATAGTACTTTTGGAGAGAAGCATCATCCCAACCAATAGTCTTGGTATTTCTGATAGCAAAAACTCTCTTCTTACATTGTGGAGTCCAGTTTTCGACATCTCCCCAATATGAAGCATAATGATCATATTTTGGAGCTTGATCATAAGGACCACCTGCACCATGAATAAAGATACAAGTCTTGGTTGGTTTAGTTGAACTGGAGCTCAAATAAGAAGCACACTTGGCACCATCAGCCAAATAAGATAAAGTACAACTTTCAGCTCTACTTTCAAACCAGAAAGTAGGTCTAGAAACACCCTTTTCAAGAGCCTTCTTATTGTCCAAACTATCAGACAATAATTCAGCAAAGTATCTATTACCCAAAGTATCAGCCAAACGAGCATCGAACTTATCCAAAGCCAAACATCTCTTTGAAACTTGTAAATATTTACCTTTACCCATTGATTTGCCAACTTTGATAACCAAATTTCTTGTAATGAAAATATTTGGTGAGTTATTTTGTTGTTTAGCTGGTTTCTTAGCACATGAAACAATAGATTCATCACCAATTAAGAAAGCATCAACTCTACTCACACCATTAGCAGTGGTACATAATGTATTAATGGCAGAATCATACTTGGTGGTACTTGTAGCAAAGTTGTAAACCTTTTGTTCACCAGCCAAGAGAGCACTGGCAAATTGAGAAACTTTAGTCAAGAGAGTTGAATTCTTTGGAATGAAATTCAAAGTGAAACAAAATCTATTTTGTCTGACATCAACTCTAAGAGTGGAAATTGTTGGTGTAGCTCTAAAGTGATAGGAAATTTCATTGCTATTTACATCAATAATCAACCATTGTGGTTTTGGATTGGCATGGATCTGTAAGAGACCCTTGTATGTCTTCTTTTCACCAGTTCTCTCAGTGAGAGCAAAGGCGAAACCATTAGTATCACCAATGGCTACAGTTGAGGCATTCTTACCTGGGAGATAGGACCACAAACCAGGGAATAATTGTTTCAAATTTTGAATGGTAGTGGAAGTTGAAATGGATGTAGTAGTTGAGGAAAGTGAGTCATCGGTAGTGGATAATGTATTAGTTTCGGTTGGTTGATTATTCGAAGCGGTTGTCTTGACAGCCAAAGTTATTGAAGCCATGCAAAATGTGCTACTGAACAATAAAATCATCATGATAACGGCCATTGAAGCCATTCCAATATTATTATTTCTTGCAGAGTTCATACTTGAACCTCCACATTTCAAGTTGTTAGCCATTTCTCTATTTAAAAAATTAGCTAATGGTTATTAATGTACAATGAGTGTTGGTTGTTTTTTTGTTATTGTGATATTTTCTTGCTGAACCACCTGCCGCGACTTTATTGTATTGGTTAGATATTCATATTCATGGTGCGTTACGTTTGTTGAACAGACGTTGACTGGGCTTGGTAATAAAACACTAGGATTGGTTGGGTGGTTACTAATGGAGAAGTCTGCGTTCAAAAATGGTGAGATACCGGTTTGATTCTTATGTAAAAAGTACCCTACATTTGTAATGTAAATTTGCGAACAAGCCGTAGTCAATTAGCAAAATTGTATTACTTTTGAGTTTGTTTGGTAATGTACAGATTCATGTTTGTTTACAATGGCTTCGTCATGTATTAAGTTCGTAAGATTATTTGTAAATATTATATTTAAATATTCATTAAATGTTGGCTGAAAGCATGCCCTCATATCAACCATGAAGGAACTTTGATAAGCTCCATAACTTTGGGAAGGACAGTAACATATCGGTTTAGATACTGAATTTAGCATTGTAATGTAAACGAAAAGGATATTAAAGAGAGAGCAGGCAATTAGTAAATTCAACGTCAATAATTTCGTTTTGAAAAGCTTGAGTAATGGTATTTGTTAAATCTGTTGCCAGAGTTAATCTATCCTTATCAATTACGTCTTCATTACTCGGTTCTTTTACCAATAACTTTCGAATAAATTTGATCAATTGTCTAGCAGATATTAAATCCAAATTATCAGCGTATGCTTTCAACATCTGTACAATAATTTCAACAAATAAATTAGCAACTTCAGGATCTGAATAAAAATCATCAGAATTTTCCTCGTACCAATCAGTGATAATTTCTTTAACGTAAGTCATGTCTTCTAAATGGATAGAATTAAATAAATACGGGAAGGTGACTTCCTCAACAGTGCTGTCAATATCTCCATTATTTTCGCTTTCCTCTTTGTGTTTTTCCTTCTCTTTTTGTTCCTGTTGCTTCTTTTTCCAAGTTAGATCCTTAATTATATCTCTTTTAATATCCCAAGGCATTTCTTCAATGAACGAAAATGATATTGGTTCGTTTAGACCTCCCTTAGCCAACTTGAGTTGTTTTAGAATAAATCAATCATTAAAAAACATACATTTTCCAATTCACAAAATTCATCCAGTCTGAAGGCATGTTTTTCCTTCTTTTTTTGTTGAGCTGATTTCTTTTCTGTAATAATTGTAGTTTTAGTTGAGGAATGGCTTCGTACTAGCATTGTAGAATCTTCATTGTCAATAATATCCTCATTCTGGCTATTTAAAACTTCTATTTGTTGCTCTTCTAATTGCTGCGCATCCTTTTTAAGGTATTTGGTCAAGGAGGAATTGTTATTATTGCGAGTAACATTCAATTTTTGAATTTGAATCGCTATCCCTCTCAAATCTTCAGCTTCTATCTACGAATATTAACAATTAACAAAGTTGGACTCAACTTACAGATAACTGGTTGTATAAATCTTTCACTTTTCTTGAAATTAAATCACTGTCATCAGTAAAGTAAGGAACAGTACACGATTTCGAAAAATTATCACAAATACCATGTCCTAAATATTTTTTTGCTTCTGGGGCTTCATCTTTGCGCTTCTTGACTTTTAGAACTATTGCTTTACCCTTAACATTTTCATTTTTCAATCTGCTTGTCACTTCTATTGAGAGCTTGTCAATAAATTCAGATACTTGAGCCATTTTAGTGAATCTGATTCCGTAATTAACTTCCACGCCAACTGACTTTCTTCCAGTATCATCAAAGAATGGTCTCTTGTCTATTCCTCTAAGAAAATTGTACAAAGTTTCTCCTTTCTTCTCACCTACTAATTCTTTCAATTCAGTTTTGGAGTAACTCAATAACTGAGAACATTTAGTGATGCTCATCTGATTAAAAAACTTTTTAGTTTTCCAACCAACTGAGGGTATTTCTTCGATGTTTAAATTTTCTATAAAACTAACAGCCTCTTTGGCATCAAGATAGAATTGCCCATTTGGTTTTGCCTTTTTAGTTGCAATTCTGGCTAAGAGTTGGTTTGTTGACATTCCAGCAGAAGCTGTACATTTTGTTTCCCTCTCTATTTCATTTCTAATTTTTGAAACTAACTCATTCAATTCTTCCACAGTATTATTTTTCAACTCATTTGTAATTTCAATGAAGGCTTCATCTATGGAAATAATTTTAACTCTTTCACAATGACTGTTCAAAATTTCATCAATTTTGGATGCAGCCTCATTATACTTTTCAAATTCGTAAGGAACAACAATGAGATCTGGACACAATTCTCTGGCCTGTTTCATCCACATTCCTGCTCTCACTCCAAAGTCTCTTGCACAATAGTTTGCTGAAGAAATGTCACCTGTTCCATCAGTTGAATATGATACTGCAATAGGTTTGTTCTTCAGTGATGGATTATCTCTCATGGCTATTGATGCAAAGAAGCAGTCCATATCAATATGTACAACAAATACCCCTTTCTTATCAGCTGTTGAACTAGTTGGATTTTTGCTTCTTTGCTTGTTTTTCCAGGTACTAATAAAGTGTAATCTACTACTTTTCATATAATTGCCAATAAAATTGGGATCTGATGCAGCACTCTTTGCCATTAAATCTTTTAAAGGTCTAGACTCTTCAACACTCTGATTCTTTTCAGATATCATAAAAGTTGTAGAATTGACTATTGGTGCTCTTCTTTCTGGAATTATAAATTGTTGTCTATTGAAATTGTTATTCGTCTCTATTGGAAGAGGTGTAATATTATTCTGAATTGTTGGTGGGGTACTGGATGTATTTGATTTCTTCTTAATTCTCAATGTTGATTTTCCAACTGGAGTTGACGAGGGAGAAAGAGCAAAATTATAATCTTCTTTGTTTTTAGTTTGATTTGATGTTGATGAAGAGCAAGCTTTTGAATTTTCTATTGAATTAGAGGAGTTTGATTCAGATGAAATAAATTTTTGTTGATTATTCCTATTCACAGTTGTGAATGAACGCATATCCTTGTGTTGAACAGTATTTCTCGAATTATCCACAATTAAATAATCTTTTACAGAGAGTAAAACTCCTGACTTTACACAATCCATAATCCACCTCGGATGAACAATATGGGGAGGGTTCCTTCGTTTGACCAATTCCTTTAATTTTGAATGTGCTAATTGACATGCCAACAGATGAGTGACAGTACTATCAAAATATTGTCGATATGATCCTCCGTGTTTCGTAATTAATCCAATTAAAATTACAGAAGATGGTTCCGTATGACCATCTATATTCATAATTAACCCTTCAAAAAACATTGGAATATCGCTCTTCTCTGTTGATGAGCCCTTTTTGTATTGATTTGATGATGCAGCAGATCCTGGTCCTTGCCATTGTTCATCTAACTTTTTCTTTTTCACTTTGAAATAATGATCCCTATCTGTCCAACCCTCATCTTCTATTATGGAATGTTTCTTATTGTTAGTATTTGATGATTCCGACATGATGATTTGTTAGCTTTTCATCTTGGTATTTTTTTTAAAAGTTCTATCGTTGAGTGGAAGAGTAAAAAGTTTTATTGTTGATAGTTTGTGTGGTATGGTTGAGAATATTGAGGATTATACTGTTGTGGAGGTTGTTGGTATTGATGTTGATATTGTTGTGGAGGTTGTTGATATTGGTGATTTCTTTCTTCTTCCAATATTTTTCTTGCTTGGCTATCATAAACACTGATTGGGATTGGAGGTAAATTATAAGCCACACCTTTATCTAAGGTTGGATACAGACCCATACTGTTATCATCTTTGTATTCATAGATGTCTGTGGATTCTTGTTCTGGAGGGGCTGATCCTTCCAACATATTCATTTGTTCATTATGTTCTTCGTTAGGTCTGAATTCTTCGAATTGGGATTGATTTCTTCTGAGTGGTTGTTGTTCTGGCTGAGATTGAGATTGTTGCAGGGATTGTGCGTATGGATGAACATAAGGTTGAGAATAGTTTGGTTGTTGGAATTGATTTGGAGTTTGTTGAGGAGGTTGTTGGAATTGATTCACAACTGGTTGTTGAGGAGAATTATTTACAAATGGAGAAGCTGCAGTAACAGGTTGATTGAGCGGTTGAGTGAATTGTTGAGTTTGTTGAGGTTGCATTTGTTGGAATGGTGCATGTCTAGCTCTATTGGCAACATAAACCAATTGTTCATAATCAAGATCAGTAGCCATACTTATTTTACCTGTTAATTTCAATAAGTAATTTACATTTACAAGAGTGCCCATCTTTTGATGTGTGAACACACTTTCAACGCAAAAATCAGGAACCTTAACACCAGTTTGAGGATTAAAAGTGATAACCTTTCTTTCTTTTGATTTTAATTCACCTAAAATAATTTTCTTAATAACATAAACATCACTCTTAAGTGGCTCCTTATAACCTTGTCTCATACAATCAACTCTTTGAATAAAGCTCAATTCACAATCTGTAGCAGTTTTCTGAGAATTATTTTCAATTGTCATTTGTCCAAGAAGAGAGTCTCCAGTTAAGAAAACTCTAGTAGGAAATTGGATTGTTGTTGTAATACCACCACTTGCAAACATAAATGTTTTAACTTTAGAATCAGTATATGGAACAGTATTATTTCCGAGAAATGATGGTGTCATCAAACTTCCTCCGATTGGAACAGCAGCTGATGAAATCAAGTTGCCAACAGACTTATCTGTGTTGAGGCAGGTACATCTTAATTCGTAATCAATAGATGGCAAACCATAATTACTCTTACTACCACTGATAGCATTCATATTAGTCTTATATGTTGGAGGTAAGAAATCAGGCAAAGGAATATCAAAATCATATCTATATACACCAGGTTGAAGAATTGTATTAGTTTTCTTTGAAAGTAAGCCAAAGAATTGTTTTTCTTCAGTCTTGGAAGAACCCTTTCCTTCTAATTTTGTCGTATGTTCATAGAAGATATTAGTAACACGTCTGTTAGAATTTGTCTTTAAAGCTTCTTGTAAATTTCTTGTATAATATTCTCTTCCGAAAATATCAATCTTTACACCAAGAATACCCATCTGTGCTGGTATCCTCAATTCTGCATATCCAATCACTCTCTCCCCAGAAAAGAACAATTTGGTTGGGAAGAAAATTAGCAACTCGGCTCTGTGCATCTCGTTCATTGTTGTGTGGTGCGATTATTTTTTTTAAATGAAAATCCAAAAGGCGAAATCAACTCCTTTATGAACACTTCATCTTCGATTCTTCTCTTTTTCCAACGTTGAATTAGAAGCAAGCAAAAGGAATCGGAGACTCAAGTTTGAAATTCTCCCTTGTTTCAATTGAATAAACAAAGATGAATAGAGATGGTGGGCTACTGCTCCCGTTTCAAGTATTGTGTTCATTAAGTCTTCAATAGAGATTGAAGACGTCACAGTGTTAATAAAACAATGTTGCCATAAACTTCTTGTACCTTACGACAATCTAATTGTTTACTTCCCAACTTTGTTTCTTGCAAATTCAAACAAATAAATCGATGTGAAACAAATTAAAATCGAAAAGAAAATAATTTATTGCAGTACGTGAAAAAATGTCAACACCAGATTTATGTTCCATTCAGTTCAACAAGGAGCTGACGGAAAATCTACTCACAATAAATTCGTCTCCAATAAATCTAGAAAATGCTTCCTTGAAAGAATGTTTTGAACCCTATAGAAATTGTTTGAAATTAGCCCAGTTGTGGATTTTACAAGATTTAAAGAAAAGACAAGAAAACGAAAGGAGAAGAATTAAAGAAATGAAAGATGCCGATCCGAAAAAGTGGGCAGAATGGACAAAAGATTTGCCTTTCGAAGTCAAATGTGAAATTATTTCGTTTGTTCCAACGTTTAGTCCAACGAGATTTGTTAATGATTCTCAGTTTTTGAGTGTAGATCAATTAATGCCAGATCCATTTTTTGTTTCGTATTTGAAACATAGATTGGTTTCGAGAAATGTGAAAAGATATTTAGAAAGTTTGATATTTGAGAAAATGTCTAGAGATTGTGTCGATTTATCCAAATTCTATTGGAATGTTTCTCCTCTCACTAAATTCAATAGAACAAATCTGATTCTTGCTTTATTGCGAGGAAATGAACAACATATGACAAATGATGGTTCAGTAGAATTAAATTTTCAACCTACAAACTTGGTTAGTTTTGAAGATGATCTTCCAATGATGGAAAAGTTATTTCCAAGAGATGAAAAATTGGAGTTTTATGAGGAATCAAATTTAGATTATAGCATGTTGGAGGTATGCAAGTCAATTTCTGGAGAGGAAGAATTAAAATTAGAGAAGCAAATTGTGGATGAAATGCCAAATGAAAGGAAACAAATGAAAGTTAAATTTCAATCCGAAACTGAAAAAGATTTGAGTGATTTAAAAATATTAGCAATGCAAAATACCGAGAGAAATGATATTCACACAGCCTTTTCATATGAGGCACCTTTTTTCCGTTACGAGCAACAAGAGAAACTGGAGGAGTTCAATAAGGAGGATTCAAATTTCACAAATTATTTTGTGAAAAGAGTACGCTTATCCTTCTTTAGTACACTTGGAATGTTTAACTCTGTCCCTAGTCTCTTGTTGATTGTTTCCAGATTGAAAAATCTTCAAGAATTAGAAATTGAGGTGGTTTCTTTCATTTCTCTAATTGAATTTATGCGTGGATTGAGTAAGGATACTTTCTCAGATTTGAAATCGCTCAGAATTTATTGTCATGCTTATCTTTCTGCTTTTGTTAGACATTTTATCAAAACAGAAATAGCAAAGAATGTGTACTTGACTGCTTTGATAGATAGTCCGAATGATCTGCAACATTTGACTTCCTATTACAATGTATATTTGAACAATGAATTAGTGGATGGACAAATTTACGACTCTAATCGTCCCAATTTATTTATTGAACCGTTTACAATGAGTGATGTTAAATCTCTTGATGATCCAATTACAACCAGATTACTGGCCTATATTACAGCTCCAGAATTTAATCTCTATAACATTCATGAGAAAAAGGAAATGATAGAAATTATAACAAAGCGTTATCCACTCACTAGTAAGTATTTCATCTTTATTCTTCAATGTTTCATTCCATTAATTAGTGTGTTCTCAATCAATGTTTAGCAATATAACCAATCATTTCCCAATTTCTGTGGCCCTCCTTCAATACATGATCTATCTGAGTAATATCCATCATGATGGTATAATTTTCTCATCTCTTCCAAATAATTTCACTGAGGAATGCATCCTATTCATGATACACAGTGGATGGAATATGACCAATAATTTTATGCAAGTCGTTGGAAACCTTGGACCTTCTACAACTGAAATTGTTCTCAAACATTTGTCTAAATTAATTGAGGAGAAAGTATTCAAGATTGACATTGTTAAAGCTAGAACATTTCTCCTTACTGTAATGAGCGAAAAGTACTGCAGATTATTGAGATTTATTTGTGAACATTGTAATGAGGAAGAAAAAATCTATCTCTTTAGTTCTGTCAGATATTTCGAAACCTCAATCTCGTATTATGAAACCACTATTTTCAATCATATGATTAACAATTGTAGAGATCTAGTTATACCATACATTCTGCCACACATTCCTCCATCTTGCTTATTGGAAAAATCAACAAGAAAGACAAAAACCAGTGACAGATACTTCACATCTCTTCATTATGCTATTTGCAACTCAAATATTAGTACTCAATCGATTGCGAAAATTGTAGAATGTCAGCCATCCTTAATTGAAATGCCAGATAATGAGGGAATCACTCCTCTTCATTTGATTGCTATCAATATTAACAGATGGTCTCTTGTTGAAGTTTGGAAGACATATGGAGTTGATTTGAATGTAAAAAGCAGTAGAGGACTAACTCCACTAGATTATGCCAAAATGGAATATCCAAAATATGCATTAATATTTGAGGAACAATTATAAGCCTCTCAATATTCCTCTTCCAAATCTTTCACATTTCGTCCTTTCCAACACTCATCTAATGACTCACAATAATTATTGTAAATTCAATCTCTGCATAATTCAATACATAATACTCCTTGTACTTTTTTCGAAAAAATCGTTCGGAATAAAAAATTGAAAGGAAAATTAAAAAAAATGCCATCATATAAAACACAGTACAGTGGTTACTCTGTCGAGTTTTCTCCATTCGAAGATGATAAATTGGGTGTTGCTACAAGTCAACATTTTGGAATTGCCGGACAAGGTAGACAATATGTTTTACAAAATGATCGTGATTCGCAAACTATGAAAAAATTACATACTTTTGATAGTGCTGATGGATTGTATGATTGTACTTGGAATGAAGAAAATGAAAATCAAATTATTAGTTGTTCGGGAGATGGAAGTATAAAAGTTTTTGATACCACAACTGCTTCGGGAGGTGAGGGAGCTCCTGTGATGAATTTTGCTGAACATTCTAAGGAAGTTTACTCTGTAGATTATAATACTGTGAATAAGGATTGTTTTGTTAGTGGTTCTTGGGATAATACTATCAAGTTGTGGAATTTGAGTGGTGGTAATGGTAGTTCAATGGAAACTTTTGATGAACATCGTTATTGTGTATATTCTACAATTTTTTCTCCGATTAATGGTGATCACTTTATGAGTTGCAGTGGTGATATGACCATGAAAATTTGGGATATTCATGATATTTCTAGTTTACAATCAGCTCAAGTTCACAATTATGAAGTTTTGGCATGTGATTGGAATAAGTTTAATGAACATATTGTTTGTACAGGATCAGTAGATAAAACCATCAAAGTATGGGATTTGAGAAATTTAAATCAGCATAGATCAGGAGCTATCATGGGTAGTGGATCATCTTCAAATCAAGATTCATCAATTTGTACTTTAACTGGACATGGATTTGCTATTAGACGTCTCAAATTCTCACCACACGATGAAAATATAATTGGTAGTGTAAGCTATGACATGTCATTGTGTATTTGGGATACTGAACAGGGAAGTGATAATGCACTGTTGGAAAAATACGAACACCACTCTGAATTTGTTGTTGGTATTGATTTTAACTTGGAAATGGAGGATGAAATTGCTAGTTGCAGTTGGGATGAAACTGTCTATGTTTGGATGAGAGGAGAAGAACCAGTTCCAACACACGAAGAAGATGAAA